GATCTTGATCAATTACGACAAAAGATTCAGTCGCAGAATCATGAAAACTTCGAATTGAAGACACAATTGAAAGTCACCGAAGACAATCGTGATCAATTGAAGCGCGATTTAATCGATGCGAACCGACGCATCCGAGAATTCGAAGAAAACATTGCTTTACAACGAAAAGAAATCCAGGACTTAAAACGATATTTACAAGACGAACAACGTGATAAAGAATTATCATTACATTCCAGCGATGATCTACGTAGCAAACTGAAGAACGTCGAAAATGAAAAGATCGACTTGAAACAAATCTTGGAAGAAGCTAAACAACGACTTATTAGTAAGCATTGCAGAAGATAAAAAGAAATGTCGAATACCTTTTGTTGTGTCTAGTTCTCGAAGAGCAAAAAACTCAAGGGCAAAAGGATTCCAACGAATTGCGATACAATTTACGTGATGTCGAACGTTCGCGATTGGAAGCACGACGAGAATTACAAGAATTACGTCGTCACGTGAAATTACTCGACGGTGAAACAAAGAAGAAATCCAAAGAATTAGAAGAATTAGGTGACCGAGTTCGACAAGATGAACATCGGGAAGAAGAAATGCGCCGAGAAGTGTTCGGACAAAAACAACGCTTTGTCGAATCGGAAGCATCGCGAGACGTTCTTCGCAAAGAATTAGCCAGTCTTCAACGACACTATGCTGAATTAGAAGAGGAACAACGATTGAAAGAACGTGACCATAAATTAGCTATTGAAGATGCACGACGTCTCGGTAGGTTTTGTTCAATGCTCGATTAACGCTGAATTGCGGTTTGTTTGTTTCCTTGTAGAACGTAAAGCAATCGATGAACGACGAAATGTTGAATTAGCACTTGAAGGAGCCAATCAAATGGTTTCAGAGTTACGTATCGCATTATCGGGCGCAGAAGGACGAACAAGCGCACTTGACACACAATTAGCACGGTAAATATACTGCTATTTTTGCTACATACATAAACGATTTCGTTCTTTCTAGAGTTGAAGGAGCTAAACGTGATGCTGAATACAAACTAGGTAGCATTGTATCTAGTTTACGTCGTTCAATTGGCTACGGACCGCGTAGTAGCAGCCGTTCACGACTTCGTAGTCGTTCACCAAGCCCACGAAATTCTCGTCGTCGACCGATCTCACCAACCAAAGGTATGGATACGAATGAAAATCGCGCTTCACCAATCCTACGTCACTCATCACGAAGCCCACAACGATCACGCTCACCAGCTTATGATGATGACCGTTCGGCTAATTCAACCTATGTTGATGTTGCTGAAGTCGATCCCGAACAAATTCGTGATTCATTAAGAGACTATGTTCAAAACTCGATGCAAACCGAACGTGAACGAGATGATTGCATTGGTAAGAGAGTTGTCTCGATAGAACACGATTAAATCGAAGTTTATTCTGTAGCGGAAGTTACACAACTTCGACGAACCACGAAAGAACTCGAAGAAAATCTTCTTCGAACTGAACAACGATTCAATCAATTACAAAAGACACTCTCATCGTCGGAAGAAGGTGCGTTACGAAATGAATTTTTTGTCGTCTCAACCATCCTTTCATTGTTTTTCTTTTCAGACAAGAAAGGCGTTGACACTCGTTTACAAAGTGCTCAAAGCACTTTATTATTACAAGAAGAAACCATTCGCAAGAGTGAACGTGAACGTAAAACAATGTTGGATCAAATAAGTGGACTCGAACGACAAATTGCTGCGTTAGATAACGAGAAGAAACAATTTCTCGTATGTTTCAATTGCATACTTCAGATGAAATCACTTGATCTGCTTTCTTGTTTCGAATAGGAAAAACTAGATTTATCCAAAACAAGCGAAACACGTTCGAATGAAGAAAAACGAGAATTGAAACGCGCTTTGGACGACAGTGAAAATCGTGCTACTGAACTCGAAATGAGCAAACGAGCGTTGGAAGGTGACATTCAACGTTTAAGCATGATCTTAACTGACAAAGATACCGAAATTCAAGTCTATCAAGAACGATGTGAATCATTAATTCGACAGATTCAAGTGAGAACAGTGTCTTTCTGTTTGTTCAGAAATTATTTCATTGATTTTCATAGGATCGGGATGAAAAATGCCAATCTTTACAATTAAGTGTCGATCGTCTTTCATTAACATTAGCTAAAGCCGAAGAAGGTGAATCAAGTCTGAAGACTCGTGTACAATCATTGAACCAAACGATTTCTCAATCAACTTATCAAGCAGCTGATTTACAACAAAAACTCGGCGGTATTCAAAATGCTTTACAAAGCAGTGAAGCCGAACGACGTATCTCACAAGAAAAACTCGAACAATCACGGTAATCGACACTGATTAACCAAATCAATCAGAGACATTCTTGTCATTTAGAACACAAATCAGCGAACTTAAGAAACAAAACCATGAATTACTCGAACGCGTTGGCCATGTTCAAAACGAACTTGCTGATTCCGAAATGCGACGACATGAATTAGAAAATCAACTACGCAATGCAAATACCGTAAGTGAAACCAAAAAGGACGAATGAAATGTTAACTTCATTGAAATATTTCAGTTCCTCGTTCAACGTCAAGAAAGCGAACAAGAAGCAATTCAGAAGATCTCTCTCTTAACTGCTGATAAACAAACCTTACAAGAGAAATTGTCTCTTTTACAACGTCAATTCGGCAATCTCGATATTGAAAAACGCGATGCTGAATTATCGAAATTACGTTTAGAAAAGGATAAAAATGTCTTGAAACGAACACTAGATAAAGTTTGTACAGGAATGGATAAGAGAGCGTTTTCTAACGAATTAATCCTTTCTAGGTCGAACGTGATCGTGTCATTACGGAAGATATTATTCGTTCATGGGACCGAACAGAAATCGATCGACAATTCCGTCGAGTTGAAGATGAAAACCAAGCTTTACAACGACAAATCGAACAATTACAAAATGTTCTTAACAAATCCGAACATCAACATGCTCAGCGGTAAAATTTTCTTCGAATATTAACGGAAATTACAGATCAGTTTGATTCTTCTGTAGTATGATCGATTTTACAACACGTAACCGACGTGAAACTGAAGCTGAAACTGAACGTCTTCGAACATCTCAATCAGCTGCTGAACGTGCTTTAGAAACTCGAGAAAAATCACATCGTTCTCGCGTCAAAAGTCTTGAAGAACAAGTAGGAACTACCTTTTAGTCCAGTATTTCCTCTCAAGTCGACTTCCTAGGTTCAAACACTTCGAGAACAACTTCACTCGGAAATCCGCCAACGTCAATCTCATCTCAACCGCACTAGTGATGATTTAACTGTTCTTCGTCGAGAAATCACCGATCCATTGACATATGTTTCTCGAGATCCACTCGGTCTTGATCCTCTTCTTCTAGACCACGAAGTCAAACGCTTAGGCGAAATCAACGAACAACCCGTACGTCTTCGTTCACCAACTCGCCGCACGATTTCACCATCAATCGCCTTACGTTCAATGCGAGCTGCAGCTGCCGTCGCAGCCTCAACGACGTCAACATCTCAACTCGGTAGCTCATCGCCAAGCGTTCGCCCGCGTTCCGCACGACCACGCTTTTAAACTCATTCTCTCTCCTACAATGTGATCAAGCGTTGTGAAACAAGCCAAGAACAGTATCATCATATATTCACAGTGACGTTTTTTTTCTTCTCTTTTTAGAATAGAAACTATTTTTTTCAATCAAATATCTCTCGGACTAATCTCTCCCTCTTTCGATTATCTTTTCTTTTTCTTTACATGGCCTTGTGAATGTGCCAAATATATTTTTTTCTCACTCATTTTTGGCTCCTTCGAAAATCTGTTGTCAATGTTTTTCTTTCTATTCATATTTATGTTATTCAATCATCCTTCTACCATCATGTCTTGACTCTTTCTCTTTCAAACTTGATTCATTTATGATCATATTTAGCTATTTCTATTTCCATTTCATTTAGCTTGAATTTGCCATTTTTTTTTTCAAAATAAACAAGGTGTACTCTTTAAAACAAAATGAAGACAGTCTCCTGTGATTTGATATCGCATCTTTCATGTTTGAAATAATGATTTCGCACATATTGTTTAACATTTTTAATTCCATTAGAAAAAAAAAAGACTGCACAGATGTACAGCAGACAAAAGAAATCATACGAGCATATCAGCGAACTTTTATTGGAATTACTAGTCGAGCGGAGGGAAGAAATTTTCTATAAATTATAAATGTATACATCTCGATCTAATTGAAATGTACCGAAAACAGCAAGTCGAGAGGAAATGAACTCGAATGATTTACTTTTTCATTTACTTTTTCTTGACAAGTGTTAAAATGTCTCGCAACAAGTTGGTCTCATGAGACATGATGTGCAATTGTCGACAACATATACATCTTCGTTTTCCATTCATATTAAATGATGCTGGATGATTAACGAGTAAAGTTCGAAACGATGAGTTTAATTGGAACAGGATTGGCTAAGCCGAGAACAAGCCAATTCTTATTGGTCAGCGCAACATGAAAAAGAAGAGACAAAATCGAACGCCTGCTCATTCTTTGATTTCAAAGTAGTCGACGGAAGTCGTTAGTTAATCTATTAAATGAATAACAACAAACGAAGTCTATATTCAATTCCTCAGAGACGAAAAAAAAAGACAAGAAGAGAAAATGAGCCTACGCTTTTTTTTCTCAAGCATCACTGGTGCACATCGATTCGCTACAATGATCATTGTCGTCGCTTTTAATCAAGTCGTTTCTCTCTCTCCCTCTCCTTCTCCGTCATTTTTCCTTCAAACAGCAGGAAGAAAATAGACTCGCAACGAATCATTGGCTTCTGCTTTTTCTCTCTTCATTCGACACTATATACATTTGACAACTACTCAATCGATCATCATACATTTCGAGTAGTAACGCTCTAGTGCAGTCTCTCTTCTCTTCATTGAATTTGCAAGACTGTCTCTCAGTTGTGCACAAGAGGCTTGTTACTGTGTAAAAACCATGTTTCCGTTCAACCAGCTCGTTGCAGCTCAATACCGATATTCTAAATTCGGTAGGTATTTCTATCAATATTTCCCTCTTTGTGCATCGATGGTTACTAAGAGTCGTCATTTATTCGATTTGCTTTGCATATATAGGACATGGAGGAATCAATCAACTCGGAGGAGTTTTCGTCAATGGACGACCTTTACCAGATAACATTCGGCAATCGATTGTTGAATTAGCTAAACAGGGCGTAAGGCCATGTGACATCAGTCGTCAGTTACGAGTGTCGCATGGATGTGTGAGTAAGATTTTGGGCAGGTAAAGAGAGAGAAAAGAATCTTGTTTGTAAAGTTTAGAGCGTTTTTTTTCTTCTGTTTAGATATCATGAAACTGGTTCGATACGTCCAGGCATCATCGGTGGAAGTAAGCCAAAGGTTGCCACACCTAAAGTTGTCGATGCGATCAATAATTACAAGAATCAAGCTCCAACAATGTTCGCATGGGAAATTCGCGAACGCCTAATTGCTGATGGCATATGCGAAGCTGATAAAGTTCCAAGTGTTAGCTCAATAAATAGGTAAGAAACGTTTCATTGTCAAAGATCAATTCATATTTGATTGTACTTCATAAATCTTTCATCAAAACAGAATTTCATTTTCGATTGTCAAGTAACTAATGAATCGCAACGATGTTTAATTGCAAAAAAAAGAATTTTCTTCCTAAACATTGAAACGACAGGTGACAATCTGAGAGAAGTTTCGTCTCGTCCAATTAAAAACGCTCCGATTGATTGTTTCTGATCGTATGTTGTTCTATCTCCCAATCCCACAAGACAATCTGTTCTATTTGTGTTAAATCAAAACTAAATTTTCTACTCAATTAAATCTTAAAAGAAGTAACATGATCTACGTGTCAAAGTTCATTAGGAGAAATTAATATGGAAATGCAAAAAAAACAAGTTCATCTTCTTTTCAGAATCGTTCGCAATCGAAATGGATCAACTGATGCTTCATCACCGACAGCGACGACCGCCGAAGATGATAGTCGCACTCATCATCAACAAACGAATGTGTCTTCGCCACCAAATGTTTATAGTATTCATAGTTTACTTAATCATTCTCAATATGAATATTCAACAATAAAGCCACGCTCATTATCTCGTACAAATCATTCTAATGGTATGAGATTTTTTTCTTCTTCTATTCAGACAGACCATTAGTCTTACTGTCAAAAGTTTAGTTGAATTCTCAAATGAATTGAATAATGACACTGGTTTTGTTTTAGAACCATTAGACGAGAAATATTTTCCGAATGAACAAATCAAGTTCCTGGATAAGTTCTTCAAAGACAATCCATGGGCTGATCATGCACAAATGGAGTCGATCGTTAAGCAAACTGGTCTCGCAGAATCAGTCGTCAAAGTATGGGGAAAATTCATCAACCAATCGAATGATGAAACGAATTTTGTCTCTTCTAGACATATTTAGATCAACGCCGTGCGAAATGGAACGCGATTTGTCCTTCGAATAACTATACAAATTACAATACGAATGAATTTATCTCAATTAAAAATGATTTCGATGCGACGTCGACAACACGTAAAGGAAAACAGGAGTTCATTTCGAATGTAGCGAATGGACGTTTCTTTTTAGATTCCAATGAGATCTTCTGTCCATCGGCATCCTATCCATCTGCTAACTTTTCTATACCAGTTCCACCAGCAGGTAGAAGCAACTCTACGAAAAAAAGATACATATCAAACACCATTCTATTTAGATTATTACTCATCGTACCCTTATGCATCTGATTGGCGTTATAAATTCTGAATTCATCATCATTCAGCTATCTATTTTCTGTATTGATTTGTTTAAAAAGACGTGCACTTACACGGAGTGGAGAGACTATGCGTATCTTCATTGTTGTTCATATTGTAAACCGTTGATTTCATAAAAATAAAACGTCAATGAATATAGCCATTTGATATAGTAACAAAGAGAAAAATTGTCGACGGTGTGCTTTACTTTCTCCTCCTTCTCCGTCGCAACGAACGGTATATCCGTTCTATAAAGAATACTATGCGAATAATTACGTCGTTTTGATCAAATGATACGTGAACTGAAGAAGGATCGCAAATTATAATATTTCGTCATGACAAGCGAATTTGAAGTCCAAGGAAATCAGAAGTGCTTTTTCCATACGCATCGAATAAAATCTATTATTGCAATTGCGCTGACGAGTATTTAATATTCTTTTGAGCCAAGAGGATAATCATTCACGGGCGTGTTTTCATTTCGCGTGTACCTTGAACATCCAATGTGATTAGTACCAATCATTTATATAGAAACTAAACTTAAAGAACTTTTCATGGAATACCACTTGTGCACTTCAATTGGATAATGTCTGACAAGATGAACGTCGGGTGACTGGTTCACACAGCAACTTTGTTAGCAGATGGTAGATTACTAGTTCTCGGTGGATTTAATAACGAACATGAGGGTGAAGATAATGATGAAAGTGCTGTTGAACCTGATGGTAAAAATGCCCCAAACAGTTCAGAATTCTATTAATCGATATTTACATAATGACATTCATACAAATAATAAATTTTAGAACGACTATCACCTGGATATGAAACTTTAAGAATAATACATTATTGATCTTTGAGCCACAAAACGCAGACTAGCTCACTGTTGAGTAATGTTTAATGTGAGAATCTCTTTGAAGTTGTTACTATAAGCAGATGTCGTACAACGTCTTGATTAGATTCACTGAACGATCCTGATTTATTTCTTCTAAATCGATTCTTGTACTGAACACAAACACACGAGGATTGACAAAAGTGATCATATGTAAATAATCTAAGGTTCATCTTTGCTTCTTAGCCAAATCCTTCGTATTTTTTTGAAAAAAAACATTTCAACAAAGCGTCTCAAACATTGCGATAGTTTTCATTATAGTCACATCCATACATACATTTATTTCGATATCACAGATACATTTTCAACATTATCATGCTTTTCATAATTGTATCTACACAAGCTAACAGATTAAAAGTCTAGTACGTCGTCATCGTCGTCATGCTTGTGATGAACATTTATCAAAGACTTTTTCGAACTTCTGGGACTTTTGTGCATTGACGAATTGCTTTGACGGGACATTGGTCGTGTGTGGTCATGGGACAATCGGCGATCATTTGAGGGCGAAAGTGATCGCTGCTAGTAATAATTCATGCCAATATTGACGGAATATGTAACATCAAATGATTCTTACCATTTTGAGAGACGATTCACGGTCAAGATGAATGCCTGAATTGAGTTTATCTAAATAGTTACATACATATATACAGAAATTGCATGACGTTCATTACGAAATAATCTCTCGGCAAGCAAAAGACACAGCTTCTTTTGTTCAGTTAAATGAAAACCACTACAAAAAAATACTTGTGCGTAATTCGCGTTCGAACATATTTGATTTCGCGGAAAATGTTTAGATCTGCCACATCTTACAAAGAGATCTCACCTCTGCCATCAATCAATGATTGCTTGGAACCATTGATCTGACGAACGTGTGGTGATGATGAATGATGCTAATAAATACACTCATCAAACAATGAATTTGACGATATGAAAAACTCACTCTATTGACTGGACTATGTTCATCATTGGGTGAAAATCGACTTGTCGAATCGTATTTATCTAAATCATGTAAATAGAAATTTTGTCGATAAGATGACAAGACTAACATTGACTATTCGTTAGAAATTGTTTGGATCCATTGTTATTATCAACACGAATTACTGAAGAGCGATGCTAAACGATTGAAAAAGAGATCTTGTTGTATTAGTTATCACTATGCTTTACTATATCGGATGATGAGCGTCGATTGATCGAGCTGGATTTATCTATACAGAACGTTTCGTTGTAAAATATTCAACAAGAGCAAGCAGCTGTTTACCATGAAAATCTTCGAAATGACTTCTTGAATTATTGTGAAAGCTTTCACGTTTTCTACTATTGCAAGACAATCTTATTCAATGAGACAAAGCTCATGCATAACAAACCTTTCATAAGATGATGTCACAAAGATATCATCGTCATCATTTTCAGTGCGACGCGGCGATTTTCTGTGAGATGATCGATCGATTTCAGCTCGATCTATATATCCACGTAATGATGCTTGGACAATTTTCAATGCTGCCTAAAATTTCGCTTATAATAATACATATTTTTTTACAAAAAGTTCCTCACGTCACTCGCGAGATTGGTCGGAGAGAATCGATTGCAGCTGATACTACTGCCAAAGTTATCAATTTTTGAGCCCAATCTTTGTTGACTAGTACGTGGCGAATGTATAATTGATGATTTCTATTCGCAAAGAATTTCATGATGATGAATAGTAACAATGACAAAAAGTTAAACATCAGTGCAAACTAGACATTGGTTGTATCATGCATATTTGTACAAATTAGTTCATCATTCCAGTTTAATAGAAAAAGTCTGGCATTTTTCAACTCAAATCCATCTACTGGGTGAATATCATGAGAAGTATATGTAGTGTTATTCACATCTTTTCAATCGAAAACATATGCAATTATTTACTCGGGATAGAAGTACTTCTGAATCTATGACAGAATGTATTGTTCAAGCACAGAATACAGGATTTCACTTGACGAAATGTAAGGATGTTCCGTTCTCAGGGAAAATGTGACTTACCAATCCGTTGATCTTGGAATTGTGCTATACAGAATGGAAGGAAAAACACGATTAAATACGAAGGACGGCAAAGGAACTTACTCGACTAAAAATATCCTCTTTCGATTTATTCGTCCGCGAATACTTTCGTGATCGTCTATAGTTGCGCCAACCTTGTTGAATGACTTTCGCTGCTCGGTTTTCTCGAAAATTTTGCACACGATTTTCATCATCACTAACAAACACTCTTTCATACGGCGAAATCAATCTTTTCTGATCAAATCTTACATAGTCCATTCATACCGACGCGAATTGCGAAATGATACCGACGATGCAGATGATTTCTTATTATTCCATTTATTTAACGACGAACGTGGACCCAGCTTTTCATTTGATCTTCTAGATTAGCACAGACACTTTTAATAGAAGTGAATCTAATTTTTTATCACGTACCGCAGATCGTGTCTACTTCGATCTTCCGATGAACTTGAATTTCGTCGGCGTGTACCAGAATTGGATGAAAAACTTGCTTGTCGATAATACTGATTTCGTTCGCGTTTCATTTCTTCCAGATCTTCATTGTTACTGTCAACTTTATCGCGATATCTATCACGTTCACGTCGCATACGTTTCAAATCATCTTTCAACTGTTCAACTTCATTTTCATAATGTTCACATAAATCTTTCAAATCTTCGGTCTTTCTATGTGCATTTCCATTCTAATCGTACAAAGAAAGTCAAAATTGAATTCAAACTCGTATCCATCAACACTGACTAAATCATTAGTAAGCGAGCAGCACATGCATTCAATCGAATGTTACTCGTACAAGGAAATTATTATCCAAAACAAGCATCAAGCTTAGCTATTGAAATAGTTACATGTAGCACTCGTCAAGTATTGATTAGAAACCTTATGTCTAGCTAATGTGGACAAAATCATATCTTGTCAGACAAAGTCCATGTGTACTTACACGTTTTCTTGGCGAGAAGTGTTCACTATTATCTGTAAATTCGAACGAACATTACTATTTCGTGTTCCTTCTCGATATCTTACCAAGTTGCTCTAATTCATCCACCCGCTTCTTCAAATATTCATTTTCTATCTTCAGTTCTCTTTTATCAGTTTCTAGTTTTCGTAGAGCATTCTTTGTCTCTTCATTCAATGTTGCCATGTAATTACTAGAGACAGAACCGAACTGATTTCAAGACAAGACAAGACAATGTTTATTCTTTGCTTACTCTTGGGTGAATGTCAATCGTTCTAATTTGAACTTCTCAAGTTCGTTGAATAAAGCACGATTTTGAATCTCCAATTCTGTACCGCGTGTCCATCGTAGATCATTTCTCATTTCACTAAACGAAATTTAAAAAATGATGCTTCTCAAAGCTTATCAACCTCGTCGTCACATACTCAACGATCGTTTCCCGCTGCTTTAGTTGTGCTTCTAATTTAAATACACGCTGCTTTAAGTTCATTACAACATTCTAAAATAGAGTACAAGTGAACAACATAGAATTCTTACTGATCAAACGGATATTACCGCAGTGGGAGTCGATGAATTAGCTAAAGTCCGACGTAGATCTCCATTCTAAAATAAAACACATGCAATTTATACTCTTCTTCAACACAGAAAGGTAATCGTACTTTGTTTGGATCACAAAGATTATCCATTTCTTTGCATTTTCGTGAATTATCTTCTTCTAAACGTCGAATTTTAGCTTGTAAATTATTTTTATCCTCTTTCACGTATCTTAATTCCTAAAAATGAACAGATATCTCTTTACAGGTAAACAAGGTACATATTTCAATCGAACCTTCTTCAGTAATTGAATTTCATCATAATAGTCTTCCTGTGCTTTGTATTTCGGATTTCCTATATTCGCCGGTCGGTTAACTACGCAAAGAAAAGGTTCACTCGACTATGAAACATTCTTCTTCTTACGAGCATTCTGTGTCAACATTTCACTTGCACTATTCGTTCGTGTTAACCTTCTTGCTGACGACCCATTGGACGTGTCCAATAATCGTTTCGAGTGCTCCGGAGCACTTCGATATGCTATATCACTATCATCGTAAGAATACAAACTTCCGGATGATGCTCGCTTTCGATTTGTCTTGTACGGTGATTGTCGATGATAAACATCTCGCGGTGGCTTAGTTCGTATCGTTACTTTGGACATATTCGAACAAAAGGAAAGAATTGATTTTGAAAATATGTAGGTCAAATGCCACTGTTTCCCATCAGCGAGACTGGTGTTATGGAAACAGTAACTATCCAGTAGAATCTATGAGAAGTTACGACCTCTATATACACGACATAATTGGTTGGAAGGAGTGGAATATCCTTATATTGACTTGCATGCAAAAAAAGTACACACCCATTTTTTTTGTATGTATATAGTTGTTTGTTTTTCTTATCAATTTCATGTACACGTATACATTGAATAGTGTACTTTTTTTTCAGAAATAAGAATTAGACATGCTTGCAGTAAAATATCGATTATCGCTAAATTCAGCTCGACAAGTTCTCGCTGCCGGTATCAATTATAGAAAAGAACAGAAACGATATGCAACTTTNGTGTACTTTTTTTTCAGAAATAAGAATTAGACATGCTTGCAGTAAAATATCGATTATCGCTAAATTCAGCTCGACAAGTTCTCGCTGCCGGTATCAATTATAGAAAAGAACAGAAACGATATGCAACTTTAAATATGCAAACAATAAATCCTCTTGTCAAAGAGGTCGAATACGCGGTTCGAGGTAAAAAAGCTCGACTGTTGATTTTCATCATGATGTTTCCGTATTTGTTTAATTCAAAGGTCCGATTGTTATTCGTGCAGGAGAAATCGAACGTCAATTAAAGGTAACCGTATCTTTTATCGTATCTCGTGATTAGCAAAGAGAACATCATATCTATAACGTTATTGAAACGAAAAGAAACATACCCTTTCGAGAGTGGAGAGAAAAAGACATTTGTGCACTTGACTTTAACACGTGCGAGGGGGCGTTGGTATTTTTCTATATGAATAGAGTCGAATCTAAGGTCAAAGCAAATACTTCCTCGATTGTAGCTCTTTTGTTTGACAAAGAAAACAGTTGAGTTGCTCACGGAAAAGAATCGCTATGACTAAGAACAAAAGTCTAACGATTGAAAATTTGAATCCACGTATTATATCTGTCGAGTATGCTGTTCGAGGCCCAATTGTTACCCGTGCAGTGGAGATTGAAAACGAAATGAAATCGGTACTGTCATGTTTGTTACTCACATTTCAGCATTGTTCATTTTCAGGACAAGCACGATTACCCTTTCGATCGAGTTATTCGAGCTAATATCGGTGATTGCCATGCTAGCGGTAATCAAGCACCAATTACATATATTCGACAGGTTCGTAAATCAATTCATTTTTCCTCTTCGATGGATCTAATTCAAATTGCTGACGATAGTTTGTAGCCGGATGTACTTACCCCGAGATAATGAATTCGCCTGACTTTCCACGAGATGTTAAACAACGAGTAGAACGTTTACTGTCAGCATGTGGTGGCAAAAGTCTTGGTTCATATACGGAGAGTCAAGGCATAATCACTATACGAGAAGATGTTGCAGCCTATATTCAGCAGCGGGATGGTTATCCAGCTGATGCAAATAACATTTATCTTTGTAATGGAGCTTCCGATGGTATTAAAACTGTCATCAAGCTTTTAATGAATAACGATCCAGCCAAACCATCAGGAATTGTAAGTGACGGTTTCTTGCAAGTCTTATGTGTATGTCTGATTTCGATTGACTAGATGATTCCTGTACCACAATATCCACTCTACAGTGCAACTTTATCTGAATATGGCGCACATCAAATTGAATATTACCTCGATGAAGATAACAACTGGGCTCTAAATATTGATGAATTGGAGCGTTCGTTGAATGAAGCGAAGAGTAAATGTGTTCCGCGCGGTATCGTAGTTATTAATCCGGGGAATCCCACCGGTAAATATGAAATATGAATGCTTGTTTTCCAGAAGGAAATGTCTGTTCTATATCTTGATTAGGCCAAGTACTTGCACGTGATAATATTGAAAATGTAATTCGATTTGGTAAGGACAACGGTCGAAATCGATTTCTTCATTTATGAATACTTTCCTTTAGCACATAAACATCAATTATTCGTCATGGCTGATGAAGTCTATCAAGAAAATGTTTATCTACCAGGTTCGAAATTCTTCTCATTCAAAAAAGTTCTCATGGATCTGGGTGCACCTTACAATCAAATGGAAATGGGTATGTTAAGTGAACGCGCTTCCTTGAAGAAATTCATCATGGATTGTTTCTTTTCTTCTCCAATTCAGCCTCATTCCATTCGGCATCGAAAGGGTGGCATGGCGAGTAAGTCGAAACCGTTATTCGTGTGTAGACAACAATCTATTTCTATCCCTCAATGTAGATGTGGCTCTCGTGGTGGTTACTATGAGTTAATCAATCTTGACAAAGATGTTCGAATGCAAGTGAATAAACTAATCTCAGCATGTTTATGTTCGACATCATGGGGTCAAGCTGTCATGGGAGCGATCATAAGTCCACCAAGAGAAGGTGAAGAATCGTATGAACTGTATAAGAAAGAACGAACGATGGTTGTTAATCGATTGAAGGAAAAAGCTGATCTTGTCAGCCAACTGTTCAATTCAGTTGAAGGTGTACGCTGCAATGCTGTTATGGGGTGAGTACCACGGAGAGTATTACCTTCGATTATTATCCAAATTTTCGGTTATTTCAGAGCAATGTATGCATTTCCTCGTATCGAAATTCCAAAGAAAGCCATCGAATATGCAAAATCGAAGAAAATGGCACCTGATGCGTTTTATTGTTTTCAATTACTTGAAAAGACCGGCATTTGTGTTGTACCCGGTAGCGGTTTTAAACAACGACCTGGAACACATCATCTCCGTACAACGATTCTGCCACCGGTTGATCAAATGAAAGATATGGTTGAGCGCTTTCGCACATTTCATATGTCATTCCTACGAGAATGGAAATAGATCTGTTGAGCTTACAGTCGTTTATTTTTTATATTGTAGTAGAAGAATCTTTTATAAACGTCATTTTTCCTTTCATGAATATGTAACCTTACGATCTTCCAATTTGTTTTGTATCTAAACATGAACGTTCATTGCCATTTCTTGTTAGTTAGAAGCTAATATTCATGTTTATATGAACGAACAAACATTGAAAAGAAGAACAAATAAAGTTTCCAAATGAATCATTCATTTGAGTAGAATCGAATCTAGTTATTCTTTTTTGCTGAGTACTAGCTGATAGAACAGAGATAAAGCGAAGCTGTTTCAGCTATTTCACGTTCTATGATCTAGGAAGTATAAAAATATTGATAGGCAATCGTTGGGAACACAAACACAATGTCACGAGTTAGAAATGACGCATTAGGTGGGGAAAACGGCAGAAATATTTGTTGTTGTTTACGCAGTATATCACATAGACTCATCCTCGATGAGTCAATTCCGCTCGAGTTCGGGGGCAGAACCAAAACAGCTATAGTAGTGACGTAAATAATACGAACGAGAGAACGAGAATCTCTCCGTCTTCTAGCGACATATTACGAGACATTAATCATCGCCAATTATTGAGGTTCTGCATTATTTCCAAATGATCATCTCAAATGAAAAGAAATAAGTCATATGTACCGACTAAACTTCACATTGAAATGAATCATCTGTGTGAGAAGATGAACGTCAGCAGCAAAGGCATTTTTTGCATTGTGAAATATGACAAAGCATTTTTTATGTGTTGTTCTCCATGACAAGAGCAGCATATAAAAAGAGAAAGAAAGACATTGAGATGTAGGATGTTTTATTCGAGTTTCACGAAATCGATTATATGCGCCCACAAAAATTTCCATGACAAATGCGTCGTCATTGTCAGCTTTATTTCTCTCACATATTATTCATCCAACTTACGAACATGCTTATATAACTCTTCCTTTTCTTTTCTGAATTGACATAACCAAAAGTGAAAGGACATCAAGTAAAACGAACATTGAAAACAACGAAGGCAAACAGTAAATCGGTAAGCAATAAGTAGCTAACGTTTTCGATAAGACATGAACGACCTGATTCCCTTTTGAACTAGGAATCCTAGTGATTTCTCACCCACACCCTCGAAAACAATCCTCTCGAGAGTGTAAAGTATCCGGGGGGTGATGATAGAGGGGAGCTGTAGATAACGATTTCTTCTCTTTGTTTGTCAAAAGTATAAAGACATGTTGACTAGTATGCATTCGTTCGAAAAGGTTCCTGTTTCTACTCGTACTTTTTGCCATGATTCAAATTCTAGAACAGAATAGAAAGCGCCATGCGTCATGTTTTCTCGCTCTTTCTACGCAAAAGAATATTTTTATAATTCGACGAACTGTAGTTGTGATTGTTAGTATTAATAGCACCATATAGGCGATTTTACTTTTAGAATAGCGATCATGTTGCATCATAGACGTCAGGTCGTACCATTCAATGAAATCCAGGGTGTCACTTCGACAAATGTTTGTGCCTACTCAAATGGTGATGATCATTTTTTCTCCGTTGAACGTCATTATTATCATGGCATCTTTTTGGGCTTCAAATGGGAATGCATCGAATTCGCCCGTCGATGGCTTTTAATGCGTAAAAGTTGCATTTTTTCCGGCATACCCTACGCTGCTGCTGATATATGGACTAAATTGCAAGCGCTCGAACGTGTTACCGATGGCAAACAAATTCCCCTCACCGCACATCTAAATGGCACATTAGATAAACCTAAACGAGATTCCTTACTTATCTATCCACGTAGTTCGGCGTTACCATTCGGTCATGTTGCGATTATATGTGATGTTGTACCCGGTTACATTCGTATTGCTGAACAAAACTATGAATATTACAATTGGTCGGACGATTATTCTCGAGAAATTCCATTGAGATTCGAAAATAACTGTTATTACATCGAAGATCAGCATGAAGTTTACGGCTGGATGGAGATTGATGATATTGAAAATTTAGAACCATTGGACGAGACTAAAATTGATTTGATCTTAAAGCAATATCAACAAGCCAACTCGATTGGAACATTAGAACGATGTGTAATACCAAGCAAAACGTCCACGTTATCATTTGCATGGTTGAATGAGAACGATAAGGCGGAGCAATTGTTTATGCAACTATATGGAACAGATTTGATACGTACAGATACCAATACTTTGCCTTTTTACAAAGCGAATCAAGATTTGCTGTTGAATATTGGCGGTGTATCGAATGAACTACACGAAATGTTTCTTCATGCAACTGAATATGTTTTAGAAAATGATGATGTTTTGAGACATTTCTGCATTCCGGAAGTCTTCTGGCCGAAAATTCGTCAATCGTGGCTGAATGAGAAACAGTTAACGATGACAGGACGATTTGATTTAGCTTTCAACGGAAAAGAAATCAAAGTTTTCGAATACAATGCCGACAGTGCTTCGGCTCTGTTTGAAATGGCTGTCATCCAAGAGAAATGGGCCCAAACGATTAATTTCGAACGAACATTCATGTCGGCATTTCAACTGCACAATATTTTAGTGAAGAACTGGAAGAAATTCTCGTCGATTAAACGTGCACATATTCTAATCGATACCGATCAAGAAGAATTATTGACTGCTTATTATATGCAGAATGTTTTGAAAGATGCCGGTATTGATTCGAAAATATGCATCATAACTGATGATCTGTATTGGAAAGATTCGAAGATAGTCGATGGTGACGGCTATGAAGTTGAATTAGTATGGAAATTATGGATGTGGGAAACAGTTTTTAGTAATTATCTTCAATGCGAAAAGGAAGGAACTTTAAGTCGACAAAACGATGGTGAACATCCATACCTACATCAGATTCTGTTAAATGAACACATTAAGGTGATCGAACCATTGTGGAAAGTGATTCCAAGCAATAAAGCCATCTTACCTGCCCTATGGTTACTCTATCCGAATCATCCAAATCTTTTACGTAGTGAATATATTTTAACCGATGAATTAAAACAAGTTCCATTTGTCAAGAAGCCCATCGTTGGTCGTTGTGGTCATAATGTCACTCTGTTTGATGTGAACGGTGAGGCCGTTATCCACGAAACTCAAGGAATATTCATCGATCGAAATTGTATATATCAAGAACTATTTTCATTAACGAATTTCGATGGATATTATCCAATTATTGGAAGTTGGATTATTCATGGTTTATTTGGTGGATTTGGTATACGCGAAGACAAGAAATTGATCACCGATGCTGAAAGTCCAGTGACTGCTTGTTGTATAGTTTGGAAATAGGCATAGAAAATCTTTTTTTTTCATGTTACTGAACGACATCTTTACTTCTTTTTTCCTTCTCCTTTGTATTTATCAACTACACGATTTTTTTTTCTTTTCTTCTTTTTCTTGTCAAATACCGAATATACGTAAGTTTTCGCATCCGTGATGTATATGACTTTATATTCTCGAATGACTATTAACAAAAGATCTGAAGACTTCATCAAGTAACAAATTTTAATAGTATTCTTTAAGAAGTATGTCATTTGCCTGTTGCACGCAAAAACAAACTAGCCTAGCAGAGAGAAAACAAACAAACGTTGTCGAACATATACAAAGATATTTGATCATTGTCATATTTTGTACAGAGAAAGAGAGAAAATAGGAGGATGAGGGGAAGAGAAGACGTCTATTTTTCTAAATGACTATTAGTTCGATGTGTAGGTGAGGATGACGATGCTCTCGAAGGATTATTTCCGTTTGTGAGATTGTCGTTGGTCGCGGTCGAATTATGATCGCTATTGGTGAATTCGGTAATTCGAACTGAAACGCCGTCGACGGTGATGGTTGTGGTTGTGTGAGCTGAAGATGAATTCGACGATGTCGATGATGAGGAAGACATGGATGAAAGGGAGGATAATTTGGTTTTTTTTCTAAAGAATCCAATCGGAAATTTTTTTTAAAAAAGGCAAATTGGATTTCTTACTTTTTTTGCTGCGTGTGATTCTTCGATTTGTTTTGATCATTCGCTGCTGCTACTGCTGTTGTTGCTCTGGACTTCTGATTATGATCGTTTGATTGTCGTTGTTTCGTGTCTTTCGATTTCGCCGATGTGTGCTTCGAAGACTTCTTTTGCTCATTATCATTGTTTGTACTTTTTCGATTGACAATCAGTGACGATGCTGATTTAGTGGAACGCGATAGAGAATTGAATGTTGCACGTTTCTTAGTGGTTGACGCTTTCGCATGATCATTCAATTTCGAAGATGAAGACGGAGAGGCTGAGCGATACGATTGATTTGTTGTAGTGGACGATGCCGGAGAAGATATGCTCTCATTGAAATGATCGGTTGGAAATGAGCGTCGTGTGTGATTTGGTTGCGACTGAGTACTTTTTCGTTGCTCATGATGAAACTCTTCGTCGTCATCATCATCATCATCGTCATCTTGTCCATCGCTATCTTCAGTTGTTGATGCATCAGACGAGTAATCTTCATTCGTTTTACGTTTCGATCTTGGCAATTGTTCGATATGATCATTCACAACGAGTTTTGGCTTTCTAAATCGATGAATATGTTCCATTTACAATTACTGACTTATGATCAAGTGACTTACCGAGTTGCAGTTCCCTTTCTCGAATCACACATTTCGCATCGAAATGCCACGCACGGATTTTTATATGTACACAATGAGCAATCCCATGTTCCATCGTTAATCACTACACGCGATCGTTTTGCTCTGAATGTTAAACAATAAAGAATCGAATGGTGAAAAGATTATTCTAGCATACTTTCGATCTGTCATGATTTTCCACGTCGACGATTCATATAAGACAAGAGAAATGAAAAGCTGAGTCTTAATCTACAAAATACAAAAAAGCAAATCATTTTCGGACCCATTATTTCCCTTCGGAAAACTTTTTCTTCTTCAATTCATCGACTTTCTTTTTCAAACGTTCAGTTTCTTCAAGATTTGCTTGCCGCTCAGCAGCAAACTGACGAAAACTTTCAACACCTTTCGGTATCGTATTCAGAAAGTCTTTCATATTCGAATAAGTTCCCGTAACAGCATTGCCCATGTTCATTTGCATGCCAGAAAAACGTGTGCGACACGATTGATCGCAATACGGCGCCTTCTGCGTCATTTTACACATACACAAATCTGCCATTTGAAACGTCGACGACGTGAATCTCATTGGTTGAAAGTCGCCTTTCAAATGCCCACACGATTTGTCACAAAACGCCTACAATGAATGTTTGCAAGGGTATTTTCTGTGAATGATTCGTTTACCTGTCGCTGTGCGTAACCACATGAACACCACAGATAGGTTTTATTCGGTTGTAATTCTGTTTTTACTGGTTGAAAGCCACCAATGCGTTTTCGATGAATACTAGCTTCAGGGTTCGAACGTGCTTGAAATGATGATTTCAAAAATTCCCAAAATGGTATTCGAACATTCTATAAACGATAGATTTGTCTAGGAAAACAATATTCATGTACAACATACGCACACGTTTTGATGTGATGACTAGTTGAGTTGATTGTTGGTTAAGCCGACGACAATGAAACATGTTTATCTAAAAACACAGAAGATAAGTTAACACTGGAAAGATATTTGGGATAATATATATATATATATTTTATATATACAATGGCGACATGTAGAAAAGAAAGTTGTTAGATATATTAAAAAAGAAAAAGAAATGATCATGGCGGTGTTTTGCGATCATATAGCACTTAAAGCGATGTGTTAAAAGCTTCTTTAATCATCGTTTTGACGTGATTAACAATGGTTGGTGTATCACTAAAGTGAATCTTGAAAAGAAACGATGTTTATTAAACTACGAATGATCCTTTTTCGAAAGAAATTACTTTGAATAAATAGGGTTGAATGTCGGTGTAAGACGTGTCGAAGACTAAGTCTAACTCAGAAAGATGTGGTGGTTTTGGAACGTAATCTGGTTTGTTACTAAGCAAAAAAAAGCATGTTTTCAGTGTATGAAGAGTTACTTTTCGCTTACATTATTTCAGTTATTTGAAAAATACGTTCTGTCAGTGTATCCGAAAGTTTTTCACGCACAAATTGTCGTTCTTGAAAGCAAGTGAATATTGCAATTGAATCATTCGAAAAGTTGACTTACCATTCTCGCTAGATAGCTGCATTTGGTCAATTTTTATCGTCCAAATTTCCCACGGAATTTCTTCAGGTTTAAACATCCAACGAGATTTTTTCTTCTGATAAAATTCCAATGTAATCTAATAAACGAACGTAATTAGGAACTCTTGTCAGAGAGTTTCTTTTTCTATTTCATTACTTGACCACTACGATTCGCTTCCGATGAACGAAGTTTATCGTGAAATTGGTTGATTTTCTCCGCCACTGCGCGTTGAAGTTCTTGACTAGTTACTTGAAGCTTAACAGAAAATACAAGTCACAATAACGACACGTCGTTTTGAATACCAGTGAAATGATTTTATCTCTGCGCGTCACGATTTATACGAATACTTACATAAGTGAAATCGATGTAATCACAATCAACATCTGTGTAACCTAGTGTTCCAACTGAATAACTATCTTCTCCTTTGGTATGATACTAAAACAAATTGATAGTTAATTGTGAAAGATCTTATTAAACAAACCTTTCCAACACAACGATGAAACAGTATGGTATGAAACATACAGGATACGACTTCATCGATTTGTCGACCTTCGACTGAGAATTCGAAAGTTTGGGATCGAGCATTCATGTTAATCTGAAAGCAAAAAAAAAATAACAAAATTTTTCTTTCATTCACTGGAAGAAAGGCAGATGGTGAATATTTCATGACGAAGAAATCGGTAATTTTTTCGTTTTCTTCAAAGCACAAGCTTCTTCATAAGCGGGATGAATTGGCGGTTGAATCGGTTCGATATATTCTTGTTCTAAGGGATATGTCTTATCCGAATCGAATCCATCGAGACTTCCACAAGCAATAAATGGAACAACGAACGAAGATTTCTCTTGATTCGTCAATGTTCGCTCGTAGGTATAAATAAACGGTTCATCGATGTTAGGAATGAAATTATCTGGTAGATGAAACTGTCGGCAAACAATAAAAGATTCTACAGATGAATTTCTCGATGACCGGGGTTTCGCAATAACCACATCGTCGAAAAATAGTTTTAATTGTTGATAGAGTAGATCGATGTTTTTCGTGCGAAAAATCTTCGATACAAAATTGCCGTTTTCACATAAGACATGCAAACAGATATTCAACGCTGCTAGGACGAGATTGCCTTGAACGAACTCATCGATATCGTGTAGACCGGTTACATCAGGTGCGCCATCACAAATGACAAGATCGGCTTTATTAATCTTCTCATCGGATGTTTTAAACCGGTCGAGAATTTCTTCAATTGTTGACCGTTTCGTGATATCACCTTTGATTTGTTCAACACCAGGCAACGGAGCCATGGTTTGCAAGTCGACGGCAACGATTTTCACTTGATTGTCAACCGCATCTGTTTTGTACAAGGTACGAGAAAGTACCTGCGACCAACTTCCTACGAAAAAAAAATCACTTTCTCCATAGCAAAATCAAACAAACTGCAGATGGAACGTGTATGTTTTGTTTGTGTCGTGTTGATGTCTGTGACTATACGTCAATTTGTGTAGACATTTTTCCTCTTTTTGACTACTAACGCGTATCAAATGAAGCATGTAAAAGTTCAAGGACTGAATGATTTCATTAGTAATTTAATTTCTATGACTTTGTTTGTTGATTTATAGAATTGAGTTATAGGAAGTTTGTAGGAATGTGTTCGCTCAGAAAAATTTCGTGACTTACCAGGCGCTGCGCACAGATCAACGACTCGTTTGACATTGTCATTGAGAATATTAAATTCACTGTTGATTTGCAGAAGTTTAAAAGCAGATCTCGCTCGAAGACCTTGCTCCTTTGCTAATCGATAATAAATATCGCGTTTGTCTTTCGTTGATTTACCCATCTGAAATAGCAGACAAGAAAACAAAGATATATTTTGTACACTCGACGAAAAAAAATCACAAAATCATCGAAAATTTATTCAATGGGCCTTTTTCGAAGTATTTTTCAGTTTTGGTCTTTCAAAAATCTGTTTCATGCCGCCAGCAAATTCCTGGCGAAACTTGGTACTCGATTGTTTATCTGATCCCCACGGCGATTGCTTCGAACTTGTATCTTGATCAACCAAATGAGTGTATTTCGTTCGGCCAGCCATACCAAAGTTTTTCACCTGCATTACTTTCGGCAGTACAGTCTTATCAAAATGATCTTCAAGCGTCGGAGCACTGTAATCTCGTTTATAAATCTCATCTTCTTTATCCTAAATGGAAATAGAACGTTTTGATATCGAGAAAATCGAAGAAAACTTGACAAACCAGAAAGAATGCACCACGATGGTAATATTTCTGCAAAAATTTGTATTTCGCTTTCGGCGCTTCGTTTGTGACGACTTTCGATTGATTCCGCAATTCTTCTTGGAGTTCTTCTTCAGTCATATTGCGTCGACGCTCAAGTTCTTGTTGTTCACGCTCTCGTCTAAAGAAATTCCTTTTGTACATATAACACAATGTGACAATTGAACTTACTCGTCGCGTTCTTTTCGATCACGTTTCAAGCGTTCGAGTTCACGCAATTTCCACGCATTGTATACGGCTTCTTCATCTTCATCGTCAGTATTGAAATCACATTGAATACCACCCTCTTCTTCAGCTTTTTGTATTTGTTCTTCCTTAATTGCCTCTTCGACTATCTAAACAGACAAAAGAAACTCGAAGAATCAAAACGTGTTCAATAACATACTCGTTTAGTTTGCATTTTTCGTTGGTGAGCAACACGCTTTTTTTCGCGTTCAAGTTCCAGTTGATGTTTTTCTTCTTCTTCACGTTCTGCGACTGTTCGACGATCATCTCTGGAATAAAGAATAGCTTTGCTATTGAGCAATCAGATTTCTTTTTAAAAGACTCACTTTCGGACAAATACCGGCTTCAATCTGGGCATACCGTCATCGTCTTCTTCCTCTTCTTCTTCTTCGTCACTTTCAGATTCTTCCGATGATTCCTCTTCTTCCTGTTCGACTTCTTTGTCGTCCTCAACTTGTAGTAATTCCTTTAGAACAATAATCATATAGAAAAAACATCAATCGTTAATTTAATAATCATATTCTACCTCTTCTTTGGCCTTTTCTTTCGCTCGAAGAAGGCGACGTTGTCGATTCCGTTCGTATTCGTCTTCATCACCTTCTTCATCATCATCAGATGACTCTATATCCATCTTAACACGACTACTAACAGTTTGATTTTCGATATCCATTTCATCATTGCCATTTTCTTCAAGTCGATCGTTTTGTTCTTTGTCTTCTTCATCTTCCGCCTCCTCTTCTTCTTCTTCTTCTTCTGAACTTTGTTCAAGAATTTCTGGATCAACAATTCGACGACGTCGATGGATTCTAAAACGAATAAACAAGAATATTTTCAAACAGAACACATCTCGACATACCGTTCACGATCCTCGTCATCATCATCATCTTGAGTTTCACGTTCTTGCAAACGACGCAAGCGACGATCTTCTTGCTCGATTCGAGTAACTAAAAAAATAAACATTAGAAATTAGTTGTCATCTCAACCAACGTGTCCATGTACCTGATGGAGCTTTGACTTGTTGTTGAAATTGCTCGTCATCATCCTCATCGTCACTTGCATATAGTGCTCCGGCGCAATCAGGTCTAAATGAAAAGTTTCTTCTATCTCTTTTTTCTTGAATTCTAATAGACTCTTACCGTTTTCCGGCGACATGTCGACGTACTTTGACTTTTTGTGTAACTAATTGTCCTTTGGCATTTCGAACAGTAATAGCACCAGCCGTCGAAAGCGATGGTGCTTTGTAAAAGCCTTCGTCAATATCAATCATACTCATTTGAGTTGATTTGAATTAAGAATCTCTTCTTTCGCAAGATGGATGATCGAACAAAATAAAGAAAATTATTATATTACATTACATTCTACGGTCATTGACGATGATCGAATCAAATATAATGACATGTAGATGGCGTTATATATCGCGCGGAGACAACTTGACTTATTGTCATTTATGTTTTCGTGTATGATGAAACACATTGTGATAAGATAAGATATGAATATTATTGTACTAAATTCACATGAGACTTCCACATATTTAAAGAAGGCCAGGTATTTGATACAAGAAAATGTCCAAAAAGAGCGAGTTGAAAGGTTTGAAAGTTGCTGGTAGTATCATTGTTTTATTTGTCTTGGTTTGGTACCATGCATTGTTTCAAATCGATTTGAGAAAAGCAACATGGTTTGATATTGTCGGTACATTCTGTTGTCTGGAATTTTTATATACGGGATTATTTATAACCAGTCATGATGCTATGCATGGCACAGTTAGCACTCGCGTAAGTTAAGTTCGATTATGTAAGGACTGGTGAAGATACAAGAACGTTTTCTTTGAAAAGATAAGAACTTTTGATAAAGCTTACACGACTTCGAAAAGAGGTCAACAAATATGAAACTGCGGGTACTATTCGTCAGTAAGGGAATTCATTTTCTTATTTTACTCTAGTATCATCGGTTGAACAATGTCATCGGCTATATCTGTTTTTCTGCTTATGCTTGGTTTGATTTTCGATTTATGCATGAACAACATTGGCGGCATCATAAGAACACAGGCGTTCCCAACGAAGATCCTGACTTTCACAATGGTCGATCAATCGGGTTCTTTTCATGGTATTTGAATTTCATGTTAAAATATATGAGTGTACGACAGATAATAAAACTGATCATCTGGGTGGAAATACTCAAGTCCGTACTTTCGGTTCCGATAGAGAACATGGTTGTGTATATGTTATTATGTGGACTATGTAGTTCGGTACGTTTATTCTATTTCGGTACGTATGTACCACATAAGCCAACAGTAATCAATGGAAAGTTCGAACAAACCATGCCATGGGAAAAGTCGAAATCGGCTAATGTAAATCGATGGATTAGCTTTTTATGTTGCTATCATTTCGATTATCATTGGGAACATCATCGATGGCCAGCTGTACCATGGTGGGAGTTATGGGAATACAAAGAAATGAGAATGAAGTCCGTTTCATAGAACAATCTTGGTCATCCTGTTCGATTATTTTTTTATTTAAATAAATATAAAAGAAGAATATTTTTAATTGATACCTATTGCTGTTTATTCATTTTGTCACTTGAAATTTCAATAAGAACAGTACCGAACCAGGCTTGCCTGGGAAACAGCACGATCAATCGGCCGATACAAACAGCGACGAGGAAAATACAGAATACGATGGATAACACTGTTCGATAACGCGCGAATAACAAATGGTAAATCAGAAGTATTTCACTGGCTAATAGGCCCCAATAAATGAAACGACGAACATGAATTAAACCAGCTGTCAACGTTGGTGTGTTGTACTTCGATGGGACTGCAGCAAACATCAAACCAGTGATAATGAAAAGCCACGAATTCCACCAGGAAAGAATGTAAGTGGTCAACGGCGTTATTTCGTCGACAGGTCGAAGTAAAAATGCAAGAAATGTTCCTGGATAGAAGTACACAAACAATATCAAGCTTAGATTTGACACTGCTTCAGCAAATAGAAGGAGACGAATAGGTTGATCATTAACTAGACGAACACTAAAATCATCTAGCATTGTTTGCCGAGACAAGCAGACAAAAGTACGAGCTTTAAATAACAGCTATCAATTATTTTTTGAGGAAATAAACTCATTTACCTCATACAAGTGTACGAGATGATATAGTACATTATATTGATTGGTAAATGAGCGTAACAATCATTTGAGTAATAGAACTTACTTTTCACGACATCTATTAAAAAAGAAGAAATCAATTCATTTGTAAAATATCATATTACGCTGTTGCTGTATGCAGATTGTCCTTTCTGCTAAATTATAGTGCCAAGCATTCTTGGTGACGTATTACCGTGAAGAGAACTATATGATAATCAAGAAGCAGTACAAGGTGAGAAAAAGAAAACAGTAGAATCAATGTTGATACTGCAGATCATTGTTTCGTTCCTATTCGTGATGAAAAATTAGTAAGTGTTCTTCGATAACAATCTTCAAGATTGTATGTTTAAAAGAATAAATGTTGAAGAAAAACCAGTTATTTTTTCTATTTCGAAAACAAAGAAGAAACAACAATAAACTGAATTATTAAGCACTGATTGTTTTAAAGACATTAAAACCGGATAGTGCGGTACTGAGTAATAATCCAGGTATTTGTTTATGCCAGTGTACTTCTTTGATATCTGTTTGTCCCATATGAATAAAAAGTAACTGATCAGGCAAGTTTTCAATATGATTGTTATCATTAGCAGCTGCTTGCTCTTTCTTTTCTTCGCTATCTTTTTCAACTGCTAAGTCCCATAGTGTTATTTGATTATCAGCACCACCTGCGGCAAACACACTTGAGTCAGTATGATGCCATTCGACACTGGTAATAGCTGAACGATGGTGTTTAAACGAAGCAACCGGTGTTTGTTTCTTGGAAAAGAAAGAGAACGAAATTAAATTTTCTATTCAAAGTTGTCTTTCGTCATATTTACGGAGAATTGTCGTAAATCCCAAACTTTGATGTATCCATCATCACCACCAGAGATCAAAAATGGTTCATGTTTATTCCAGCTAATCACATTAACATCGGATGTATGTGCATCGAGTTCTGTTAACATGCAAGCTTTCGATGGCATCGCACGAATATCCCATATGCGTATACTTCGATCAACACCACACGAAGTAAAAACCTACGAAATACAAATGTTGTTGTTAACCAAGCTTGAAAACGATGTTTTCATACACTCTGTTCATTAGGCGACCATTGAATATCTTCTACGGATGATGTATGACCGATATATGGCCTTTGATCAACAGCCCATTCGGTTTCAGTCGGTTTCCAAACATGGATATTTTTTGAACAATCACCGGTTGCCAGTACTCCTAAGAATAACACAAGTTCATTTGTCTTCCTCATGCTCTACACAGGTTCTGATATTAAATACCTGGTACTACTGGCGACCAGTCCATAGCAAAACCTACGAATATGAGAAAAAAAATCATCAACTTCTCAACGTTTAGGAGAAGAATTTTCGTTTACCTTCTGTCATATGTCCATTAAATGTAAATAAAGCATTTGGTGATTCTTGATTTCGAGTATACGCAGCCATCACAGATGAATCATTCACAGCATGTACCAATCGACTTAAGTCCCAAATATGAACTTTACCAGTATCAGACCATGTCGCTGCTATTTTACGATCATTGATCATTGTTGACTAAAACAGCAAGCAAAGTGATAGAACGAGAGATTTTCGAACAATTTATTTACTCGTATTCGATTAACGCCACCAAAATGTTTCAATGAAACTGATTCGAACTCTGGTTTAGCATCTTCTTCATCATCATCATCATCATCTTCATCTGATTCAGCGTCGGACGATGTTTCCTGAAGGTCAAAATCATTCTCGTAATTGCCGTGCAATATCATCAACATACTTTCAAAGTTTTCGTTAAATTCGACATTTTAACAACCATAACACTATTTCGATCAGACTTCTCTGCTTGTGTTCCGCAAACAATAAACACTGTATGTGGATATTGATTTCTATCTGTACCCAAGTTATCGGGTAAGATATCAAAGCTTAAACATGGATCTCCTGCAAGAATAAACTTGATAAACTTCCTCGTATTCTTTCCATACACATACTTGCCTGTTTGTGCTTCATGAAACATTTCATATGCGCTTTCTTCTCGAACAAGTTCTTCGTCTTCATCTAATGGATCACCTGGTAAATAGACTTGCTGTGTTGGTTGATCGGTTTGATCGTCAGCATCCATATCTTCATATTCATCATCCTCATGTTTTACCTCTTTGACCTTTTTTTCTAATTTCTTTTTCTTATTTTTTCCCTTGGTTTTAACCATTTTTCTCTGGTGATCTAAAAACAATATCCACGAGATATGTATGTATATATATATACGTATAGACAAATGCGTCCGAAGATTGAGACAAATCGACCAGAAAGAAATGAGTCTTTTTAAAGAAACGAAAGCCAGAATAAAAAAAAAGCACATACGACGAATACATAAAGTGCTACTAAAAAATAGTTATTATCGCTTTTAGGAAGTATAAATCTAGTCTTTCTTTGCCAATTGATCCTGTTCGATGTTAACAGCTGCTGATTCATGGCGATTTTCATTTTTTAGTTTTTGAAATGCATCATAAGCAGCTGCTTCTTTGGCTTCTTTCTTCTTATTGCGTTTCTCGTATGTCAAACTAAAACGAATACATAGTCGGTCAAAGAGAAAACATACGAAAGTTCATGCACAAACCGATTATCGATAATACGTGTAATAATATCTTGCGTTGTCAATGAATTTCCACTGTCGATTTGCTGGAATTTGCCGAGACCTTTAGGTACTTCATATGGATCACGCCCGTCGACATCTGAATCACAAGGCGTTTGACCATGTATAACAATGGAAACTTTGAAGTGATTCATTAATTCCATAGTGACTGAGTAAGGCGCACCGATGACCACTTCATCGACATACTTTGAAGACATTTGATAACGATGAAAGTCTTTGGAGGAGGCGCAATCGAACTTACCCGACATGCTAGTACACTTAGAACACGCTCGTGAATGTTCATAATCGGATGATTACTGCCTTTATATCGATTAACAACCTAATGAATCGAAAAATTTCATATTATTTGACCAATGATGAACTTCAACTAGATGATTTACTTTATCGGAATGTAAACCAACGATAAGATAATCGCCGTATGATTTGGCTTTTTCCAAGAAGTCAACATGACCAACATGGAATAAGTCGAAAGCACCAGCAGTATAAACTATTTTATCAGTAGCCTAAAAACAGGGAACATGACTCTATCTGGGAAATGGACAACTATGTACTTTAGCTTCTCGTCCGTTTGAAAATTGAATGATTTTATTGGTCGTTGCCAAAAATTGTGATGCGCCAGTCCATGGACTAACACTTTCTTTACATAAGCTCATACGTCGTGTGTTTTCCCGATCAGGTAACATATCATCAGGTTCATGATGTGATTTTGTCACCAATAACATTCTAAACAATTCACTTTGACATACAAACATGCATGCACAATCAATCAAGCGAGGTTAACCTTCCGACAAGATCCGTGGTTGATATTCCTTGTGTACGTTTACACTCTCGATATCGACCGGCTGTTTTGACAATATGATATGTATCGACACCATCAGCAGTTACCTAGAACACATCATTTGTGAAACAAATTTACCACACGACATCTCTTATCTACCGTGATATCATCTCCATGTACGCAGAATGCACAGTTGTATTCTTCTAACGTTTCAAGCGTTGTCACATACGGTGCATTTTCGACGACTTGATCAACCCATTTTATTGCACGGACCATTTTGTATCTCTCCTGTTCGTTGAATACTGGTGGACCTTTGTGCTTGGTAATTTCCTCTACATAAATCAAACAGTTTTCATTCAAACATTCGTTTCCTGAGAAAAAAAGAAACGCAACGAACCATCTGAGTGTACTCCAACGACTAAATATCCACCCATTTGTTTAGCTTGACGACAAGCATTCGCATGACCGAAATGAACCATATCGTAACTAAAATAGACATTGGAGCATGTTTGCCATCTACAAGTTCATCTTCAAAAGTATTTTACCATCCATCCATCCATACTCTAACATCTTGGTCAGGTTTCGCTTCGCCTGCGTATGATGTTCCCATATTTGTGTTGTGCGTATGTGTAAAAATCTAGAAAATGCGTAGCTAACACAATAATGAGAAACAAACAGGAAAAGATGAAATGGTACACAACATCGATCAATTATTGATCCGTCATTCTCCTTTCGAATGAAATCGTGATGTCCACATCAGTCTTAATGAATGATTTTGATGAAAAATAGATATTACACATTTTTCTTATTACTTATGCATATCATAGCTGACAGCCAACGACTAAAAACGAATAATAATAATATAATTACAGACTCTTGTGTGAGTCATCCGATAACCAATCGAGATTTATCTTGTCAATCGATTCGAAGACAGAAATATACCTTTTCCGGCTGACATCGGATTCGAAAAGTCGACGATGTTTTTTCATGGCTAGTCTAATTCTAATTATCGATTAGTTGCTACTTGAAAGTTCTATCCGAAAGGTGGCGCTGTGACACATGTGTTGAGTATAAACAAATATTCGATATTCAATCGATATTTTTCATAAAAACAAAACTTTTTCAATCGTGTAGGAATTTTCCAGTTCCTTAAAGAATGTTTTCATGAGATGAATAGAGACTAAGAAACGATTGGTCGATGATTCACATACGTATCACAATAAATAAATTACAAAAGGAAAAATGAACTTCGATTTCAGTATCTTCGATTCGAAATTTGATCTTGAGAAACAAAGCAAAAATTTGTTTTTTCCCAGATATTTGACGGCAGAATCTTCACTCATGATTCTTGTTCGATTTCTTCCTGGGAAATAGAAATGTTAAACTGTTGATGAACTTGAAATTTATTTCCATATATTTCGAGTTAGTGCAGTTTCGACAAAAGTATTTTTCTTTGAAGAATAACATACATTATCCGAGTGTATTTCGTTTCAGATCATGCCTGTTGAAGATTTATCTGACGAAGGTCTTCCGAAAGTGCCAAATCTCGATTTGGCTCAATTGAAATTTTTGATCACACTTCAGCCCAATGATAAATCCTTGAAGGAAAAGCTGTTAAGCGAAATTAAAGCGAATAATATGACACCATTCTACCTCGAATGCGTCAAAGATGGTCAATTATCTTCAGATGAAAAGTTAGTTCAAGCAATGCGCCAAGCCAATGACGAGAAATTGAAGGAATTAGATAGTAAAATCGAAGAGAACGAAAAAGCGTTCGGTGATAGTGAAATTCGGGAAAGTTTTCTTGCTAAATCTCAATATTTATGCTCGATTGCTGATCATGAACAAGCATTGACATGGTTGAGAAAAACCTACGACAAAACAGTTACCTTGGGTCATCGTTTGGATTTGATCTTTTATCAATTACGTTTAGGTTTATTCTACATGGATCAAGATTTAATCGAAAGAAATTTAGAGAAAGCCAAAACATTAGTTGATGAAGGCGGTGACTGGGATCGACGTAACCGAATGAAAGTTTATCAAGGTTTACGCGCGATGTCCATCCGTGATTTCAAATCTGCTGCAGAATTATTTCTCGATACCGTGGCCACATTCACATCCTATGAATTAATGGATTATCAAGCGTTTGTTACTTATACGGTCATCTGCGCTCTTGTCGCTTTAGAAAGGCCAAAATTACGAGAGAAAGGTATGGAACGCTTCTAGTTCAAAGAATTGGAGAATCGCAGACGAATAAAACATCAATAATCATTTTTGCATGAGAACATTCTCATTAAGAGAACTCAGCCGCGGGATGACGTCTTTGCTTTCTATTTTAGTTATTCGTGGAAGTGAAATATTAGAAATCCTCCATGGTTTACCGCTAATTAAAGAATACTTATTTTCACTTTACGAATGCCGCTATGCGGATTTCTTCCGTTGCTTAGCGACCATCGAAGAAAACTTATTAAGCAAGGATCGTTACTTTGCTCCGCATGCGTCGTACTATGTTCGAGAAATGCGCATCATTGCTTATAATCAATTGCTACAATCGTATTCGTCGTTAACCTTAAAAGGTATGGCGCAAGCGTTTGGCTGTTCGGAAAGTTTTCTCGACAAAGAATTATCCCGATTCATCGCCAGCGGTCGACTCAATTGTAAAATTGATAAAGTTCGAGGAATTATTGAAACGACCAGACCCGATTCAAAGAATTTCCTGTACCAAGAAGTGATCAAAAAGGGCGATTTGTTACTCAATCGAGTGCAAAAGTTAAGTCGAGTCATCAACATTTAATTGACATTTGCAAAGTTCTTTTTTTACCCTGTCGAAAGAGAAAAACAAACTGTGAATAAACAAGAATTTTAACGTTAATGTTGTAGCTCTGCTTTTTTTCTCTCTCTCTTTCGCTAAATCCTCTCTGTCATATCAATGACAATAACAATTTCGAATCGTGAATAAACTTTCGTTTACAAAGTAATAGGCAATACTTATACGATCGAGCGTACATTTCATTTGTAAAAATAATTGCTTTTGTCAGCTCGTATGATTCAACCGATATGTTATTTTTTTGTTTTGGTCCTCTATTCATAGACGAAACACTACAACTATCACCTAATCTATTCATAAGAATCAATAGGGTTGTTATTTTTGCATTCATTGATTCGAGAAAATAAGTATGATGAAAAAAAAAACCCCAATGATTTGTTGTTTTTTGTTTTTGTGATCGAACGAGGAAAATATGATAAAGATCAGGGTAGAGGAAACAAAATATTATTCACAGATTTAAATCTTTCCAGTTCCTGAATGCATTTTTAATTGAAGATCTTTGTATTAATAACAAATAGTGTTGTTGAGAATGGTAATTATGGTAATTTAACAGGAGAAAAATAGGGAAATGAAAACTTGTTATTAGAAGTTTTTTCGAGCAATATTAATTATACGCGACAATATCATTAAAGCTCACATCGTTGCGCAGAAGGAGGAAAAAAACAAGACTTGGTCTTGTTACACATTAGGAATTGATTTTCATTTCAACGTCTTCCCTGTATAAAAGCGAGAGGAGAACCAAGGGGAGGTGAATAGGGAAGAAACCCGCATGAAAAACATGTCACATATATCATGACTCTTGCTGCTGAGAATGACGAGCGCACCGACCCTTTTTCTTCAGAAAAAAACTCTATTCATCGTGTTACTTGTCATTACGAATACTCAACATCTCAGCGATGAGTAAGTATACTTATTAATTGTGTGTTGACAATTACAAGTAGGCTCTTCACGTTGCGTACATTGCCTGATAAATGAAATTTTCCTTTTGGCATTTTGTTTATCTGTACGTCGTTTTTTTTACCCTTACCAATAGACACATCTTCGACATACACATTATTATTACGCCCATCTGCGCTAAGTATTTCAAAGAAGAACTGTAGACCTTCTTTTTTATTTCACCAAATCGTCGAGCAACATACGGTTATCAGCTCGAGGGGAGCGAGCTATTTCCAAGGCTCACTCTGACGTCGATAGTTATGTTTTCTGAACAATTGACAATAAAGTAATTGTAATGACGTCAATGAGTATTGACTAATTTCTTTGTGTTTCTTTTTTGTTGTTGTTTTGCTTTCAATGAGTCGACATTTCTATTCAGTACAAAATATCTGTTGAGATTGCATGAGAAGGTTTTGATTATTTACACAATTAATTTGTTGATTATGTTTTCTGCGTCTAAGCCGATCACGGACTTTTCACTTTTAGCGGATATGTCTATATATATATACGCGGCGTTGATAATAACATCTTTGCACAAGACAGCTAAAGAGATATTTTCGTATTTTCATCAAAGTGCTCGAAAAACAATTAGTAGATTCAGCTGTTAAAACTGACACCGAGCAAATTATTATTCATCTTCTCCGTACACTTTCTGATTTCCTGGTGTCTATTGACGCATAGAAACTCTTCGTTTTTCCAGAGAACATTTGAGGGCTTTCCAGATTTTTCTCCTGTCGAGAACAGTATGCCGCAAATGAACGTTCTTTTTTTCTCGTAATTAATCGATTTGTTTAGTTTGCTTTCTCTTCAGTTCAAATGTCAGTCAGGTAAAGTATGCGACAAACTTTTGTCCCATAGATGAGTATAAATGTGTGCATATACACATGAGCAAGTTCAAATATTTCTTTTTTTCCCTCTCCCTTACTATGATCTATCACGTCGAGCAACTCTCCGATCTCTCCATTAGACACAAATATCGAGAAAATGAGAGGTAAGACGAAAAAAGAAGTGAGCTAAATAAATAATAATCTACGCCGTAAAAATAAGCGATAAAATTAGAAAATCTTCATAAATTATTGATAATTTCTTTTTCTGTCAGAGGAAACAGCTCAAAGAAACAATCACCGTTTCCTTTTCTTGCATCATTTTCAGTTCCGTACGAATATTCCTATATCAATATTAGTTATTAACAAGAAATGAAAGAGAAAATATTCTACTGCTACTACTACTAATAATAATAATAAAATCTCTTGAAACGACACGCGCTTAACACGATTGACGTCATAAATCTTCGATATAACACAATGACATGTGAGACAATCCGCAAGATATGCATGCGAACATTTCTCTCAATGCATATCGTCCCGGAGTACTCATTAGCTTCACAGAAAGAGAAGATTTCATTCACGTAGATCGTATCATGAAATTTCCTTTATCGCAGAAAGAGATCAAGAAGTCGTTGTTCACTTTTATTCAATTAGTCAAACAGAAGGTAGTGACGTCAAATATACATTGAAATGTCCCATTCCTTCTTTCTCCCAACACTGATTCATTTCGTCGTCGTACTGACGAAACAGCTAACAATTGAAATATAAATGTGAATTAGATGCCGTCTATTAATGAGTAATATTACCGACCTTAGCTGAATATAAATAGTTTGATGCTTGATGTTTTCTACGCTTGCTGTTTTTTTCCTTCTCTTTACTTTTTTTTTCAAAGGTGAAATTGACGTCAGCAAACGACTTTATGAATAGATTAATATTTTTCTTCTATTCTGCATAAAGATTTCATTTTCTCCTCCAGCGTTTGGGTATGTATGGCGGAGAACGTGCCTGACACTCTTGTCGATGAATATTTACAGAGCTCTTTCTCACATCGTTTCATTACTATCTTGGTTGACACATGTCTTCCCGAGGAGAATAAAGAGAAGATCATAACATGTCTTAGTAATTTTAGATTAGAAAAACAAATCTTTCGTTTTTATACAAATGGCGTTCAAATGTCAAATCGTTCCTGAACTCGCCGCCGCTGTTCACGGCGTCACTGAAGATATTCCCGAAAGTCCATCGCCGAAACTGTCTCGTAGTCGATTGGCGTCATCGGTGTCCTCGACAAGTTCATCAAACAACTTCCATTTACGTTTGTCACCAAGTCATTCACGACGAATCTCTCAAGTCAATGCTCGCAAAGCATTTACTTATTTTGACAAGAATCGTGATGGAAAACTAAGCATCAAAGAATTTCAATCTGTTATGCATGATTTAGGTTATAAAGCTGTTGACAAACGTTTCATCCGGCAGATGTTCGCCGAAGCAAACCGAAGTGGCAATTCACATGTCTTGAGTTATAATGACTTTGTTCAATTTCTTGAATCAAAATTAGCTATCAACACCAATGATCATCTAACATTAACCGAAGATTTCGATGTTTTATCAGTACCGAAGATGGAATTCGATGTGGAAACCTTATTCAATTGTTATGATTTGGATAAGAATGGTTTCATCGAGCCGAAAGAATTACGCAAAGTTATGAAACGATTAACTGGAGAGAAATTATCCAAACGCGACATCGAGGAAATGATCAGCGTTGCTGACAGAAACGGTGATGGACTCTTAGATAAAAGTGAATTCGCACTTTTATGCAGTGCATTTTAATTAAGCAAACTTACAAGACTTTTATTTGTATTTACTTATACTTTCTTGGCATTATGACAGATATAGTAAATGTATAGTATCTGCTGATTGCGTGTTTCTTGTCTTTGTCAACATGACGAGTCTTTTCATAGCGTAGTTAAAACAAATTGTTTTAACATGTCGGATGTAATCCATCCTTTGTATGATTTCCTTCCTATTAATTAATCTCCATATTGCGAATAGAATTGTTTTTTTATTTCGTCTGCATTTTGTTCACGTTTGTCAATGTTTATAAGTCTGTTTGTTTTTTTTTCTGTAATTTATTAAGACTACTACAGAAGGAAACTACAAAAGCGCAAAAAGATTATCAATCATGGGAGTATGTTCTCATTGTTCTTCATCGTCATCTTCGAGCTAGTCTACTGTTGAGAGATTTTAGAGCGGAATATTTGCATGTTTCTTCTTGGGATTCTTCAATTTTTTGTTAGTTAAGAGTCCTAAATCGCGGCAAATACGTTGACGAGTTGTGTTTGGCTCAATAATGTCGTCGACGAAGCCTCGAACGGCAGCCGGGAATGGATTGGCGAATTTATCAACATATTCAGCTTCGCGTTGCTTTACATCATCGCCATGATTTCCACGGAATATGATTTTTACGGCACCTTGAGCACCCATGACGGCAACCTAGAGAATAGCAGAGTAAGAACATGAGAACTAGGAAAAAGTTATTCTTCTCAATTATACTTCAGCAGTTGGCCACGCATAATTCATATCACCGCGAAGATGTTTTGATGACATGACGTCATACGCTCCACCGTACGCTTTACGAGTAATGACAGTGATCTTGGGCACAGTTGCTTCGGCGTAAGCAAACAAAAGTTTAGCTCCATGTCGAATGATTCCGTTGTGTTCTTGAGCGGTGCCCGGTAAAAATCCTGGAAAAGATTTGTTCTGTTGAGTTGTCGATGGATTTTGTTCTGCAAATAGTCTTACCCGGTACGTCAACAAAAGTTATGATTGGAATATGGAACGCATCGCAGAATCGAACGAAACGAGCTCCTTTGACTGAAGAGTTGATATCTAAGCAACCGGCTGCTACCTTAGGTTGATTGGCAACAATACCAACAGTTTGACCATTCATGCGTGCAAATCCTTGAATGCACAAAAAAGAGCATATTTAAGCTGATTTGTCTCGTGTTTACCAATGATTATATTCTTGGCAAATTCAGGCATGATTTCAAAGAAATCTTCTTCGTCAATAACAGCATTAATCTATGGTAGAAAAAGGAAGACAATCAAAAGCGGATCGTCGTATATTTTTCTACGCATGATTACTTACAACTTCTTTCATATCGTAGGCGGCGGTTGTTTCCAATGGTACAACTGTATCTAATGAATAAGCGATTCGATTTGGACTATCATCCGATTGACGAATGACAGGTGCATGGTCTCGATTCGATAAAGGCAAGAAATTGAACAGTTCCCGCGTACGTAACAATGTATCGATATCGTTGTCGTAGGCACCATGTGCTACTCCACTTTTCACCATGTGGGGATCAGCTCCACCTAATTCATCCTGTGTTACAGTCTCGTTGGTTACAGATTGTACCACATCAGGACCAGTGATAAATAGATACGATGTTTGACGCACCATAAAAATAAAGTCGGTCAAGGCAGGAGAGTAAACAGCACCGCCTGCGCAAGGTCCCTACAGATGAGTAAAAAAACATGATACATTATGTAAATGGTACGGATTAGAAGAAATTCAATATGGTATTATATCCAGGGGGCCGAGCCGAAGGAATAGAAGAAGTAGAATCAGTTGTTTTTCATCTACAATATCATGCTAATAAGATTAAGCTCAAAGCAAAGGCAAGTTCGATTGCACCCGCGACCTTATAACCAACTGTTTGACGAGTATGATTGAATCAAGCATTTTTTGGTTTACCTTACCATGATTAGTGAAAGTTGTGGAATAACACCACTGGCCATGACATTTCGTTGAAAAATATCTGCATAACCAGCAAGCGATTCAACACCTTCTTGAATTCGAGCACCACCACTATCATTCAAGCCAATTACTGGAGCGCCAACCAGCATGGCTTGATCCATGATTTTGCATACTTTAGCTGCATGAACACTGGATAAACTTCCACCGAAAACAGTAAAATCTTGTGAAAAGATGTAAACTGGTCGACCATTGATTAAACCAGAACCGGTTATAACGGAATCACCATAATATTTCTCCTTTTCCATGCCGAAGTCTGAGCAACGATGTTGCATAAACATATCATACTCGCGAAATGAACCTTCATCCAATAAAACTTCGATTCTTTCACGTGCAGTTAATTTGCCTGAAATCAAACCAAGATAGTTGGACGAAATTTCACCGCTGAAATCTTTTTACCTTTTTTATGTTGAGAATCAATACGTTTTTGTCCTCCACCGAGCAAAGCTAATTGCCCGACACGTTTAACTTCTTCTTTTACTTTCAATGTATTCGAACTACCCGCTGTTAACAGTCGAACTTGGTTATAGCCATTAGCGAGCACGCGTAGACCTGATAAACTGCGAAGCATTTCTTCTAAAAGTACAAAAATGGATTCATATTGAATCAATGAGAAAGTGAACATGTAGAAAATTTTATTCAGATGGATAAGAATATAAAAATAAGAGATTCGTATCTGTCGGCTCCATGTTACTATGCACAAAAGCTAGAAAATAAACAGCAAAGATGGTTATACAATTGACAGAATGAATATGACTTACCAATTCTTCGGAACGTCTGAAATACAATTAACACTGCATTTATTATTTACGCAAAAGTAGTACATCGAACGAATGCGATTAAAATAATATATATATATATAAACAAATAATCTAATATGATTCAAGCTATTGAGAAGATTCGTCATTATTGGGATTATTATCTGAGATTGTCGGAGTAGCGGCAGTTGCTGCTGCCGCTCGTAATTGATCAAGACGTATAACTGAATTATAACGTGGAATATTTCGTTTCAAAATATCTTGGATTGGGCCGAGTACACGTTCGAAGCGCGCGCGATCCATTTTCACACATTTTAGAGTACCCTTAGCAACCACTGTAGCAACACGCGGACGATTGCAAAGCAATGCGATTTCACCAAAATAATTTCCGGGACCAAGTGTGTCAACTTCAACAGCTTGAGGTGATTCCGATGTCTTTTGATAGACAATACCGTTTCCCTGAAATGAATGCATTTTAAATAGTACTCAGGAGGAAAAATTTACTTCAACAATGATAAAAAAGTCATCACCAGGATCACCCTGTTTGACCACAATGTCGCCATCTTCAAACTGAATGGGTTCGAGTGAGTCAGCTACAGTTAAACGTTCCCATTCGTCCAATGTTTCTAATGAATGTTACAATAGCGTTGATATCTTATTCGATAGCCATCTTACCTAGTATTGAAACTTTACTGAGAAATTCTTCGTACATCTTCCGTTTTTTTAAAGTGGAATCCATCAATATCCTTCGATATGTTTCTCCCAGTAGAGACCAAAGTTTAACATCTGTTTTGGCTTTCACTGTTGCTGCGCGCGGTGTACCATAGATAAGAGCGAGTTCACCAAAACTTGAACATTCTCCAATACTCGTCACTAATTCGTCATTAATATAAACCTAAAATAATAAAACTAGGTCATAACGATTGACGACAGAAACTTTCACCTACATTGACTTCACCTTTATCAATAATGTAGAAATTTTCACCTTTTTCACCCTGTTGAATGATCGTGTCACCAGCGAGATGAATTTCTGGAAACATGGCGTCGAATATTTGTGCACGTTCATTTTCATCTAGATGACTAATGAATACAAGATACAGAATAAGCCACTGTTTCCCCACTGATCATGTGGATACCTGAATAGAATATTCTTTTTAATTGCTTCCGATAGAGCGCACATCGTAGCGTAATCTTTCTGTACAACTTCTCGAACAAATGAAATCGCACCATGTATGCCTGATGAAGATTTCGATGAAACAGCTCCACGACGTTTTTTCACTAGTAACGGATATTGAATTTGATTCCCATCGATCGTCGATGGATCCTAGAATTCACAAGTCTACGTTAGGACTACAGCGAGAAGCACGTACGCATGCCTAACCTGATCATACTGTTCGCCGGAAAAATATTGTTTTAAAAATTGAACGGGATTCTCTGGTTGCTGAATGCACAAACTATGTAAACATTGTTTGACTAAATTCATAATATCATTATCATTTATGTAATCTTCACATTGCCGTAATAACAATTCGACATCGGTCGACGATGAAGTCATATCTGAAACAATTGAATATTTTTCTCATCAAATCTTAAAATACACAGAAATGCTTATAGAAAGACATTTATGTCAATTATCGGTTCGATAACAAGACAACGGAAACTAGTTGCGAAGCTCTATCGTCGATGGTGACGATGATCAAGCGGAGAAGAACGACGATGTTTATAATGAGAATGATGAGCAGGTTTTTCACTAGAAAAATCAGTTCTTAATGTACAGTTCAAAGGTAGTCTGTCAACCAACCGCGAAGAATGATGACGATGAGACGACGGTGAGGGTGAGTGACGTCGATTCTATTGTAGAAAAATTCGACTACGATTACCTGGAGATAAACACATCATTACTCGTTTCCGACTCGAATTTTCTTGCTTTTGTGAACTTTCTGTTCGCTCTTTGTCAAGCGCTTCAGACTTACGTTTCTACAATGAAATGAAACATGTAACTTTAGATCCGTATCATATTTCAATGACATTGATAAACTTGATAAAATGCATACATTAAAGATTAACTCACAGCGATTGCTTCAAGTGTTGCTCTGATTTTTGCATAACCAGCATGCTGTTTGCCACTGTTGTGCTCATCTACACGGCTTTGAATATCTCCAATAACCAGAAATGAACCACAAACGTTACAGACTTCCATCGGTTTGTTTGATTCTGTTCTGGCAATTTCTTCGTTTAATTGCTAGAAGAAATTTGAATCTTTAGTTTGCTTAAGAACAAATTTATTTATGTCAATCTACCAATTCTAAACTGTTCTTTTGTTCTCGTAGTTCTTCACATTGACTTAGCACGTGTTGTGCTTCATCGATCTGACAAGCATTACCAAGTTCTTCGGATTTTAACACGTAAGATGTGATTTCATCGCTGATTTCTTTGATTTTACTGATCAGCTCGTTCTAAATATGAAAATAGTTGATTGGTAAACATGCGAAGGAAAAAGATCTCTTTTTTTTTATTCACTCGGAAACGTAATGGATCGTTCTCACTATTTGGTTCGCCTTGAGTTAAACGTAAACGTTCTTGTCCTCGTTTGATACGTCGTTCTACATCAGCAATCAACGATTGAAGATAGTTTTCTGAAAAGACAACGCGACATTGAGGAAGCCGAACACAATCTTTTCTTTTAATACCAAATTCTTCTTCATAACCAAGTTTCCGATAACGTGAACTTGACTGATATCTAGAAAACATAATTCTTGCCAGTGATTTATAGAGAACACCATTTTTCAATGAATACTCTTTCTGCAGATGAGATTCATGACTTTTATCACAGAAGCCTAGAAAATAAATTTGTGATGAGTATTGACTTATAAATAGCTTAGTCGATAGTTACCGAGATTTTGTCGAGTATTAATAAATAATTCATGTGGACAGTAATCAACAAGCATCAGTTTACAAACCTGAAAGAATACATACGCTTGTGAGAGGAAAGGAAACAAACAAGAAATGGGTACATCGGGGTCATCAAAGCGACTTCTTTGAATATGCTCGCCTTTTCCTGCGTTTCGTCCTTTACCCATCAATTCGTCTAATAATGATTGCTGTGCAGCTAAAGCCATCAATGAACTATATGTTTCAGGAGCAACACCTTCAGAATGTACCGAATTAATTTCAATCGAGTATTACTACTATTTTCCTGTTCCTTCACGAGGACAACGAAAACTTTGGATGGTTGAATAAGTTTTTCATCCATCCATCGACAGCCATCCGTTGAGAAGAGCAAATCAACAACTTCCTGCAGATGGCGTCTATCTATAGAAAGCAGAACAAGGTTATAGTCTATACGTTTCAATCTTTCGTTATAACTGAACATTACGTTTGCTCCTAATCCGACGGTAGTACTAAGATGGAACAAGGTCTGAACATCATCGATCGTTTTGTAGTTGATGGCACAATAAAAATTCTTAATTGCTTCTCTCATTGTTCATCGAAATCATCTGTAATACAATGAATGTTTTCTATCCATCTTCACCAAGGAAATGTTTATAAAACAAGCTACAAGACTGAGACTGCAAGGTAGAGAGCAGTTACTAGACATTTTGGATTTGTTTCATCTGAACAGCTCATTGAATGAGTCAAAAATTGAACAAATCATGCTCGTTATTTGATTCGATCTTCATCTTTATCATCCTTCTGTCTGTCTGTCTGTCTGTCCTGCTAGAAAATGATATGAATCATCACCAAATTGAACACGTGGAAACACAACGAAAAAAAGAACTAACAGCTAACGTTTCTATATGAAAATTTGGACGAGAAGAATCAGATAAAGCGTTTTGAACATCTTGGTAAATGGAATTGTTATCTCAATCATCATCCGAGATCGAGCAATCGTCTATTCACAGTTTGTATTTCACCCTAAAACTGTTGAGTCGTTCATCTAAATTCTATTGTAGTCACGCCGTCGAACGCTGGCTATTCAACACCACCTCGAACAGCGACCTATGATCGAGGTGTATCAGCTAGTCCTTGTCTTTCTCAACTTTTTCATCAACCCAAACTTTTAACAAGCGCTGAACTTAAACGACGCTTTCCACCGATTCATATCGCGAACAAGAAACGTCGATACCATCTTATTCGAAAAATTGATTGTCTCGTACCATTAGAACGAAATCTTAATGTGCCTGAAATCCTACCAGACTTATTCGATAGTCACACTTGCGAATTATCTCCAACGTATCCTAGTATACACGATGATTGTATGGTTCCATTATCTTCATCAATGGCATCACCATCATTGTCATCGTTCAAAATCGTTCATCCACGTCCAAATTTCAATTACTTAATAGCGAATTGTTTTAAAACAGAGCAAGAGAACTCATTTTCGATCTCGGAAACGATGATGAAACAAAAATTCAAGTTTTTATTGCAAAAAAACTAAGTGATTATTATGATTTCTTATGGTAGATATCTCCTAGTTGATTTTCTGCATGTGTGCGTTTGTTGTTCTATTAGATTTGTCACTTCTTTTTTTTGTCATGTTTATATTTCTATAAGAAAAAGCAAAAAACTGATTGATTACAGTCATTCATTATTTCGTATTCAGTGAAAACTTCTTGGCAATAATTGAAAGTATCGAAAAGATAAAACGAAGTGGAATCAAAATCATTCGGTGAATTCGGACGGACCGGAAAAAGATCATTTTGATGATTAATCCAACAGCCGTGTACCATAATAAATTTTGTATACGTTTCAATCTAAATACATCAAATAAATCGGCGCAATTCCCATACTACGATCGCCTACCGCTGATTTCGTTGACGACATTTCGACATATGAGCCAGATCTTCTCGAAGCAGGTATTGTTTCGCACCCAGACAATAGTTGTACCAATACTGAGTCCAATCGAGATCTTTTACATCAAAATTGAAGGTCTATACGAAAACCATCCATTGATGATTATCCTTTCACTGCAAACACTTTGCTCACCTTTTGGTCAGTGTCAGTCATTTCATTTCGGAGACTAATACTATTATCCAATGGAAATGTCCACGATCGCATTGTAAAGAAATTCAACGTTCGTACGCTTTTATAGATTTTATCGCATAATCTCAAGAAACTAAAAGACGAAATTCTAGCAGAAAGAATATCACGCAGTCTCTTACATTGGTTTTCGACCAATTAATCGCATGTAACAGTCGAGTAAAAATGCTGGAAATACTTCTTGAGAAAAGCGTTGATAATGGTAACGAAATCTACGAGAAGAAAAGTAATGAGCTGTTCAGTCCGACGGAAGTTCTTCGTACCGATTAGGAGTCAATGTTAAATGTGGAAATGTAATTGCATTCTCCATACATATGGTATCAAGATGACGTAGACCAATTTTCGTTATGTTACTCCATGTTAATGAACCCAAATGACCAGTACAGCAGTGATATACTGGAATAGTTTTCGAACTAACAAAAATCAGGTTTTCATCAAAGTCGTCCGATAAAATTTCAAATGTTGTTGGTTAATAACACACGCATTAGATATGAAGTAGGATTCGGTGCGCAAACAATCCGTATTTACTTTTTTATTGCGGTATACCAACCGACAGCTATCATCATGTTTACACAAACATCGACAGGAACGATATCTGCTATAGATGACAAACTTCCTAACATTGTTCGAAGCATACCTTTGCTAGTCTAAATGAAAAATCAAGGATAGTTTCATTCATTCTGAATAGTTCGGTACATACTGCAACAATCATTCCGCTTGGACCGTTATAATTATCAATCCAACCCTGAAAATAACAAGCACAACGTTTGCTACTCAGAAAAGTCTTTAACAGAATTCTACCGGCATCGGTTCGCGCCATGATGATCCAACAATTGATGGACGTATAATAGCCAACGGTAAATCATTACCTTCTTGAGATATGACATATTCAGCAAGTGCTTTCGTGAATGTATATGTATTCGGTCGATCATTAATGAGCTTCGTAGTTAGAACATCGAAAACTTGATCATCCATCCATTCACTAGCATCTAATAGTTTCGATGGTTGAATCGGTGGTGGGTATACCATTTCGGCTATATCATTACGATTGCAATTAGCATAAGCTGTCGACACGTGAACGACTGACTAAACAAAACAAAACGAAGTCTTTTCCTTAAGTATACATCGAAAGTTTACTTGTAGTTTTTTCATTTTATGACATAAAACAAGCAATTTCTTCACTGATGCAACATTCATTTGAATCGCCAGGCTAAATGAAAGAAAAGCAATGTGGCTCATCAATAATGAATGCTGGTGTATAAAATACCGAAGCGGTTCATGAAAACGGACAGTTGCAGCTGAATGGAAGACAATATGACAATTTTCAATCAGTGTACTTTCGTCCGATGCATTTAAACCAAAATTTGGATCGAGTATATCACCCTGCACAGCGATAATTTTTTGTTCGAAATTCGGATTTGTCGATCGCACAAGATCAAATAACTACAGATAATCGTATAAGTGCGACAAAGATTGATGGTACTGGTTTGCTTACCGTGCTCGACAGTAATTCTCTGAGACGATCAGCGACATCGTGGCCTCGCTTTGGTCTTATGAGAAGGTAAATATGTTCGACATCTTAATTGGCCGAAATATTCAATGACAAAGCGAATACAAATAATTCTCACCTGGACATGATCGAACTAGTTTTTCGACCAATTGTTTTCCAATGAAGCCAGTTGCACCAGTGATAAACACTGATTTGTTTTTGTAAAAATCAGCAATCTCACTTGTTTCTGTGCTTGCTGACATGCTATGTCTATCTGNCACAAATGCGAAGCATGATGCACTAGCGACCCAGACGTCGAGAATCGTACCAAATCGTTGAAATAGTTTACGTATTTCACTGACATCGACACCAGGAGCTAGTTCGGCAACATGTACACGAAATTCGTTCGGTCGTTCACTACTATTTTCACGGTCGGAGCGAGGCGAACGAGAGCGTCGCGAGGCAGAGGATGATGCGCTTCTTGATCGTGGCATTTCTTTCTCAGAATAAACGTAAGCAAAATACTGAAATGAATGTAGAGTTATTGATAAGAGATTTAATTTAGATATCGAACAGAGGCAAGGAAAACAAATAGCCAGAGTCGAATGAATAGATGTAGACAGAAAGAAAGAGAGAGAGAGAGAGAAAACGTTCATATACAATATAACCTTGAAATAGAAATGAGTAACAAGAAAGAGTTAACACGTTTATCTATATATGACAAATGTTTGAAGAAAAAATAACAAACTTTTATTATTATTCTCCGTAGATAGCATTTACTTGGGAAAGTCATGTTCGCGGTGGGCTAAATAAATGAGAATATTATATAGATTTGTATGGAATCTGCTGGGAAGCCAGTAGAATGCAAAATTAAACTGGTTTTTTTCCAAAAGAACCTACGCACTTCAAGGTCGACTCAGATATTTAAGCACTATTTCTTCTCAGAAAAAACTACTGATCTTCTATTAATTATCTTATTTACCTTGTGTAATAGCCATGTCCATTCGCACGACTTTCGTAATTAGACGATGGCGATGTTCGCCTAGGACTAATGGGTAAACAAAAACACAAATAATTTGCTGTCGTAATTCTGTCAAGTGGAAATTACCTATATCGACGAGTATCACGAAGAGTTCGCGAGCTGCAAGAGAGAGAGAGTAAGAAGATAGAAGAGGAACATGAAGTCTACGCTGTTAGCATACCGAGATCGTGAGTAAGATCGTTCGCGTCGACGGTCATGTGAACGAGATCTAGACAAATAACATGTAAACATAATTACGTTTGAAAGTTATCAAAAGGATAGAATAAGCGAATAATCAAGCGAGAATTTACCTTGGTCGTCTCTGAAATGTCGATACTTTCAAGTAATTCTCGTAGTCAGGAACATACTGCTAATCCTAATGTGATATCATTCAGGTCTCTAGTCTTTTAAATCTTCAGAATCTATCGAAATAGATGCTTACCGATAATTATGACCTGTACTTTTGTGTTTACGTTGATCATTACCACAGTCTCGACTAAAATGACCTCGCGATCCACATTGATAACATCGCCTAGAAAGAATAATTCAATCATTCCAGTTTTATCCTTTCTACATACATATTTGGATCGAAATTTCTTCCCGTATGGCCACGAGTGCGTGGTCGAGCTAAGGACACTCGAACACGTGCGTCCCCAATGCATCTAAAACAACGCAAGATAACTTTGTCGGATGCATAAAATCATTTTCTTCTACCGGCCGTCAAGTTCGCTGATGGCTTGTTGCCCATCTTGGCGATGACGCAGTACAACAAAAGCAAAACACGAAGCTTGTGCATGCCAGACCTCAATAATTGACCATTTATTAAACGCTTTTTCTATGTCACGTTTTGTGCAGTTCGACGAAAGATCAGCTACATGAATACGACAACCATTTTCACCATCGTCATTTGTATGATTGTAGGGTGAATACGAACGATCGCGTCGATAAGATGATGTCATCGTCGGTGAACGTGAACGAGAGTGAAGTGTAGTGAAGTAAAATTCTACAAGAATGTAAAAAAAAGTTTACACTATGAAATAAAGAACAAAATAGTCAATAAAAATTTTACATCTGAAATTTTTATTATTGGAAGTTTATTTTATTTCTCAAATAATCAATCTGATGAAAACATGAACACATTTCATTTTGAATTTCATTTCAATAAACATTTTTTTGAATTATTTGTTTTCAACTCAATAGATGCCGCTGATCTTCGTGGATACGGTTATAAAACTTCCTGGTTGTATAATATTTAATATCAATAACATGATTATTAGTCACTTACGTCATCGTGTCAATCTAGGCTCATAGAACATAAATGCACTTATAATTTACTAACAGAATCACATATTTGGTTGATAAGATTATAATCATTGCAGTATCTAAAACTTTCCTTCAACACTCGACAATCTCTCGTATGTGCGATTTGTAACAAAGATACGCAGTATTCCGGATAGTTACTATTGGATATCGTGAAATATTTCGCTTACCTTCGTATGCAATAGACAGAAAGACAAACAAATATCTTCATAAGAATATTCTTTTATTTCTTCCTGTAGAGTATATACCATTATTGCACGATGGAAGATAATAACAGTTTACTCGGTATTTCGCCTAGATTTCTGACTACATTACTGTTTGAATCGACCAGCATATTTGTTTACCGAATGTTAGCAGAGATTTGAAAGCGAAAATTCGACAACAATATTCAAATTCTTTACGATTAAACAATGCAACTGACGATAGTGTTATAGATATTGATCAACGGATGTTAAAGGAATTATACGAAGAGGTTTACGGTATGAACTACATTCATGCTAATCCAAAAAAAAGAATATTTTTCATTTTATCTGATTCCAATGTCGAAAACAGTTGTACCGCATTTAGTTGATCTGTTTAAATACATGGAATTCATATATTCTGTGGAAATATATCTGTACACACATATTGGGTAGGTGATGATGATGAAAGAATGTTAGAAATGTTTGAACATCACGATGATTTGTTACAACGTTTAACTCGACTTATATTGCTGATTATCTTGAACAAAAAGGTCATTCATACAGATAACATTTTGAATTTTTGAGGACACGAAATTGTTCTGCGTGTGGGCGAAAAAATGGCTTCATCGCGGGCAAAGCTTAGATATTAAGTGGTTGACAAAAACAGTCCAGCGAGTTAGAGGAAAATAGCAATATTCGCAATCATTTAAATGCAAAGAGTGAAGACTTAACTCAAACAATGACTCAGCCACGCATTTTCGATATTCTTTTCACTCAAATAAATAACATCGACTATTTTTACGTTGAATTATATTATGACTAGTTTATGCTTTGTATTTTTTTGCTATTGGTTTGTAAGAAAAACAGAGTCATGCACGTATTTGCGTTCTTTCAACGGGTAACTTGGTTTTTTCCTAGTGAGCTGATGCATCGACCAATGACAAGTGACTCGCCCATGTTTCTGTCAATAAAAGATTTCGATGAAAAAAAAATAAAAAGAGTTTCTTTCATTTTACCTTCTAGACTATAGCGAATAATGGCTGATCAACCACCTCAACCTCCACGACCACATGGTCCTCGACTCAGCCATTTGCATTCGGAACCTGTGCCGATGTCATTCGCATCTCCGCAACAATTAGCGTATTTAGCAGCTGGAGGTAGTTTATTTCCTCAACAGCCGATGCACACGATGCATCAACCACGTATGCCAAGAATGACTGCTCCACATCACATGAACATGGGACATCATCCAGTGCACCGAATGCAAACTTCGCCGGGCACAATGACGACGAATAACACGATATTCACTCCTGCTGCTGTGCCACAAACAACATCAGTAGCAGCAGCTGTTGCTAATGGCCAATCATTCAAGTCATTACCTCCGCAAGAGATTGATCTGACTCAATTTACTGGTTTTAAATTCGTCACGTTAGATGGTTTACAAGAAGAAACACGAGGTGTTTATTATAAAATTAGTAATGCCCTTCATTGGGAGATGTGCGATGGTCAAGAAAGTTCATGTCTCGACACTATTCAGAACAAATCTAAAGATAAACGAGTGTTTCTCGTCACATCGGGCTCATTGGGAGCTAAGCTTGTACCACAAATCCATGAACTACCTCAGGTCTACGCCATATATGTTTACTGTGCAGATGTCAAACGTCATAAAGAATGGGCGAAGAATTTCTCGAAAATACGCGTTGTCTGCAACGATGATGATCGAGAACTTTTACCACAGTTCGCCGTTGACGTCGCTCGAGCGAATGTCGATTGGGGTGACGCTCTGCTCAAAGCTGGTACGCGTGATAAAGCGCAAGAAAAGTATCAGTTAGCATTAAATAAGCTAGCTGAATACTCGCCGAATCATGATCCGGCAATGGATGTTGAGATCAAAGGAAAATTAGAGCAGTGCAAATAGAAAATTTCTGATTGAAAATTTTTATACAAATACATTCATCGGCGACATTGACAAACAGCTGTTTTTCATAAGCTCGTAAGAAGCGATGTCGATCAATTTTCGTTTTTTGTTCCAAATAATAGAAAAAGAAAAGCGTGTTTATTTTTCCTTTGTTTATGTCGTCATCTGTATGCTCGTATGAAATGAAATATTTATAATGGAACACGAGCTCATCATCATATACATAAGTACATGTAAAACCGAGACAGAAATAAAGTCAGACACACACACACATACGTATCACTGCCGTTTGAAGTTCTCGAAAGAAAGAAAAATGAAGAAGAAGAAGAAGATAAAACCGATTGACAGGCAAATACAAACAAACGGCTCAAGATAGATAGAAGCCAACCGAAGAGAAAAAAACTTCATACATATGTATGTGCAAATGGAGAAAAGGAATAGGAAAAAAAAGAGAAACAAATGTTCTATGTTCTGTGAGATCATCGTTGTAGAAGGGATGTTGACAGTTCTGGTTTGTATGGTTTTTTTTCTCGAAACAATCAATGAACAAACAACAGATAACAATAAAATACGAGGAGAAAAATCAAACAAGGAGGAGTATTTTGTTTTTGTATGTATGAACAGGAAAGAAAGAATGAAGAAAGGAAAGAGAAAGGATGTAAAAAAAGTTGAATGAAAAAAAAATACCAGATTGATCTAATGGTAGTTGAAGTTCGTTCGATTCTATTTGCGCAGATCAAGTACGCACACCTTGAAATACGAAGAAAACGATCGTTACTCGAAAACATGTTCAGTGGTACTTACTGTTCCATCTGATGCACTCGCGCCTACTCGTGTGCCTCGACTGTTCCAACAAACTTCAAAAATACCACCAGTTCCTCGGTAACTGTGTACAATTTCACCTCTCTACATACACATTTCGTTAATTTCAATCACAGAAAAGGTCAACAAACTCACGGCTATATCCCATATATAAATAGCTTTATCAAATGAACCAGTGGCAAGTAATCGACCATCAGGACTGAATGAGACGGAATAGACAGGTTCTGAATGTTTCACGAGTGTACTCTGGCAAGTGCCGCGTTCCACATCCCATAAACGTACTGTTGAATCGAATGATGCACTAGAAGACAAGTACACGTTTCATTCCATAAAAACAATTCACACAGTAGTGATTTACCTAGCAAGAAGTAGATTAGCATTTGGATTCATAGTTCCAGGACCAGTCGGACTCCATTTAATTGTATAGATTTCTTTATTATGTGCTTGTAAATTATGAACAGGTGTATCTTTTGTCATATTCCAGATCTAAAATCAAGATCGACTATGACTAAAAGCTTTCGTAAAACGCTGTCCTACTTTTAGACTCATATCATCTGAACATGAAGCAAGTAATCGTCCTTGGGGATCCCATTTAATTGCATTGACTTCATTTTGATGTCCGTGGAATGTTTTCACAGGTTTTTGTTCACCTAATCGACATACATGAATCTTTTGATCAGTTGAACATGATGCAAATGTGATATCCGATTGCCAATCGACATCGAGTGCAGGTGCTGTATGAAAAGCAAACTGTTGTTCGCAGTGCCCAGAGTTAGCATCCCAAATAATGGTCGTACGATCGACACCGGCTGATAGAATATAGTTGCCTTTCTTGTTCCATTTCAAGGCAAAAATTGGACCTTTGTGTTGACCAAGTGTACTAGCTAGATTACCATCAGATGACCATATCCGAGCGTAACCATCATAACTGCCGGTCGCCAGTTGAGTGCCCGATGGCTAAAAATCAAAATCGACAAATTCGGTTCAGAGTCACTCGAATGATTGCTTTTTTTCCTGATACTTACATTCCAATCGAGACTGGTCACATCTTTATTGCTTGGCACCTGGGTATCGCCTCGTCGAATGCAATGTCTTAGAACCATTTCCGGCTCGCGTGTACCTTGTAGATTCCAGATACGAGCTGTTGAATCTCCTGAACCGGATGCTAGTAGATCATGAGTGGGATTCCATGCGCATATGAACACTTCCGATTCATGACCACGTAAAACCGTCACACGATTCGGTGGAATTTCAACGGAACCATTCACCACCGTATTGTTAGTGTTACTCAATGAGCCCGGCAGTGTAGGCAAAGAATTCGATGTCGAATTTCCTGAATAATGAGAATGATGATGAATATTACTCATAGTTTCGTAATCCATCGGCTCATGTTTCGGTACTAGAAATCACAAAAAATCAAAGGCGACAATATGAATGAAAAACGAGTTTTTTCGCATACTGGCAATATGATTTGTACTATTAGAATAAGACGAATGAGAACTGTTATCATTTCCATTGGGGATGGCAGGATAATTTCCCGTGCTTGTTGACGATTGATGGGTGTTCGTATGAGAAGAGGACGAAGGCGGATGAGTATGAGAATAATGCGAATGAGTACTGGCAGGCGAGTGTGAATGTCCTGGTAATGATGCATTGAACATCTTTAATGACATTGAGGCAGGGTCGGCTGATGAAGAATTCGAATGATTTATTCCTCCATTTACTGAACTGGAATCCATATTTGAACGGTCAGTTATCGTAGAATTCGTAGATTGTGGCGAAGTGTTCGTTACAGGATGCATTGGTGAGCGAGCTTTCTCATTAGGCGCCAACGAATGAATATGAGTCCGAGACGACGATTTCGAGTCCGTTTTTACGGTTGGACCTGTCGATGACGACGACGATGTTGACGATTGTTGTTGCTGCTGATGAAGTTCTCTACGACGTGTTTCGACGATCTCGGGTACTACTGCATCGATTAAACTTAAATTCTCACATGTTCGCTCTTGTCCATCCTAAACAGAAAGGTTGAGTCATAGAATGGAGCGCCGATTGAAGGAATCAACTGCTCCGATTTCCAAAGATTATGCGTCCGAAATGTCTCGATAGCCATTCCGCACGGTGTTTTCAAATGAAAACAGAGTGACCGTGTGTTATATCTTAGCCAGAAAAGAACAACAGACGCCCTTTTTTTAAAACAAATGAATCCAAAGAAATACTCTTAAAATAACCCGTTTCGACAGAAGAAAACCGGTGATTAGAAATCTGCTCGATAGGGTAGAAAGACAACGCCATCTGCATATTAACTTACGTCGCCAATACATAATTCAGCTTCGGTATAGTAGAGACCCTTTTGCATAAGGGATAGGAGAGCACCTGGTGGAACAATATTGCCAGTGATTGATGTATGAGCAATATGACTTTCAAGACCAAATAAATAAGCTGAATGAACAAATCCTACAGAGAGAGACAAAAGAAACAGTAAATATATGCTGTTTGTATTTGTTTTGTCGATTGTTCGCCTATATTGATTGTATTCTAATTTTATGACAGATAGAAAAGCATGTAAAGTACTTCTGTCTTCGGAAATAAATCTGAGTACATAATTTTACATGCGCTTGCTTGTTACTCTTTCGCTAAGTAGACTTTGTCATTCAAGTAAATGACTGTCAAGACTGGATGACTGTGATTATCCGTAAAAGCATTACAACAAGCAGTCTTTCATCAAGTAGAACATTATTATTATCAAGGATGTATGTTTGTTTGTTCCCTAAACGACCTCATTTTCATTTCTTCGTTTTTTTTTAACTAGAGAGCACATGCACACTATCGAGACTCGACGTAAAGAGAAAACACACACACTTGATAACGAGAACAAAAGGAGAAGAAAAAACAACCTATTTGTATGCAAGAACATGCCGTTCGAGAGAGCGTAAATGACGACGGCGATAACAACAACAAAAAAGAAACGACGTAAAAGATTTTTATCAAAGGATAGTAAAATAACATCTCGAGAAAAATGTACTATTTATAGATTGGCGTCATATGAACTTTAACTATCCGAGTTCTGAGAAAAACAAACTTTACAAAGCAAATAAATGAAATTAAAATGAAAAGAAAAAGGAAATGAATTTACACTTTCAACAAGAACAACATCAGGTTTTTCCCTCACCCTCTCCCCTCACATTACATACACGTCGGCGAACGCACAGGTATATACTTTTCTATCAAGATTTTTACATTCCTTTTTTCTCGTTACTCACATCTAACTCAAATATGGCTACGAGGCGGAAAATGAGACTCAAAGGCAAAGGTCAGAAAAAACACACGTATATACACATACAAAAGAACGTGACGAAAATATATCATACCTGATTCTGCTAAATACCGATAAATAAGATAATTGACTTCGTCAGATGTGAAACTCATTCTCGCATGCTAAGCCTCGCCCAAATGCGAGGTTTATTTCGAAGGAAAATTGTGAAATAAATACACGTTGTTGATAACAATCTAAAACACAAAGAACAACATCAATGTGTGCGTTTTTATTTCAGACTGCACATTAATAAGGTCAAAGAATATGACGTTCCTAAAATTAACTTCTCCATCAATATTTCTATCTTTCGTTATTCTTTTTTCACGACTTGCCATTTCTGAGTGTTTCTGCTTCATCAGTAATGCAAGTAAACGTGTCAAACATTACATAGAGAAAAGAAAAAGAAGAAAGAACATACACATCCATACCTATCGTCAAGACATGATGACGACGATGATGATGATGCGAGTATGTAAAGAAATAGAAATAGGAAAAAAAATTGGCAAGTACGAATGTAAATAGTTGTGGCCCTGACTCATGCATATATATATATGTGTGTGTGTTGACTTCTTCCTTTTTTTACCTATTTATCGTATAGATTGGACATATATTAAAGTAACTATTGATTCAACGATCATTTTGCATTGTAACATCGAATGTCTATCATTATTTGACGTCTATAAATGCGTGTAATCTCGCATGAGATAGTTATTAAGAGCTGAAAATAGTCTGAGAGAGAATTTGGCAAAATATCTTGTCATGCTGAAGGTTTGCTGATGAAAACTGCAGCTGTTGAAAAGGTCAACAAGTCCTTCAATATATAAACACGTCACTATCACATCTACATTCGCCATTGAATCAAGGAAAAAGATGGCGAAGAAGAAGAAAATACGACGCATAAATTAGTTTCGTATTTATATCCAACGCGTACTTGACTAATAACATTGAAATGAGGCGTCTAGATACAACGATGAAATATCTAATTAGAGAAAAAGAAATGACAAAAATATGTCTGAACAAAATAGCGGCTCAAGAGGAAAGAAAAAAAGCGAGAAGAAGAAGATCATCATCTCGAGATACTCTTGCTTTTTAATCAATCGATAAATACGTTATAAAAGCACTTTTTCTTACAAAGGACAAGAGGTTCTCGAACCTTTTTTTTCTCCTTGTGTTTTGTTTCTTTCCAGCACACACATACATGTCTGCTCGTGTAACTAGTGTAGACGAACTTTTCTGCCGTAAACATAAATGAAGTTGATTCTTTTCTTCGCGTCGTTTTTACTTGATATCATAGTTGATAACCTATCAGCCTTCACATAATACACTCTCGTGAGTCAACAGTTGCATGTAACTCTCAGGGTAAATATCAAAATTGTTAACTATCAGGAGATCTCTGATATTAAAATAAGAATGAAAGACAATGCGTATTAAGTGATACAGTAGTTCATGAAAACAGTATGAGTAATTAGATTTTTTTTTCAACAGAGTGAAAATGGCGTCGTTTATATATCAGAGTGCATGACCTACAACAGTTGGTGCATAGTATATAACCCTAGAATGGAATCGAATGTAATGTAAGAGTGAGGGAAAAAAAGAGTAAATCCGAAGATGACAATCAATAGATATTCATCATCGGGAAAAAGTACCTTTTCATTACTATTGAAGCTGACGAAACAATAGAGTAGTAGTAGTAGGAGAAGAAAAATAACGTAGTAATCAAATTAAACACGTTATATATGCATAATTACATCATATGTATACATCGAGAATGTATACATATGGATATATTCTGTTCGAATAATAGTATAAAAATCATTTAAGGAGAAAACTGAGTACTAATCATCAATTGGCGGTTAAAAATAGGCAAATTTTGTATGACAGATCGAGAGAAGAAAAGGCAAAGGGACCAACGATGATCGATTCTAAACGATTGAAATTCAAGACGCAAAGCAATACCTTTTGTCTACTTCTCAGTTGAGTATTGTCACATTGAGAGTCTTCATCGAATACGAATTGTTGTTGTTGATGAGATCGAATTTAGATGAATTAATTCAATGTTCTGAAAAACGACACAAAAATAGTCGAGAGTTGAATTTCATGTTAGTACGCATGTAAGAAAAAGAAGAGAAAAAAAGAAAAAGAAAGTTCGCCTCGAAATATACACGTGTGTGATTGGTAGTAGTGATGATGGTGTGCGAACGCAGTGCACATTCTTGGTCTGTTTTATGTCCTTCTTTTTCCCTTTTACATTGCCCGTGTGTCGCCTTTACACATATACTCTCCTCCCACCAGTAGTATGCTGTTATTCGTATTTTTTCAACCCGCATGCGCTCGCGCATTTGTTTTCTCCATTTTTTTCTTTTCTCTCTTGAGCCGTAACTGGGCGTCTGCGCAAGCACTCCGTCTTGTTTTCTACGCTACGCGACCTTATGGTCGAACCCGACGTCGAGAAAAGTTCGCTATTTTTGTCGCTTACACAGTAAGGAAAAACGCGATGGGAAGAGAGAAAACAGAATACTTACATAATTACATTTTTAGATCATCGCTAGTAATGTCAGAAAAGAAAAGGAGTGATAAAGAACTGCGTAGAAGAGAGAGAAAGAGAGCGAAGAGAAAAACATCGCTGGGATTCGAGGACGAGGATTGTCAAGCGTAGCAGATGAGCAAATAAGTTATGTAATATGAGTGAAACTTAACACATCTCTCATCTGCCATATAGAACAAATATTCTTATCGACATTGTATTCTTATCAGAATAGATGTATTTATCAGCGAAGAGGGAAAAAAAGCAAATGAAACCGAAGAAGGGTAGAAAAAGAAAAGAAAACGGAAGACACAGCTGATGGCAACATGCCAAGCCAGTGCGACCGTAGTACCGACAGACATTTTTATGAGTCATATATTGTCAGTTGTTTTTTTTCCTTAGATTTCTCTATCAACACTCCTTCCGGCTATTCAACTTATCAGATGACTACCATCTCAAACTGTAATGACGTAAATAAATATACTCTCGTATTTATATTTATTTATTCATCTATATCGAACCCTCATCCGTACGCATACTGTTGAGGTCAAGGAAAGATGATGCGAGAATACCAGCTGTCTTATTTCTCAAATTTCTCTCTGATTTTCGAAAACCTGTTACCGAATACCATAATATTTGCACTTTGTTTTTCATCATCTATTCACCTTGATTTTAAGAATAGATGAGAAAAACAGATTCATCTGTCATATCTGTCGATTGGATGAGTGACTCGCATATATGCACCTGATAATATGCGGCGCTTTTGTAAAATATTCATTCATGTGTTTTCACGTTATTTCTTTTGATCGTTACCCACGTGCATGAATACGATCAGAATGATATCGATGATATGCAACTGTAATAATGAATCATGATTGATTGTCAGTGATAGGAGCAGGGAAAGAAAGTATGTTATAATGAATGAAAAAAGGTGAACTATGATATGTAAAAATAAATAAGACCAGGACGATACACTGATTAGATGTATGATCGATGTTTGTTGCGCATTAGTGAGCATGTGATTGTAGTTGTCTAGTGCGCAACTGACAGAGGAAAAAACATATTTACAAGTGTCTCTCTGTACTTATGCAATTGACGGTCTTTAAAGGAAAAAAAAGCGATCGGTAATGGTGATAAGAAATAATCATTGACAAAAAATGCTATTTACTGAGACATTATTCCTGTTCTAATCGGCAGGAATATTCTGCTTCAGTCCGCGTCGTTTCATTAATAAGATCTGTTCGAGTGAGACACGCTGAACATGTATTTCATGATTTTGTCGAGAAAGGAAACGAATCGTTCGGACTAAAAATACCTTTGAAGAGAAATAGTTGCCTGCTTGTTTCTCATCCTCTTATAGAGATATCTTCGACGATGCGAACTTAATTCAACGGAAGACATTTTCAAATGCACTTTTGTATTAAAAAAAAAACTCGTTCCTTTAATTATAGAAAATGGAGAAAAGGCCACAGGAAAGTATGTCATGCAAAGACGCAGAAAAACAACAATTGGAAAACGCTAATTTGTTCGGTATTTTTGAACCCAAATGCCATATGCTTTGGCTATATCCGCCGCCGTCCACGTTTTCTTGTGATAATCGACTAGTGGTGAAGTCTTCTTCGACGTATTCGTTTCGTATCCAACTTGAAAGTCTTTCAAATTAGTCGTAATTGTTCCGGAACGCATGTCGAATTGCTGACCTATATCATTGGCATAGTCAGTAAACTTGCCCTGTTTTGTATGGAAGTATTTCTCCACGGCTAATGCTAACATAATTGTAGCGCGCATTTTGGCAGGATAATAATCTTTGGGTGTAAATCGATAGGGACGAAAAAGGAATCGCTCACGATCGAGCGAAGGTACTTTCAAAGTCAGTCCTACACGTGGTGATGCAATGAGTTCTTTTGATTCAATAGCAGGGCTTGGTCGTAAATAAATAAACGAATTTCGGTTGAAAACATTCAAGTTCTTCAGTAATTTTAGTTCGACAAGATCTTTGATTGTTTTACTCTTACATAATTCTAATATAGCATTGACAACTAAACAGCTGCCTTCGTAGATTTCATCCGTTTCGAGATTTTTTATCGAGCGAATTAGAATTCCACCGTAGGATGAACCATCCGTTGAACCGAAAGTGATATCTAAACCTCTGAAGAGAGAAAATCAGTCGTGAATGCTAATAAAAATAAACTAGACGCGTACTTATAAGTACCTGCTTTGTAACTAGCTGTTGCTGATGTACCTTGTCGATGGAAATACCAATTTTCATGATGCTGTTGCTCCGGATGTCGGTGTGCGAATGAATCTGAATGACGAAGTTCGTGATAGAAATAAAATTCCAATTCGAGTAGACGAAAGGCTGTTTGATCATTGAAAACGAGTTCATATTCATTGATTAATTTATTCGCAATTGTATGAAAAGCATCTTGATAATCGGTTTCAGTGAAATGAGAGTCATTCAGATGCAGAAAGTCGTTGGCATCGGGTTCATTCTTCGATCTTTTTTCAAGTTTACATTCATTTGATTCCAATTGGCGTTTCATTTGATTGAATCTGAAAATGTGCGCAAAAAGAAGTATCTCATGCTAAAAATACAACGGTGTTTCACAACGTTGTGCAAGAACTGTTTTGATCCTGAGTACAGTACGGTGATACATCAATCATCAGCGTATGAGAAAAGGGTCTGTTCGCAGTATGCGGCATATTTATTAATCTAAGGTCCAGACAAAAGATAAATGTCTTTTGATCAAAAAAAGAATACAAAAATAACACAAAAAAAGAAATGAACGTGAGAAAAACAGAGTGCTTTCAATATCAATGAAGAAATTATAAGCAAGAGAAGGATTTAGGTTAAACAGTATAAAGAAGAACATGAACACCGTTTGTTTAAAAAAAAACACAAATTATAAAGAGTTCTTATTGAGTAGAGATTGATCTTTCTTCGATTTTTGAAAATTTCGTTTTGATAACAACCGGTAGAAAAGAATGCGAACGCGGATAGAATACAAAGCAACAATCATTCTCGCAAACGAATATGAAAACGCGCTATCTACAAAAAAATCAATTGAATTAATTTTTCTTCTTGTTACCACGGAAGAGTCGTTCGAAGACGTTCATCTTTTTATTGTTTGCTGCTGAGTTATTATTTACATGATTATCAGCTGGATTAGGCACTTCAGTTGATGTTTTAAGATCAGCGCTCGTCGATGACAGTTTCACTTCAATATCATGTTCGGTGGATTTACCTGGATAGATTGTATCGGTTGTTGGTATACGAGCGGGATAGGAAAGTTGGGGTTGAGATTCATACGCATGCGTTGGTGGAGCAGGTGCTGGCCGTTTGTTTTCAAGTTTAGCTGGAGCAAATACAGAAACAGGAACATTTCGTCGTTGATTTGGCGGTGAACGACGTTGCTCCTCAGCACGTCTGGGTGTTCTAAAAAATATACTGAGTGTTATGAACATAGCGTTTGGGATGTTGATACAAACTTGTTCAGATCCGTGTTGGATGAGTTGGAATCTCGTTTTTCGAGACTGACAGGAATCATTGTTGGCGGTTTGATTCGAGACGGTGTCGTATTAACGGCGACTGCTGATGTTGATTGTTGAATGTGATTAGTCGTTGTGGTTGCATTACCATTAGTAGCTGTATAGCGATGCACAGGAATTGATGTACGTGTACGATTTTCTAATATTTTCGGTTGATAATTATCATTGTTATACGAGATATTTTCATCATTTTCAACATCTTGTTGTGGATGCTGCTGGTTTTCAGATTCTAATGCACCTCCATTATAGCTTTGTGTTCGAATTCCTGGGCTGTCTTTAATATATACAATGTTAGCACCATTCGTTGGACGTTTCAATGATGAGGTTCGATAAGCATTCGGCGGTGTGACAGGCACACGCGGTGGTGGTGGTTGTCCTTCGCGACGACCGTTGATAGGAACAAATTTCGATGATGGTACTGTTTTACTTTCATCGTCATAATCATTTTCATCATGGTCATTCACAGTATGTGTATTATTCGAGCGCGCCTGGATAATTCTAAGCCGTGCTCGACCATCGACCGACTTCGAACGTTGACACTTGCTTGCCATAGATGAAACCTGTTCGCTATTATCATTTGCTTCAATCACATTTGTGGATTCATCTAATTCGATTTCACACGATTTCAAGTGATTCGATGGCACTTGTGGCGATGCTTTGTTCAGCAGATTTGAACATGAATTCGAACTTGATTTTGATAGTGATGCTTTGGTACCAGTGTAGGCAAGACGATGAAAGACCGAATCGCCCGACCCATTGCCATTGTTCTGTAGATTTTGACCTAGAACATATGAAATTACAAGCTTCTGGCATTTTCATGAGCCGTAGTCCTTCGACATATGTATATATACACTATCTATCGGATATACTTCAACATTTCTCAATGATACTAATCGAATTACGATCGTTTGAATGATGCACTTTAGCTAATAAGAATGTTTGCTCATACCTGAGGGTGATTGTGAATTATTGGATGATATTTTACTTAATACCATTTGTTCATTTAATTTTCGACCGTTCGGTTGAGTACTTGTTCGAACGGAGACGATCGGTGGAGGTAATCTGTGTACATTATTCGTTGGTGGTTGAATATGATTCGATCTGGCGAAGCGTTGTTTTGCACCATCTGATGAATGAATACTCGATGGTGAATGAGTATGTTCGTGAAAATCATCGTGCTCGTGAAATATGTGATTATATGAATCATAGGGTTGATTATAATGAATATCAATGGGTCGAAAGCCAGTCGTATTAGTTATCGTTGCTGGATATGCATGATGAATATATGTTTCTCGAGAGTGCTGAGGAAGAATATTATTATTGTTATTATTATTGATATTATCGGAGTGATATTCATCAATTGAATGACGTCGATATTGGTCGTTGATATCATCCGATCGGTAGTTCTCTCGACGAAAGCGTGGCGGGATTGCAGGAGGTTCATCTGACATATTCACATAAGAATTTGCTGTTGCATACGAGTTATTAAAGAGTGATGATGAATATGCATCACCAATACTTGAATGGTCCATCGAAGAATTGTTCAGTTCGTCGTGACGTGGATATCGACGACGACCGATGATCGATTGATAACCTCCGGCACTACTATTGCTACTCGTACTTGTTGTCATCTGCGTTGAACGATTCGAATTGGTCCAATTATCATTAAAGCTTCCTTGATGCGAAGCGTAGTTATTCGGTGGTAGATAATGAGGCGTGGATAACATACTGTTTTGTACCTGACTATTGAATCGTTCTAGCGCACGACGAACACTTTGAAAAAGACAAAGAAATAGTACAAAGCTTTTTTTTAAGGTTGACTTCACACTTACATTGGATCTTCAGAATACGGTGCTGAATTATGGCCACTTGATGACATAAATGCACCATATGAAGGTGTTGGTAAGGATTGTTGACTGTAGTAGGTACTGGGTCCCGTTGTTGTAGCCGTCGAAGAACGAACAGGTGCGAAAGCAGATGATATTGATGGCGGTTGTGTTTGATATTGACTATCCAGTGAAGGTCGGTATGTCGATGAATGCATCGATTCATTTAATTGTGGATATTTAGGTGGTAATTGATTCGCTTCGGCACCAAATGTATCAGTCGATGTTTCTGAAGATGTGACTGTAGCATTTCGACGAGGTCGAGTATACTCACAACTGTAAGCCGAATACGATTGTGTTGGAGTTGCATAAGTGAACGATGATTCAGTTGTACGAATAAAATGTGGTTCGAGCGTTTTAATCAATGAGTTTGGTAAGAAATGATTTGAATCGGTGAGCGCAATTTCGTTTGATGAACGATTTCGTTGTAATTGACCTGAAGTGTCGATTTCGTCCAGATTCGTTGTTTGACCAATGACGAGATCTTTTGTTGCTAGCATATCTTCCGAACGCGACCGCTGACGTTGACTAAGAGGTTGCTGTTGTTGTTGTTGTTCGTGTGCTTGAGAAAGACTGTTCGATGTCACATAGATTGGCTGTGCCGGTACGCGCATAACAGGAATATTCTGCTCTGCCATCGTGCTGAAATTAGTCGTCGTAGATATATCAGATGGATCTGCTGATGTCCCGTAACGCTGATGTGCGGATATGTATTTGGCTTTATTGTTATTTAAAGCTGATAACTGTGATGAATCCTTATAACGCGATAAGCGATCACTAGCTGGTTGCAGTGAGCCGAGTGTGTAACTTTCAGTATACCGATGTTCGTTTGAATCAACAGTCGGCGGAGGAATCGTTCGTTTTAAGTTTGATTCAAGACGCATTAGAGCACGTCGAGTAATCGGATCTTGAATTTCATCATAATTCATTGATTTTGTTTGCGTTAATGTACGATTCTTTTCATCAAAACGTTCAAGAGCGCGGCGTATGATGGGATCTTGTACTTCTTCAGGTTTAAGTGTGTACTCATGTTGAATTTGTTGATGTTGTGATTCAGGGGCATCGAATGAATCTTGAGTTTGACGTTCGCGCATACGTTCAACAGTATTCAAACGTCGACGACCTTCTATTTGAAAGTGATACGGTGTAAATTCTGACTGTTCAATAGTTGCAGATTGCGAAACAGTTGTATCCGGTGAACTACTGAGTTTTGCATTATCGTCATCAGTTATTTTGGATGGTACCAGATTCGAAGTTTCTTCTTTTTCTTCATTATTAAGTTTTATTTCATTCGGAGTTATTGACTCGTACACTAATTCTTGTTTTTCTTCGTTTTGTTGATCTTGTGTCGAGTTAACATCGTCAGTCGAGTTATTATCAACAACTAGAATAATCAATGGAGAATGTATAGAAAAAAAAATCTGTTACACATTCTCTATAGATATGCTAATCGTATGTGTCTAAAATAAACAACCTTGAAGCGATACACTTTTACAACTTAACCACACGATAATCAAAAGAATACAAAAAGAAATCACTCATTCGTCTGTATACTCGTGTTAAAAGAAAAACAGCATATTTTTCAGTAGTCAAAATTTCAAGAGAAGGACAAAGACTGAATTGCTGACATGACAATGATAAAAAACCAATAAGACACTAAACAAATATGAACTTTTCCGGCTGCACTAAGCGCAACGTTCTTGGACTTGCTCTTCCTAGGTCTGTCTCTTCTTTTCGATTCGCTAGACCTTTCAGAAAAGTTTATAATGCCTAAATATCAGTATTTATTTGAAAACTAAGGCAATCTTCTGTGCAAACCTGATATTTACAATGCAAGCATGCTCGGCATACTTGTTAATATCGTCGTCTTTCTTTACTCCTCAGAGATATAAACAATTTGCTTAGATGTAATCATACAACGAGCCACTAACTCCCTAATCAACATTCTCGAGCGACGACGAAAGTTATTGAAACGATTAGGTGTATACGTCTGTCTGCCCATTCGCCTATTATCACTTTCTGCTAATTTCATCGTGTAATAGATACTCGTCCAGTAGACTAGAAAAAAAACTATGCATGCAGCTGTTTGCTATTCACTCACCTCGTTTGTCGTCATTGTCTATTGTTGCTGATGGCTGCTGTTCTTTGTCAGATTTCTGATCGTCGTGATTAATCTTATCTTTCGTCGAGTTTGTTGTCGTATATAAATTCAGTAATGTACCATAATTAAGACTGCTATCATCAAATGTTTTGCGTGGTCGAATGTAACTGTCTGCTTGAGCTGATGAATTAGTTGTTTCCGTTTTAATTTCGTCTCCCAGTGAAATGGCAGTCAGACGTAATTGTTGATCTTCGTCTTTCAATAGATTTTCCAGTGATTTGCGCGAAGTTGAAAGCGATGTTGACCATGACGATTTGCCCTTTGGTGTTAACGGATTTAAATCATCTTTCGTTGTTTTGTTGGCACTTGCAGCATTCATCCGTTGTTCGAAACGTTGTAAAGCACGTAAAGCAATTGGATCATTGGCAGGTTCTTGATTTGTAATTAAAGATTCTTTTGCTGACACAATCGAGGGTTCAGACACATCGTCGTATTTATCGACCACTTTAGACATGGCCTTTTCATAACAAGTAAAAACATTATCGAATTTAATTGCATCATCGACAATGTTCGTCGAGGCTGATTGTGTTGGCGATGATTGTTTTGATTTTTTCGGTTCATCATCTGTAAGTATATAGTCAGTTGGCTCGATTGTATCTACATTTTGCGCAGTTGCATCTTCTTCATCATCAGGTAGTTCTTCGAGTTCGACTTTTTTGTATAGTTCATCCTTTTCATCCGTACTGACCATTGCCATTGAATTCAAATCGTTTGATAGGGTTTGTGCTGGCGACTCATCTTCTGTCCGCTGCTGGTTGAATTGCTCTAATGTCGGTAACGGCGATGATGGTCGTTCTTTTTCTCTTTCTACTTGTTCTTCTCTTTCTTTTTTCTCTTCGTGTAACAAGGCTGTTTGTGTTGGTTCGTCGTTTATTAATATTATTCCCGACGCGTGGTAGTCGTGTATAGGGCTACTGGTGTTCTTTTTCTCTTCGTCGATGTTATAGTCGTCGTTACAACGCTGTTCTTCTTCTTCTTCTTCTATTTTTTCTTCGCCTTTTTCTTTTGATAAAGATTCGATAGTTTTGTTCTCATCTGTGGTAAACGTTGCAGGCACAGGAGCAGGAGGAGGAGGAGGAGAAGGAGGAGAAGTAGTAGTAGTAGGAAAAGAAGACGTCAAGTCCGAGTCAGCTGGATTGGTTAATACAGGCGAACTGTTCTCGGTATTAGTTAGTTGACTCTCAACTGAATCATTGTTAATCGTTGTTATTATTTCCGTATGACATTCCATCGTTGTTGATAATAATGGTCCTTGCTCTGTACTCGTGATTATCTCATCTTCAGATAAACAAATCACTTTAGATTCAGTTAATGGAAGTTGTTCATCGACATGAATGTTTTCATGACCATCAGTAGTAATTAGCAATGGTGTCGTATCTTAATGAAGAAAAATTTCGATACAAATCAATATGTGAGCAAAACGAGAAGTGTAAAAAAATATTTTCATTCTCTTCTCGACAATTTGTAGTGAAGATTCAATCCTTGATCAAGTCGGAGATATAAGACCGATAGCAATCAATTGACAGACAGAAGAAAAAAAGCATTCGTAGGTGAAGAGCAGGTAAATTAAAAGGATTTGATCGACCTTGTACGTTTTCTCTCTCTCTCTCCCTCCCTTCTCATGTACATGTGTCTTTGTGTATACAACTTTTTTCTCCTCTTTGATAAAAATTATGATTAGTATTTGACAAGAAAAGTTCTCACTGCTCTTATTGAATAGTAAGAAAAGAAAGAACTAATGAGTTTTCTTTCTTCTATCATTGTTATTTTACCTTCCGATGATAATTCAACTATTTGATCAGGATTCGACGTGTTCACCGTGATTAGTGTTGGCGATGTGTTAATCTCCTATAAATATACGAAGAACAAAAAAAGAAATACACTCGAACTTTACAACATCTTGCATTTGATCACATTAAAGAAAAAGAATGCATGCGCACTTTACTTATTTCAAGTGGCTGTGTATCTACAGGCATAAAGTACTGTTTGACATACATATTGTCTAAAAGCAGTCAGTGCCATTAACTACGAAACGATGGCGGAGACGAGAAAGGAGACTGGATTAAAAAAATCTGAATGATTGAAATGTTTAAACTCAATTGATATTCAAGGACAACCGATGAGGACGATAATTTCGTCATGCTTGTTGAAGTAGACACTGATCAACACAGTGTATAATTAGGTATGCTCTCATTATCTCAATGAATTTCGTTTTACTATAGTGATGAGGAAAAGGAGGAGACGGGAAAATAATTATGATCGAGAGACGAAACTATGAACAAATCTGTTCGATAAACTGCATTTGGGCAGATTTGCTAGACAACAATCATCAAGAAACCATATCGATTCGTTTTTTTGATCTTTTCAAGGTTTCTTCAACTAATATTCGGTCAATAAACACAAATCGGTTGATAAATTCTTCTATTCACTCAATTTTTTCACTTGTCTGAAAGCAATTCATTCTCGAAGAAAAAAAAACCTCTTCATATCTAATCTACATCAATCCCTCCGGCCATGTGTGGTCTGTGAACATTCTGTTGTACATACGAGACAAATTCACTTAGCGAAATATTCAACAAGAAGAATGAAACACCTGTGGTGATTTCCCCCGCTGTCTTTCTCAATGAGTGTTATTCATAGTCGAATGCGACGATGATTTTGTTTTGAAATCATTTCATATAAACAAGAATCACTCAACTAACCTCGACTTTTGTTGATATATTTGAATCTGAAGAATCTTGTTGTCGATTGCTTGTGGCAGGTGAAGTTTTGCGTCGTAGAACAGCTATAGGTGGAAATTCGACAGTTAGCAATGTCTTTGACGGATCGCTATCGTTTTTGTCCGGTTTGGTCGAAATCAACCAACGTTCCTGGCGTTTCTTCTCACGTCGGGACATTCTATCTGAAGAATCTGTTTGCTGTGGTTCACTTGCTTCTGCAGAATGATTAGTATTATCATCATCAACATTAGATAATCCTGTACAAATATTATCATTGGATAGGTTAGGCGTTGGCTCTGTGCTAGCATTGGTCGCGGGAAGCTCATCTAATGAAATAGAAATTGATTTTGCCAAAAAAAAAAAGAATCGATTTACTTTGATTCGGCAATAAGTTGTTATTGTTACCATCACTCTCTTCGGATGTTTGTACCATGTTTAATAGATCGAATGAAGATGAGTTCGGCGATAGATAAATGCTAGGTGTTGATTCAGATTCGAATGATCGATAATTATCGTTGCTGATTAATAATTGTTCATCCGACGGCGATAATGTTAATTGACACTTGAATGAAAGGAAGAGAAAACTTCGAGATTTCTTCTGTTCATCACAGTCACATTATTGTTGATTGTTTCATGTTCAAATAAGCGTAGATAATTTATGCGTATTTCATCGTTATTCTTACACTTTTTAACTGTCATCGAATAATGATGAAGATGATGATGATGATGAATGACAAACTACTCTCTCGAACGAATAAAGGTCAATATTATATGCGTCTATTTTTTTGCTCAAGGCTTCACAAATGGTTAGATTCGAGGTTATTAGTTAGAGAAGGAAAGAAAGGACATGATATAATGGAGCATTTCATGGTACAGTATAACAAAATGTTTTTTTATTAATGTCAATAAATTTCATTACGAGATCGATTTTCCATAAGAAAAAGAGTTCCGCCGGGTTTTGTTCATCAAATGCTTCTACTATCTATACTCAATCATCTCATCAATCGTCAGTGTTTCTGTTTTAGTCTATCTCTGGAATAGAAAGGTCAACTGCAGATATTCACTTACCAAGCCTTCCGAAACAGCGATTGAATCTTCCAAATCTACGACTAACCATGCTTCTTGTTCAGCTGATGTTGTTGAAAGATTCTCTCCATCAAGAGATGATTTTTCTGCCATCATCGTATCTGTATCATGATGATACTCCCGTATTAATGTCTGTTGAGTTAAGGTCTTATCACTGCTACTTGTTGTTTCCGAACTCGAGTGATCGGGTGATACTGATATATTGCCTGGTGGTATATCAAAACAACCGTTTCGTACTAAGGTTTGACAAACATTAACGAAGTTACTCTTGTCAATGATCGGAATGCGTAAAGTTTCAGAGGTGTTGGCTTCATCGTTGATAAATTTTGTAAATAGATAATAGAGATATTCGATTAGGTTCTGGTCAACTTCAGCAACGGTCGGACAGTTGGCTTTCTTCCTCTTACTTTTAGATTTTGCTTCATTGGCTAAACATTCGACGCGGAGTACGAGTAAGTCGATCAATGTCAAGATTTCGTTATTATCTGCTGGTTCGCATGGACTGTCATTCGCTGTTCGATTATTCATATCCAATATTGTTGCAGAATTCGCTCTTTCTCCAGATGTCTATTGAAATTAGAATGATTAGTTTACTTGATACTGAAGAAAAAGCATGTATACTAAAACACTCAATTATGTAACGTGAAGCAATTTAAATAGAAGAATATAAAGGAAACCGATTTCTTTTCATGTAAATATGAATTGAAGGAAAAGAATTAGTTTTTCTTCTAATACTCTCACGATTGATCAATGAAATGAATCGATCGATGAAAGAGAGAAAAAAAACCGGAGAAAAATGTGTCCTTCCTCACCTGCTTAACATGATGATAACCATTGTTTTTGTTACTTGTAGCACGTAATTCGTTACGTAAATGTCGAAGAAATGAAATGACAAGCGAGGCAGGAATATTCTTTATATGATTTGTAGTCGAATCACTTGCATATCGTCGACGTTGTTTTATATTAGTAGATATATCATCGCTGGATGATGACTGTCTTGTCGGTGATAACGAAGTTGTTCGATGCGACGAATGATCTTTTAAACGAGTTTTCGTCTTACTTGATTGTTTACTTGGATAAATACTGTCACTACTATATTGCCGCGATGATTGGACAGAAGGAAATGGATCAACTAAAGTAAAGGTTATTGTGTCATCAGTTCAATCAGATATATATTAGAAAGCTCTTCTCCTAGATCGATATCTCATGTGAAGAGAAATAAGCATAGGAGTGAATTGTCATCTGCGTCTACCAGTAGATAGGATTTCAGTGGAAGAATTCAGCTTGTTCTTACCTGTAGTTATTGCCGCTGTAGGGTCCGCACTATCTTCTTCCTCGTCGATACGATTCATTATTATCAATGAATGTTACCATAGACGAAATGATAAACGTGCGAAAAGGAACAAAACTCAAGTCGTTCTTTTTATGTTTTATTTTATTTCTCTCTGTCTTCTCTTTTCTTTATTAATGTTGTTTGTCTGCATTGTTAAAAAATAGAAATATTCGCATCACTTTTTCTCCATCTCTCTTTCTCTCTTCTACACCTCGACCATACGTATGTACATACGTAGATTCATTCCTATTTCACACGAGGTCATCAGCCATTATTGATTCTACTTTCTTCTCCTCGTTTTTTCTGTTGCTCATACCATCCTATGACTTCTCGATGGTAAAAAAAAGCGACGAAGGACGAAAAAAACGATGTGTGACTTGTAGAAATGATTTATTATTATTTAACTACGCATTTAACAAATATGCAAGTATGAGTTGTAAAATAGAAATTAGGTCTATCACGCGTACGTGTTGCTCTTTGAACAATTGTAATTGTCGATATAAATGTAATTGCCAAATCTCTCTACGGTTTCTTTCTTTTGGCGGTACTTGAAAAGTCATGACCTATTTACCTGGACGATTCATTGGATTGTGCACCAATTTCGAAACAAGGAAAACTTATTCAAGATTGAGTCGTCGATGAGCTTGTCACCTTCACTAATCGATTGCATCAAGATATACGAAAGAACAATGAAGATAAGAAAAGAAACCGAACGTTATTTGATCTGTGAGAGAGAGTGAGTGAATGAAGAAGATATGATGTATTACACCATTGAGCAGCGATCAGTATGTCAATAAACTATCGACGTATACGCAGATGAAAAGAGAGGAAGAAGACAGATGAAAATCGTTGTCTTGTCTTTTTTTTGCATTATATACATGTCAAGTGTTGAATGCACTAAATCATTCATCACTGGTAATGTTACGATAATATCGATTAGAAATGGCGCTGATGTTTCCCGTGGTTTCTTCTGTCACGTAATGAACAAATATATTCTTGAAAAGTCTAACCATATCAGAGTAGAACAACGATTGCCCATCTGATTCTAATTACTTTCTTCTCGTCAGCTGAGTTCTATTAAGAAAAATTCATTAGGAGAACACCTGTCACTGGTCGATAGTAACAATAGGTGATTATTCGTCTGTGCTACTGTGCGAGAGGTGAGTTGACTTTTTTTTAGATAATTAGTTTTGCTTGTTTGTAACGAACGTGCTGTACAACAGTCGAAATAATTGCAATTACACTTTTGCACCGTCTGAACACGTATGATTGAAGGTAATATCTCAACTATTCATATCGACAAGCCTTGACAGGAAAAACAAGGCCAAGATTTGATATTTTCGTTTTATATGAAACAATTGTAAGGTAACTTGAAATTATATGTAGAATTTTCTTGTTCTTCTTTCTCTAGTGAATCAAACGACGAAGGAGCTTTTTGAAATCAATTGCTTTGCTTTCTTTGCATAATCTTATCCATATGTATTGTACTCGTGCTCTATCTCTAGTGCTTACTCTCAGTCAATTGATCATCTAGTCTGGCGTGTATCTTGAAGCGTTTATTCTTACTGTACGTTGATATAAAGAATAATACAACTAGATGGAAGGATTCTTTGAATCTATGTGTGGAATAAAAAGTCAGTTTTTCATTTGCATATAGAGAAAAGCCTTCCGTATGATCGACTCGAAAATTAATAACATACCTTCATTCTCTTCGATGATTATCCATTCGTCTTGATGAAATGTATCCAGTTTTAGATGATTTTCAAATCATTCAATACGTATGTGCTATGTTTCATATTCAAAGATTGAATGCGAAAGTAACGCAGATTACTGATCTGTAAGAAATACGACGTAGATGCTTAAAAACTGGATATAATCGATAACGAAAAAACAGAACGAGTACAAAACACGCTCTTGTATTTATTTGATTTTGTCAAATATTTTTCTTTCGATATATAAGTTGTCGGCCTCTAAATTTTATTAATGCTGTATGGAAAGAATCGTCTGAAGATGATTGATCATAGAAAAAGAAAAAAAGAAAGAAGTAAAAGAACAATCATTTCAAGTGAGTATCTCTATGTAAGAATTTCATCCCGATCCGCATTGAATTCACTCGTTAATGTCAATGGTGTATAGGCTAGATTGATATTTTGCCTCCTTCTTGCATGTGAAACGAACGGTAATAAATTGTGATTGTGTAACATATTGATAAGTCCGAGAAGTAGGAATATACATAACAGGGCTAAAATGCCAAGTATTGGAGCAAAATCTCGGAGAACGGACTTGGAATTATCCCATGATAAACTCGATATTTGACTTGGTAACGATCCTGATCTGGAGCCAATCTCAGCGAACGCAGGAATTTCTTCTCTAAAATAGAAATAACGCAATTGTTAGTACAATTGTTCATGTCACATTTTCGATATGCTTACGAACCGTTTGACTTTGACCAGATTTTGTTTTACTATTGGTAGTTTTTGACATATCACCGTTGCTATTCGATCGCAAGGAATTTCATCACAACGGATAAGTGGCATTGTATCTGATAATAAGTCTACATATGCACAACCCATTTGTTTTGTTTTCATTTGTTCGCGTTCATTGCTTGAAGTGCTCGTTGATGACATGAGTGCTGTATAACGTTCGTGAAATGTTTTTTCACATAGGTCATAAATAGCATTAGAGTCAGGAATAACTTCGACTACCACTTTGTTATTAATATTCGACTCGATAACAGTTCGATTTTGAGTATCGTATTTAACACCAACATGAGCATAGCCCGACGCAATGTAATTCGTTCGTCGTATGAATAATGATCTAACCAGTGACAATGTGATGTGCGTTTCAGGAACAAAAACTATTGCATTTTCTTTTTCACATGTGCTCTTGGCTTCGCTCCAGGTCGTTTCATGAAAGGTGATTTTATAGCAATATTCATCAATAAAATGGTAATCTGTTCGATTATCACCGCAAGAATAATCCATTGAAATGTTTGTTGCTATGACAGTTGAGATGTCGTCCTTCCACGGACGGATATTCGATGTGTAATTCAATTCGAATTTATCATTAACACAAATAGGAGTTGCTGATTTCGTAGTGCACTCATCGGATTCAGTTACACAAAGCTCACTGATATTTGGCGTCTTTTTCAATGACAAAGCGAAACAGTTACGATCGGTAGTTGGAGATGATTGTGAGCATTTAGTCAGAAGTAAATCACTTGAATCGATCGGATCACTTGCTTTGTTCGTTGTTCGATCTAACCAAAAATATTTGCTAAAATTAAGTAAAACTGAAGCTTGAACGTTAGCAAGTTGATTCCAGAGAAACACATGCGTGTATACTGTTGATCTGGGTAGAAGATCTTGAAGCTCTAAAATGTCATTAATCTTCGCAAGTGAACTATCAAGAGAATCACAATTAGACCGAGCGGATTCATAGGAATTTGTCCGTGTGGAATAATGCCCATAGACACATTGTTCTCTGTTCTGTGTCATTTCAAATCCTAAGCAAAAGCAAGTAGAAAATGAATTTAGATTGAAAGTGTTATTACCATGTCGGCATTTTGGCTGTCTGGTGTACACAGAATAGATCGTAGAACTAGTTGGATTTCCACATGTGTAGAAATAATTGCCCGAACATTCTTGAGAACAATGCTGCTTCGAAAGGAGACGCATATTATTGTTGCTATGCGTAGTTGACATATTCGTGCAAAAACATCGGTTCGAGTTGATAAGAGCGTATTTTTGTTGATTAATCGTACAAAACTCTAAACAGTGACGAGGATGAAGATCGAGACTATCGTTAAAAGTAAACTTGTACGATCTATTCGGATCGAACGAAGATATATGTACACATTTATCGTACGAAAAATCAAGATATGGCTGGAACGTTGTCGGATAGTATGAATATGCACGTCGAGATTGGGATATATCAAAGACAACAATCGTATCATTATCTCCGCATTGTTCATGTCGATTACCTGAAACGAAAAGATCAGATTTGAAAGATTCTAATAATTTATATACCTGAACAGACTTGTCCACAGCTTGTTCGTTGATATTTACTCAGATCATTGGTGAAATTCATCGGTCGTAAAACATAATCATTTAAACAATAGCATCTATCCATATGAATGATAACTAGAGTCGTTTGCAATTCTTCACAAATAGTTAAGCATAATTCATGTGTTAAATTATTCGATATTAAAGCTGGCAGACCCATTAGCGCTGGTTTACGAAAACAAGATTTTTGAAAACGATCAACGATCAACGTTTTTGTTTCACATAGAACATGCCGATGGGTCGAACAGTTACTCATGCCCGTCGCTTTCAATACCGGTCTTTCTTCTGGTTTAACTTCCGTACGCGATAACACAATACATGAATCATCAGTTATGTTTACAGTATTGTTTTCAATTGGACTAATCATCTGAAAATCTTGATTACTAATTGCATCAATTGCGAATAAGCCCAGATCTTCATAATAGATATTAAATTTTTGAGTGGCTGTTTGGTCATCCCATTGTTCGTCTACGAAAGACAAATAAGAACAAAATTCGACTAAGTCTTACGACAAAAAAAAGTCGCATTTACCAGCGTCAGGAATTTTATCCAAAAGAAAAAAGCCAAGACGAGCTTGCCATGGAGATGTATACTGAACGATATCACCTTTCGGAGTGAAATTTAACTGATCGTCCAATCCATCATCGTCGTCGTCGTCTTCGTTTTCCGGTTGAACAATAGAAGCACTATTTCGCGTGGTAGTTGTTTTCGAAATAGCAATACAACTGCTCTTGGCATCTTGAATTGATTTACGTTCCGAAGACATTCGATAACATCGTCCATTCAAATCTATCCACTGTGGTGGACAAAAGTTCTCCTCAGGTTCTTCATTGATGAAAGAATATAAACTATCTCGAATGTCGTACGACGTAGTATATTTATTCAGTGGTTCAGCTACACATAGGTAATTTGCGTATAGATAAGAAGAGGTTTGTTGAGTATTTTCATTGACCAAACAACCGTTTTCTAATATATAACGCTTGGTCAGTCCGGGCGAGGCTGAATACGTCAATAATTGTGATTGCCGAAGCAGTGCTGTGTGTGCGATTGATTTTTTTGCACATAAGAGTGATGAATCGATGACAATATCTTGAGTAAAATAAACAGCAACTTGGGAATTTTTCAATCCTAATCGTTCAACTATTTGAAGAAAGACGTTCCATGTTATATTTCCATTGTATGTATAACTTATCGAAGGTGGTGAACAACTATTCCACGAGAACTCAAATGTGTTCATACATTTGTTTAATTCTTTGATGTAGATGAAATCCGATGCACATGTTCCATGCACATCATAGATTGCCCAGATTTGTTTGTCAATCAGCGAACCACATCGAAATCTCTGTTCGCTGATTGATCCATTAACTGAATTCGAACAATCATGATCGCATGAATGGTTTGATAAGGTTTTCACAAAGAGATCTCTTTTCACGGTTGTACCAATTTGCCATCTCATAATGCAAACACATCGATTCTCATCATTATTGAATGCTAAAAACAAACTGATGCAAAAGAAGAAAGATTTCATTAACGTCTCGAAATACCTATTGATTTCGTCGTTATGTTTCGATCAAGACAGACAGCTGCACATTGTTCTAATTTATTCAATGATGATATGATTGGAAGTTCGTTTAGCTTAATATCTATGGTATCATAAATGCCTTGTTTTGCCCAAGATTCACACGAAGAAAATTTAATTTGATAATTAAACAAATGTCCATGTCGGCTATAAAAACCTTGTTCACTATAGACAGAATAGGTACGTGATCCACCACATGTATTGTTTGATAGATGTTTTGAATCGGTCGCTTTTGGACACGGAATAGGACAACTGCTATCATTCTGTCGATTGTAATGCATGAAACCACCGCCTGAACACCGACAGATCGTCTTTTGCAGATAAATTATTGGTGTGTCACATAAACGAAAGCAGAGCAATGGTTCCATGTATGAACTATGAAAGAAACTATCGTAGAAGACTTGAGTATAACATCCGACATAGTGATATGAGGCATGTATTGCTGGATATGTTGAAAAGATGATCAGTAGAAATGGATTCTGTAATAGAGTCATTGTTTTGATGTTTTAGTTTTCAATGAAATTCAATGAAGAAAAGTTTGAGAGACAAATAAGAAATTCGAGATGCGTAGCAATCTTTCGGCGTTGAATCTATTGATAATAATCGTGGGAAAAGTAAATTGATCTTTGATTTTTCTTCTCTCTCTATTTTGTTACTTGAGAGAACATCGATTTCAAAACATTTTATCACTGATCCAAGTAAAGTTGGTAACATAGTTGAATATTTTCTTGTTCTGAGTCTAAGAATGGTTTCACTGGATTCAGAATTTAATGATCTATTGAATGTCATAGATGTTCACATTCAGTACAAGTTCTCAAGCAAATGTAGACGGAAATCCTATCAAGTTGACCATGTGAAAATGGAAGTAAAACTAAAACAAGTGAATCAACTTATTAAAAATGAGTTAGAGTAATATCGATAAATCGCTTGCGAATAACCAATTTTCAAAAATTCAACGCAAAATGAAGTCAAAATTGACTACATATTTATCGCGTTTTTCCATCTTGCTCATCCGGAAATTCAAAGAGTTTATTAGTGAATCATTAGAATTGGAGTCAAGACGAATTCTATCTAAAAGAAAATCTTTTCCACAGACGTATGCAGTGTGTCGTCCGAACAGGATTCATTCAGCAATAAAATTAATTTCAACGTTGTTTTTCCGATACACAATCATGCGTATATACGGACTTGCTCGTTTTCTCTAATTTCGAGTTTCACTCCACTTCATTCGGAAAATTCAATTATCGTGGTATGCGAAGAAACATATCCATTTGCGACCCTTTTCCCATTATTCCATAACACCTATAAGCTTTTTTCGAACAAAATACAATATGATGTAAAATTAATGCGTGTCGACGAATGAGTATGATAGTATTTGGCTCGGAAGATCGAAAGAAACGATTTTACGTTCTCATCGAGGCATCAAATCGATAATTTCATAATAAATGAAATTGAAGGAAAGGATATTATGATCCACTGACATCAGTGCTTGATGAACTACAATATTTCGTAAAACGTGTTGTGTACTATGATAAGATTTCTAATCTGGATAGTGCAGTTTTTTTTAAAGAGCAGTTGTACTGCGCGGACGTCTGCTTACAACTTTTACAGAGTCATTAGTATTCTGTTTTCTTACTCAGTTTTACGATTTGGAAAGAAATTTATGTGGAGATTATTAATCAATTATAAAGTTTCCAAACAACTCATGTGAATGAACTGTTAGATCAATTTAATCGTAATTTCTTAGTCAATGACACGCACTAAACGACCTGAACCAATTGCTTTCCATGAAAAAAATTGTTGCCTGTGAGGTTAAGAAGCACGTTATTGAAAAGAAGTTTCTTTCTAACAAAACAATGATTTGTCTCGGTCAGGATGCACTTGATCAAACTTCAATTATTGAATTATTTCACAAAAGTTAAATAACAATCTTTTTATCAATTATAGCGGAAGGTTCATATATACAGAAAGAGAAAAAGTGGTACAGAACCTATAGAAACAGATTCACGGTTGACGTTTTTTCTTTCAAATATGTTCTACAAAGACATATTCTTTTTGCATCAATCATTGACTTCAGACAAATATTGATTTGACGTTGAATTCAAACGGTAAGTGTGTTCACGAGTACGACTTTTCTCTATTATTAACGTTTAAGTTTACCTTCAAAAGAGGGCTCTAGTATCTTTGATGTAATCATCGATTGGCTAACGTCGCCAACTACATATATTCTCTTCCCTTTCCGTTTGTTAGTGGGTAGTCATTGCTTATGTTTATCATCGTTGATATGCGTCTACCTTTATTTTTATTTAGTTTTGGATAAAGAGCAAAAACTTGTCTTCCGAGAATTGAATTGCTAGACACAAAAGTAACTACAATGAATGGCGACACGAGCGAGAGTGATGGCGTCGATATCGGTATGATTAAACACATGATTGTACAATAAATTATGAATATTGGCTTTTCCTCAGGTAAAAAACACAAATTAGGACATCTACGTGTGGATACTCAAGGCAACACGACATTCAAACGTTTACCAACGAATCAACTCGTTGAAGCACTTCAGCTTGGTATACAGTACAGCGTCGGTGGTCTTGAAGCAAGACAAGCACACGATGTTCTCTTTCAAGATTTTCTTGCTGTTGAAATTACACATTTTCCCAAGTACGAAGAAGATTTTTTTTTTTGGAAAATTGACGGTTCTTGATGGAACTCCTTTTTAGAGCTGGACGAACGATGCCAAAGGCGACGCCACCTCATCGGTTCAATGATTTTACTATGCGTACCTATGCACCCGTCGCTTTTCGACATTTCCGCGAAAAGTTTAACATTAAGCCAGCTGATTACCTTGTAAGTTGTTTACTTGTTGCAATCAACCAATCGTCTATCTTATTTCTTAGGCATCGATAAATAGACCTTTTCGAGAATTGAAAAACCCAGGTGCAAGTGGAAGTTTATTTTATCTTACTGCTGACGATGAATTTATTATTAAAACTGTACAAAAAAAAGAAGCAGAATTTCTAAAAACTCTGCTTCCAGGTTATTATATGGTACGTAGAATATCCTTCGAAAGATTTCCATTAATCATTTATTTGTAGAACATTATTCAAAATCAACGCACGCTGTTACCAAAATTCTTTGGTCTCTATTGTTATCAGGTATATTAGACTTGCTTTTTAAAAAAATACTATTCCTCATCAGAAACACAATCGATTGAGAGAAATAGTGCACGACATTCGAGTGATATTTCCATTCATCTAGGTCACAGAATTTTTGCCACGAAATAAGCGTGGAGCTGTAAGTGAATTTACATATGCACACGACTTTTTTTCCGGCTCGTTGATTCACATCTTCGTGTGTTTGTTTCATAAGACAACTGAAGCGTCTTATTCTAAAAAGCCGACTGAAATCATTTCTAAAGCTGCTCTCTTCTTCTTCTTCGAATTCCTTTTCTTTTGTTTGTGGTTTCTTCGAAGAACTAGGTTTCTTACAAACTAGTCTCTGCAATGAAAAAAAATCATCCTCTTCGGTCCTGTTTTTGTATCGATATTCTGCTTCGCTAATATTCTCATTCTCGACGTTTTCAAGACTGTTTTGATGATTATTTCTAGGGTGAAAACAAAAACATTCGCATTACTGTGATGAATAATTTAATTCCTTCGCATGTACAAATACACGAAAAATACGATCTTAAAGGTTCGACGTATAAACGACGAGCAAATAGTGTCGAACGACAAAAGGAATCTCCGACATGGAAAGATTTGGATTTCATCGATCGTCATCCGCAAGGTTTCTTTCTTGATGCCGATACTTTCAGTGCTCTAGAGAAAACCGTTGAACGCGATTGTCGAGTTTGTTGATTTCATATTGAATTGCATGAGTATGATCAATGTCGGTTATTTTCAGGTATTAGCAAGTTTTCATATCATGGATTATTCGTTTTTGATTGGTGTCCATCGAATTGATCAATCTCCTGAATCACCCTCCGTGAGTAAAGATGAAAAACCGTTTCAGTTTTATTAGAGTTTCTTTTTTTTCTCTATTATCAAGACTCCAGCAACTCCAGTTGGTATGTTGATTGAGTTAATTCTCGCATGCTTGAGCTCACTTCCTTCTTTTCAAGATCCATTTTCTCCGAAACCGAAACGAATGATATACTCGACACCGATGGATAACATTCAAGCGCAATTTGACGAACAAAACAAACCGGATGAACATCTCGTGAAGTATGCTCTCTAGTTTCTCCGCCGTATAAATGAATAGAAAGAATTAAATTACTTTCGGTCGAAGAAAATTTCCCATGACTTGCCGATAGTTTCTGAATAACGCATATATCTTTGTTATACTTTTGTTTTCATTGCTAGGCGACGATCAGTAATTGCGTAATAGATGATTCATATTCAATACAATGACATGAAATACCTGGCTTTTGTCCTCATCGTATTTAATTCGATGACGTCATAACATTTTCAAGCTTTTCGAAAAGTGTATGTCGATGTACTCGACCCCCTTTTCTAATATCACGCTTGTTTTTTTACATGTCAAAAATCAGCGCATAGATAAATCTCGATAAGATAACTATCATTCTTCGGTGTGAGAATCATTCATGCAAGATATAATTTCGTTTTGATTTTAGAGCTGGTGGTATTCCTGCACGTACCGCTGATGGGCAAAAATTATCTTTGTATGTTGGTATTATTGATATCTTGCAATCATACCAACTTCGAAAAAAACTTGAACATACACTGAAATCTGTTGTGACTGATGGCGTAAGAAGGAAAGCTTCGGCTTCATTAATATTTTTCCGTTGAATTTTTAGACTCAAATATCTGTCACTCATCCAAGCTATTATTCTGAACGTTTTCGAAAATTTCTTTTTCATACTGTTTTCAAACAAATACCACGTACGTCCAAGTTACTCTCCTTCACAGTTCATTCTTTTTGTTACTTCAGAAAAAGCATCGAAGGTCAAAGATGATATTTCAACAAAAGCAAACTTGCCAGCCTTCAATCAAACAACGCCGCCGAATGCAACGTAAACTAGAAATCTCTTCGTTTTGTACACTACATTGGACTGTTCTCGACATTTTAGTCCAAGACCCAATCCATTCAAACCTCGTAATCATGACAACGGTTCTCCTCGTTTGGGCCATACCCATTCCATATCAAGTACTGAAACGACTAACAGTCGAATAACATCGTATTACGTATCATTACGCTCGTCACGATTAGGATCAGATCGCAATACAACGGGTAGCTCAACGACACTCTATGCAAGTTCACATCAATCAGATTCGCTGTATAACGAACCGTCGATACGAAAGCCAGCAAAAATTCTAACGACGTCATTTAATAAGCATGATGATCATATGCGAGCGAAATTTTATCGAGAGTACGCAGCATTACCAGATAATAATTCCATCAAACGACACAATTTGCTACCCGTCAGTGGTGGAGGAGGAGGAGTGGGCAAGTTAGCTTCATCAACGTCAAATATATATCAACGTAAGAGTTTTCTCTTGAATTATTGACAATACTTTTTTATTCTGATGAAATATTGTTATTGATAGAAAAGGTTAACCTTTCTCATTTTGTTTCTGTCACGTACGCGAATCTAATAGATGACAAACAACTGATGTTGTCTATCAATAACTACTAGACTGTTCGTTAATGAGATGGAAGTTTTATTCAAACAGTGCATGTATCGTATACGAGATGAGCTGTAACTCACCGATAGTTCGAAATATTCATATTGTTTTCGATCCTCGAAGTTTACCGATACTTCTCACAATTTCCCTATAGAGAAAACGTAAGAAGAGAATTTATGAAGAATAATTCCTCAGTGAGTAGAAAGAACGTGCTATATGGAGCGATGGCCTCGAGCAATTAAAATTCCTTCTAGAAAATATTCTGCTTACAAGGATATTTTTGTAAATAATCACTTCGATTGTCTCGAACACAAGCGCATGTGTCACATGATATTCGATCTATTTCTGTGACCTGCTGAGTGATTAGGAAATTAATATTTGTTTTCTTGTTTTCAAACAATCCGTCGCATTGGATTTCTGTTGATATTTCGAGCATAACAACAGAAATAAAACAGATTCGTTGTGACAGATCGAACAAAATCTTCTTAAGTCCAATTTTATCTCATGAAGCAATAACATTTGCTTTCTGTATGAAGTCAATCAATATTAACTCGAAGTATCTCTGTTAATTCTAGACGGCAATGTCTCCGATTATTCTTCGATGTATCGTCAAGGCAATCATCAATCATCTGATGAAGTTGTATGTATCAAAATGTCCTTTCGACTACATAATAAATCTTCTCTTTTTTTTTTGTTCTGTAGACACGACTTTAATATCAACGAGCGAACATTCCTTCTAGACGGGAGAGAGAAACTAGCAACAGTTTTAATCGTATCGATTGAACTGTTGAAAATACTTGCATTTACTGTAGTGTCTATTATTTATCTTCTCACTAAAGAAAAGAACAAAGTGGATTTTCGTTTTCAAAATTGCAAATCCCGGTGATTTTCTTTGCATTGATAAAATTATTTTCTTTCTAACAAAGAGCTTGCTTCGATCATATTAATCTCGAACCATCTCTTTGTTTATTTTTTCAAGATAATTCGCAGTACGATTGTTCTTCAATTGTGCTTATGCTTTTGATATGATGACTTTCATGTTGTTTTTGTTTTTTATTTTCAAATAAAATTTTCTTCGAACAAATGAACGCAATCTACATACCATCTTCGTGTTTATCTTTTTCGTGAAATTTCCATAAACGAGCAGGATTCTTCGGGTTGACAAGCAAGGTAAGACAGACATTCGTAAGAAAGTTCAACTTAATCGACTAGTTTCAAGTGCATAGAGTATATTCAGAAATTCCTCAGCACGTCTGATTAAATACGTTACCCTCTCGCATGTTAAATATTTAAGTACATCTTATATTTTGGTTAGCGGTACATATCTCCACATACTTGTTCTCTCTCGGTTTTCTTTTTTTTTTATTAATTGAAGATTCGTTATCAAACCGACATACTTGAAAAGAAACAGAACCCTAGATTTGCAATGAAAAATCTTTGACACGGACATGAATACATCATTTTTTTCTCCATTTACTCCTATGCGCCTTTATTCATATGCTCATGCTTAGATTTACCTTGACCTTCAAAATGTATTCAATGAATTGTCTTTATTGTTAAGTAAGAAAAGACACGGAATGTAATAGCTGTGTGTATATGCGTGCTTATATGCTTACAGCACATTCACATTTGATTTGATTGTATATAGATTATATATACTCTCCTACAATGAGTCTTGTTTCATCAAGATCCATTTCTTTTTTTTTCATTCTCGAAGAATCAGAGATAAAGAAAGAGAGAAAAGAAGAAAAACCCCAGTCTTCCTCGCCTTCTTTCAGATTACTTGCTTCTATCAAACAGAAGAAACAAAAAAAAGACCTACGAGGAAGTTTGTCGATTAGCACAATAATCTAGCTGTCACGAATATGATACGGTCAGAAGTATTCCGAACAAAATGTTATCTATTTCTTAGCAAGAAACCAAAAGTTACATATGTATTATCTATTTCAGATTATTTCTTATTCAATGTCGCTTTTATACGGTACATAATGACAACTAATGAACAATTTTCATCGGATTTCCTACATAATCAAACCGATTCAGCTGTGTCATGTTTATCATCAAACGTTGGTTCCATAACAGATTTTCTTCTCAATTCAACACATTCCACAGAAAATACTAATGAGCAAATTTTTGAAAATAGTAAGCTCGAACGTTTAACGGTAAGCAAGTTCGTCTTTGCACACTGTTGATTCGGTCTGTTTTCGTCTGAGAAGGTCTGTGAAACTGAACCACCGAGTGAATTGAATGTATCGGGTAACAAGGAGAAACTAGGTCATCGGCGTGTTGATGAAATTGGCAATGTCACGTACAAACGTGTTATGGTCGATGATTTGATGAAATCCTTGCAGACTGGTTTGAATTATGTTCTTGGAAAACATCATCAGCCTCAACGACAAGTCCTCTTTCAAGATTTTCAACAGATCGAATACCAAGATTTTCCACCGTATGTATCAATTTCCGTCCTACTTAACAAAAATAGAAATATTTAGACTTCTCTGTCGTCTGATGACGTCGATTCTCGTACATTAGAAATGTCTCGATGTGCAATGACATTAACAGATGAGAGTAAATGTTTAATTGTGCACAATAATCATCTGTCATTTTTGATTTGATACGGAAAAGAAGAGTACTCGATGTTAATAGCATTTTAGTACTCCATTATCATAATCAAATATTGATCGAAAGACAGAAAAACATACATCTCCTTTTGAAAGTACAATCGTTGACCTTTATTTCTCTATAGAACTTGAGATTCGGTATCTTTTTCGGAAGGAAAAACTTCGACTGATTTAAATCAATCTCGATTAGATCATGCGAATTGGAATTCACATCATGTTGTCGATTCCATGAAACAATATAGAGAGATGATCATTATGTATAAGTATTTAAATCAGTTTGCTCAATTTCCAATACATTTCGTTTCTACCAATTGAATTCTGATAAATAGACATCTTTCTTAGTCAAGAACCTTGAAATTTTTATCGAATCTGACGGTTCAATTGATGAATGAGGTTGTTTACGAATGGGATATATATGCGTAATGAGATATTTCATTTCTGAGTACACGCATCGCCTTGTCAATGTTTTCTCGTGTAGGGAAGGATCGAAATCAACACCAAAACATCCATATGCTGAATTCCGCTTGAAAACTTATGCTCAAACTGCGTTTCGTTTTTTCCGAGACGCATTCGGCGTAGATTCATCATCATTCATAGTAAGTTAACAAAGATAGCCTTGCACTTCAATGATGAATAATGCTTTAGTTGTCACTCTGTGCTAAAGACTTACGTGAATTACCAAATCCAGGCGCAAGTGGTTCGATATTTTATCTCACTGCTGATGATAGTTATATTATCAAAACTGTATCGAAGAAAGAAGCACGATTTCTGCTCAGTCTTTTACCTGGTTATTACATGAATTTTACGCAAAATCCTTTTACGCTTTTACCAAAGTTCTTCGGCTTATTTTGTTATCAAAGTGCGAACAAAAATATTCGCTTTGTAATTATGAATAATTTAATTCCTACGAATGTTAAATTACACGAAAAATACGATTTGAAAGGTTCCATTTATAAACGTAAAGCATCCGAAGAGGAGCGAAAACGTGACTTACCAACATTGAAAGATAATGATTTCAAATGTTTACATCCACATGGCATCATTTTAGAACCATTTTTTTACGATCAACTCATGCAAACTATCGAAGATGACGTTCGAGTATGTCAAACGTAAATTTGCAACAAAATTTCCCGTAAATTCAATGTTTTCTAGGTGCTCAGTAGTTTCGGTATCATGGATTATTCATTTTTACTTGCTGTTCACAATATAACTGAAGAAATGAAATCAACATGTCAATTAACATTTGATTCCACCAGAGCAGTCACATCGTTGAGTGAACCGAGTGCATCGGATTTTCATACGAATGGTACGTCGAGTATTCATGAAGAAGTGACAACAACATCGACAGATTCCGGTATTGCTATGACGACAATATCCAAGCTTCCAACGTATGTACAATATCTACGGGTGATCGAATTCATTCGTGCACAGCAAGAAACTTCGAAATGTCATATCGAACGTTCCTTGTCAGCGAATCATATCGAAACAGCGAGTATCAAAACTATGAAACCAGATGCTTCGCCGAAAATTCAGAAGACATTGACAGATACTCCTCAATCGAAAGAACAACGATTAAGTTTAACAAATGTTACGTTTCGCATCAACAATCGAAGTCCAGTTTACCATAACCATAGCGCTCGATCATCGTTCCATACGGCAGCTGGTTTAATTGGAGGAGATGTTTGGTACAATCGACAAAATCTTTCTCGACTAGCAATGTATGTTTTGTTCATTGAAAGACATACTCGAAAAAGCACTTCTAATCTAGGGCTGGTGTACCAGCAGTGAATAAAAATGGTGATTTATTGTTATTATACGTTGGTATTATCGATATCCTACAGAACTATCGCTTACGTAAAAAACTTGAACATGCTTTCAAATCAACGCTAGTAACGAGGGTAGAACCGACACGATCGATCGTCGCTGAAAAGAGAGTAGATGTTTAATGTTTCATTTTCAGGAAGAAGTATCCGTCTGTAATCCAAGTCATTATAGTGGTCGTTTTGTCAGATTTATTTCACGTCGAGTATTCCGGAAAGGTACGTTTGTTTTCTTCCATGCGGCGATAAACAGCTAAACAAATACACTTTCTAGGAGGTCCTCATGGAAACACGCTACTATCTGATAGTCAGTCAAATACAGATCGACTAACTGTGCACAGCAGTCGGTACGTAATTTAAGGATGTTTTCATGAGAAAATCATTCTGCTAAATCTCATTTTTAGATTACTGGATCCATCTTCATTGTATCATTCACCACTGAGTGATGATGACAAGTCCTCAACAAGCAATCAGAACAACGAAATGCAGAGTGCCAGATCTTAATTGATAGTCTTCGCTTCTTGTTGTGTTTCTCTTGTCTTTCGCTGAACAACAATGATCTCTTGAAGAATTGTTTTCTCTTTACTACAGCAAATTAGCAATCGTATTGGAAATATATCTCGCTCTCTCTCTTTTCATCTATCGGAACGATTATGCATTGATTATAAGCAAATATTTATATTTCAAATAAAACGAATGTTTTTTTTTAAAAAGCCTTGATGTTTTTCTGTCTCAGATATAAAAATGATTTTGCTACGAAAAATTATTAAACAATCAATACAGATCCGATCTGCTAGTTGGTATGTTTGCTATTCAAGCTGATTCCATCAAGAATACCTGTTCGATTATTTAGTATATCGTTTCGGATCAATGAACTAGCGCGATTTAGCGATGGAAGCGCTATTGCACAAGTGAATATTTCTTCGTCAATTTCCATTCGATCTCTTTCACTGTTCACATAGATGAATAATACCAGCGTTTTAGTAACAAGTGTCAGTAAAGCAAAAGTACCTTCTGCTAATCCACCTTCATTTTTGCCACTGACCGTAAAGCAGATAAAAGCATTACAAGACGGGTTTGATGCATTTTTCCATTCTAGGTAGATTATCGAGAAAAAGCAGCTGCAGCTGGTCGAATACCAACGAATCATTTACGACGAGAACTCGGCTTAACTGATCATGAGATACTGACTGGAAGAATGATTGGTAAATTGCATGTTTGAGGATGTTCGTCTTGATTTCAGTGATTTTTGATTTCAGATCGTTCGATACGACCGTTGTTTTTGAATGGATACACCTACGATACACAAGTACTTGTGGAATATCATTAGAATACGACATCGCAAATGTTGCTTTTAGGTCACGTGCAACATACTTTCAGCTGATGGAACGACTGAACCAGATGTATTAGCGATCAATGCAGGTACAGAAAGAACGTTTAGAAAATTGAATGAAGTTTTGACCGAGTTTCGCTTTCTTTTAGCATCAGCTTCGTTAGCAACATCTGATATTCCCTGGAATGGACCTATCGGTAAGATGTTTCAATGGAATTTTGTCTCTCAATGAATGTATTGTTGCAGCTTCTGTTCGTATCGGATGCATTGATGGGCAATTTATTGTCAATCCTTCTCGACAACAAATGCAAAAGAGTGATTTGAATCTAGTCGTATCTGTAAATCCAAAAGGACATTTGGGTAATTTCAAAGAATTGATTACAATGCGAGAATTCTTCTGGTTTTTGCAGTCATGATTGATGCATCAGCAAATCGTCTATCCGACGAGAAATTCTACTCTGCTTTACAGCTCAGTGTTGAATCTTGTCTTCCGATCATTGAGCACATCAAAAGTCTTTCCAGTAAATCTAAACGTACGAAGATCGAATTGCAAAAATTCGATCCAACTCTGGTGGAAAAATTGTCAACACTATGTTACGATCGCTTGCTGCAGATCTTTACTGACTCGACATTGGATAAGATTGCACGTGACACAGCGATCACTGTTGTCCGACAAGAAGTTCTCAATGAAATTCTCACTAAAGAAGGAACAACTCCTGTTAATCTAACAGATACGTTCGGCTATGTTGTAAAACAAATATTTCGAAATCTAATTTTCGAACGTTCGCATCGATGTGATGGCCGTTCATTTGATCAAGTACGTCCAATTAGTTGCCAAGTTAATCTTTATGATTCATTACATGGCTCGGCACTGTTTCAACGTGGTCAAACTCAAGTTTTATGCACAGTAGCATTTGATGCACTTGATTCTCAATATCGACACAATGAATTCGCTTGGCGGACAGGCATTAAACGTAAACCATTTATACTTCACTACGAATTTCCACCGTACGCGACCAATGAAATTGGACGAACGTATGGAAGAGCAGATCGACGAGAGTTAGGTCACGGTGCTTTAGCAGAAAAAGGTGTCGAACCAGTGGTGCCTAATGAATTGCCATTTATGATACGTCTAACGTCTGAAGTACTAGAATCCAATGGATCATCTTCGATGGCCAGCGTCTGCGCAGCAAGCCTGGCACTGATGGATGCAGGTATACTTATCGATCATTATTAACAAATCGATTGATATGATTTTTTGTTTTAACAGGTATAAATATTCATGAGCCGGTTGCTGGTGTCGCCATTGGACTGGTCTCTAAATGTGCTGATGATGGTTCCATTTCTGATCATCGCGTACTTACAGATATCTTGGTAAGTTCTTACTTTGAATGTTACTATGATCTCTTTTTCACATATGTCAGGGCATTGAAGATTATATGGGCGACACAGACTTCAAAGTTGCTGGTACTCGTAATAGTATTACTGCTCTGCAAGTATGTTGTGCCTTTGGTTTTCCTCACAGAAACGAAAGATCCTCTTCTTTTTCATAGGCTGATATAAAGAATATGGAAGGTCTACCATTGAACATTGTAAAAGAAGCCTTACAAGCGGCTAAAGGTAAATGTGACACCGTACTTTGATCTTTTTTTTAAAGGAAATAGTTTAGATGCTCGTTGCAAAATAATCGATATCATGAATACAGCCATCCAGCAGCCAAGACAAACGAAAAAATACAATACACCCGAATTAGAAACGTTAACTATTCCAAGTCACAAACGTCGACGTTTTCTTGGCGTTGGAGGAATTAATCTGAAGAAAATCTTAGCTCAGACAGGTTTGTAAGCACCGTAGCTAATCTTGATTGTAGTACAACGCGTGAAATCTAGGTGTTACCATCTCTCCAATTGATGAAATAACCTATTCTATATTTGCACCAAATAAGGACGCATTAAATGAAGCCAAACAGATTATCGACAAACTTCTAGAAGAAATGAAAGAACCTGAACTGGAATTTGGTGGTATCTATACAGGCAAAATTGTTGAGATACGTTCGAATGGTGTTCTCATACAACTCTTTCCAACGATGTCACCTGTTCTACTGCCCAATTCACAACTTGATCGACGAAAGGTAATCTCTACTCTCAGAGAAATGTTCCAAATAGTATTGACCTTATTGCACATTAGATTGATCATCCCAGTGCGTTAGGTTTGAATGTTGGTGACGATTTACAAGTGAAATATTTTGGTCGCGATCCTGTCTCAGGTACAATGCGTCTTTCACGAAAAATTCTTCTCAGTACCGGCGGTGTCGGACCAGTACGAAATTTCATTGCAACTGACAAAGATGAAAAACGACCTGGTATATGGGATACTCAATCATTGAAGTCAACTATTTCCGATGAGAAAGAAAAATTGTGAACATTTGTTTGTTTTTCATTCAGATAAATAAATCAGCGATGAATTTGTTCTAGTGAACCAAACTGAAAGCTATCGCGTATAAGACATTCATCGAATCTCGGTCGATACATGTCAATCATTGTGCATATCTTCATTTAATCTTCCAGTGACGTCTTCTTATCATCATCGACAAACAAACTTTTAACTTCGTTTTAATCTTGTCATGAATCATCTGATGTGTGTCTCGCATGTCATACAAGTGCGCCGAACTCAAACAATACTCTGCATGTCCTTATATCTGCACAAGAATTTTGTTCGATTTTTGAATAGTAACAGAATGTTTGCGTGGACTTAAGTGTTTCGTTTCTTTTTTCAATGCTGACGTCACTTGTCACGTTGCTAGGGCCGATCGATGATTGGCGTCATTAAAAATTTAAAAATACAGTTACCATTGGTAACTTTGCACTTGAAACTGTATGCTTATAGATACGTCAAAAGTTTGACTTAATTATTCTGTTTGCAAACCGGTCTATTTAAATCCTTAAGTTTGAAAGAGTATTTAACTACTTTTCATGGCCCACCATGCATTATTAAAATAAAGTGGACAGATACTAGAGTATGATGTCAAGTAATTACTTCGAGTGCCTTGTTGTTTTCGATCGAAAAAAAAACAAGAAGAAGAAAATTTTATGCCGACAGTAAACTGGGCAAAGAGAAAAACGAGTTACGTCAGGAATGAAATAAATAATTTTTCTTCGGGTTCTCTATGTGAATGCCTTGGGGACTTTTGCCCCATTGCATTTTGTTATTTGATGAGTGAGTATATAGTATACACCAGAGAATAACCGTGCACAGTCGTATATTAAATCTGTCGTCATCATTTGCCTCTTAAAAAGCGAATCTTCGAGAGACGAATAGGCGAGCCCGCCAACAAGTGACATCCACAAAGCAAACTACGTTAATCATTCGGATACAGAAGAAGCGAAAATAAGGTATTTATAATGACGCTATCAAAAAAAAAAGCAAGCGAAAGAACTTTCGCTTTGCCCTCTGTAAATACACAGAAAAAAAAGCAATCAACTCGATCCTAAACCGGATCGATAAATCGAGACAAGTGCACGTTTTCGAAGCGCGTGATCTCTGCGTATAACTTGTCTTCGATATAAAAGCTATAGCAATTACCAAATCGTTTTAGTTTTCTTCTTGTAATACTACATGACGCATAGAAGGTGTTTTTTTCGATTGAGATTAAAATTGTCCGACATGATTGAATAATTACCGTCTCGATCAACGAAAAAGTACGTTCTCGGACGTTTTCGCAAACAGTAATAATCAAATAGCAGGGTGATAATTTTCTTTTTCTTTTTCTTTTTTGTCGCTAGCGAATAAGGAGATCTCTCCACTTTGAAATATGACGCCATATCTCAAGCAATTTGAGTGATAACTTCATGAAAGAAGTGGTTTGGATATAGAAAGAAAAACAAGCCTACTTTACACATATTAGACTCACAAGTACTCAGATACTATCGCTCCTGGTTGTATTCCTATAGGTTTACATCTTTCATAGATCAGATATTTACAGTAAACTTCCGTTATTCATAATCCCCAACATTTTCTTTAGGTAGCGAAAAAATAGCAAAGCATTGGATCGATCGTCAGAAATAAGTACATTCAGGTTGTACGTGCACGACATCTATCGTCGACGTTTACTTAGGAGAAAAAAAACGATGTAATAAAAATAAGTAGTCAAAAAATTGATGTTTTTTTGGTAAACAATCGTTGCCGGCGATAGTTGTGAATTTATTTTGAGATTTTCATTTTCATTGTTTTCTTTTTCCCTTCTTGCCCTTGATAAAGTATATATATATATATTCGTTTTTCTAATAAACAAATAGACATGTTGAAAAAAGAGAAGAAAAAAACAAATGCAGAGAAAGAAAAAAAAGAGAGCTTACTTTTGTAAAAAAGAAGAATCGAACTTAATGTGAGTAAGCATATCGAAAATAAACAGTTTGAAAACAACGCGTTTATCTTCTTCTTTCTTTTTCAAGGTATGAAACGTTTTTATAATCAGTCTATTCTGGCAGAAAAACTTATGAATACGTTTCCTAACGCCGAGAAATCGACCAAAACTTCGACAACACCAACAACTATAACGAAAAGAGCACCTTTGACTAAAGCGTATAGTTGTTCAGATGCATCCCCGTCGAATTCATCCGGCATTTGTAGATTCATTACTCCGAAGGAATTTGTCGACTTAGTTTCGGAGAAATCGAATAACCAAGATGTTCCCATACTCGATTGTCGTTCACAAATGGACTTCGGTTGTGAACGAATACGTTCGTCACACAATATTAACTGTCGAACGAAAATCATGGCGAGAAAATTAACTTCCAAACGTTTAGAAGATGTAGAACCGAACTTATCCTCCTCTTTACATAACTCTGACATCGTTATTCTCTATGATCAATCAACAGATGTACCGGAAGAAGATAAAATGCGCTCTCTACCGATGAATCTTGTTGTTCAAGCTGCACAGAAATCAAATAAAATAGTTCAAATAATTCAAGGTAAATGGCAAACTAGATGGATGACATAGAGATTAACTAAATACATCTACCAAATAATGCCCCGTCGTTTTAGGTGGTTTAGATGCAGTTAAAACTGAATTTCCACATTTGATTGAATGTGCACCGGAAGCACCGAAATGTAAAACTGATGACGATCTACCTCCTTTACCAGCAAGTCCCGATACAATCGATAAGGAAAATATTATTATGTCAGAAATCGTTCCACGCATATATGTTGGTATGTACCATTCTTCTTCCGAAATGCAGACCACTCACAGAGAAATCTGAAGGAAAGAAAAACAAGAACGTAAATTGATTGATAAAGTATTGAGTCATTCAAACAACAATGAAAGAATAAGATAAAAGTCTTTTTCTCCCTCTTCGTTTTCAAGCTCAAGGTTATAACGACATAATAAGAAAATATTTTAATTAGTTCGAATCAAGAACAAGAATCATTCTTTTCTAGGAAATATATGTGACGCACAAAATCTCGATCGATTGACTGAGCATGGAATAACACATATTATAAATTGCACACCTGATTTGCCTTTCTATTGNCACAAATGCGAAGCATGATGCACTAGCGACCCAGACGTCGAGAATCGTACCAAATCGTTGAAATAGTTTACGTATTTCACTGACATCGACACCAGGAGCTAGTTCGGCAACATGTACACGAAATTCGTTCGGTCGTTCACTACTATTTTCACGGTCGGAGCGAGGCGAACGAGAGCGTCGCGAGGCAGAGGATGATGCGCTTCTTGATCGTGGCATTTCTTCCTCAGAATAAACGTAAGCAAAATACTGAAATGAATGTAGAGTTATTGATAAGAGATTTAATTTAGATATCGAACAGAGGCAAGAAAAACAAATAGCCAGAGTCGAATGAATAGATGTAGACAGAAAGAAAAAGTGAGTAAGAAAATGTTCATATACAAATATAACCTTGAAGTAGAAATGAGTAACAATAAAGAATTAACACGTTTATCTATATATCACAAATGTTTGAAGGGAAAATAACAAACTTGATGGTTATTGTTCGTAGACAGCATTTACTTTAGAAAATCATGTTCGTGGTGGGCTAAACAAATGAGAATATTATATAAATTTGTATGGAATCTGCTGTGAAGCCAGTGGAATGCAAAATAAAACTGATATTTTTCCAAAAGAAACTACGCACTTCGAAGTCGAGTGAGATGTTTAAGCGTTATTTCTTCTCAGAAAAAAATAATAACCTTCGATTAATTATCTTATTTACCTTGTGTAATAGCCATGTCCATTCGCACGACTTTCGTAATTAGACGATGGTGACGTTCGCCGAGGACTAATGAGTAAAATAAAACACAATTAATTTGCTGTCGTGATTCTATCAAGTGAAAATTACCTATATCGACGAGTATCACGAAGAGTTCGAGAGCTGCAAGAGAGTAAGAAGATAGAAGAGCAACGTGAAGTCTACGCTTCTAGCATACCGAGATCGTGAATAAGATCGTTCGCGTCGACGGTCATGTGAACGAGATCTAGATAAATAACATGTAAACATAATTAAGTTTGAAAGTTATGAAAAGGATGGAATGAGCGAATAATCAAGCGAAAATTTACCTTGGTCTTTTTTGAAATGTCCATACTTTCAAGTAATTCTCGTAGTCAGAAGCATACTACTAATCCCAATATGATATCATTCAAGTCTCTAGTCTTTTAAATCGTTAGGATCTATCGAAATAGATGCTTACCGATAATTATGACCCGTACTTTGTGTTTACGTTGATCATTACCACAGTCTCGACTAAAATGACCTCGCGAACCACATTGATAACATCGCCTAGAAAGAAGAATTCAATCATTCCAGTTTTATCCTTTCTACATACATATTTGGATCGAAATTTCTTCCTGCATGACTACGAGTGCGTGGTCGAGCTAAGGACACTCGAACACGTGCGTCTCCAATACATCTAAAACAACGCGAGATGATTTTGTTGGATGCATCAAATCATTTTCTTCTACCGGCCGTCAAGTTCGCTGATGGCATGTTGCCCATCTTGGCGATGACGCAGTACAACAAAAGCAAAACACGAAGCTTGTGCATGCCAGACTTCAATAATTGGCCATTTATTAAACGCTTTTTCTATATCACGTTTTGTGCAGTTCGACGAAAGATCAGCTACATGAATACGACAACCATTTTCACCATCGTCATTTGTATGATTGTACGGTGAATACGAACGATCGCGTCGATAAGATGATGTCATCGTCGGTGAACGTGAACGAGAGCGAAGTATAGTGAAGTAAAATTCTACAAGAATGTAAAAAAAAAGTTTACACTATGAAATAAAGAACAAAACAGTCAATAAAAATTTCACATCGGAAATTTTTTTATTATTGGAAGTTTATTTTATTTGTCAAATAATCAATCTGATGAAAACATGAACACATTTCAGTTTGAATTTCATTTCAATGAACTTTTTTTTTTGAATTATTTGTTTTCAATTCAATAGATGCCGCTGATCTTCGTGGATACGGTTATAAAACTTCCTGGTCATATAATATTTAATATCAATAACATGATTATTAGTCACTTGCGTCATCGTGTCAATCTAGGCTCATAGAACATATATGCACTTATATTTTATTAACAGAATCACATATTTGATTGACAAGATTAAAAAATTACGCGTTTGCTAGAATCATTGAAGTGCCTAACGTTCCTTCAATACTCAACAATCTCTCGTAAAGACATACGCAGAATTCCTGAGAGTTACTATTGGATATCGCGAAATGTTTCGCTTTTCTTCGTATGCAATAGACAGAATGAGAAACAAATATCTTCATAAGAATATTCGTTTATTTCTTCCTGTAGAGTACATACCATTATTGCACGATGGAAGATAATAACATTTTATTCAGTATTTCGCAACCTTACTGCGAAGATGATCGTGATTTCGCCTAGCTTTCTGACCATATTACTGTTTGAATCGACCAGCATATTTGTTTACCGGATGCTAAAAAAACTTTGAAAGCGAAAATTCGATAATAATATTCAAATTTTACGATTAAACAATGCCACTGATGATAGTCTTATAGATATTGATCGGCATGTATTAAAGGAATTTGAGGCAGAGGTTTATTGTATGAAATGTTTTTCAACAGCGGAAGGTAGTATAAATTACATTCATACTAATTCAAACAAAAGAATATTTTTCATTTTATCTTGCTCCAACGGACAAAAAGTTGTACCGCATTTGGTTGACTCTGTTTAAATACAAGGAATTCATATATTCTGTCGAAATATATTCGCACGTACAGATTGGGTAGGCGATTATGTCAAAAGAATATCAGGAATGTTTGAACATTACGATGATGTGTTACAATGTTTAACTCGATATATTGCTGATTATCTTGAACAAAAAGATAATTCATACAGATAACATTTTGAATTTTTGAGAGCACGAAATTACTTCATCGCGGGCAAAGTTTAGTTGATAAATGGTCAACAAAAATAGTCGAGCGAGTTAGAGAAAAATGGCAAGACTCTCAATCATCTAAATGCAAAGAGTGAAGACTTAACTCAAACAATGACTCAGTCAAGCAGTTTCAATGCTTTTCACCCAAATAAACAACATTGCCTATTTTGATGTTGAATTATAGTATGACTAGTTTATGCTTTGTATTTTTTGTTATTGGTTTGTAAGAAAAACAGAGTCATGCACGTATTTGCGTTCTTTCAACGGGTAACTTGGTTTTTTCCTAGTAAGCTGCTGCATCGACCAATGACAAGTGACTCGTCCAAGTTTTTGTCAATAAAAGTTTTCGATGAAAGAAAAAATAAAAAGAGTTTCTTTCATTTTACCTTCTAGACTATAGCGAATAATGTCTGATCAACCACCCCGACCTCCACGACCACATGGTCCTCGACTCAGCCATTTGCATTCGGAACCTGTGCCGATGTCATTCGCATCTCCACAACAATTAGCTTATTTAGCAGCTGGAGGTAGTTTATTTCCTCAACAACCGATGCACACGATGCATCAACCACGTATGCCAAGAATGGCTGCTCCATATCACACGAACATGGGACATCATCCGATGTACCGAATGCAAACTTCGTCGAGCACGATGATGACGAATGACACGATATTCACTCCTGCTGCTGTGCCACAAACAGCAGTAGCTGCTGCTAATCGTCAACCATTCAAGTCACTACCTCCACAAGAGATTAACTTGACTCAATTTACTGGCTTTAAATTCGTCACGTTAGATGGTTTACAAGAAGAAACACGAGGTATTTATTATAAAATTAGTAATGCTCTTCAGTGGGAGATGTGCGATGGTCAAGAAAATTCATGTCTCGATGCTATTCAGAACAAAAGTAAAGATAAACGAGTGTTTCTCGTCACATCGGGCTCATTGGGAGCTAAGATTGTACCACAAATCCATGAATTACCTCAGGTCTATGCCATATATGTTTACTGTGCTGATGTCAAACGTCATAAAGAATGGGCGAAGAATTTCTCGAAAATACGTGTTGTCTGCAACGATGACGATCGAGAACTTTTACCACAGTTCGCTGTTGACGTCGCTCGAGCGAATGTCGATTGGGGTGATGCTCTGCTCAAAGCTGGTACGCGTGATAAAGCGCAAGAAAAGTATCAGTTAGCATTAAATAAACTAGCTGAATATTCGCCGAATCATGATCCGACAATGGATGTTGAAATCAAAGGAAAATTAGAACAATGTAAATAAAAAATTTCTGATTGAAAATTTTTATGCAAATACATCCATCGACGACATTAACAAACAGGTGCTTTTCATAATCCTGTAAGAAGCGATGTCGGTCAATTTTCACTTTTTGTTCCAAATAATAGAAAAAGAAAAATGTATTTATTTTTTCTTTGTTTATGTCGTCATCTGTATGCTCGTATGAAATGAAATATTTATAATGGAACACGAGCTCATCATCATATACATAAGTACATGTAAAACCGAGACAGAAATATAGTCAGACACACACACACATATCACTGCTTTGAAGTTCTCGAAAGAAAGAAAAATGAAGAAGAAGAAGAAGAAGATAACAACGATTGACAGGCAAATACAAACAAACGGCTCAAGATATATAGAAGCCAACCGAAGGGAAAAAACTTCATACATATGTATGTGCAAATGGGGAAAAGGAATAGAAAAAAGAAGAGAAACAAATTTTCTATGTTCTGTGAGATCATCGTTGTAGAAGGGATGTTGACAGTTCTGATTTGTATGTTTTTTTTTCGAAACAATCAATGAACAAACAACAGATAACAATAAAATATGAAGAGAAAAATCAAAGAAGGAGGAGTATTTTGTTTTTGTATGTATGAACAGGAAAAAAGAAAGAAGGAAAGAAGGAGAAAGGATGTAAAAAAAGTTGAATGAAAAAAAAAATACCAGATTGATCTAATGGTAGTTGAAGTTCATTCGATTCTATTTGCGCAAATCAAGTACACACACCTTGAAATACGAAGAAAACAATCTTTATTGGAAAACATGTTCAGTGACACTTACTGTTCCATCTGACGCACTTGCGCCTACTCGTGTGCCTCGACTGTTCCAACAAACTTCAAAGATACCACCAGTTCCACGATAACTGTGTACAATTTCACCTCTCTACATACACATTTCGTTAATTTCAATCGGAGAAAAGATCAAGAAACTCACGGCTATATCCCATATATAAATAGCTTTATCAAATGAACCTGTGGCAAGTAATCGACCATCAGGACTGAATGAGACGGAATAGACAGGTTCTGTATGTTTCACGAGTGTACTCTGACAAGTACCGCGTTCCACATCCCATAAGCGTACTGTCGAATCGAATGATGCACTAGAAGACAAGTACACGTTTCATTTCGTAAAAACAATTCACACAATGGTGGTTTACCTAGCAAGAAGTAGATTAGCATTCGGATTCATAGTTCCAGGACCAGTCGGACTCCATTTAATTGTATAGATTTCTTTATTATGTGCTTGTAAATTATGAACAGGTGTATCCTTTGTCATATTCCAGATCTAAAATCAAGATCGACTATGAAGAAAAGCTTTCATAAAGCGCTGTCCTACTTTTAAACTCATATCATCTGAACATGAAGCAAGTAATCGTCCTTGGGGATCCCATTTAATTGCATTGACTTCATTTTGATGTCCATGGAATGTTTTCAATGGCCGTTGTTCACCTAGTCGACATACATGAATCTTTTGATCGGTTGAACATGATGCAAATGTGATATCCGATTGCCAATCGACATCGAGTGCAGGTGCTGTATGAAAAGCAAACTGTTGTTCACAATGTCCAGAGTTAGCATCCCAAATAATGGTCGTACGATCGACACCGGCTGATAGAATATAGTTGCCTTTCTTATTCCATTTCAAGGCAAAAATTGGACCTTTGTGTTGACCAAGTGTACTAGCTAGATTACCATCAGATGACCATATCCGAGCGTAACCATCATAACTCCCAGTCGCCAGTTGAGTGCCCGATGGCTAAAAATCAAAATCAACAAATTCGATACAAAGTCACTCAAATGATTGCTTTTTTTTACACTTACATTCCAATCGAGGCTGGTCACATCTTTATTGCTTGGCACTTGGGTGTCGCCTCGTCGAATGCAATGTCTTAGAACCATTTCCGGCTCGCGTGTACCTTGTAGATTCCAGATACGAGCTGTTGAATCTCCTGAACCGGATGCTAGTAAATCGTGAGTGGGATTCCATGCACATATGAACACTTCCGATTCATGACCACGTAAAACCGTCACACGATTCGGTGGAATTTCAACGGAACCATTCACCATCGCATTGTTAGTATTATTCAACGAGCCCGGTAGTGTAGGCAAAGAATTCGATGTCGAATTTCCTGAATAATGAGAATGATGATGACTATTATTCACAGTTTCATAATCCATGGGTTCGTGTTTCGGTACTAGAAATCACAAAAAATCAAAGACGACAATATGAATGAAAAACGGGTTTTCTCTCATACTGGCAATATGATTTGTACTATTAGAATATGATGAAAGGGAACTGTTATCATTTCCATTGGGGATGGCAGGATAATTTCCTGCGTTTGTTGACGATTGATGGGTGTTCGTATGAGAAGATGACGAAGGCGGATGAGTATGAGAATAATGCGAATGAGTACTGGCAGGTGAATGTGAATGTCCTGGTAATGGTGTATTGAACATCTTTAATGACATTGAGGTAGGATCGGCCGATGAAGAATTTGAATGATTTATTCCTCCATTTACTGAACTGGAATCTATATTTGAACGATCAGTTATCGTAGGATGAGTAGATTGTGGCGAAGTGTTCGTTACAGGATGCATTGGTGAGCGATCTTTCTCATTAGGAGTCGACGAATGAATATGAGTCCGAGACGACGATTTCGAGTCCGTTTTTACGGTTGGACCTGTCGATGACGACGACGATGTTGACGATTGTTGTTGTTGCTGCTGATGAAGTTCTCTACGACGTGTTTCGACGATCTCGGGTACTACGGCATCGATTAAACTTAGATTCTCACATGTTCGTTCTTGGCCATCCTAAACAGAACGGTCGAGTCATAGAATGGAGCGCCGATTGAAGAAATCAACTGCTCCGATTTCCAAAGATTATGCGTCCGAAATGTCTCGATAGCCATTCCGCACGGTGTTTTCAAATGAAAACAGAGTAACCGTGTGTTATGTCTTAACCAAAAAAGAACAACAGACGCCCTTTTTTTAAGCAAATGCTTCCAAAGAAATACTCTTAAAATAACCCGTTTCGACAAAAGAAAACCGGTGATTAGAAACCTGCTCACTAGGGTAGAAAGACAACGCCATCTGTATATCAACTTACATCGCCAATACATAATTCAGCTTCGGTATAGTAGAGACCTTTTTGCATAAGGGATAGGAGAGCACCTGGTGGAACAATATTGCCATTGATTGACGTATGAGCAATATGACTTTCGAGACCAAATAAATAAGCTGAATGAACAAATCCTAGAGAGAGACAAAAGAAACAGTAAATATATGTTGTTTGTATTTGTTTTGTCGATTGTTCGCCTACATTGATTGTATTTTAATGTTATGACAGATAGAAAAGCATTTTAAGTACTTTTGTCTTCGGAAATGAATCTGAGTACATTATTTTACATGCGCTTGCTAGTTGTTCTTTCGCTAAGTAGACTTTGTCATTCAAATAAATGACTGTCAAGATCGGTTGACTGTGATTATTCGTAAAAGTATTACAACACGCAGTCTTTCATCAAGTAGAACATTATTATTATCAAGGATGTATGTTTGTTTGTTCCCTAAACGACCTCAATTTCATTTCTTCGCTTTTCTTTAACTAGAGAGCACATGCACACTATCGAGACTCGACGTAAAGAGAAAACACACACACACACTTGATAACAAGAACACAAGGAGAAGAAAAAACAACCTATTTGTATGCAAGAACATGCCGTTAGAGAGCGTAAATGATGACGGCGATAACAACAACAAAAAAGAAACGACGTAAAAGATTTTTATCAAAGGATAGTAAAATAACATCTCGAGAACCATATACTATTTATAGATTGGCGTCATATGAACTTTAACTGTCGGAGTTCTGAGAAAAACAAACTTTACAAAGCAAATAAATGAAATTAAAATAAAAAAAAAAACGGAAATGAATTTACACTTTCAACAGAAACAACATCAGATTTTTTTCCACCCTCTCCCCTCGCATTACATCCACGTCGGCGAACGCACAGGTATACGTTTCTGTCAAGACTTTTACATTCTTTTTTTTCTCGTTACTCATATCTAATTCAAATATGGCTAAGAGGCAGAAAATGAGACTCAAAGGCAAAGGTCAGAAAAAAAACACACGTATATACACATACAAAAGAACGTGACGAAAATATATCATACCTGATTCTGCTAAATATCGATAAATAAGATAATTGACTTCGTCAGATGTGAAACTCATTCTCGCATGCTAAGCCTCGCCCAAATGCGAGGTTTATTTCGAAGAAAAATTGTAAAATAAATACACGTTGTTGATAACAATCTAAAAATACAAAGAACAACATCAATGTGTGCGCTTTGATTTCAGACTGCACATTAATAAGGTCAAAGAATATGACGTTCCTAAAATTAACTTCTTCATCAATATTTCTATCTTTCGTTATATATATTTTTTTCATGACTTGCCATTTCTGAGTGTTTCTGCTTCATCAGTAGTGCAAGTTAACGTGTCAAACATTACATAGAGAAAAAAAGAAGAAAGAACATACACATCCATACCTATCGTCAAGACATGATGACGACGATGATGCGAGTATGTAAAGAAATAGAAATAGGAAAAAAAATTGGCAAGTATGAATGTAAATAGTTGTGGCCCTGACTCATGCGTATATATATATATGTGTGTATGTGTTGACTTCTTCCTTTTTTTACCTATTTATCGTGTAGATTGGACATATATAAAAGTAACTATTGATTCAACGATCATTTTGCATTGTAACATCGAATGTCTATCATTATTAGACGTCTATAAACCCGTGTAATCTCGCGTGAGATAGTTATTAAGAGCTGAAAATAGTCTGAGAGAGAATTTGGCAAAATATCTTGTCATGCTAAAGGTTTGTTGATGAAAACTGCAGCTGTTGAAAAGGTCAACAAGTCCTTCAATATACAAACGCATTAGTATCATATCTACATTTGTCATTGCATCGAGGAAAAAGATGACGAAGAAGAAGAAAATACGATGCATAAATTAGTTTCATATTTATATCCAACGCGTACTTGACTAATAACATTGAAATGAGGCGTCTAGATGTAACGATGAAATATTTAATTAGAGAAAAAGAAATGACAAAAATATGTCTGAACAAAATAGCGGCTGAAGAGGAAAGAAAAAAAGCTAGAAGAAGATCATCTCGAGATACTCTTGCTCTTTAATCAATCGATAAATACGTTCTAAAAGCACTTTTTTTTTTACAAAGGACAAGAGGTTCTCAAACCTTTTTCTCCTTGCGTTTTGTTTCTTTTCAACACACACACACACACATGTCTTCTCATGTAACTAGTGTAGACGAACTTCTTTTTTGCCGTAAACATAAATGAAGTTAATTCTTTTCTTCGTGTCGTTTTTACTTGATACCATAGCTGATAACCTATCAGCCTTCACATAATACACTCTCATGAGTCAATAGTTGCATGTAACTCTCAGGGTAAATATCAAAATTGTTAACTATCAGGAGATCTCAAATATTAAAATAAGAATGAAAGAGAATGCATAATAAGTGATACAGTAGTTCATGAAAACAGTATGAGTAATTTGATTTTTTTTTCAGCAGAGTAGAAATGGCGTCGTTTATATATCAGAGTGCATGACCTACAACAGTTGGTGCCTAGTATATAGCCCCAGAATAGAATCGGATGTAATATAAGAGTGAAGAAAAAAAGAGTAAATCCGAAGATGACAATCAATAGATATTCATCATCGGAAAAAAAGTACCTTTTCATTACTATTGAAGCTGACGAAACAATAGAGTAGTAATAGAAGAAGAAAAATAACGTAGTAATCAAATTAAACACGTTATATATGCATAATTACATCATATGTATACATTCTCGATGTATACAGATGGATATGTTCTGTTCGAATAATAATATAATAATCATTTAAGGAGAAAACTGAGCACTAATCATCAATTGGCTGTAAAAAATAGATAAAATTTTGCATAACAAATCGAGAAAAGAGAAGGCAAAGAGACAAATGATGATCAATTCTAAACGATTGAAATTTAAGACGCAAAGCAATACCTTTTGTCTATTTCTCAGTTGAGTATTGTCACATTGAGAGTCTTCATCGAATACGATTTGTCGTTGATGAGATCGGATCTAGACGAATTAATTCAATGTTCTGAAACAACGACAGAAAAATAGTCGAGATGTGAACTTCATATTAGTACGCATGTAAGAAAAAGAAGAAAAAAAGAGAAAAAGAAAGTCCGCCTCAAAATACACACGTGTGTGGTTGGTAGGAGTGATGATGGTGTGCGAACCGATTGCACATTCTTGGTCTGTTTTATGTCCTTCTTTTTTCCCTTTTACATTGCCCGTGCGTCGCCTTTACACATATACTCTCCTCCCACCAGTAGTATGCTGTTGTTCGTATTTTTTCAACCCGCATGCGCTCGCGCATTTGTTTTCTCCGTTTTTTTTTCTTTTCTCTCTTGAGCCATAACTGGGTGTCTGTGCAAGCACTCCGTCTTGTTTTCTACGCTACGCGACCTTATGGTCGAACCCGACGTCGAGAAAAGTTCGCTATTTTTGTCGCTTACGGAGCAAGGAAAAACGCGATGGGAAGGGAGAAGACAGAATGCTTACATAATTACATTTTTAGATCATCGCCAGTAATGTCAGAAAAGAAAAGGAGCGATAAAGAACTGCGTAGAAGAGAGAGAGAGAGAAAGAAAGGGAGCGAAGAGAAAAACATCGCTGGGATTCGAGGACGAAGATTGTCAAGCGTGACAGATGAGCAAATAAGTTATGTAATATGAGTGAAATTTAACACATCTCTCATCTGCCATATAGAACGAATATTCTTGTCGACATTGTATTCTTATCAGAATAAATATTTATCAGCGAAGAGGGAAAAAAGCAAATGAAACCGAAGAGAAATAGAAAAAAAAGAGAAGAAAACGGAAGGCACAGCTGATGGCAACATGCCAAGCCAGTACGACCGTAGTACCGACAGACATTTTTATGAGTCATACATTGTCAGTTGTTTTTTTCCCCTTAGATTTCTCTATCGACACTTCTTCCGGCTATTCAACTTATCGGATGAGTACCATCTCAAACTGTAATGACGTAGATAAATATACTCATATTTATATTTATTTATTTATTTATCAATATCAAACCTTCACCCGTACGCATACTGTCGAGGTCAAGGAAAGATGATGCGAGAATACCAGCTGTCTAGTTTCTCAAATTTCTTTCTGCTTTTCGAAAATCTGTTACCGAATACGATAATATTTGTACTTTGCTTTTCATCATCTACTCACCTTGATTTTAAGAATAGATGAGAAAAACAGATTTATCTGTCAAATCTGTCGATCGGATGAGTGACTTGCATATATGCACCTCATAATATGCGGTGCTTTTGTAAAATATTCATTCATGTGTTTTCACGTTGCTTCTTTTGATCGTTGCCCACGTGCACGAATACGATCAGAATGATATCGATGATATGCAACTGTAATAATGAATCATGATTGATTGTCAACGATAAGAGCAGGGAAAGAAAATATGTAGTAATGAATGAAAAAAAAGGTGAACTATGATATGTAAAAATAAATAAGACGTGGACGATACACTGATTAGATGTATGATCGATGTTTGTTGCGCATTAGTGAGCATATGATTGTAGTTGTCTAGAGCGCAACTGACAGAGGAAAAAAACATATTTACATGTGTCTCTCTGTACTTATGCAATTGACGGCCTTTAAAGAAAAAAAAGCGATCGGTAATGGCGATAGGAAATAATCATTGACAAAAAATGCTATTTATCGAGATATTGTTCTTTTTCTAATCGATAGGAAGATTCTGCTTCAGCCCGTGTCGTTTTACTAATAAGATCTGTTTGAGTGAGATACGCTGAACATGTGTTTCATGATTTTGTCGATGAAGGAAATGAAGCGGTCGGACTAAAAATACCTTCGAAGAGAATGAGTTGCCTGCTTGTTTCTCATCCTCTTATAAAGATATCTTCGACGATGCGAACTTAATTCAACGGAAGACATTTTCAAATGCACTTTTGTATAAAAAAAAACTCGTTCTTTTAATTATAGAAAATGGAGAAAAGGGCCACAGGAAAGTATGTCATGAAAGGACGCAGAAAAACAACAATTTGAAAACGCTAATTTGTTCGGTATTTTTGAACCCAAATGCCGTATGCTTTGGCTATATCTGCTGCCGTCCACGTTTTCTTGTGATAATCGACTAATGGTGAAGTCTTCTTCGACGTATTCGTTTCGTATCCAAGTTGAAAGTCTTTCAAATTAGTTGTAATTGTTCCGGAACGCATGTCGAATTGCTGACCTATGTCATCGACATAGTCAGTAAACTTGCCCTGTTTTGTATTGAAGTATTTTTCCACGGCTAATGCTAACATAATTGTGGCGCGCATTTTGGCAGGATAATAATCTTTGGGTGTAAATCGATAGGGACGAAAAAGGAATCGTTCACGATCGAGCGAAGGTACTTTCAAAGTCAGTCCTACACGTGGTGATGCAATGAGTTCTTTTGATTCAATAGCAGTGCTTGGTCGTAAATAAATAAACGAATTTCGGTTGAAAACATTCAAATTCTTCAGTAATTTCAGTTCGACAAGATCTTTGATTGTTTCACTCTTACATAATTCTAATATAGCATTGACAACTAAACAGCTACCTTCGTAGATTTCATTCGTTTCAAGATTTTTTATCGAGCGAATTAGTATTCCACCGTAGGATGATCCATCTGTTGAACCGAAAGTAATATCTAAGCCTCTGGAGGGAGAAAATCAGTAGTGAATGCTTATGAGAATAAACTAGACACGTACTTATAAGTACCTGCTTTGTAACTAGCTGTTGCTGATGTACCTTGTCGATGAAAATACCAATTTTCATAATGCTGTTGTTCCGGATGTCGATGTGCGAATGAATCAGCATGACGAAGTTCGTGATAGAAATAAAATTCCAATTCGACTAGACGAAAGGTTGTTTGATCATTGAAAACGAGTTCATATTCATTGATTAGTTTATTCGCAATTGTATGAAAAGCATCTTGATAATCGGTTTCAGTGAAATGAGAGTCATTCAGACGCAGAAAGTCATTGACACCGGCTTCATTCTTCGATCTTTTTTCAGGTTGACATTCGTTCGATTCCGATTGACGTTTCATTTGATCTGATCTGAAAATGTGCGCAAAAAAGAAGTATCTCACGTTAAAAATGCAACAGTATTTCGCAACGTTGTGCAAGAACTATTTTGATTCTGAGTGCAGTCCGGTGATGTATCAATAATGAGCATATGAAAAAAGGACATTTTCGCTGTATGCGGTATATTTATTAATCTAAGGTCCAGACAAAAGATAAATGTCTTTTGATCAAAAAAAGAATACAAAAATAACACAAAAAGAAAAGAAATGAACGTGAGAAAAACAGAGTGCTTTCAATATCAATGGAGAAATTATAAGCAAGAGAAGGATTTTGGTTAAACAGTATAAAGAAGAACATGAACACCGTTTGTTTAAAAAAAACACAAATTATAAAGAGTTCTTATTGAGTAGAGAGAGAGATCTTTCTTCGATTTTTGAAAATTTCGTTTTGATAACAACCGGTAGAAAAGAATGCGAACGAGGATAGAGTACAAAGCAACAATCATTCTCGCAAACGAATATGAAAACGGGATATCTACAAAAAATCAATTGAATTAATTTTTCTTCTTGTTACCGCGGAAGAGTCGTTCGAAGACGTTCATCTTTTTATTGTTTGCTGCTGAGTTATTATTCACATGATTATCAGCTGGAGTTGCCATTTCAGTTGATGTCTTAAGATCGGCGCTCGTCGATGACATTTTGACTTCATTATCATGTTCGATGGATTTACTTGGATAGATTGTATCGGTCGTTGGTATACGAGCGGGATAGGAAAGTTGGGGTTGAGATTCATACGCATGCGTTGGTGGGGCAGGTGCTGGCCGTTTGTTTTCAAGTTTAGCTGGAGCAAATACAGAAACAGGGACATTTCGTCGTTGATTTGGCGGTGAACGACGTTGTTCCTCTACACGCCTGGGTGTTCTAGAAAATGTACTGAATGTTATGAACATAGTGTTTGGGATGTTGATACAAACTTATTCAGATCCGTGTTGGATGAGTTGGAATCTCGTTTTTCGAGACTGATAGGAATCATTGTTGGCGGTTTGATTCGAGATGGTGTCGCATTAACGGCTACTGCTGATGTTGATTGTTGAATGTGATTAGTTGTTGTTGTTGTTGTTGCATTACCATTAGTAGCTGTATAGCGATGTACAGGAATTGATGTACGTGTACGATTTTCTAAGATTTTTGGTTGATAGCTATCATTATTATACGAGATATTTTCATCATTTTCAACATCTTGTTGTAGATGCTGCTGGTTTTCAGATTCTAATGCACCTCCATTATAGCTTTGTGTTCGAACTCCTGGGCTGTCTTTAATATATACAATGTTAGCACCATTCGTTGGACGTTTCAATGATGAGGTTCGATAAGCATTCGGCGGTGTCACAGGCACACGCGGTGGTGGTGGTTGTCCTTCGCGACGACCGTTGATAGGAATAAATTTCGATGACGGTACTGTTTTACTTTCATCGTCATAATCATTTTCATCATGGTCATTCACAGTATGAGTATTATTCGAGCGCGCCTGAATAATTTTAAGCCGTGCTCGACCATCGACCGACTTCGAGCGTTGACATTTGCTTGCTATAGATGAAATTTGTTCACTATTATCATTTGCTTCAATTACATTTGTGGATTCATCTAATTCGATTTCACACGATCTCAAGTGATTCGATGGCACTTGTAGAGGTGCTTTGTTCAGCAGATTTGAACATGAATTCGAACTTGATTTTGATAGGGATGCTTTCGTACCAGTGTAGGCAAGACGATGAAAGACCGAATCACCTGACCCATTGCCGTTGTTCTGTAGATTTTGACCTAGAACGTATGAAATTACAAGCTTCTGGCATTTTCATAGACCGTAGTCCTTCGACATATGTATATATATACTATCTATCGGATATACTTCAACATTTCTCAATGATACTAATCGCATTACGATCATTTGAATGATGCACTTCAACGAATAAGAATGTTCGCTCATACCTGAGGGTGATTGTGAATTATTGGATGATATTTTACTCGATACCATTTGTTCATTTAGTTTTCGACCGTTCGGTTGAGTACTTGTTCGAACGGAGACGATCGGTGGAGGTAATCTGTGTATGTTATTCGTTGGTGCTTGAATATGATTCGATCTGGCAAAGCGTTGTTTCGCACCATCCGATGAATGAATACTTGATGGTGAATCAGTGTGTTCGTGAAAATCATCGTGCTCGTGAAATATGTGATTATACGAATCATAGGGTTGATTATAATGAATATCAATGGGTCGGAAGCCAGTCGTGTTAGTTATTGTTGCTGGATATGCATGATGAATATATGTTTCTCGAGGGTATTGAGGAAGAATATTATTATTGTTATTATTATTGATATTATCGGAATGATATTCATCAATTGAATGACGTCGATATTGGTCGTTGATATCATCCGATCGGTAGTTCTCCCGACGAAAGCGTGGCGGAATTGCAGGAGGTTCATCTGGCATATTCACATAAGAATTTGCTGTTGCATATGAGTTATTAAAGAGTGATGATGAATACGCATCGCCAATACTTGAATGGTCCATCGAAGAATTGTTCAGTTCGTCGTGACGTGGATATCGACGACGACCAATGATTGATTGATAACCTCCGGCACTACTATTGCTACTTGTACTTGTTGTCATCTGCGTTGAACGATTCGAATTGGTCCAATTATCATTAAAGCTTCCTTGATGCGAAGCATAGTTATTCGGTGGTAGATAATGAGGCGTGGATAACATACTGTTTTGTACTTGACTATTAAATCGTTCTAGCGCACGACGGACACTTTAAAAAAGACAAATAAATAGTACAAAGCTTTTTCTAAGGTTGACTTCACACTTACATTGGATCTTCAGAATACGGTGTTGAGTTATGGCCACCTGATGACATGAATGCACCGTATGAAGGTGTTGGTAAGGATTGTTGACTGTAGTAGGTACTGGGTCCCGTTGTTGTAGCCGTTGAAGAACGAACAGGTGCGAAAGCAGATGATATTGATGACGGTTGTGTTTGATGTTGACTTTCTAGTGAAGATCGATATGCCGATGAATGCGTCAGATCATTTAATTGTGGATATTTAGGTGGTAATTGATTCGCTTCGGCACCAAACGTATCAGTCGATGTTTCTGAGGATGTGACTGTAGCATTACGACGAGGTCGAGTATATTCACAACTGTAAGCCGAATACGATTGTGTTGGAGTTGCATAAGTGAATGATGATTCAGTTGTACGAACAAAATGTGGTTCGAGCGTTCTAATCAATGAGTTTGGTAAGAAATGATTTGAGTCGTTGAGCGCAATTTCGTTTGATGAACGATTTCGTTGCAATTGACCTGAAGTGTCGATTTCGTCGAGATTCGTTGTTTGACCAATGACGAGATCTTTTGTTGCTAGCATATCTTCCGAACGCGACCGCTGACGTTGACTAAGAGGTTGCTGTTGTTGTTCGTGTGCCTGAGAAAGATTGTTCGATGTCACATAGATTGGCTGTGCCGGTACGCGCATAACAGGAATATTCTGCTCTGTCATTGTGCTGAAATTAGTCGTCGTAGGTGTATCAGATGGATCTGCTGATGTCCCGTAACGCTGATGTGCAGATATGTATTTGGCTTTATTGTTATTTAATGCTGATAACTGTGATGGATCCTTATAACGTGATAAGCGATCGCTAACTGGTTGCAGTGAGCCAAGTGTGTAACTTTCAGTATACCGATTTTCGTTTGAATCAATAGTCGGCGGAGGAATCGTTCGTTTTAAGTTTGATTCAAGACGCATTAGAGCACGTCGAGTAATCGGATCTTGAATTTCATCATAATTCATTGATTTTGTTTGCGTTAATGTACGATTCTTTTCATCAAAACGTTCAAGAGCGCGGCGTACGATGGGATCTTGTACTTCTTCAGGTTTAAGTGTATACTCATGTTGAATTTGTTGATGTTGTGATTCAGGGGCATCGAATGAATCTTGAGTTTGACGTTCGCGCATACGTTCAACAGTATTCAAACGTCGACGGCCTTCGATTTGAAAGTGATACGGTGTAAAACCTGACTGTTCAGTAGTTGCAGATTGTGAAATAGTTGTATCCGGTGAACTACTGAGTTGTGCATTATCGTCATCAGTTATTTTGGGTGGTATCAGATTCGAAGTTTCTTCTTTTTCTTCATTGATAAGTTTTATTTCATTTGGAGTTATTGACTCGCACACTAATTCTTGTTTTTCTTCGTTTTGTTGATCTTGTGTCGAGTTAAGATCGACAGTCGAGTTATTATCAACAACTAGAATAATCAATGGAGAATGTATAGAAAAAAAAATCTGTTACACATTCTCTATAGATATGCTAATCGTATGTGTCTAAAATAAACAACCTTCAAGCGATACACTTTTACAACTTAACCACACGATAATCAAAAGAATACAAAAAGAAATCACTCATTCATCTGTATACTCGTGTTAAAAGAAAAACAGCATATTTTTCAGTAGTCAAAATTTCAAGAGAAGGACAAAGATTGAATTGCTGACATGACAATGATAAAAAACCAATAAGACACTAAACAAATATGAACTTCTCCGGCTGCACACTAAGCGCAATGTACTTGGACTTGTTCTTTCTAGGTCTGTCTTTTCTTTTTGATTTGCTAGACCTTTTAGAAAAGTTTACAATGCCTAAATATCAGTATTTATTTGAAAACTAAGGCAATCTTCTGTGTAAACCTGATATTTACAATGCAAGCATGCTCGGCATACTTGTTAATATCGTCGTCTTTCTTTACTCCTTAGAGATATAAACAATTTGCATAGATGTAATCATACAACGAGCCACTAACTCCCTAATCAACGTTCTCGAGCGACGACGAAAGTTATTGAAACGATTAGGTGTATACGTCTGTCTGCCCATTCGGCTTTTATTACTTTCTGCTAATTTCATCGTGTAATAGATACTCGTCCAGTAGACTAGAAAAAAAACTATGCATGCAGCTGTTTTGCTATTCACTCACCTCGTTTATCGGCATTGTCTATTATTGCTGATGGCTGCTGTTCTTTGTCAGATTTCTGATCGTCGTGATTAATCTTATCTTTCGTCGAATTTGTTGTCGTATATAAATTCAGTAATGTACCATAATTAAGACTGCTGTCATCAAATGTTTTGCGCGGTCGAATGTAACTATCTGCCTGAGATGATGAATTAGTTGTTTCCGTTTTAATTTCGTCTCCCAGTGAAATGGCAGTTGAACGTAATTGTTGGTCTTCGTCTTTTAATAGATTTTCCAGTGATTTGCGCGAAGTTGAAAGCGATGTTGACCATGACGATTTGCCCTTTGGTGTTAACGGATTTAAATCATCTTTCGTTGTTTTGTTAGCACTTGCAGCATTCATCCGTTGTTCGAAACGTTGTAAAGCACGTAAAGCAATTGGATCATTGGCAGGTTCTTGATTTATGACTAAAGATTCTTTTGCCGACACAATCGAGGGTTCAGACACATCGTCGTATTTATCGACCACTTTAGACATGGCTTTTTCATAACAAGTAAAAACATTATCAAATTTAATTGCATCATCGACAACGTTGGTTGAGGCTGATTGTGTTGGCGATGATTGTTTTGATTTTTTCGGTTCATCGTCTGTAAGTATATAGTCAGTTGGCTCGATTGCGTCTACATTTTGCGTAGTTGCATCTTCTTCATCGTCAGGTAGTTCTTCAAGTTCGACTTTTTTGTATAGTTCATCCTTTTCATCCGTGCTGACCATTGCCATTGGATTCAAATCGTTTGATAGGGTTTGTGCTGGCGACTCATCTTTTGTCCGCTGCTGATTGAATTGCTCTAATGTCGGTAACGGCGATGATGGTCGTTCTTTTTCTCTTTCTACTTGTTCTTCTCTTTCTTTTTTCTCTTCGTGTAGCAAGGCTGTTTGTGTTGGTTCGTCGTTTATTAATATTATTCCCGACGCGTGGTAGTCGTGTATAGGGCTACTGGTGTTCTTTTTCTCTTCGTCGATGTTATAGTCGTCGTTACAACGCTGTTCTTCTTCTTCTTCTTCTTCTATTTTTTCTTCGCCTTTTTCTTTTGATAAAGATTCGATAGTTTTGTTCTCATCTGTGGTAAACGTTGCAGGCACAGGAGCAGGAGGAGGAGGAGGAGAAGTAGTAGGAAAAGAAGACGTCAAGTCCGAGTCAGCTGGATTGGTTACTACAGGCGAACTGTTCTCGATATTAGTTGGTTGACTCTCAACTGAATCATTGTTAATCGTTGTTATTATTTCCGTATGACATTCCATCGTTGTTGATAATAATGGTCCTTGTTCTATACTCGTGATTATCTCATCTTCAGATAAACAAATAACTTTAGATTCAGTTAATGGAAGTTGTTCATCGACATGAATGTTTTCATGACCATCAGTAGTAATTAGCAATGGTGTTGTTTCTTAATGAAGAAAAATGTTCGATACAAATCAATATGTGAGCAAAACGAGAAGTGTAAAAAAAAATATTTTCATTCTCTTCTCGACAATTTGTAGTGAAGATTCAATCCTTGATCAAGTCGGAGATATAAGACCGATAGCAATCAATCGACAGAGAGAAGAAAAAAAAAATTATTCGTAGGTGGAGAGCAGGTAAATTAAAAGGATTTGATCGACCTTGGACGTTCTCTCTCTCGTCTCATGTACATGTGTCTTTGTGTATACAACTTTTTCTCCTCTTTGATAAAAATTATGATTAGTATTTGACAAGAAAAGTTCTCACTGTTCTTATTGAATACTGAGAAAAGAAAGATCTAATGAGTTTTCTTTCTTCTATTATTGTTATTTTACCTTCCGATGATAATTCAACTATTTGATCAGGATTCGACGTGTTGTTCACCGTGATTAGTGTTGGCGATGTGTTAATCTCCTATAAATATACAAAGAACAAAAAAAAAGAAATGCACTCGAACTTTACAACATCTTGCATCTGATCGCATTAAAGAAAAGAGAAAAAGAATGCATGCGCACTTTACTTATTTCAAGTGGTTGTGTATCTACAAGCATAAAATACTGTTTGACATACATATTGTCTAAAAGCAGTCAGTGCCATTAACTACGAAACGATGGCGAGGACAAGAAAGGAGGTTGGATTAAAAAAAAATTGAATCATTGAAATGTTTAAACTCAATTGATATTCAAGGAGAACCGATGAGAACGATAATTTCGTCATGCTTGTTGAAGTAGACACTGATCAACACAGTGTATAATTAGGTATGCTCTCATTATCTCAATGAATTTCGTTTTACTATAGTGATGAGGAAAAGGAGGAGACGGAAAAATAATTACGATCGAGAGACAAAATTACGAATAAATCCGTTCGGTAAACTGCATCGAACAAATTTGCAAGACAACAATCATCAAGAAACCATATCGATTCATTTTTCTGATCTTTTCAAGGTTTCTTCAACTAACATTCGGTCAATAAACATAAATCGATTGATAAATTCTTCCATTTATTCAATGTTTTTTTCATTTGTCTGAAAGCAATTCATTCTCGAAGAACAAAAAAAACCTCTTCATATCTAATCTACGTCAATCCCTCCGGCCATGTGTGGTCTGTGAACATTCTGTTGTACATACGGGACAAATTCACTTAGCGAAATATTCAACAAGAATAATGAAGCACCTGTGGTGATTTCACCCGCTGTCTTTCTCAATGAGTGTTATTCATAGTCGAATGCGACGATGATTTTGTTTTGAAATCATTTCGTATAAACAAGAATCACACAACTAACCTCGACTTTTGTTGATAGATTTGAATCTGAAGAATCTTGTTGTCGATTGCTTGTGGCCGGTGAAGTTTTGCGTCGTAGAACAGCTATAGGTGGAAATTCGACAGTTAGCAATGTCTTTGATGGATCGCTATCGGTTTTGTCCGGTTTAGTCGAAATCAACCAACGTTCCTGGCGTTTCTTCTCACGTCGGGACATTCTATCAGCAGAATCTGTTTGCTGTGGTTCACTTGCTTCTGCAGAATGATTAGCATTATCATTATCAACATTAGATAATCCTGTACAAATATTATCATTGGATAGGTTAGGTGTTTGCTCTGTGCTAGCATTGGTCGAGAGAAGCTCATCTAATGAAATAGAAATCGATTTTGCCAAAAAAACAGAAACAATCGATTTACTTTGATTCGGCAATAAGTTGTTATTGTTACTATCACTCTCTTCGGATGTTTGTACCATGTTTAATAGATCGAATGAAGATGAATTCGGCGATAGGTAAATGCTAGGTGTTGACTCAGATTCGAATGATCGATAATTATCGTTGCTGATTAATAATTGTTCATCTGATGGCGATAATGTTAATTGACACTTGAATCAAAGGAAGAGAAAACTTCGAGATTTCTTCTGTTCATCACAGTCACATTATTGTTGCTTGTTTCATGTTCAAATAAGCGTAGATAATTTATGCGTATTTCATCGTTATTCTTACACTTTTTAACTGTCATCGAATAATGATGAAGATGATGATGATGATGAATGACAAACTACTCTCTCGAATGAATAAAGGTCAATATTATATGCGTCTATTTTTTTGCTCAAGGCTTCACAAATGGTTAGATTCGAGGTTATTAGTTAGAGAAGGAAAAAAAGGACATGATATAATGGAGCATTTCATGGTACAGTATAACAAAATGTTTTTTTATTAATGTCAATGAATTTCATTACGAGATCGATTTTCCATAAGACAAAGAGTTCCGCCAGTTTTTGTTCATCAAACGCTTCCACTATCTATACTCAATTATCTCATCAATCATCAGTGTTTCTGTTTTAGTCGACCTCTGGAATAGAAAGGTCAACTGCAGATGTTCACTTACCACGCCTTCTGAAACAGCGATTGAATCTTCCAAATCTACGACTAACCATGCTTCTTGTTCAGCTGATGTTGTTGAAAGATTCTCTCCATCAAGAGATGATTTTTCTGCCATCATCGTATCCGTATCGTGATGATACTCCCGTATCAATGTCTGTTGAGTTAAGGTCTTATCACTGCTACTTGTTGTTTCCGAACTCGAATGATCGGGTGACATTGAGATATTGCCTGGTGGTATATCAAAACAACCGTTTCGTACTAAAGTTTGACAAACATTCACGAAGTTACTCTTGTCAATGATCGGAATGCGTAATGTGTCCGAGGCATTGGCTTCGTCGTTGATAAATTTCGTAAATAGATAATAGAGATATTCGATTAAATTCTGATCAACTTCAGCAACGGTTGGACAGTTGGCTTTCTTCGTCTTACTTTTAGATTTTGCTTCGTTGGCTAAACATTCGACGCGGAGTACGAGTAAGTCGATTAATGTTAAGATTTCATTATTATCTGCTGGTTCACATGGACTGTCATTCGCTGTTCGATTATTCATATCCAATATTGTTCCGGAATTCGCTCTTTCTCTAGATGTCTATTGAAATTAGAATGATTAGTTTACTTGATACAGAAGAAAAAGCATATATATATTAAAACACTCAATTATGTAACGTGAAGCAATTTAAATAAAAGAATATAAAGAAAAACGATTTCTTTTCATGTAAATATGAATTGAAGGAAAAGAATTAGTTTTTCTTCTAATACTCTCACGATTGATCAATGAAATGAATCGATCGATGAAAGAGAGGGGGAAAAAACCGGAGAAAAATGTGTCCTTCCTCACCTGCTTAACATGATGATAACCATTGTTTTTGTTACTTGTAGCACGTAATTCGTTACGTAAATGTCGAAGAAATGAAATGACAAGCGAGGCAGGAATATTCTTTATATGATTTGTAGTCGAATCACTTGCATACCGTCGACGTTGTTTTATATTAGTAGATATATCATCACTGGATGATGACTGTCTTGTCGGTGATAACGAAGTTGTTCGATGCGATGAGTGATCTTTTAAACGAGTTTTCGTCTTGTTCGATTGTTTACTTGGATAAATGCTGTCACTACTATGTTGCCGCGATGGTTGGACAGAAGGAAATGGATCAACTAAAGTAAACGTTGTTGTGTCATCGGTTCAATCAGATATATATATCAGAAAGCTTTTCTCCTAGATCGATATGTCATGCGAAAAGAAATAAGCATAGGAGTGAATTGTCATATGCGTCTACCAGTAGATAGGATTTCAGTGGAAGAATCAAGTTTGTTCTTACTTGTAGTTATTGCCGCTGTAGGGTCTGCACTATCTTCTTCCTCGTCGATACGATTCATTGTTATCAATGAATGTTACCATAGACGAAATGATAAACGTGCGAAAAGGAACAGAACTTAAGTCCTTCTTTTTATGTTTTATTTTATTTCTCTCTGTCTTCTCTTTTCTTTATTAATGTTGTTTGTCTACATTGTTAAAAAATAGAAATATTCGTATCGTTTTTTTTCTCCATCTCTCTTTCTCTCTTCTACACCTCGACCATACATACGTACATACGTAGATTCATTCTCATTTCACACGAGGTCATCAGCTATTATTGATTCTACTTTCTTCTTCTCGTTTTTTTTTCTGTTGCTCATACCATCCTATGACTTCTCGATGGTTAAAAAAAAGCGACGAAGGACGAAAAAAAACGATGTGTGACTTGTAAAAATGATTTATTATTATTTAACTACGCATTTAACAAATAGGCAAGTATGAGTTATAAAATAGAAATTAGGTCTAACACGCGTACGTGTTGCTCTTTGAACAATTGTAATTGTCGATATGAATGTAATTGGCAAATCTCTCTACGGTTTCTTCTTTTTTTTTTGTTGGCGGTACTTGAAAAGTCATGACCTATTTACCTGGACGATTCATTGGATTGTGCACCAATTTCGAAACAAGGAAAACTTATTCAAGATCGAGTCGTCGATGAACTTGTCACCTTCACTAATCGATTGCATCAAGATATACGAAAGAACAATGAAGATAAGAAAAGAAACCGAACGTTATTTGATCTGTGAGTGAATGAAGAAGATATGATGTATTACACCATTGAGCAGCGAGCAGTATGTCAATAAACTATCGACGTATACGCGGATAAAAAAGAGAGGAAGAAGACAGATGAAAATCGTTGTCTTGTCTTGTCTTTTTTCTTGCATTATATACATGTCAAGTGTTGAATGCACTAAATCATTCGTCACTGGTAATGTTACGATAATATCGATTAGAAATGGTGCTGATGTTTCCCGTCGTTTCTTCTCTCACATAATGAACAAATATATTCTTGAAAAGTCTAAACATATCAGAGTAGAACATCGATTGGCCCATCTGATTCTAATTACTTTCTTCTCGTCAGCTGAGTTCTATTAAGAAAAATTCATTAGGAGAACACCTGTCACTGGTCGATAGTAACAATAGGTGATTATTCGTCTGTGCTACTAGGCGAGATGTCAGTTGACTTTTTTTTTTTAGATAATTAGTTTTGCTTATTTGTAACGAACGTGCTGTACAACAGTCGAAATAATTGCAATTACACTTTTGTACCGTCTGAACACGTATGATTGAAGGTAATATCTCAACTATTCATATCGGCAAGCCTTGACAGGAAAAACAAGGCCAAGATTTGATATTTTCGGTTTCTATGAAACAATTGTAAGGTAACTTGAAATAATATGTAGAAGTTTTTTTTCTTCGTCTTTCTCTAGTGAATCAAACGATGAAGGAGCTTTTGAAATCAATTGCTTTGCTTTCTTTGCATAATCTAATCCATATGTATTGTACTCGTGCTCTATCTCCAGTGCTTACTCTCAGCCAATTGATCGTCTAGTCTGGCGTATATCTCGAAGCATTTATTCTTACTGTACGTTGATATAAAGAATAATACAACTAAAGGAAAGGTCTGTTTGAATCTATGTGTGGAATATGAAGTCAGATTTTCATTTACATAGAGAGAAAAGCCTTCCATATGATTGATTCGAAAATTAATAACATACCTTCGTTCTCTTCGATGATTATCCATTCGTCTTGATGAAATTTATCCAGTTTTAGATGATTTTCAAATCATTCAATACGTATGTGTTATGTTTCCTATACAAAGATTGAATGCGAAAGTAACGCAGATTACTGATCTGTAAGAAATACGACGTAGATGCTTAAAAACTGGATATAATCGATAACGAAAAAAGAAAAAGAAGAACGAATACAAAACACGCGCTTGTATTTATTTGATTTTGCCAAATATTTTTCTTTCGATGTTATATGTTGTCGATCTCTAGATTTGATTAATGCTGTATGAAAAGAATCGTTTGAAGATGATTGATCTATTACCGAATCATAGAGCAAGAAAGAAAAAAGTGAAAGAACAATCGTTTCAAATGAGTATCTCTATGTAAGAATTTCATCACAATCCACATCGAATTCACTCGTTAATGTCAATGGTGTATAGGCTAGATTGATATTTTGCCTTCTTGTTACATATGAAACGAACGGTAATAAATTGTGATTGTGTAACATATTGATAAGTCCGAGAAGTAGGAATATACATAACAGGGCTAAAATGCAAAGTATTGGAGCAAAATCTCGGAGAACGGACTTGGAATTGTCCCATGATAAACTCGACATTTGACTTGGTAACGATCCTGATCTGGAACCAATCTCAGCAAACGTAGGAATCTCTTCTCTAAAATGGAAATAATGCAATTATTAGTACAAGTATTCATGTCACATTTTCGATATGCTTACGAACCGTTTGACTTTCACTAGATTTTGTTTTACTATTGGCAGTTTTTGACATATCACTGTTGCTATTCGATCGCAAGGAATTTCATCACAACGGATAAGTGGCATTGTATCTGATAATAAATCTACATATGCACAACCCATTTGTTTTGTTTTCATTTGTTCGCGTTCATTGCTTGAAGTGGTCGTTGATGACATGAGTGCTGTATAACGTTCGTGAAATGTTTTTTCACATAGGTCATAAATGGCATTGGAGTCGGGAATAACTTCGACTACTTTTTTGTTATTAATATTCGACTCGATAACAGTTCGATTTTGAGTATCATATTTAACACCGACATGAGCATAGCCCGACGCGATGTAATTCGTTCGTCGTATGAATAACGATCTAATCAGTGACAATGTGATGTGTGTTTCAGGAACAAAAACTATTGCGTTTTCTTTTTCGCATGTACTTTTAGCTTCGCTCCAGGTTGTTTCATGAAAGGTGATTTTATAACAATATTCATCAATAAAATGGTAATCCTTTTGATTATCATCGCAAGAATAATCCATTGAAATGTTTGTTGCTATGACAGTTGAGTTGTCGTTCTTCCACGGATGGATATTCGATGTATAATTCAATTTGGATTGATCATTAACACAAATAGGAGTCGCTGATTTCGAAGTACACTCATCGGATTCAATTACACAAAGTTCACTGATACTTGGCGTCTTTTTCAATGATAAAGCGAAACAATTACCATCGGTGGTTGGAGGTGATTGTGAGCATTTAGTCAGAAGTAAACGACTTGAATCGATCGGATCACTTGCTTTGTCCGTTGTTCGATCTAACCAAAAATATTTGCTAAAATTAAGTAAAGCGGAAGCTTGAACGTTAGCAAGTTGATTCCAGAGAAACACATGTGTGTATACCATTGATCTGGGTAGAAGATCTTGAAGCTCTAAAACGTCATTAATCTTCACAAGTGAACTACCGAGAGAATCACAATTAGATCGAGCGGATTCATAGGAATATGTCCGTGTGGAATAATGCCCATAGACACATTGTTCTCTGTTTTGTGCCATTTCAAATCCTAAGGAAAAGCAAGTAGAAACTTGATTTAGATTGAAAATGTCATTACCATGTCGGCATTTTTGCTGTCTGGTGTACACGGAATAGATTGTGGAACTAGTTGGATTTCCGCATGTGTAGAAATAATTGCTTGAACATTCTTGAGAACAATGTTGCTTTGGAAGGAGGTGCTTATTATTATAATGCTTAGCTGGCATGTTCATGCAAAAACATTGGTTCGAGTTGATAAGAGCGTATTTTTGTTGATTAATCGTACAAAATTCTAAACAGTGGCGAGGATGAAGATCGAGACTATCGTTAAAAGTAAACTTGTACGATCTATTCGGATCGAACGAAGACATATGTACACAACTATCGTACGAAAAATCAAGATATGGCTTGAATGTTGTCGGATAGTATGAATATGCACGTCGAGATTGGGATATATCAAAGACCACGATCGTATCATTATCCCCGCATTGTTCATGTCGATTACCTGAAACGAAAAAATGAAATTTGAAAGATTCTAAGATTGAATATACCTGAACACAATTGCCCACAGCTTGTTCGTTGATATTTACTCAGATCATTTGTGAAATTCATCGGTCGTAAAGCATAATCATTTAAACAATAGCATTTATTTATATGAATGATAACTAGAGTCGTTTGCAATTCTTCGCAAATAGTTAAACATAATTCATGTGTTAAATGATTCGATATTAACGCTGGCAGATCCATTAGCACTGGTTTACGAAAACAAGATTTTTGAAAACGATCAACGATCAACGTTTTTGTTTCACATAGAACATGTCGAGGAATCGAACAGTTACTCATGACCGTTGCTTTCAATACTGGTCTTTCTTCTGGTTTAACTTCCGTACGCGATAGCACAATACATGAATCATCAGTTATGTTTACAGCATTGTTTTCAATTGGACTAATCATCTGAAAATCTTGATTACTAACTGCATCAATTGCGAATAAGGCCAGATCTTCATAATAGACATTAAATTTTTGAGTGGCTATTTGGTCACTCCATTGTTCATCTACGAATGACAATTAATAACAAAACTCGACTAAATCTCATGAAAAAATCGCTTTTACCAGCGTCAGGAATTTTATCCAAAAGAAAAAAGCCAAGACGGGCTTGCCATGGAGATGTATACTGAACGATATCACCTTTCGGTGTGAAATTTAGCTGATCATCCAATCCATCATCGTCATCGGTGTCGTTGTTTTCCGGTTGAACGATAAGAGCACTATTTTGCGTGGTAGTTGTTTTCGACAGAGCAATACAACTGCTCTTAGCATCTTGAATTGATTTACGTTCCGAAGACATTCGATAACATCGTCCATTCAAATCTAACCACTGTGGTGGACAAAAGTTCTCCTCAGGTTCTTCATTAATAAAAGAATATAAACTATCTCGAATGTCGTACGACGTAGTATATTGATTCAGTGGTTCAGCTACACATAAGTAATTTGCATATCGATAAGAAAAGGTTTGTTGAGTATTTTCATTGACCAAACAGCCTTTTTCTAATATATAACGCTTGGTCAGTCCGGATGAGGTTGAATACGTGAATGATTGTGATGACCAAAGCGATGATGTGTCCACGATTGAACTTTTTGCACATAAGAGTGATGAATCGATGACAATATCTTGCGTAAAATGAACAGCAACTTTGGAATTTTTCAATCCTAATCTTTCAACTATTTGAAGAAAAACGTCCCAGGTTATATTTCCATTGTATATATAACTTATCGAAGGTGGTGAACAACTATTCCACGAGAATTCAAATGTATTCATACATTTGTTTAATTCTTTAATGTAGATGAAATCCGATGGACATGTTCCATGTATATCATAGATTGCCCAGATTTGTTTATCAATCGTCGAACCACATTGAAATTTCTGTTCGCCAATTGATCCATTAATTGAATTCGAACAATGATAATCGCATGAATGATTTGATAAGGTTTTCACAAAGAGATCTCTTTTCACGGTTGTACCAATTTGCCATTTCATAATACAAACACATTGATTCTCATCGTTATTGAATGCTAAAAACAAACTAATGTAAAAGAAGAAAGATTTCATTAACATCTCCAATTACCTATTGATTTCGTCGTTATGTTTCGATCAAGACAGACAGCTGCACATTGTTCTAATTTATTCAATGATGATATAATTGGCTGTTCGTTTAGGTTAATAACTATGGTGTCATAAATGCCTTGTTTTGCCCAGGATTCGCACGAAGAAAATTTTATTTGATAATTAAACAAATGTCCATGTCGGCTATAAAACCCTTGTTCACTATAGACAGAATAGGTACGTAATCCACCACATGTATTGTTGGATAAATGTTTTGAATCGATCGTTTTTGGACACGGAATTAAACATCTATCATCATTCTGCCGATTGTAATGCATGAAACCACCGCCTGAACACCGACAGATCGTCTTTTGCAAATAAACGATCGGTGTGTCACATAAACGAAAGCAGAGCAATGGTTCCATGTATGAACTATGAAAGAAACTATCGTAAAAGACTTGAGTATAACATCCGACATAGTGATATGAGGCATGTATTGCTGGATATGTTGAAAAGATGATCAATAGAAACAGATTCTGTGATAGAGTCATTGTTTTGATGTTTTAGTTTCCAATGAAATTCAATCGAGAAATGTTTGAGAGAGAAATAGGAAATTCGAGATGCATAGCAATCTTTCGGTATTGAAACTATTGATAATAATCGTGGAAAAAGTAAATTGATCTTTGATTTTTCTTCTCTCTCTCTCTATTTTTGTTACTTGAGAGAACATCGATTGCAAAACATTTTATCATTGATCCAAGTAAAGTTGGTACCATATTTGGATATTTCTTATTCTGAATCTAAAAATAGTTTCATTGGATTAGTCAGAATTTAATGATCTATTGAATAACATACCTGTTTACATTCAGTACAAGTACTCAAGCAAATTTGGACGAAAATCCTATCAAGTTGAACATATGAAAATGGAAAAGAAAACACGTCCGTAGGTTTACACTGCATAAAAATAAAGTCAAAATTGACTACGTATGTTTTCCCAGCTCATTTATTATGAAATTCAACGAGTTTATCAGTAAATCATAAGAATCGGATTCGAGAAGAATTCTATCGTAAAAGAAAATCTTCTTCACAGAGTTATGCAGCGTATCATCTGAATGAGATTCATTCAGTAATCAAATTATAATTTCCACATTGTTTTTCCTTAGCATTGTAAAACGATATGTACGCATATCATCAACTCGCTTGTTTTCCCTAATTTCGAATTTCACTCTACTCAATTATCATGGTATGCAGAAAAGTATATTCATATGTGACTCGATTTTCATTATTCCATAACATCGATCGACTTTTCTTAAACAAAATACAATATGATGTCAAATTATTGCGTATCGACGAATGAGTATAATAATGTTTGACTAAAGAATAGTCAGAAGAAAAGATTTCACGTTCCTACAATATTTCGTAAAATCTATTATGTATTACGACAACATTTCTAATCTAGATAGTGCATGTAGTCTGCTTTTTTTCAAAGAACAGCTGCACTGCGCGGATATCTGCTTACAAATCTTACAGTGTCATCACTATTCTGGTTTCGTACTCAGTTTTATGCTTTGGAAAGAAATTTATATGAAGATCATTAAACAATTGAACCGTATTTCATTTTCATATAGGATTTAAACAACAAATCATAGATTTGAACTAAGGATCAAGTTAATCGCAATTTCTTAGTTGATGATGCGCACTGCAGGACTCGAACCAATTGCTTCCGCTGAAAAAAATCTTCGCCAGTGGGATTAAGAAGTACGTTATTGAAAAGGAGTCTTTTTCTAACGAAAACAATGATTTGTCTCGATCAGGGTGTACTTGATCAAAGTTCAATTATTGAATTATTTCTCGAAAATTAAACAACAATCTTTTTATCCATTATAATGAAGGTTCACATATACAAAAAGAGAAAAAGTTGAACAGAATTTATAGAAACAGATTCATATTTGACAATTTTTTTCTTTCGAATATGTTCTGTAAAGACATGTCCTTATTGCATCAATCATTGACTTCAGACAAATATTGATTTGACGCTGAATTCAAACAGTAAGTTTGTTCACGAGTACGATTTTTTTTCTCTATTATTAAAAGTATAAATTTACCTTCAAAAGAGGGCTCTAGTATCTTTGATATAATCATCCATTGGCTAACGCCGCCAACTACATATATTCTCTTCTCTTTCCGTTTGTTAGTGGGTAGTTATTGCTTATGTTTATCATCGTTGATATACGTCTACCTTTATTTTCATTTAGTTTTGGATAAAGAGCAAAAACTTGTCTTCCGAGAATTGAATTGCTAGACATAAAAGTAACTACAATGAATGGCGATACAGCCGAAGGTGATGGTGTCGATATCGGTATGATTAAACACATGATTGTACAATAAATTATGAATATTGACTTTTCTTTAGGTAAAAAACACAAATTAGGACATCTACGTGTTGATACTCAAGGCAACACGACATTCAAACGTTTACCAACAAATCAACTCGTTGAAGCACTTCAGCTTGGTATACAATACAGTGTCGGTGGTCTTGAAGCAAGACAAGCACACGATGTTCTCTTTCAAGATTTTCTTGCTGTTGAAATTACACATTTTCCCAAGTACAAAGAAGATTTTGTTTTCGAAAATTGACGGTTCTTGATGAAACTCATTTTTAGAGCTGGACGAACGATGCCCAAGGCGACACCACCCCATCGGTTCAATGATTTTACAATGCGTACCTATGCACCCGTCGCTTTTCGACATTTTCGCGAAAAGTTTAACATTAAACCAGCTGATTACCTTGTAAGATATTTGCTTGTTGCAATCAACCGATTCTATCTCACTTCTTAGGCATCGATAAATAGACCTTTTCGAGAATTGAAAAACCCTGGTGCAAGTGGAAGCTTATTCTATCTCACCGCTGACGATGAATTTATTATTAAAACTGTACAGAAAAAAGAAGCAGAATTTCTCAAAACTCTGCTTCCTGGTTATTATATGGTACGTAGAATATCCTTCGAAAGCTTTTCATCCATCATCTATTTGCAGAACATTATTCAAAATCAACGCACATTGTTACCAAAATTCTTTGGTCTCTATTGTTATCAGGTATATTAGACTTGCGTTTTTTTTTTAAATACTATTCCTCATCAGAAACACAATCGATTGAGAGAAATAGTGCACGACATTCGAGTGATATTTCCGTTCATCTAGGTCACAGAATTTTTGCCACGAAATAAGCGTGGAGCTGTAAGTGAATTTACATGTGCACACGACTTTTTTTCCAGCTCATTGATTCACATCTTCGTGTGTTTGTTTCATAAGACAACTGAAGCGTCTTATTCTAAAAAGATGATTAAAATCATTTCTAAAAGCTGCTCTCTTCTTCTTCTTCGTCAAATTCCTTTTTATTTTTGTTTGTGGTTTCTTCGAACAACTAAGTTTCTTACAAACTAGTCTCTGCAATGAAAAAAAAAGTCTTCCTCTTCAGTTCTGTTTTTGTATTGATATTCTGCTTCGCTAATATTCTCGTTCTCAATGTTTTTCAAGACTGTTTTCATGATTATTTCTAGGGTGAAAACAAAAACATTCGCATTACTGTGATGAATAATTTAATTCCTTCGCATGTACAAATACATGAAAAATACGATCTTAAAGGTTCGACGTATAAACGACGAGCGAATAGCGTCGAACGACAAAAAGAATCTCCGACATGGAAAGATTTGGATTTCATCGAACGTCATCCACAAGGTTTCTTTCTTGATGCCGATACTTTCACTGCTCTAGAGAAAACCGTTGAACGTGATTGTCGAGTTCGTTGATTTCATGTTGAATTTCATGAGTATATAATCAATGTCGGTTGTTTTCAGGTCTTAGCAAGTTTTCATATTATGGATTATTCGTTTTTGATTGGTGTTCATCGAATTGATCAATCCTCTGAATCACCATCTGTGAGTAAAGATGAAAAACCTTTTCAATCTTAATAAAGTGTCATTTTTTTTTAATCAAGACTCCAGCGACTCCAGTTGGTATGTTTATTGAGTTAATTCTCGCATGATTGAGCTTACTTTCTTCTTTTCAAGATCCATTTTCTCCGAAACCGAAACGAATGATATACTCAACACCGATGGATAATATTCAAGCGCAATTTGACGAACAAAACAAACCGGATGAACATCTCGTGAAGTATGCTCTCTAGTTCCTCCACCGTATAAATGAATAGAAAGAATTGAATTACTTCCGATCGAAGAAAATTTTCCATGACTTGCCGATAGTTTCCGAACAACGCATATATTTCAGTCATACTTTGTTTTGATTGCTAGGCGACGACCTGTAATTGCATCATAGATGATTCATATTCAATACGACGACATAAAATACCTGGCTTTTGTCCTTATCGCATTTAATTCGATGACGTCATTACATTTTCAAGCTTTTCGAAAAGTATATGTCGTTGTACTCGACCCCCTTTTCTAATATCACGCTTGTTTTTTTACATGTCAAAAATCAGCGCATAGATACATCTCGATAAGATAACTATCATTCTTTGATGTGAGAATCGTTCAAGCAAGATATAATTTCGTTTTGATTTTAGAGCTGGTGGTATTCCTGCACGTACCGCTGATGGACAAAAATTATCTTTATATGTTGGTATTATTGATATCTTACAATCATACCAACTTCGAAAGAAACTTGAACATACACTGAAATCTGTTGTGACTGACGGCGTAAGAAGGAAAGCTTCGGTTTAGTCAATATTTTTCCGATGAATTTTTAGACTCAAATATCTGTCACTCATCCAAATTATTATTCTGAACGTTTTCGAAAATTTCTTTTTAATACTGTTTTCAAACAAATACCACGTACGTCCAAGTTACTCTCCTTCACAATTTATTCTTTTTTTTACTTCAGAAAAAGCACCGAAGCTCAAAGATGATACTTCAACAAAACCAGGCTTGCCAGCTTCCAATCAAACAACGCCGTCGAATTTAACGTAAACTAGAAATCACTTCGTTTTTTACACTACATTCGACTGTTCTCGACATTTTAGTCCAAGACCAAATCCATTCAAACCTCATGGTCATGACGACAATCCTCCTCGTTTGGACCATACCAATTCAATATCAAGTACTGAAACGACCAATAGTCGAATAACATCGTATTACGTATCATTACGCTCGTCACGATTAGGATCAGATCGCAATACAACGGGTAGCTCAACGACACTCTATGCCAGTTCACATCAATCAGATTCGCTTTATAACGAACCGTCGATACGAAAACCAGCAAAAATTCTAACGACGTCATTCAATAAGCATGACGATCACCTTCGAGCGAAATTTTATCGAGAGTACGCAGCATTACCAGATAATAATTCCATGAAACGACACAATTTGTTACCCGCTAGTGGTGGTAGTGGAGGAGGAGGAGGAGTGGGCAAGTTAACTTCATCAACGTCAAATCTATATCAACGTAAGAGTTTTCTCTTGAATTATTTGCAAAACGTTTTATTCCGATGAAATATTGTTATTGATAGAAAAGGTTAACCTTTCTCATTTTGTTCCTGTCACGTACGCGAATCTAATAGATGACAAACAACTGATGTTGTCTATCAATAACTACTAGACTGTTCGTTAATGAGATGCAAGTTTTATTCAAACAGTGCATGTTTTGTATACGAGATGAGCTGTAACTCATCAATAGTTCGAAATATTCATATTGTTTTCGATCTTCGAAGTTTACCGATACTTCTTCTCACAATTTCCCTGTAGAGAAAACGTAAGAAGAATTCCGCGTTGAGTAGAAAGAACATGCTATATAGAACAATGATCTCGAGCAATTAAAATTCCTTCTAGGAAATATTCTACTTCGAAGGATATTTTTGTAAATAATCATTTCAATTGTCTTGAACACCAGCGTATGTGTCACATGATATTCGATCTATTTCTGTGATCTGCTAAGTGATTAGGAAATTAATATTTGTTTTCTTGTTTTCAAACAATCCGTCACATTGGATTTCTGTTGATATTTCGAGCATAGCAACAGAAATGAAACAGATTCGTTGTGACAGATCGAACAAAATCTTGTTAAGTCCAATTTTATCTCATGAAACAATAGCATGTGCAGTATCTCTGTTAATTCTAGACGGCAATGTCTCCGATTATTCTTCGATATATCGTCAAGGCAATCATCAATCATCTGATGAAGTTGTATGTATCAAAATGTCCTTTCAACTACATAATAAATCTTTTTTTGTTCTATAGACACGACTTTAATATCAACGAGCGAACATTCCTTCTAGACGAGAGAGAGAGAAACTGGCAACAGTTTTAATCGTATCGATTGAACTGTTGAGAACATTTTTGCATTTATTGTAGTATTTATTATTTATCTTCTCACGAAAGAAAAGAACAAAGTGGATTTTCGTTTTCAAAAGTGCAAATCCCGGTGATTTTCTTTGCATTGATAAAGTTATTTTCTTTCTAACAAAGAGAGCTTGCTTCGATCATATTAATCTCGAATCATCTCTTTGTTTATTTTTTTTTTCAAGATAATTCGCAGTACAGTTTTTCTTCAATTGTGCTTATGCTTTTGATATGATGACTTTCATGTTGTTTTTTGTTTTCTATTTTCAAATAAAATTTTCTTCGAACAAATGAACGCAATCAACATACCATCTTCGTGTTTATTTTTATTTTTTCGTGAACTTTCCATAAACGAACGAGACTTTTCGGGTTAACAAGCAAGGTAAGACAGACATTCGTAAGAAAGTTTCAAGTGCAGAGAGTATATTTAGAAATTCCTCAGCACTTCTGATTAAATACGTTCTTCTCTTGCATGTTAAATATTTAAGTACATCCTATGTTTTGGTTAGTGATACATATCTCCACATACTTGTTCTCTCATGGTTTTCTTTTTTTTTTCATTAATTGAAGATTCGTTATCAAACCGACATACTTGAAAAGAAACAGAACCCTAGATTTGCAATGAAAAATCTTTGACACGGACATGAATACATAATTTTTTTCTCCATTTACTCCTATGCACCTTTATTCATATGCTCATACTTAGATTTACCTTGACCTTCAAAATGTATTCAATGAATTGTCTTTATTGTTAAGTAAGAAAAGACACGGAATGTAATAGCTGTATGCATATGCGTGCTTATATGCTTACAGCACATTCACATTTGATTTGATTGTATATAGATTATATATACTCTCCTACAATGAGTCTCGTTTCATCAAGATCCATTTCTTTCTTTTTTTTTTCATTCTCGAAGAATCAGAGATAAAGAAAGAGAGAAAAGAAGAAAAACCCCAGTCTGCCTTGCCTTCCCTCAGATTACTTGCTTCTATCAAACAGAAGAAACAAAAAGAAGAGACCTACGAGGAAGTTTGTCGATTAGCACAATAATCTAGCTGTCATGAATACGATACGGTCAGAAGTATTCCGAACAAAATGTTATCTATTTCTTAGCAAGAAACCAAAAGTTACATATTTATTATCTATTTCAGATTATTTCTTATTCAATGTCGCTTTTATATGGTACATAATGACAACGAGTGAACAATTCTCATCAGATTTCTTACATAATCCAACCGATTCAGCTGTGTCATGTTTATCATCAAACGTTGGTTCCATAACAGATTTTCTTCTCAATTCAACACATTCCACCGAAAATACTAATGAGCAAATTTTTGAAAATAGTAAGCTCGAACGTTTAACGGTAAGAACATTCGTCTTTGTACATTGTTGATTCGATCTATTTTCGTCTGAAAAGGTCTGTGAAACTGAACCACCGAGTGAATTGAATGTATCAGGTAACAAGGAGAAACTAGGACATCGTCGTGTTGATGAAATAGGCAATGTCACGTACAAACGTGTTATGGTCGATGATTTGATGAAATCCTTGCAGACTGGTTTGAATTATGTTCTTGGAAAACATCATCAACCTCAACGACAAGTTCTCTTTCAAGATTTTCAACAGATCGAATACCAAGATTTCCCACCGTATGTATCAATTTCCGTCCTACTTAACAAAAATAGAAATATTTAGACTTCTCTGTCGTCTGATGACGTTGATTCTCGTACATTAGAAATGTCTCGACGTGTAATGACATTAATAGATGAGAGTAAATGTTTAATTGTGCACAATAATCATCTGTCATTCTTGATTTGATACGAAAAAGAAGAGCACTCGATGTTAATAACATTTTAGTACTCCATTATCATAATCAAATATTGATCGAAAGGCAGAAAAACATACATCTACTTTTGAAAGTACAATCGTTAACCTTTATCTCTCTATAGAACTTGAGATTTGATATCTTTTTCGGAAGGAAAAACTTTGATTGATTTCAATCAACCTCAATTAGATCATGCGAATTAGAATTCACATCATGTTGTCGATTCCATGAAACCTATCGAGATGATCATTGTGTACAAGTATTCAAATCAGTTTGCTCAATTTCAAATACATTTCGCTTCTATCAATTGAATTCTGATAAATAGACATCTTTCCTACTCAAGAACCTTGAAATTTTTATCAAATCTGACAGTTCAATTGATGAATGATGTTGTTTACAAATGGATATATATATATATGCGTGATGAGATGTTTCATTTCTGTGTACTCACATTGCCTCGTCAATGTTTTCTCGTGTAGAGAAGGATCGAAATCAACACCAAAACATCCATATGCTGAATTCCGCTTGAAAACTTATGCTCAAACTGCGTTTCGTTTCTTCCGAGATGCATTCGGTGTAGATTCATCATCATTCATAGTAAGTTAACAAAGTAGCTTTCCACTTCAATGATGAATATTGCTTTAGTTGTCGCTTTGTGCTAAAGATTTACGTGAATTACCAAATCCAGGTGCAAGTGGTTCGATATTTTATCTCACTGCTGATGATAGTTATATTATCAAAACTGTATCGAAGAAAGAAGCTCGATTTCTGCTCAGTCTTTTACCTGGTTATTACATGAATTTTACCCAAAATCCTTTTACGCTTTTACCGAAGTTCTTCGGCTTATTTTGTTATCAAAGTGCGAACAAAAATATTCGCTTTGTCATTATGAATAATTTAATTCCTACGAATGTTAAATTACACGAAAAATATGATTTGAAAGGTTCCATTTATAAACGTAAAGCATCCGAAGAGGAACGAAAACGTGACTTACCAACATTGAAAGATAATGATTTCAAATGTTTACATCCACATGGCATCATTTTAGAACCATTTTTTTACGATCAACTCATGCAAACTATCGAAGATGACGTTCGAGTATGTCAAATGTAAATTTGCCACAAAAGTTCCCGTAAATTCAATGTTTTCTAGGTACTCAGTAGTTTCGGTATCATGGATTATTCATTTTTACTTGCTGTTCACAATATAACTGAAGAAATGAAATCAACGTATCAATTAACATTTGATTCCACTAGAGCAGTCACATCGTTGAGTGAACCGAGTGCATCTGATTTTCATGTGAATGGTTCGTTGAGTATTCACGAGGAAGTGACAACGACATCGACCGATTCTGGTATTGCTATGACGACAATATCCAAGCTTCCAACGTATATACAATACCTACGGGTGATTGAATTCATTCGTGCACAGCAAGAAACGTCGAAATGTCATATCGAACGTTCTTTATCAGCGAATCATATCGAAACAGCGAGCACCAAAACCATGAAACCAGATGCGTCGCCGAAACTTCAGAAGACATTGACAGATATTCCTCAATCGAATGAACAACGATTAAGTTTAACAAATGTTACGTTTCGCATCAACAATCGAAGTCCAATTCACTATAACCATAGTACTAGATCATCGTTCCATACGGCAACTGGTTTAATTGGAGGAGATGTTTGGTACAATCGACAAAATCTTTCTCGATTAGCAATGTATGTTTTTTTATTGAAAGACATACTCGAAAAAATATTTCTAACCTAGGGCTGGCGTACCAGCAGTGAATAAAAACGGTGATTTATTGTTATTATACGTTGGTATCATTGATATCCTACAAAACTATCGTTTACGTAAAAAACTTGAACATGCTTTCAAATCAACGCTAGTAACACGGGTAGAACAGACACGATCGATCGTCGCTGAAAAGAAAATAGATGTTTAATGTTTCATTTTCAGGAAGAAGTATCCGTTTGTAATCCAAGTCATTATAGTGATCGCTTTGTCAGATTTATTTCACGTCGAGTATTCCGGAAGGGTACGTTTGTTTTCTTCCATGCAGTGATAAACAGCTAAAGAAATACACTTTCTAGGAGGTCCTCATGGAAACACGCTACTATCTGATAGTCAGTCAAATACAGATCGACTAACTGTGCACAGTAGTCGGTACGTAATTTAATGATGTTTTTCAGGAGAAAATCATTCTGCTAGATCTCATTTTAGATTACTGGATCCATCTTCATTGTATCATTCGCCAATGAGTGATGATGACAAGTCATCAACAAGCAATCAGAACAATGAAATGCAGAGTGCCAGATCTTGATTGATAGTCTTCGTTTCTTGTTGTATTCCTCTTGTCTTTCGCTGAACAACAATGATCTCTTGAAGAATTGTTTTCTCTTTACTACAGCAAATTAGCAATCGTATTGGAAATAATTATATCTCGCTCTCTCTCTTTCTTTTTTTTTTCATCTATCGGAACGATTATGCATTGATATAAGCAAATATTTATATTTCAAATAAAACGAATGTTTTTCTATAAAAAAAAAAGCTTTGATTTTTTTCTGTCTCAGATATAAAAATGATTTTGCTACGAAAAATTATTAAACAATCAATACAGATCCGTTCTGCTAGTTGGTATGTGTGCTATTCAAGATGATTCGATCAAGACTACCTGTTCGATTATTTAGTATATCGTTTCGGATCAACGAACTAGCACGATTTAGCGATGGAAGTGCTATTGCACAAGTGAATATTTCTTCGTCGATTTGCATTCGATCTCTTTCATTGTTCATGTAGATGAATAATACTAGCGTTTTGGTGACAAGTGTCAGTAAAGCGAAAGTACTTTCTGCTAATCCACCTTCATTTTTGCCACTGACGGTAAAGCAGATAATAGCATTGCGAGACGAGTTCGATGTGTTTTTGTATTCTAGGTGGATTATCGAGAAAAAGCAGCCGCAGCTGGTCGAATACCAACGAATCATTTACGACGAGAACTCGGTTTAACTGATCATGAGATATTGACTGGTAGAATGATTGGTAAATTGTATGTTTGGGAATATTCGTCTTGAGTTCAGTGAGGTTTTATTTCAGATCGTTCGATACGACCATTGTTTTTGAATGGATACACCTACGATACACAAGTATTTGTCGAATGTCATTAGAATATGAAATCGCAAATGTTGTTTTTAGGTCACGTGCAACATACTTTCAGCTGATGGAACGACTGAACCAGATGTATTAGCAATCAATGCAGGTATAGAAAGAACGTTTAGAAAACTGAATGAAGTTTTGACGTAGTTTTGGTTATTTTTAGCATCAGCTTCGTTGGCAACATCTGATATTCCCTGGAACGGACCTATCGGTAAGATGTTTCGATTGAATTTTGTCTCTCAATGAATATATCATTGCAGCTGCTGTTCGTATCGGATCCATTGATGGACGATTTATTGTCAATCCTTCTCGACAGCAAATGCAAAAGAGTGATTTGAATCTAGTCGTATCTGTAAATCCAAAAGGACATTTGGGTAATTTAAAAGAATTGATTACAATGGGAGAATTCTTCTGTTTTTTTGCAGTTATGATTGATGCATCAGCAAATCGTCTATCCGATGAGAAATTCTACTCAGCTTTACAGCTCAGTGTTGAATCTTGTCTTCCGATCATTGAACACATCAAAAGTCTTTCCAGTAAACCTAAACGAACGAAGATCGAATTGCAAAAATTCGATCCATCTCTCGTGGAGAAATTGTCAACACTATGTTACGATCGTTTGCTGCAAATCTTTACTGACTCGACATTGGATAAGATTGCACGTGATACAGCGATCACTGTTGTCCGACAAGAAGTTCTCAATGAAATTCTCACTAAAGAAGAAACAACTCCTGTTAATCTGACAGATACATTCGGCTATGTTGTAAAAAAAGTTTTTCGAAATTTAATTTTTGAACGTTCGCATCGATGTGATGGACGTTCATTTGATCAAGTACGTCCAATTAGTTGCCAAGTTAATCTTTATGATTCATTACATGGTTCGGCGCTGTTTCAACGTGGTCAAACTCAAGTTTTGTGTACAGTAGCATTTGATGCACTTGATTCTCAATATCGACACAATGAATTCGCTTGGCGAACAGGCATTAAACGCAAACCGTTCATACTTCACTACGAATTTCCACCGTACGCAACCAATGAAATTGGCCGAACGTATGGAAGAGCAGATCGGCGAGAGTTAGGTCATGGTGCTTTAGCAGAAAAAGGTGTCGAACCCGTGGTACCTAATGAACTACCATTTATGATACGTCTAACGTCTGAAGTGCTGGAATCCAATGGATCATCCTCGATGGCCAGTGTCTGCGCAGCAAGTCTGGCACTGATGGATGCAGGTATACTTATCGATCACTATTAACAAATCGATTGAAATTGCTTTTTTGTTTTAACAGGTATAAATATTCATGAACCAGTTGCTGGTGTCGCCATTGGACTGGTCTCTAAATGTACTGATGATGGTTCCATTTCTGATCATCGCGTACTTACAGATATCTTGGTAAGTTCTTACTTTGAATGTTACTATGATCTCTTTTTTACATATGTCAGGGCATTGAAGATTATATGGGCGATACAGACTTCAAAGTAGCTGGCACTCGTAATAGTATTACTGCTCTACAAGTATGTTGTGCCTTTATTTTTCCTCATAGAAACGAAAGATCCTCAACTTTTTCATAGGCTGATATAAAGAATATGGAAGGTCTACCATTGAACATTGTAAAAGAAGCTTTACAAGCAGCTAAAAGTAAATGTGACACCGTACTCTGATCCCTTTTTTTAATGGAAATTGTCTAGATGCTCGTTGCAAAATAATCGATATCATGAACACTGCCATCCAGCAGCCACGACAAACGAAAAAATACAACACACCCGAATTAGAAACGTTAACTATTCCAAGTCACAAACGTGGACGTTTTCTTGGCGTTGGAGGAATTAACTTGAAGAAAATCTTAGGCCAAACAGGTTTGTTTACATCGCAGCTAATCCTGATTGTAGTACAACGCATGAAATCTAGGTGTTACCATCTCTCCAATTGATGAAATAACCTATTCTATATTTGCACCAAATAAGGACGCATTAAATGAAGCCAAACAGATTATTGACAAACTTCTAGAAGAAATGAAAGAACCTGAACTGGAATTTGGTGGTATTTATACAGGCAAAATTGTTGAAATACGTTCCAATGGTGTTCTCCTACAACTCTTTCCTACGATGTCACCTGTTCTATTGCCCAATTCACAACTTGATCGACGAAAGGTAATCTCCACTCTCAGAGATATGTTCCAAACAGCATCCACTTTATTGTACATTAGATTGATCATCCCAGTGCGTTAGGTTTGAATGTTGGTGATGATTTACAAGTGAAATATTTTGGTCGCGATCCTGTCTCAGGTACAATGCGTCTTTCACGAAAAATTCTTCTCAGTACCGGCGGTGTTGGACCAGTACGAAATTTCATTGCAACTGACAAAGATGAAAAACGACCTGGTATATGGGATACCCAATCATTGAAGTCAACTATTTCCGATGAGAAAAAAAAATTGTGAACATTTGTTTATTTTTCATTCAGATAAATAAATCAGCGATGAATTTTTTCTAGTGAATGAAACTGAAATCTATCGCGTATACGACATTCATTAAATCTCAGTCGGTAAATGTCAAACATTGTGCATATCTTCATTTAATCTTCCAGTGACGTCTTCGTATCATCATCGACAAACAAACTTTTAACTTCGTCTTAATCTTTTCGTGAATCATCTGATGTGTGTCTAGCATTTCACACAAGTGCGCCGAACTCAAACAATACTCTGCATGTTCTTATATCTGCACAAGAATTTTGTTCGATTTTCGAATAGTAACAGAATGTTTGCGTAGACTGAAGTGTTTCGTTTCTTTTTTCAATGCTGACGTCACTTGTCACGTCGCTAGGGCCGATCGATGATTGTCGTCATTAAAAATTTAAAAATACAGTTACCATTGGTAACCCTGCACTTCAAACTGTATGCTTATAGATACACAAAAAATTTTTACTTGATTATTCCATTTGTAAACCGATCTACTTAAATCCTTGAATGAGAAAGGGTATTCAACTATTTCTCATGTCCCCACCATGCATTATTAAAACAAGTGGGCAGATACTAGAGTATGATGTCAAGTAATTACTTCGAGTACCTTGTTGTTTTTGATCGAAAAAAAAGAAGAAGAAGAAAATTTTGTGCAGCCAGTAAACTGGGCAAAGAGAAAAACGAGTTACGTCAGGAATGAAGTAAATAATTTTTCTTCGGGTTCTCTATGTGAATGCTTTCGGGACTTTTGCCCCACTGCATTTTGTTATTTGATGAGTGAGTATATACTATACACGAAAGAATAACCGTGCACAGTCGTATATTAAATCTGTCGTCATCATTTGCCTCTTACAAAGCGAATCTTCGAGAAACAAATAGACGAGCCCGCCAACAAGTGACATACACGGAGCAAACTATATTACTCAGTCGGATACAGAAGAAGCGAAAATAAGGTATTTATAATGACGCTATGAAAAAAAAAGAAGGACAAAAGCAAGCGAAAGAACTTTCGCTTTGCTCTCGGTAAATATACGAAAAAAGCAATCAACTCGATCTTAAACCAGATCGATAAATCGAGACAAACGCACGTGCTCGAAGCGCGTGATCTCTGCGTAACTTGTCCTCGATATAAAAGCTATAGCAATTATCAAATCGTTTTAGGTTTCTTCTTGCCATACTATATGACGCATAGAAGGTGTTTTTTTTCGACTGAGATTAACATTGTCCAACATGATTGGATAATTACCGTCTCGATCAATGAAAAAGTGCGTTCTCGGACACTTTTGCAAACAGTAATGATCAAGCAGCAGGGTGAAAATTTTCTTTTTCTTTTTGTCGCTAGCAAATAAAAGATCTCTTCGCTTTGAAATATGACGCCATATCTCAAGCTATTTAAGTGATAACTTGAAAGAAGTGGTTTAGATATAGAAAGGAAAAAGTCAGCGTTACATATATAAGGCTCATAAGTACTCGAGATACTATCGCTTCTTCCTATATTTCTACAGGTTGACATCTCTTATAGAACAGATATTTGCACTAAACTTTCGCTATACATAATCGTCAGCATTTTCTTCAGGTAGCGAAAAAACAGCCAAGTACTACATGGATTGTTAGACAAAAGTACATTCGGGTTGTACATATACGACATCTATCGTCGATGTTTACTTGGGAGAAAAAAACGATGTAATAAAAATAAGTAGTCAAAAAATTGATGTTTTTTTTTCGTAAACAATCGTCGCTGGCGGTAGTTGTGAATTTATTTTGAGATTTTCATTTTTCATTGTTTTCTTTTTCCCTTCTTGCCCTTGATAAAGTATATATATATATATTCGTTTTTGTAATAAACAAATAGACATGTTGAAAAAAGAGAAGAAAAAAACAAATGCAGAGAAAGAAAAAAAGAGAGCTTACTTTTGTAAAAAAGAAGAATCGAACTTAATGTGAGTAAGCATATCGAAAATAAACAGTTTGAAAACAACGCGTTTATCTTCTTCTTTCTTTTTCAAGGTATGAAACGCTTTTATAATCAGTCCATTCTGGCAGAAAAACTTATGAATACGTTTCCTAACGCCGAGAAATCGACCAAAACTTCGACAACAACAACAACTATAACGAAAAGAGCACCTTTGACTAAAGCGTATAGTTGTTCAGATGCATCCCCGTCGAATTCATCCGGCGTTTGTAGATTCATTACTCCGAAGGAATTTGTCGACTTAGTTTCGGAGAAATCGAATAACCAAGACGTTCCCATACTTGATTGTCGTTCGCAAATGGACTTCGGTTGTGAACGAATACGTTCGTCACACAATATTAACTGTCGAACGAAAATCATGGCGAGAAAATTAACTTCCAAACGTTTAGAAGATGTAGAACCGAACTTATCCTCCTCTTTACATAACTCTGACATCGTTATTCTCTATGATCAATCAACAGATGTACCGGAAGAAGATAAAATTCGTTCTCTACCGATTAATCTTGTTGTTCAAGCTGCACAGAAATCAAATAAAATAGTTCAAATAATTCAAGGTAAATGACGAACTAGACGGATGACATAGAGGTTAACTAAATACATCTACCAAATAATACCCCGTCATTTTAGGTGGTTTAGATGCAGTTAAAACTGAATTTCCACATTTGATTGAATGCGCACCGGAAGCACCGAAATGTAAAACTGATGATGATCTACCTCCTTTACCGGCAAGTCCCGATACAATCGATAAGGAAAATATTATTATGTCAGAAATTGTTCCACACATATATGTTGGTATGTACCATTCTTCTTCCGAAATGCAGACCACTCGCAGCGAAATCTGAAGGGAAAAAAAACAAGAACGTAAATTGATTGATAAAATATTGAGTCATTCAAACAACAATGAAAGAATAAGATAAAAGTCTTTTTCTTCTTCTCCGTTTTCAAGCTCAAGGTTATAACGACATAATAAGAAAATATTTTAATTAGTTTGAATCAAGAACAAGAATCATTCTTTTCTAGGAAATATATGTGACGCACAAAATCTCGATCGATTGACTGAGCATGGAATAACACATATTATAAATTGCACACCTGATTTGCCTTTCTATTGGGAAAAGAAACATGAATATTTGCGATTAGATGTGCTCGATTTACCATCACAAAACATTCGTAAACATTTCGAAACTGCCATAGATTTTATCGGTTTGTCATGATGTTTCGCCACAATTCATTTCTTATTAATTATGTCTTGTTTTTCCTATCATGTAGACAAAGCATTGCAATCGAATGGTAAAGTTCTTGTTCATTGTTCAGCAGGGATCAGTCGGAGTCCGACATTAGTACTTGCTTACCTGATGAAGAAGAAACGCTGGACGTTAGACGAAGCTTTTGAAAAAATGAGAAAATTACGTCGAATAGTTGACCCGAATGTAAGTTTTATCATTCAGTTACGTGAATGGGAAAAAACTCTCATGGCAAACGCGGTAACTGAACCGAATGAAGACAACTTAGGAGCGACGAGTCGATCAACATCGTCAGGCACATATTGCGGGTCAACATCGAAAACGAAAAGCGAAAGCAAAGCATGTGCAACAACTTCAGATGCGGCGATAACTGTCAATTGAAGCAAAAAAAAAGGGACAAGCATATGTGTTCATTGAATATCTCAAGAACAATCAATCTATCAGTAAAATTCGCTGACGAAAAAAAAATAATCAATAATGCAATTTTTCTTTCCTCTCTGTCTCTCTCCCTCTCTCTCTCTCTCTCTTTTTAAATATGTATATATCTATATACTAACTAATTATTCTTATCAAAAGAAAAAACTGAATATCAGTTTTCTCTCAAAGACATATATTCACAGTTGAGCAGCATTCTTCATCGTGTCTTCCATACCTTCATTGTTCTTCTTCTATTCGTTCTTTTTATATCGTTTCATGTGATTGTTTACTTTTGTTTGACTCTGTAACGATTGATCTATTTTTGTACATTCGATTGAGAAGGCGATAGCAAAGTTGAACACTTTTGCACTTTCTGTCATGTCAAGATCTTTGTGATTTGTATTTAATCATCCAGACGACGTTTCGAAAGTTTCCCTTCTCCTTTTTCTTATTCTTCGTCTCCTTATTGTGCTCAAAGATATATGTACGGTGATTAGATCAACAAGAAAGAAACCTATCAATGCTCTCTTTTTTTCTCTCATTGAAGGTAATGAGTAACAAGCGGAACAAAAGAAAGCGTCTGCTGACGCAATCGTTCACAACGACTTACGTCACGAGGAAAAAAATCAATTATCATGTACTATTTATTTCAATATACCTGAAAATGTAATGAAAACTCACAGGATACATCATGATTATCAAGTGCAATGATGGCGTGTTATTTTTGTACTTAATAAAGAACATCAAGTTGACAGAGATAAATTGATTGAGTAGTTTCGGATAAAAATCGTGATTTGCTTTATATCTGAGGTAGACATCAGATACCTATTCGTATATGAAGAACATTGGGAAAAGAACTCAGTTTTTCCTATACCAAATCTGGCATAGTCGATCGAAATCAATTTCCATTTGATCAACTTTTGTGGTCGAGCAGTTTGGATCAACTAATAATATGCATCAAATGAATATTTCGAATTATACTCAAGTGTTTATGCTATGCACAAATTTTCTCGACATGTAGTGCAAATCATCTTGACACACACTCTAATTAGAATCATACTACGATGGAGTATGATCGATATTTTTGTGATTTAGGTGTTCGCCGCTGAACGCACTTGTATTATTGACAATATCCTCTTCCTTTCATCTGATCGGCGATACAAAAAGAAGAAAAAAAAAGAGACACGTTTCATTCTTTTTTGATTGAATGTATTTGTCTATCAAAAAAATTGATCTCGCTCATCTTCGAACTGTCATAACAAGAATGAAAGAGAAAAAAAAACCTAGAAGGATGCAAATATACATGAAAATATTGATCACGGTTATTTATATATATAATTTGAAGGTTGGAAAAAAATATACACAAGATACGCTTATTGGTTTCGTTGATCAACACTCATTGCTCCTATTTTCAATAAACTCAATTGGTATCCAATGATGTATACAGCGTAAATGATGGATGTAACTGGTCAGTTCGGTTAAGTTCAATTTTTATCTAAAGCTTTTTTTGGTCGACGGGATAGTTTAAAGTGTTCATTCAAGCGTGTCTCGACACAAACGACGAATGAATGAATAAATGAAGATGAATGTCATCTATAACAAATAGAATAGTATTGACGTTCGATTTCACATGTCTATCCATGTACATGTATTTTTTTTCCTATACAATTTATTTGTTTATTGGTTTCTCATTAATGAAACAAAAAAAAAACCGACCGTGTCGAATGACGCACCAGGACAAAGTTAACTATATGTCTGTGTTTTTTCTTCTCACCACAGTTATTCGTTTTACATTTCATAATAATGAGAACAATAACATTTAAATATTAAACCTACTGGATCGCCAAACGTCTCTCTTATTCATTCTTCTAGAATATGCCAAGCAAAACACAACATAATTCGATGCAATCGTCTACTCACTCCAAAGATCATCGACATCATCGTCGTTCAACTCGTTCGTCAACATTACTTAGTCATAATGGTAGCAGTCAATTTTCAAATGATAACACTTTTCATCGACGATCTGTATCACCACCATCACCAACGTCCATGCATTATTCGGCATATTTTATCAGTCGGATCGATCTCGATGATTACACTGAACATACATTAAAACAAACGGTCGATAATGTCGTACCAGGAAGCAAGATAAAAGGTTTGTATTCGAATGACGTGAAACAAAAAAAAAGAGGCAATGTTAACCTTTTGATTGATGTAGGATTGAAGGTGAAACTAATCTTTCCCGACGAAGGTCTCATTGTTGATAATATAATTGACCCAAATCAATCGTGGATGTACAAAGCATCGGAATTATTATATTTTTGGCGGGATCCATACTATTCAAATATCATCGTCGGTGTCACGTCGAATCGTCTACGTCCGACAGCAACTGGGCCTTATTCAGCATCGATATTTCGTTTACGTGGCGATGGTCTAGTACAGTTATTTTTTCAACGAGCTCAGCAATTCTTTGGTCAGCATGTACCGCCAGCAGGTTCATCAACGAATAATTCAAAAGTTTTAATTGAAAAATCAACAACAGTTGATAATTTACCACCCGATAATCAGAAGAAGAAATCGAAACATCATTCAATGACAAACAAACCATCTACATCCAAATCTGCACGTTCACTTCAAACGACTCCTGTTCGTCAAGGTGCACGAACTGAGTTTGACCCTGCTCGAACAAAAACTAAAACAAGAAACTCGATCTTTAATTTGTACGATAACAATCGAACTGGCAATGAATCAACTCTCTTGCATGATTCACGTTCGAAAAGTTCTAAACGACGAAGTACTGATTTGGATAATGATGATAAGGTTACTTCGATCAGTGTTCATCTCTCAGGTGAACATGTCGCTGAGCTTATGCGTGAATTAAAAGAATTACGCAATGAAATTGCTTCATTGAAATTAGAAGCACGATTTACACCTGTACGTTCGACGAGTACAAGTCCAATGACTTTATATCCTGAAAATGCACTCAATTCCAACAATAGTTTGTCAACATCTATGCCTACTCTAGCACCGCAACCAGGTAATGAGGGAGAGAAATCGTCTGGCCAAAATTCAGGTAACCAGCGGTCGCAACCAAATGATGTTTCATTAACAAGTAAACGAAAAAATGAACAATCAAATACGATTGTCAATAAACGGCCATCCTCAAGTAGTTCAAATAATAATGAATCTGATAAAGAAGGTACATTATTCAATTTATACATCGATTTGTTCGACAGTTCATTTACGTTAATGAATAAAAAGAAACGCTAAGCATTTCTTAACCGAGAACCTTGAGAGTAGACCGATTTTCTGTAGATGAAGTTCTTATCTACTAAACGACAGCTAAGAAACAGCGATTATGATTCTCTTAGTAATCCGTGTCTGTTTTATTTCATAGAACCAGCTTTGGTCAACTTTTCTGACACGAACACTTCCCTCGAAGTACTGAATTCTTCGAATAATCGTGATGATAATTCATCAACGACATTTCCATTACGACCGCGTCCTATCAAATCTTATCCACATAGTTTTTCACATTTAACCAGTTCAACATATAATCTTTTATCAAGCACTAATTCATCGAAATCAACTCCGAATGATGATGATTCAACATCCATTACTATACCAATCTCAAGTAAATATGCAAAGATTTATCTTTCTCTTGAAATACTTACGAATGGCTTTGTTTTTTTTTTTTATAGAATCATTATCAGTCAAACAAACAGAAATCGTCAGCTTTCGTACGGCAATAGAAAATACGGTTGCATCTCCCGATCATACATATGAAAATTTGCCAATGCCATCACCTAACGAACCCACGAAACTTCTTCCTGACGCACGATCTCAAAATGAAACCGACCAACAACAAAATAAACAGGAGATCTATGTCAATGCAGTTGTTGAACGTGATGTCGATAATCAACCAACGCCTGATGTGCAGAAAGGAGTAACATTGATCAACACACATGAACCAACATTACTCAGCTATTCACCCTCATCTCTAATAAGAGATACTCTGCCAGTACAAACAACAGAACTACCATCGAATATGTCGCCACGTCCTCAACCACCACTTTTTGCTAATCGTCTTACAAATCCGGCGTTCTCTGTCGATCGACAACTCTTAGCTAATACCATTGCAAATCAATTTGATCTTCATCTCAATTCACCTTACTTACAAAAACTCATCGAAAATCAACATCTATTCGTTTCGCAAAAGCGAACATATGCGAACATGATCTGGCAAATGACACCCGACGAAGAAAATGCCATATGCACAACACCAGCAAAAACGATTCCGAATGTTGTCGACTCCAATCGACTCGATCCTAACAATTCAACAGCCAAATCAATCTTAAAGCAACATAAACAACGAACAATGCAAAAGAAACAACGCATTACTTGGGATAATAAACTAGAGTAGTAGAATTATAATGATTTGCATGCATGTCCATGTGAGTGAGTGTGTGTGTATGTGTTTGTGTTAATTAATACGACATATTTTTATAATACTTCTTTGAATAATTCTTATCACAATATATAATATTACTTTTGTCATGCGTATCAAAACATTCTTTACCTTTTCCTAATAATTCGTTCGATTTCACTATCTTCGAAAAACAAAAGACTTTTCTCAAATAGATTATCTACATACAATTGCAGTTAGTTTTGTACTTAACGTCATATCAACTTATCTAGTGTACCTGTCCTTTGAGATTAGATTATTTACTATGCTTTGACAACGACAATAATTAGGATACGACTAAGTGTCAGATGACTCAAAGTTTGTTTACTCACTCGAAAATCATCCAAATTATCTATTACCTTGATCGACTTATCCATACCCAATACTGTTCCCAGTGTCGACATTCGCTGTTATTTTTCTCGCACCAACTAATCAAGGATTTCTGTTAGGATAATTGAGATCGAAACTATAATCGTTGTAATCTACTACTACGAAATGTTGATGTATAAACAATTGATTATTATATTCATCAACACATCGATAGTCATTTTCGTATATTCACGTCTAGTTGAAATAATGAGAATTCAATATGCATCAAATATGTTTGGTATTGCAACCACACCTGCCTATTCGTCGTCCAGATTCCTACAAAGATTAGAAGAATCTCATCTTATATAATCCGGATGATGTCATAGACATTTATACAACTGGTAGAGTATTCATCGCAGGTTTAAATCATCGTCACATGAATACGACTGCTGAGCTTATTATTATTGATTCTTTGTCGAAAAAGAAAAAAAAGTTACACCATGTAATTTCAGATGTACTTAAATAATTGGTTGACATTCATTGAATAATCTGTAGAATCTTTTTTTTGTTTTGTCAACATCGTTTTTCGAATGAAGTGTTCATCTGACTTTTCATGTACCGTATTAGTTTATTGAGTAAAACATGCTTTTCAAAAATTCTTAAGCAAATCAAAAGTTATTCCTTAAATTCGTACGATAAAATCTCCATTGATACGCATAATACGCATCAGATTCGTTGTCGACGGTGGATTTTCTATAATAGAATTCGTTTTCGTATTTGCTTTGTTCTGTATCTTCGGTTCGGCGAGCGAACGATGTGGATAAGGTGGCGGCAAGCCATGTTGTCGAGTTGATGGACATGGTGGCAGAAGTGCAAGTGATTGTTCAACTTGAATGTTGTCGAAATCATAATCATGATGATTCATTTTTGTGTTCGTTGTTGCTTTCGGTACACTTGTAGTGCATGGAGCTGTTAAATGAATATTTTCAATCGATGATTGATATCGTTTACTATAATGCGACATTGTTCGTGTTAATGTCCATGTTTGTTCATGTTCAAATGAACTTGAATATGGATAATTCGATTTGTTGACATTAACAATTGAATAATAAGTACAATGTTGTCGTCCATGTAATTGTTCATCACCATTTTGCAATGATCGTTCCGCATACCACTCGACTTGTTCTCGTGGCATCTCAACTAATCATCAATGTTGATTCTCGTTTACTAATCTTTCGATGTATGCATCTATTCACGTAACGAAGACTACGAAAAGAGAAATCTGAGCATTTAAAGAGACTTCTCCTTCTACTTCTTCTTTGCTTATAACCTTACAGGTATATTCTTTCTCCCTCCATCCTCCTCTCTCTCTCTCTCTCTCTCTCTCTCTCTCTTTCATTCGCTTGCTTTACTCTGACTCTCATCCTTTGCAAGTATGTAATATCATCAATGAAAAAGAAAACGAGTATTCAATCGAACTTCTATGCAGTGTATATAACATTCAAGAGAAACAAAGTGACGACGAAGAGAATTGACTGGACACATATTATTCAAGTGAACCCCTTGAGCGACCCGTATTATTCTTTGTCTTCACTTAGAAAAACATTGTGCACCATGATATGCAAAACAATGTTAAGATAAAGAAGTATCATTAAATATAATTATTCCTAGGAACAAAAGAGATCAAACAAAAAGTTATAGGAATGATTTTCTCTGTTGATTTTGAACTAAATCGAAAATTTATTCATATTCATAAGAGAAAAGATACTTGATCAGAATAGGATTAGTTTCAATGAAAAAGGATCAATTGAGGCGATGGTATAGGAGAATATGATACTCGAGATGTTAATAGATTATTTTCAGAATTCTATTTTCAACTGTTCAATGAACATAACGGATCATTGAGGATTTGTATCAGTGGTTTATTTGCGATTGATTTGATGGATGTAACTGAAAATAGATTTAGGATGAAGCAATAAATAACTGACATCTCTATTCATTGTCTCTTTTCATCAACAACAATGAACAGAGTCGAAAATTTGTTGTCTGAGAAAAAAAAACAGAGCAGCTCTTCGCAATTGTTCTTATTGGTTTTCTCGATCACCAATCTACTTGCGTTTCATTTTTCAAATAAAATAAGCAATTGATTTGCTGATTAAAAAAGAAAGACTCAGGTATGACGAGGTTGTAAATTCTCTTTGCGAATGTCATTTACATGGAGGCCATTCGAAATAAAATAAAATAAGACAAGAATAGAAAATATGTCATGATTGTCTTAACAACCCGCCACTTTCTTTCTATACTCAATAGCGAACAGAAACAGGGGCGAATCTGTTTGCTTTTCCTCGTTCTTTCTCTCTTTTTTTTGGACTAGATTGTATGTTGCTGCTGCGCTTGTGTTTTTCGTCGACGACGAGATGAGAGCAAGATTATATGATTCATTTCTTTCCTTCTTTTCTTCTCTTTCTTCTCTGTTCTAACAATTCGTCGTCGTTTGCTACCATCATCATCACCACCATCAACTACAAGATTATCAAATCAACGCAGTCTACACGAATAGCATCGTTTTTTTCCTTTTTTTCCTCTCTACTCGACGACCGTGCTCGTGCGGTGCGACTCTCCTATATACATATATATATATATATATACATATACATCTATATTCGTGTTTTCTTGCTTTTTCATATGAAATGACTGACCTCAACGTTCAGTTCTGTATTCAAGGGCATGTACATATCTTTCAACACGTGTATTGTCTGTTGACATTTGTAAGAAAAACATGAGTAAGTTGTTGTTTCTAAAGCTTTTCAAGGTTGAATTTCTATTTATGTCTAGAATCTCAGACGGTCAACAGCTGATAACAAGAATTTTATCGGTAGGCGATAATCGCCATAAGAGAATTTATCTATGTTATCGTATGTCTCAATGATTATGCGATTCGTTCGCTCTCATATGACTCATATGTCGACATGAGATAAAATCTCGGTTGCGGATTACTATTACTACTAATCTTAATAAGTCGTGTGTTATTTATGATGAAATAAAGATTCATAGACAGGAATCGATCGTAATGACTTCGATCAATTTCTTATTCACAACTAGACAGAGGAATAATTTGAACTTGGATGAAGTTAAGCTTCGAAAAAGCAGAACTGTGATGAATAAAGTTTTCCTGCATGTATAATTATTTTACATGAGAAGTCTTTGATTTGATTCTCATACCTTGCAATTTCATACTGAATGTTTTTGCACAAGCTATGTAGAACTTATCGATACATCTTTCATGTAGAATAATTATAAAGATTGTTCTACGCGTCATGGTTGAACAAGGAATATTTTCAGAAATTGGAGGACATCCGTTGATTGGTAAACGGGGGAATATTTGAGCGAAATCGACGCATTTTCTGGAATTCGAAAGAAATCTACGTAGTTATCGAGATATTTTTGAATCAGACGAACTCATTCTACAAAAAGAAAACAATCGAAGAATCCCTAAACGATACCAGACATTTCTGGAAGTATTATCCACTGTACAGTACTCTTCAGTGCAAACATGCATCTCGTTCATCTATAGAAATTGTCGTTGAAAATCCTTGTTTGTATTAGTTAGTCGAGTTACATCACATAATTAAACTGTTATTTCAATGTGGTCATCTATCAATCATTCACTGATACGTAAATCACACATTCCTATCGACATCTAATCAAAATACCAGATTGTTTGATGTTATGTTTGTGTTGTTGTTAACACGTCTTTATCAATGATTGTTACGCTTACATCATTCCATGGTTGTCATCTATTGAACCGATGTAAAATCGAATCTTGTTTTTCTGAATAGATTTCGAGTATTCTCTGCATACTATTGCCTCAATTGTCACTGATTCTGATCTGTACATGTGACGACTGAGGTCGTAGTACATAGAAGAAACTCTCAGACATTGGAATTAATCAACTTCAAGCAAGAAAAAGTGGTTTCAAACATAGCTCCTCAATGTTACTATTGTGCTATACTGTAGTGGATTTGATGTACGTCTACAGAATTCCGCAGTAGTAACATGCGTGATGCTTGCATGCGACTTGCATTGTCTGATTGTACTCTGATATGTTTACTATTGCTTCAATCGCCAACGGAAAGAATATTTCATTTTGGCGCTTGTTACATTAGTAAAAAGATTCAGAAAATTGCTCGTCGAATCGAAAATGGTACAACTTACATTTCTCTCCGTTCGTCTAACTCAAGTACGATTAATCTTCTGCCGAAGTGTAAGAAAGCTGATTTTGCTACGAAAGTAACCCTTATTTGTTTAGAAATTGGTGTGTGGACTTGGCTGCGAAATTTTTCAAGTATCAATATCTCTTTAGTGTTTGCTTGTGAAGATTCCACCTCAACACTAAAAACCAAATCGATCGTTTTTTAAGAATACGTTTGAAATGAAATCGAAGAAACAAGACAGAATATATTCAATTCTGTAGCATGGTAATTCGTGGTTGAAAAAAGAAAGAACTTCGAGGTTATTTTTCACGAATATTAAATGATCTGATATAGACGATCATTTCGTGTTATAAAAGTATGAAAGATTTCACAATGAGTGAATGAAAAGCGATGTTTTCTATGACAGTTGAACTATGTGATAGAAAGACAATGATAAAAAGATTGAAGTCAATTTAGGAAAGAAGATCTAAGTTTGATTTGTCGCTTGTAATAATATCCAAAGTTTTTCTCACATTAGGATTTATCAAATAATTTCCGTTTTGATTCAAACGAGGTAATGGATCAACACAGTGCAGTAGCTCATAAATGATCAACTGAATCGCTTCTGCCATATCTTGTATGGTTAAGTTCTCGTTTGAATCAGGTATATGAATAAAAACGCTTCGTTTTGGATCGATGAATAACGATTGATAATAGATAAACTCACAGAGAAATCTGCCAGCATCATCGGATGTTCCTATAGGAACTTTCGTTCGACGTCGAGCTCGTGCGCATATGTCATCAATGGGAAGGAGGGTTGTGATGGTGTCTGGTGCATCAGTTTTGATACAACGTCCACAATCAGGCGTTGTACCATTATTATCTGGATAACAGTAATCTATATTACAAGCAGCTCGCTCAACTTGAATTTCTTGAGTACCAACTGCGACGCCAATATGAATAACTAGCTGAAATCAAATAGTTTATTGATATTGCTATCGTTAGGTTTAATCTTACTGTTGGATTGTACTTCAACCAATAATCAGGTATTTTGTTCGATACATCATCGTATGTTACATTCATTTGTTCGATGATAATGTGGACTGGACATGTCCATTCGAAATATGTCTTCAATGCTTTCGCAACTTCCCAACTTGGATTTATACGAACGGAACGAAAAGGACCAAAACCTGTTATGAGTACGACAGGTACATCAGATGGGATCGCTGTATCCATGTAGAGCTATTTATCTAAAATGGACGAACTATCGTTGTAGCTTGTTGGTGAAGGAGTATTTCACCTTTCAAAGAGCGTATATGTCAGCTGACAAAGCGTATAAAAACACTATTTGCCTTTAGTTTTACAGTCATCATCGGTAAATCAATGTGTGTGTGTGTGTGTGTGTGTATGTTGCTCCGTCAATCAATAGGAGAATGGTCTTTAAGGAAGCCAGTTACTTTCATTGCTTACGTTATTATGATGTCGCACTTGTTCGGCGTACTTCTCGTCAACACAGGTAATCTCGCTGTACATCCTGTTCGCCTATACGTAGCATATTTATTTGAATCAACATCGAGAAAGTTTCAATAATCTTATCCATATATACTCATGCCATTTTCATACAATCCTCTTTATAACTAATTGTGTCACGTAGATCTTACTGCTTCTGTTGACTTCTATCACACGTTTATATATTGAATTATACTCTCTCTCTCTCTCTCAAATATATATATACGATTGCAATAGAACTGAGATCAATTTCAACAATAATATTGGATTACTATTGTCGAAATATATTTTTACATCTTGCCACAGTTGGAACACAGGATTCAGATTACTAAGTTAGTTTGTAAACCAATGTGACACAACGTTAAGTGTTTATCAAATAGCAAAAGTTCACCAAAGGAAGGAACATTTGATAATTGCAGAAGTAAGACTTTCTTTGTTCCATGCCACATGAGAGTGAGGGTGTTGTGTATGTGACAGAAAACAGATGTGCAAAGAAGTGAACAGTGAACATATGCAAATTGACAATTGGTTACATTTTCAGATATACGTAGGCCTGATCTGCTTAGATTCGATCTCACAAATTCTTTTCATGTGTTGTTTTCCTTTGTAAATCCTCGCGTTGCTTATGATGCACGCAATGTAGAAGATAAAGCGTAGGAAACGAGAACAATAAAGGCTATAAAATCTTTCATATCATCGGATCTTTCTACTTGTCATATGAGAAGAGGAAACAAGTCTTTTTCGATGAATAATTTCCTTGAAAAATAATCGGCGTATTAACAAAGAAAGAGTACTGGATGATAGTTTCATATTTTTAATGCTTCGCAGTATTATGAGACACCGGCGAGTTTTTTCTCTTCTCTCGTGTTTTCTTTCTTATAGACATTTATCTTCAGAACTTGCTCGAATGGTTCGAGTAAATAAGTAAAGAAAGATACTTCCCATTTCACTTTTCTTTTCTCATCTTCGCTCGTAGAACGACATCGATGAAACGAATGAACATTTTTAACGGCAATAACAACATAATGTCAAGAGAAATAGGAGAGAAAAGAAGTGTTCACTAGAAACTATCGGCTCTGCACGACTCCCGACTGTCAATCAGCATTTACATTTATTGTTTTCTTTTCTAGCACATCATCACTCCCCTTTTCCCCTTTCTTCTCACTCGACGACAAATTGACAAGAGAGACAGAGAAGTGAACTGTGAAACAGTCTATACTGCTCAACCGATCAAAATATTAGAACCATGTATCTCTCCTATGACCTGTGTTTGTTCATATGCCTTCTCTCAAATATCTATATCAATGTGAAATCGGCCAGCACCAAAGATTGGCTTATTGAATTTCATCGTCCAACCGAACCTGAAGTAGCCAGAACTATCGCCAAACGATACGCGATGGTATCTCGTGGTCCAGTAGGAACTCTCTATTCTAACGTATATAATACACGTGTAATACAAATATTTGCTTGATTCTAGGTATTGGATGACAAACAATTGTATCATTTTGTCGACCTTAAACCAACACACCCACAAAGACGGAAAAAACGAGATGTTATTCAGGAAGAGTTTATTCAACGACATCACCTTGTAACTATTTTGATGACAAAAGTATTTATTCCTATCAATCGAATCTAGGTTAAACGAGCTATTCACCAAGTACCGCACATCCGGATGAAACGTGGTTATGTTTCTAAGGATCGATTCGAAACAAGAAATGGCGATTATCAACAACCGAATGATCCTTATTTTCAATATCAATGGTATCTGGTATGATACTAAGCTCGACTTGCTTTCTCTTTACACATTACTTGTTAATTAGAAAAACGTTGGACAAGCTGGTGGTAAACCTCGACTTGATCTCAATGTCGAAGAAGCTTGGGCACTTGGCTATACTGGTAAAAACGTTACAACCGCTATCATGGATGACGGGGTTGACTATACACATCCAGATCTTATGTACAACTATGTAAGTGAAAACAAAAGCACCATCTAACGTTGAGCCTATGCTATGTTTTTTGTTTCAGAATGCGGAAGCAAGTTATGATTTTAGCAGTGATGATCCCCATCCGTACCCTCGTTACACAGATGATTGGTTCAATAGGTAAATGATCGGTAGTTTGCATGTACAGATCAAGTATCGCGAATTTTATATAGTCATGGAACACGTTGCGCTGGTGAAATAGCAGCTGCACGCGATAATAATATTTGTGGTGTAGGCGTTGCTTACAATTCGAAGATAGCTGGTATGAGATGTGTACAATCATTGAATTTACTGTAAAGTTTGTTTTCATAGGTATTCGAATGCTTGATCAGCCGTATATGACAGGTATGTTCAGTTGTGTAGAAGAGATTTAAAATCTACGATGAATCTATTTAGATTTGATTGAAGCGAATTCTATGTCACATCAGCCAAATTTAATCGATATCTATTCGGCATCATGGGGTCCTGTTGACGATGGTAAAACTGTTGATGGACCACGACATGCAACCATGAAAGCAATTGTGAAAGGCATTAATGAAGTACTGTCAATATTTATGATCTTATATGCTTTATAATTTCATGTTTCTTTTCTTCCTCTCGTCGTAGGGTCGTCGTGGTCTTGGTAAGAACATTATGTACACTGTGTACAAGATCGTTTTCTTGTCTGTCTTAAGGCTCGATCTATGTTTGGGCGAGTGGTGATGGTGGTGTGAATGATGATTGTAATTGTGACGGATATGCGGCATCGATGTGGACGATCTCGATCAATTCTGCTATCAACGATGGTCGCACCGCTCTCTATGATGAATCGTGTTCATCGACACTTGCTTCAACATTCAGTAATGGCCGCAGTGAAGATCCAGAATCAGGTAGCGATCGAAATTTGTTTTCTCGGAAAGCACTTTCATCAAACACAGCCTATATCAGACTTCATATTTCCATAAGAAACTATTCATTTAGCAGTACTGTTTCGATTCTCTTTCTAGGAGTTGCAACAACAGATCTCTATGGTCAATGTACTCTGAAACATTCGGGTACCTCCGCGGCAGCTCCGGAAGCAGCTGGTGTATTTGCACTTGCTTTAGAAGCCAAGTATGCTATATTAGAAGCAAAAAGAATCTTAAGAATATATATATATACATGAAAATTTAGTCGTCAATTAACATGGCGTGATGTACAACATTTAACAGTTCTAACAGCAAAACGCAATCAATTATTTGATCCATCAAAGCAACATTTATGGCACACGAACGGAGCTGGATTAGAATTTAATCATCTATTTGGTTTTGGTGTTCTTGATGGTTTGTTTTCTTACCTGGTAAAAACATCAACTCTTGCTATAATTAAAATCTTTAGCTGGCGACATGGTTCGACATGCGAGACAATGGAAGTCATTACCAACTCGCGTTCATTGTGCAGCTGGTAATATCACAGGACAACAGTAAATATACGCAACAGAATAAATATTTTCCTCGACAGAATGTGTGTCTTTTTCTTCTTCATCAGGATAATTCCTGCCAAAGCAACCTTGAAGTTAACGATTAGTACGGATGCTTGTAAAGATACGAAAGATGAAATTAATTATCTGGAACATGTTCAAGCCTTTGTTACACTGAAAAGTAGTCGACGAGGAAATACAGTTATCTTTCTCACATCACCCTTGGGCACCAGGTACGAACATATTATCGTGTCATCACGTCTGTTGTTCAAAAAAACACAAACGTGACTAACAGTCCCGAGATTCTTCGGAGACTGGATATATTCTCCTCTTGTGCAATTTCTAGGATACTTAGCGACCCATTTATTCTTCTTCGTGTTTAGATCATTGATCTTGAGTCGCCGTCCGTTAGACGATGATTCTAGCAAAGGTTTCTACAAGTGGCCATTTATGACTACCCATGCCTGGGCCGAACGAGCACGAGGTATATGGACACTTGAAATACGTTTTGATAACGATGATTATGCTAATGCACCATTAACTGCGCATCAGAATCAAACAGCATCAGATAAGAAAGAAAGTCAAAAGGCGACAACCGGTGAATTTTTCGAATGGTCCTTAGTTTTACACGGAACAAAGACGCCGCTCTACGAAAATCAAACTCCGTTGAAAGAGCACGGCGATAAAAGTAAATTATACATCACAAAACAGATTCATGCGAACAATTTTCGAGACAAGGCAAAATATGTTAAGTTGTTACAACAAGACAATCAAAAACGTTTGGGAAGTGATGATGAAATGACAATGTAATCATTCCAAGTTACAAACAAACCACGCATTCACATATTTTTTTGCTTTTTCTTTTGCGGACAAAATCATAATGATTATGAATAAAAATAAAAGGCAGACAATTGCTGACAATTTTCCATCATTCGCCATCGAAAACATGTGTTAGACAGTAGAAAGGAAACGATTTAAGTTAAAAAATACTTGTGAATCGACAACGATTGAACGCTTTACATGAAACGGTTCACAAGCGTTTCAATTCACTTCATATAAGCAGATATGTCTGTTATTTATTCGAAGATTCAAAAAAGACAAAATTACTATACAACTACAGAAGTTGGATTCTGTTTTTTTTTGTTTTGAACACATAAGAAAACATGTACAAAGTAAAGAAAAGAAAAACGATAAGGATGCATATGATCAAATCATGACTAGTTCGAAGAAATCATTCTTCTCATTTGCGTTTCTTATTCAATAAACGATAGGGTGGAGTTAACTGATGACGTCGTTCGAATTCTCTTGCACGTTCTTTCCATCGTCGTATGGGAGTATTTTGTAAACGTTTTACTGAACGAGTTACTTCACCGGTACCACTTGACGACGAGACAATCTTCTTCGATTGCCGTAATGCTTGTTCGATGAAATTCTGTTCTGGAGTGTTCATTATCGTTAATGATGACAATGTGGAAAGAATCGGAGATGATGGTTTTGTGTTTGCGTTCGTTTTCTGATGTGTTAATAAGAACAAATCATTTGCTATGGATCGATTCTGTATATTCTCCGATGAACGTTGTTCGAAAGCTCGTACTTGCCGTAGAACTCGTCCAGCTAATTCGCCTTTCAATTGTAGAATACTTTCTCGTCCACCATTTAATACGCCAATATTCTAGATGAAGAAATGTATTTAGAGAGGAAAAAATGATCAAATAGAAATGAAGATTCACCTCATCGTTTTCCACATGACTTTTTGAATGAAATAATTCATTCGTTGCTTGCGATAATGAACAGGACAAGGAACGTTCTTTACATATTGTGGTTAATGAACTTGTTGAGATTAGATTTGAGATTGATGATGATAAACGTACTGGCATTTTAGGTGTTGTAGATTTCAATTCATCTTTTTTTACTGTAGGTGGAGTAGTTCGATTCATGGATAAACTGAAATTCACGTGTTCTTCATCCTTAAAGGAAAAAAGAGGAATGTAAAAATGCTACTAAACTTTAAAAAACAGAGATAAATATGTACATCTGAGTCAGTCAATCGAATACCACGACTTTCATTTCGTTTTAAAATCTCATCGAGATCATTCGAAGAAGCGACTTCTTGCATTTCAATTGAATGTTGTTCACCATGAACAGCAATTGTTTGTGAAAGCGTATCCGTATCATTAGTCACTGTATCCATTACAGTCGAATGATCACGCTGTTCAATTTCACTTGCCGCTTTCTGACGCTCCAAATCAGCTTCATCAATGAATGCCACGTCAAGCGAACCGTGTCCTTGAGTTGAAGCAGGTTCATTGGAAAATGCACGCAACGATTGCATATCTTCATTTCCAACGACAACAGCAAGATTGAGTTCATTGGAGATTTCTTCGTCATCATCATATGATTCTTGACTTGAATTAAGATTATTCGGCATCGATTGTGCATTGCATGTGCCTTGTTCTGGTTCGTGATCATCATCATCGCTTGCATCTTGTTGTTGGTTCGATGGTAAAGAATGTGAATAATTATTTGACATACAAACCACATGACGTGTTTGTTGTTGACCACCACTGGATGAGATCGAACGACGCGGTCGATAGGCTGTTGTGGAAAGGGATGTACTAGCAACATCGTCTGAGTGACGACGAGCAACACCAAAACTAGAATGCATCAAGAGAGACGTTCCTGCCATTTGTTGGCAGGATGATTGATTGGATCCATTCACTGGTTTAATAGGCGATGGAGGCGATTGGGCTAGAGACAGTGAGCCAACTGTTGATGTGAGCAGCATAGGAGCGTGGATGGCGACAAGAGGTTTACGTTCAGCTTTCTACGAACACAGCAATGGTTAACTTTGTATAGTTGAATTCTGAAACTTACTCGACTTGATTTTGGCCATTTCCATGAATCCAGCAGATTAAGTCTAAACATTACGAACAATAACATTGACAGTTCTATCACATTTTGGTTTTATTTCGTACTTCTTTGCATCGAGTGACTTATTAATACATGCTGCAGGTCCTGCATTGCTCGATAAAGATGATTGTGTTTCTGATGGTATCATTGCCGAAGGCTGCAGACCACCTAGAACAATAGAACCATTGTTAGCAATCGATGCAGCTAATGTTGTCATGGATCCACTTGGTGTCGTCGTCGACGATGAAGAAGAAGACGATGAAACTGACGAAGCTGTATTGCCACTAGCATTCGTAAAACGTAGAGGTACTTCATCAGTAAAATGAAGTAATTGTGGTAGATGTGAATGTTCAATTTTGAAAGGAAAACCTATGCGTATCAAATAAGAATTTATTAAGAAATGATCGCATGGATAAAGGAAACGTACCTGGATCATTAATACTTCCAGGTGTCTTTTTCTTTCGACGAAAAGCTGTGATTGGACTAGTAAAACGATTCGTATCTGGTAACGATGACTTTTCTGTTGTCTTCGTTTTTCTAGACGAACAGGAAACAAGAACGCAAATCAGTTCAGTGTTTTTCGGATTGCATACCCTCGTTTTGAATTGCCGCCATTGGGATCATCACTCGATTTTCGTTTCGTCGTTGTAGTTGAACTCGACGATGAGGATAAACAATGTCCACTGATACTATTCTGTTGATAATGATAACGATGTTCTCGTGTGTGAGAAGAAGATAATTTTCCACTTTGATCGAGAAAAACATGTGTCTGGTCGCGACTATCATTGTTGGAACCCGATCGACGACGAAGTCGATTGGTCATATGAACAAGAAATTCTACAAATCTCAATAACTAATTTCATAGTCTTATCCTTAGCCAGCATACCTTTAACTGAACCACTACGTCGTTTTTTAGCATTTGCTGGATCGTTAATTTTCCCACCACCAATTCCATTCTCAATTCCGTTGTCAATTGCAAAACTTTCATCCGTATTTTGTGCTGCTTCTTTTTGTCTCATCTCCAATAACATTTGTGAACGTTCATAAACTGAGTCGGCAACGTAACCTAATTTCGTTGCGTTGATAATTAATGCTTCAACAATGTCACTAACACTCGTTGCACATTGTTCCGTCATAAGATTGGCTTTTCCTTCGACTGCCGTACGCATGATGCCGGGACCAACGCAGATTGCTAGATTTTTCGCATTCATTTTATTATCGCGTTCATTCAACGTAATTTCATGCAAAAACCGTAAGATATAAATAAGTGCATGCAAGTGTTCATCCGGTAAAAGGAGGAGAATATTCAGGTATATATCGACTTTTTTGTCGGACGATAATGATCGCATTGAAAAGCAATCAAGTAAAAGATCTTGTAATGGATATGTAATTAAAGGATACGTAAGACGACGGAGAAATTCTTTGAATAATGAACAAATATCAAAGACTGTATTGGATGGCGAGAGATTAGGAGTTAGTGGACCATCTTCGATTCGAACCTAGAGAAAGAGAAGGAGAGAGATTTCGACTTATTTTAGTTCACTGAAGAAGAAAACGTTTGATTTACCATTAATTCTTTAATACGTTGAGATCCACCAGATTTGCGAAAGAGACCTTCATGTTTAATTGAACGACGTATGCAATCGAAACACCAACGTAAGAAGATCGGTACTGTCAAGTCCAAGTTATCAATTTTAATCGAAATCGCATCCATTTGATGGAGAGGTACATTGAACACACGTGACTGTTGTTTAGGATTGCTAGTGATCGATGGTGATGGCTGATTGTTTATGTTATTACGATGTTTATTCGTATCGATACGTAAACCAGCATTGCTTAGATCATTGGCAATGAATTCTCGAACACTACCTTTTTCTTCAAGTGCAACGAAATTACGCATTTTTGTTGAGTCTGTTGAATGTTCAAGAGAGAGATGTGAACTGATGGACAAAATGTTCGAACATTCCTAGAAAACAAAAATTACAAAGTCAACAAGTGACAAATTATTTTCGATTGATGAGAGATGCAATTTCTTTTCAGAAAGAACGAAAATTCAGACAAGAATTGAACAGAAACATACGAGACAGAGAATTATACACATATCCAATAAATTTTCCGGGCGAAATCGATAAGTCAACCAATTATCACAGTACAATGCCTGCTGACCTCTGTTGAAAATACAATTATTCATATCGAATTACATGATGAGTTTTCAACACAAAACCATAAGCGATATATTCTTAGTAGTCTTTACCGCATAAGCCATACTTGAAAGTTGTTTAACAAAATATTTTTTAAACATTTTATTACTTTTAATCAAAAGAACAATTTTATTCCATCCCGCCGTTCTATATGTTTTAACAAGATAGAGGAAGCTCAAGAAAAAGCATGGATAACACAGAGATTATCGACAGCACGATATGTTGTCATCGCGTCTCATCCCGTTATTTCTGATAGACATAGTATCAGCCAAAACAATTGTGATAATCTAGCAGAGCATCAGCATTCTGTAAATTGACTATAGGCATATACAGAGGACGGACGATGATTTGGCGATATTTTCTCGACAGAACGATAAAGAAAAAGTCCTTCTGTTCTTTTCAGGTTTATCGGAAAAGAGAAGCGAATAGGAAAATACATATCCAAACGACATTCCCAATATATATCAGAAAAGAAAAGACGAGAGAGAAATCCATCGCTTAGTAGACATAGTTATTACTCTCGTCTAACTGGCGCTAAATCGTCAATGGATTATACATTATTTCCAACAATACCTGTCTTCCTAGAACGATCGAGTTTAGATCATAGTTGGGGATTTCGTCTTCAAGGTGGTATTGACTATAGATTACCACTGTCGATCAAAAAAGTCTGCGACATACATTCTTTCTCAATTTATATTCATCTGTACTAGCATAGGTTGTAAGTAATTCACCTGCACATAACAAACTTTTTCCGGGTGATGGTATTGCTTCGATTGATGGACAAGATACAAGTTCAATGAAACATGAAGATGCTGAGAATATTCTTCGAAATTCACTTCGTTTACAACTTGTCCTTCGACGGTAATGTCCGATGACATGACGCATGTTTCCTATCTATGAAATTCTCCTATATTTGAACGAACGAGGTTTTTATTTTAGTGGTCAACTAACCACCATTCGTCCATCGAAACCCGCCGTTAAATTCGGTTCGGGTCCGGCCACACCAATCAGTTCCGCATTGAATAATACAACAACAGCAAATAATTATCGACGTTTTTAAAGCGATAAAGAACAAAACAACATATTCATATACAATCCTCTTTCTCTCTTATAACTTTATTTTTTCTGTTTTAATGAAATGAAAAAAAAAAGAAGACAAAGAAAACACAAGTAGAGACACCAAACGAAAGAACATTTGTGTTATCTCACGGGATCAGCACGTTCTCTCCCTTTTCCTTCTTGGGTTGAATCAATGAAAAAACAAACATGACATACACACACACACACACACACACACACTCAAGCAAAATCTTATACAATGTGTCACAAGAAAAGAAAAGAAAAACGAAAAGAAAATCATATTTATGAACATATGATAGAGAAGAAAGAACGGAGAAGCAAAAGAAAAACCGAAAAAGAAAAGAGATGAGTAGCATTACACATACACAAACAATTGACTGTCAACACAACGAGGAAATTGGTTTCTTTTTTTTTTTTTCTTTCAAATGTATTCAACAAGTCATTTGTTTTCGTTTTTTGCTAAGTTTGTGGACAAGAATTTTGAGTGCAAACTTGGAGGGAAATATAGAGGTTATTTGTCTTCGCAAAATAAAATACCACTCTTTCTCTTGCTTTTATAATTATCTCACTCGAAAAGACCGACCTTAATCCAACATATATACGTTTTATATATACGAACAAAACATACACACAAAGACAATGATCTATACATATGAAAACAACAACAACAACAACAAAGGAAAAAGAAGTTGACGAGTGAGATTTGAAGAGAAAAGAGGATGCAAATACTGGATGATTATCACTTCATAAATGAAAAATCAACATCGTGACGATTGAATGGTAGAGATTGATTCAATGCTTGACACTAGAAAACAAATGGAGAGTTTAGAATAAATGATTCTGTGAATATTACTTCGCGACGTCTACGATCTTCTTCGCGTCGTCGAGCAATCTCTTGCTTTTGTCGTTGTTTATCGTCCATAGGTGCATCTTGGGATGGATTTATAGATGACGATGACAGGGAATTTTGTAGATTCGATGGAGGCGATGGAGATGCATCAGATAAGGTTGATGCTGAACTTTGATTTGTTGAATTGCGATAGTTTGTATCATTTGAATGATTACCGTTGGTTTCTCTGGAAGAATGTCAATTATGTTTTTAAAAATCGTACGCATGATGTTTGACATACTTTCTAGCAGATAATCGTGCTTGTTTTGCCTCATCTTCACGTTTTTTCGCTTCTTGTTCTTTGTACAATTTTTCCTACAAGACGATGATTTTCAATAAATAACTTCAAATTCGTAATGATTAACATACTTGTTCGGCTTTTAACTTAGCTTGCTTTTGATATTGCATAAAACGATCTTGGGCGACTTTATCATCAGGTTTGACTGTTGATGATGATGTCGATGTACTAGCGGCCATAGCTGCCAATGTTAATGGGTTATCTTTTTTCTTTAATACACTTGTGCCAGTTAATTTCGATAGACTCGAATTCTTTTATATATAGAAATAGTATGTCTTAGGAAGTGAATCAATACACAAGATTTACTTACTCTTTTTAGGGGATCATTTTCGCCAATCGGTTTCGATGTTGGAGAAGTTCGTGGTTGTGAATCATTCGAAAGATCATCATCATTCCCTCCTAGATGAAAATTTGCTTGCCGGTCATTTGTTTCATTCACTAAACAAACATATTCCCTTCGAATTATATATCAATTTGCATTCAAGAACACTTACTTCTATTGCCACTATCAGTTCCACTTGAGCCCAACTCATCTTCAATAAAACACACATATTCAAATAAATCTTTCGATCAACTCTATACTATGTATATTCACCTTTTCTCTTTGTGATGTTCTCGAGCGTATTATCAACATTCGTCGTCTTCTATTATGAAAGATAATGGTTAAACAAGTTCTTTTTTCTTGTCTCAAACATGAAAATCACTGATATTTCACTTTCAACCGAATTAACCATTAGTAATCTACTAGTAAAGAGCATTTACGAACCTGATCTTTTGTTCTCGATGATAGAACGGCAGCAGCGTTTCCATTAGCAGCTGATTTGACATCGTCGGCGCCTAAATAAATTAGTTGATTGGCTTTTTTTTTTTCGTTATTTTCTAATTTATCAACTACTGCTGTTGACTAGTTCGAATTTGCTCCTCGTGTAGACAGATCCTTTTGAGTATGAGACGCAATTCGTTGTTTCGTTTTCCTTTTTTTTTTCAATTATATTTTTATTCTTTTGTTCGACTGAAGTTCGGTTTTTTTTTATCGAGATATAGAACAAATATATGCGCAATGTAACTAGGAGGCGACACGTAAAAAAACAAGGAAACAAACTAATGAGGATACACAATACTGATTTGCATGCGTGTGTATTCGGACTCGACTTGTCGAATATCGACAATGAGACGAGACATAGCTGGTGATTTTCATTTCAATATATCGAAGGGATGTGTACATAGACTCGAAACATGTCGACGACCTCTCAGTAATACATAGAATAGAGTGAAGAAAGATGCCACTGTATATAAAAACAAAGAAAACAAAAATGAAGATCATTGTACATCGAATAAATGAACACATAAAGGAGGAAAAAACAAAATGTATCATTCTGAGTGAGAGTGTTTCCCTCGAGGAAGACGAACGAGAAATAGTTGCTTGTGTTCCAAAAGACAACAAGAGCAGCGAGAGAAAAATTAAAGTCAAATTCGAATCGTAACATCGTACGTTTATGTCCTTCTAAGCTACTTTGATTATTGATAGCAAGCGCAATGCATATGTAGATGTATATGACTATAAAAATCCGACGAAAACAGAAGAATGAGACAGAAGGGCGAAATCTTCGAGTTTGTTTTTCATTTCTCAAAAAGGATCTGTCGAACAACAGCAGCAGACTATTTCTCTTTTCATCCTCATCTGCTGCGAATTTGGTTAAAACAAAAACAAGACGAAAAACAAAATCATGAGACATAGATGAGTAAAAACAGCAAAAAATTCTTTATATATATAGATGTATATATACATATATATAGATATGGATGATCTAACCTGACTCGGAGTCAGTATCGTCTCCATTGCGTGATGAATCAGAATCACTTTCTGATGCTGAACTATCACTTAAACGTTTTGATGACACGGGAGCAGCAGGTGCTGTGGATGAATGATGACTCGAAGGAGCATTAGATAGGCCAGTTGTAGCACCAACGACTGAATTGAAGTTCGAAGAATCTACGAGAAGAAAATGGTTCGATTATAGAAAGCAAATCATTTTGCATTTCGATATTGATAAACCTCGTTTAAGTAATGAACTAGCTGATGATTGTTTGGTTTTAGTGCCTAGTTGTGTTTGAACTTTTTCTAGCCGTTTTTGAATTTCTTCTTTTTTTTGTGCATTTTGAGCTTTAGCAAGATTACGTTTCTCAGTAGTAGCTAAAATAAAAGCATAACGATGAAATTCATTTTGATCTTCGGCGTGAATCAGTTAACAAAAGAGAAAATAAAACAGCGAAAGAGATACGAAACGAAAGCGTTTGAAAGATTTCTCAATTCGATTTCTATTCGCGAAGAGGATCGATTTTAGTAAGCAATAGTTAATTTCGAAAAAAGATAAGTTATCTACAATGGCAATTCACCTGCTGATGCTGCTTTAGGTGCGGCTTTTTCTATTAAGATTAATATAAAAATAAGAATGTGAAAAGAAGCTCTTTTTCAAAAGTCTTTACCAGATGTATTCGGTTGTTTACGTGGTTTACGTTTTATAATTTGGTTTACATATGCTTCTAATTCACGCAAGGTTGCTGGATGAAGCATTTCAAAATCGATCTCCATTTCGTCCGGACTTGAATCACGTAGAGATGGTTCTCGACGATGAATAATCTGTTAATAAAGGCAAGTTTGTAGACGAAATCTTTACTAGTAAGACTGTTTCCAACAAACCTCAACAACAGGACCAAGTTTCTCACTCGGTAGATTATTAATATCAAGACTCAATTGGCGTTTCTCTTCGTACGTCATCGGTTTCGGACTTTCTTCATTGTCAATATCGAACGAGGATATTGTTGATTGAACATTCGTATTCGATTGTATTGCTGCTGCTGCTGTTGTTGCTGCTGTCGCTACTGCAGGTGCTTTCTTCGGTGCTCGTTTTGCTCCAGTACCACTTCCACCTGTGGCGCGACTACCTTTGCCAGGAGTACGACCGGCTAAACCAGCGCTGATACCCGTCATTGGCGTGACATTTTTCGTTGCTTGCGGTTTAGGAGTATTTGTGTCATTTACAAGATATTGACTCGGATGGGCATTACTAAATTGACTTGTGCCGTTCGGAGCCGGAAGAGCACCACTTGCTGGATAGCCAGTTGAAGATGTGGGTGTAAGTAAACCAGCAAGAGTCGAATTTGCCGTTTTCTTCGAAGCAGTTGGTAATTGAGGGTTTCGTGTCGCAGTTGGTGGCATAGCTGGTTGTGTACCAAGAAAAGCATTCGGTGGCAATAAGGAAGGATTTGATGACAATGAAGATAAACGATTTGGATCATTAAGTGTATTTGGAACAGGTGTATTAAGATGTGATAAAGTTGACGTTTGTCGTGGACCTCGAACTTTGGTTTTATTTCGTTTAACTTTATGTTTACGTTTACGACGTATTGACAAACGATCATTTTCTCTCTGAATCAATTGATTAATTGTATCACCGAAATATTTTAACTTTAAAACAAAAAATTAATCTATGACAAATTATTCGTAAGAATTCGAACATACTTGATCTTGAAGAGTACGTAATTGCCGTAGAGTGTTTTCATCGGCAATTTGCATTTCATCACCTGAACTTGCATCACTCGATCCGCCTTCGTCCGAACTTGTTACCATCGACGATTGTGCACCACTTGCACTTGTATTTGTAAAGTTCTTCGATGATTTACGATTGCGTTGTCGTGCTTGAGTAGGTAATGACCCATTACTACGTACAGCAGTAGTCGATGGCGATGGATCTAGATCTAAATTTGTTACTGGTGGTTCATCGGGTAGTTTTGCATATTTATTTTCAAACAGTTGCTAAAAACGAAAACGACAACGAAACAATATTTGCTCGTACATTCTTTAATACTTAATAATCAAAAACTTACTTCGACTTTTTTACACATTGCTACGACATCTGTTGTGGGTGCATTGTAAAGGTAACAGTTGCTGAATATAAGTCTCACGTCAGCAGCGAATTCGTCTGGGGTGGCATATTCGCGATTTTCAAGTTTTTTCTTTTGAGAAAGAAATACAAACAATGATTTGTAAGAGAGATTTTGATGTTCAGCTTACTTTCACTGTTCCAAGATCCATTGGTTTTTTAACAATTAGATGATAATCTGTTAAATTAAGATTTTCCACATCAACTGGTTTAGCAAACGGCCAAACAAACGACTTTAGAAACAAAGGTATTCATTTTAAAAACTGTCTCAATTCTTATCTACGATATTTACCAAATTCTTCTTATGTAATAAATCTTTTACGATACTGAGACAATATTTTAACTGTTCCGTCATACGATTTTTCGGTCGTTTCGACGTTGGCTAGAACGGAGAAAGAATGGTTATTGAATCGATCAAGCTATTGAGAATAATTCATTACATCGTTTGAGTCAATCGAAAAGCTACTATCGTATTTCGTTCTTTTGAATGGTCCACTAACGCTATTTGTTCGTCGTGTCGCACTATCGCGGCGAGCGAGAATTTTATTCGAATCGTTGTTCGCTGGATCATCAGTCATATCACCTTTTCGTTTCGTACTCTGAATTACATGAAACAAAGAGAATGAAATTGGAAATGGGAATTTTCGATATCTTACAGATGACGATGTATCGAGATTGACTTCTGTTCCGAGTTTTGTTGCAGTTAAAGGGTTTGTACGTGCTGCGGCATTCGGCATCGATTGTGACGCTAATGGTGGAGACAGTGATTGTCCACTGTGATCAATATGATTTGAGTTGGCGTTCGTAGGAGAAAATGGTGACGTAACACCACTGGGATTTGTTGCCGATGACGAACGATGTCGAGACAAAGCTGTCATACCAGTTGGATGTGAAGTATTGCCACGAGTCGTAATCGATGGAGTTGATGGAGATGCTACTAGAAACGACAGTTTTAGTTTTCCAATAAACACAACAAGAAAATAAATAATCGTTGCTTATTCATCAGAAGAACTCTTGCACAACAATAGTGTGTTGTTGCTTAAGATATTTCATTCGTACGCTGAAGACTCCATCAATTCGAATGTAAGTGACACAACGAATAAGACAAACAACACTGTCAAGGTCATCAGAATATCATGAAAAAATTTTTACGGTTCGCATCATATTGCGTAGTGAGACTGACATCAACACTCTCGTGAGTCATGTTCTACTTTTCACATACGGGCGAGTTCGTTGCTGTTCTAGTACAACGAAAACCTCATGTGAAAGGAATTACTCTACATTCTTGACCCGAACTCAACTACTTCGGTACATCAGACTGATGATGTCGTTCACAGTCGGAAAACAAGTCATCACTGGGAATTTTCCGTTACATACATGGAGAATGTAAACTTTCACTTGGTGTTGACGGCGAGATAACTGACGTAGCTAAATTTCCGGTTCCCAAGCCTTTCGACGCAATTGTTTTCGATGACTGAGGTATTATTTCAATTTCCTAGTCGGACAAAAATTCATGAATAAATAAACTTTTAGTACGAGTCATATCTTACATCTGACGGCATTTCAGCTAATTTTTCATAGAAAACTTGCTCGAGCGTCGATCCCATGATAACAATATCCTAAACGAATGAAATTGTCGAATGAAAAAAAAAAAGATTTTATATCGAATGATTTACTTCGCCTGGTTTATTATACAAATAACAATCGGTAAACATCATATTCAAATCAGTTATACATTCTTTTGCACTATAATAATAATTTGCTTCTAGGCGTTTTTTTATCGTGCCAAGATCCATAGGATATTTGACAATTTTGTGGTAATCCTAGAAAATACCCATAAGAATTAACATTCAGAGGAAGTGCAATTGGAAATATACGGGTAGATTCAATCTAGCAGCATTGACTGGTTTCTGGAAAGGCCACGAAAATTCATGTTTCCATAAAGTTTTGAATAAAACTTTCAACATGAATTGTAACTGATTGGTTTGTCGACCACGTTTTGAGGCAGATATATGTGGTAGTTTCATTGAATTACTCGTCGTTGTCTATAAAAAGACGACGAAAACAAAGTAAAGTACTTCAGTTGAGAAATAGTGTAAGAAGATTTAATCACCTTCATGATCAATAATATCGATATATGTTTATATACGCGTGCAATTGATTAATTTTCAATAGAAAAAGTTAACGAACGATGAGCCGATAAGAATAAACGAGAATTGTCAGGCTTCATCTAAAATATCACTTATTTATATTTATTCTCTCATTTTATTAGATTGATTGGAGATGATGGAATAATGAATGACAGATATTATTATTATTCAGTAGAGAAAAAATCAACAAAATGTCCGAAACAAAGAACGATCGCCCTATTGTTTCCTTTGTTGATGTGCCTTCTTAAGCATATTAATGTGCGAAAGTGCATTGATGTGTTAGTTATAGATACTTCATCTTTCATTCATGTACAGAACGGAAAGAAAGAAACAGCATGAAACGCACGAAGAGAAGAAAGAAAAACAAAATTGTCCTCTTTCCTCCTTACTCCAATTCAATCATGAATCGAATCTAAATGATTGCTAGTTGTGGCTCATTGCCAATTTCGAGTAAACGTAGATGTCGCGTGTATATCTCAGAAAAAGAAAGAAAGATCTGTTTGAATTCTGATTGCTCATCGCCAATCATAAATTGAAGAATTAAAGCGATCGATCGTTGTTTCTTTTGTAGAGAATGATTAACACCTTCCTTCATTCGTTCATGTACATATGATGGTGAATCGATTCATAGTCTTTTTTCAACTGTATTGATTTACATTTATAGTACTATAGTAGGAATATGAATAGAACCAAGCGAGAATTTGACTCTGATAAACGAAGAAAAAAAGAGTTCGATGTGATTAAAGACGTGAGCGATATGAAAATAAGTTCAATGTCACTTAAAATAATAAGTTATTCTACGGTCAAATATGATGTTGTGGTATATAATTGAAATGAAATTATATTAAATTACAGGAAGCAAATACTTTTTCTTACACCCCACTCATGTGCTGTACTACGGTCGAATTGCGACACAATTGTGGCAACAATGACCAACATGAGTTCACTTTGCCACGAATCGAACTACTTCTCTCATCAGTATCTTTTATTTATCTCCAAGCACTGATCCCCGATGGTACAATGTGATATTCTTGTTTTATTTCATACTAACACGTTTACCATGTCTGCACATATTAGCTATCCACACCTTCGATATATCAATTGATTTAGTCAATATTTATCGATCAGCTTCAAATTCTTGATTTTGCAGGTCTGCGCAAATCGCTGTCGATCGCTACCAATCAACATTTACAAAGTTAAATTGAATCCTTTATTATTGATCATTCTTCTACATTTCAAAAGACTTCTGCTATTGTTTCTCATATATCCACGCATATATAACTCGAAACTTGAATCCAACTATTCGAAAGATGACGAGGGTGCTGTGGAGGGCCCAACTAGAAGAAATAGTTGATTAAAGTTTCGAGTGTGACACTATTGTGAATGAGATGATACTGCTCACCTTGCCGCTTATCAATGAGAATCATTACTCCTCAACTATTTTCCTCATCTACGAAAGTTTCCTTTATTATATTTGGTTGGTAAGCATAACATCAATAGATATTCAGTTTATCATAGAAGAAAAAATGGATTTTCATTAGTCTTTTGATTAACAGAAAGTGGCCATTGAATGTTCAAATCGATGAGATACACATAAAACATATCGTATATCCACACAAACAGATAAACATTTCCCACTGAAAGACACTTGTTTGATTTTCTAGTCTAGATATACATGGTATAATAAATACGAAAATGTCATCGATTACTCTGCATTAACTGATCTCACGGTGATAAATCTTACACCATTTTCGTTTGATATCGTGCCGCTTGTTATATATTACACAAATTCATGCTTTAGTCATAAGTGAGCGACAATCATCCTCTCATTAGCCGATAATCTTGTCTGAGTTCTTTCTAGACTCTTGAATTTCTGTCTTATTAGATCAGAATCTTGATAATTATAACGACCAGGAAAGATTCTTTTTGAAAGAAAAGAAAAAGAATCAGACAAGAGGCAAGGTCATTGATAAGTGTATTGATGTGGTAAAATTTCGTCTTGCATGAAAAGTTCTAAACTTTCAAGCTTAGATATAAAAAATCCTTGCACGTGACGAATACTACAGATGGCTGCACAGGCTAGCTGTTTTTCGACGGCGAAATCATGCTTCTGCAGATGTCCTCATTGCAACAGATATACCATCTGATTCTTCTTTAAACACGGAACTTTTTGACATTTGAATTTCATGAAGATCATTTATTTATTCTTCTCTTCACTAACGTAGGAAACGTTCTAACTCATATGGAGACTTGATGACTATGACTATGTTCGAACCTACCAGTCAGATATTTCAGTCATCCATCCTATTTCGACTATGAAAATCCAATAAAAAGAACGATTATTCTCACGTTTGATGTGTGTATATATCCACTTTCTCGACAGAAATATGCGTCTGATCTAACGGTCCGTCCGGCATGATGCAAAAGTCTCTTCGGGCATTTAATAACTGTTTAAAATAACAAAAGTCTTGTCACTTTCATGTGAAGAAAAGATAGAACGCAAGAGAGAGTGATGAGATGAGAGAGGATATCTTTTTTGTTATTTTTTTCCATTCGATATTCACACTGTATTCTGTTCTCTACTAAGATAACTTAGACGCATGGCTACCTCGCACTTTGCTATAACCGGTGGTTGTGGATATATTGGCTTGCGTCTTGCTCGTTATTTACTTGAAACCAGTCAAGCCAATTTTGTATATTTGCTTGATATCCGACCGCCCACTGACGATGAAGTATCTTTGAATTCGAATGCATCTCGTTTGATCTTTCGTCATTGTGATTTACGTTCGGAGCAATCTGTTGTCGAAGCGTTAGTTGATACAACATGCGTCTTTCATCTAGCGAGCTATGGAATGTCCGGTAGAGAAATGTTGAATACATCAATGATCTATGATGTGAATGTCACTGGTACGGAAAATGTGATCAAAGCATGTGTGAAACATGGAATTCGTAAACTAGTTTACTGTTCGACTTACAATGCTGTTTATACAGGAAAGAAAGAATTACGAGGTGTTATTGAAGCTCAATGTTCGTATCCTTGCTCCAATGATTACTATGACAACTATAGTCGCACGAAATCCTTAGCTGAACAGATGGTCTTAAAAAGTGCATCGTCGGACTTGTATACAGCAGCGATTCGACCAGCAGCTATTTATGGTGATGGAGAACTTCGACATTTACCACGAATATTAAATCTAGTAAGACAAGGTTTAGCATTTTTTGCTGTTGGTCACGAAAATGTTCTTTGTGATTGGATTTACGCTGATAATCTAGTGAATGCATTAGTATTAGCTGCAGAATCTTTACCGAAACATTCTGGCGAAGCTTACTTCGTATCGGATGATAATCCAGTGAATAACTTCCATTTTTTAGGTCAATTAACCGAAGGTTTAGGCTATGCAAATTGTTTTACGTTCTATGTTCCAACTGTCATCATGTTTTATTTGGGTTATCTCATTGAAATCATACATAATTTAGTTGCTAAACATATTTACAATTTCGCCCCGTTTCTAACTCGTGCGGAAGTTTTAAAAGTCGGCGTTACACATTATGCTAATATCGACAAAGCGAAAACGTTACTAGGCTATCAAGTACAAGTGAGTCCCGAAGAAGCAATGCAACGATGCATCAAATGGTATGATGAGCATGGTTATAGAAATAGAACGAATCGAAATAATGAGACATTTTCGTGGAAATTAATAGTGAGTGTAATCGTCTTGGTAGTGTTAGTCTTTTATCAGCTATTCAGATAGGATACTGCCTGATTAGTACCTTTATTTTCTTTCTAATGTGTAAGAAAGCAAGGAAAGGCGCTTTGAAAGACTATGATTGGTGTAGAGTATTAGCAAATCGAATTCCTTTGTGACTAATTCTTTGATTCTTCTCGGAATTCTAATTTTGTATTCTCTCTCTGTCTCTCTCTTGAGTAAATTAATACATACAGTTATCCGAGTTAGTTGATATGAAAAAACGTCATGCGTGATGATGAAATAACGCCATTGTTCTTTTGATTTTATGTCATTGTTCTTATAGTGTGTATTTTTTTACAAGGTTGTCTTTTTATTTACTTTTTTTTTTGAAGATAGAAAACGCTTTTTAATGTCGACTTCAATCGTCGACGAGCCTCTCTCTGAATCCTACGAGTTCGCTAATGTAAAAAATGAAGTTCTTGTTACACTCTATGCAAATGGTGCATTCGAAGTAAAGGACATCGATATTTCTATTGACACAGATAAATTAGATGTCCGAACACCAGGTAAATGATCAATGAATGCAAGAAGGTTAACATTCACAAACTTATCATTGATTTCTAGCAAATGAAGTATGGTTGTTTCGATTATATGAACATATCTATTCGGACCGAGTGGAAATCGAAGCAACAATCAATGGTGCACGAACTCAAACGTCGATCGAAATTCGTTTGTTCAAACAACAACCACGAACAGTCTGGCCACAATTGTACAGTTACGATTCTACGCCAATAACACCACAGCGTGCTGGAGATTTAAGCGAATTTCATGACGTTTGCATGACAGACGATCAACATTATGACTTGTCAACGAAAAAGATCAAAAATGATTTCATTGAAACTAATGAAACCATTACAGCGCATTTCTATATTAAGCAGGTCCGTGATTGTCTAGTACAGTTCACTGAGACCAATTTCACTGCTAGTTTTTATTCAAAGTAAGCTAGATTGCTTGACTCGATTAAAATCTCTGGTTGGCCTTTTCGTTCTAGTGATGAAGCCTTTCTCAATAACCATTCGATCACTGCTGATAGGTTAATTAAATTATTTGTTCGCGTCAAAGAGCGAATTGTTCCGAATAAATGTTCATTTAAAGTAACATCAACAGTTATTGAAATCCTTCTTGTCAAAGAGCATACGCACGGTTCAAGATGGGGTCGATTAGAACCAAACGAATATTCCGAATCTCTTCGTCCGCTTACGCAACAAATTTCACCGAGCACACCACCATCGTCTCCTGTTTCCTTGCCGCCAACAGCCATTAATTCAACATCAATCAATCACAGCAAAGGTAAACAACACTTTATGGTAAAAAAATTCATTCGAAAACACTCTGCTTTCCTTTAAGCTACCTCCATATCATCCCCGCCACCACCACCACCTCCTCCTCTCCCAACAGCTACAAATCGACAGGTGAGCGTCATCTCTCTACAACAATGGTCGTAGCCATAACGAAGAATTCAATTCCTTCTAGTCCGATAAGTATCCATCTGCATCAGCATTCGCCACATCAATTCAGCAAAAAAATCAACCTTTATCATCAACAATGTCTGCATCTGTAACACCTGGCTATACTGGAATTCATAATCCAGCTAATTCATGCTTTATGAACGCTGCCATTCAATGTCTATCTAATACACGTGAACTACGCGATTATTTCCTCAGTAAGATATTTCCTTCCGAGTGCATTCTGTGGACAACTAGTTTGCATATGTTAGATTCGTATCATTTACGGGAAATCAATCGAACGAATCCACTCGGTATGAAAGGCGCCATGGCCGAAGAATTTGGTGCTCTGATCAAAAGTTTATGGGAAGGAAAACATAGTTGGACATATGCGAATCGATTACGAGTTTGTTTTCCTTGATGTATTCTTTGCTGACTTTCTATATTAAATCTTATTTCTCGTAGAGTTTAGCGTCTGTAAGACATCAAGAGTTTGTTGGTAATGGGCAGCATGATGCACAAGAATTGTTAACTATTTTATTAGATGCTATACATGAAGTAAAGCAAATCGAATGAAGAAGTTTTTTTGTTTTGGTAAAAAACACTCGTTTTACTTTGCGTCTCAGGATCTCAATCGAATCATAAATAAACCTCAAGTACCACCGGTAGAAGATCAAGGTCGATCGGATTATGTAAGAATAGGAAATGAATGTGATTGAGTGAAGAATCAAACCTAATCTTATATAGATTGTTGCTGATGAGTATTGGCAGGGTTATTTAAAACGAAACGACTCGATCATTGTTCAATTGTTTACAGGTCAATTTAAATCAAAAACAAAATGTCCAGAATGCCACAAAGTACAACAGAGAAATCGAAATCGAACACTCTTTCTTCGATATTCTCTATTTAGGAATCGGTGACATTCGATCCGTTTACAACACTTTCTGTTCCATTACCAAAACGAATAGCTGTGGACACTATTGTTACATATAGAAGTGATGAAAAACCAGCAACAAAAGTAAGATAAGATTATTTGAATAAAATGTGAAACGATTTCGAATTTAGTATCGTATTATTATGTCCGCTGATGGAACGATCAGTGAATTTAAACGATTATTATCCGCAAAATGTGGGCTAACTACGAATAAAGTTAGTTTGATCGTACTTTTTTCATTGCATGAACCGACGAATTGTTGTTATTGCAGATGATAGCATACAAAATACGAGCGAATCGCAGTGTTGAACATCTCAAAGATGATGATCGGCCAACATCGACTGGTTATTCATGCAATAACAATAGTGATATCATTCATATGTACGTCATCTTAACGAGATTGTATTTCGTCAAAATAAACATCTTGTTTCTTCCACAGAACAGAAACATTAACAAGTGCAGAGTGTAATAATGAGCCAGTTATACGTTTAACATTTACACAACGCATCTTTAAGTTAACCGAGTATGTCTCATCATGCAATTATTGTCAGGTACCGCCAAATCCACATAGTCAATCGAGATTCTGTTCCAATTGCTACCAAGTATCTTATTGTGATGAAACATGTCAAAAACTTCATGCCGCTGAACATAAGAACTATTGTGGATTTCGATTATCTGATAATTATGAATTCATTGGTACTCCATTTATTATTTCATTAGCGGAATCGAAGTTGACATGTGAAAATGTCTTTGAACAAATTAGTATTTATGCCAAGTACGATATTTTGCATTCCTGAATGACGTTCTAGAGATGATATTTTTCTATAGACGAAGTGTTGATATACATATCGAATGTTCAAAACGTATTCGACGAGCAATGTTAAACAACGATGATTACGATCGAATAAATAGTGATCTAGATGATGAAGATGATAGGTAAGTTGAAAAGACAATTGAAGCAAAGGAGATGATACCTGCTCTTCAGCTTCAGTGATATCGAAAATGTTGACTGGCCAACAATAAAAAGCACTCTCTCGTCGTCGGATTCCTGGTCTATATGCCGCTTAGGAGATTATTTTGTTAAAACGAGCAAAAATAAACGTCGCCGCGCAGATGAAAATACCAATCGAAAAGGCAAATTAGCGAAACACGATTTGACAACGACATCCCATAGTGATAGTAATAGTAGTACGGAAGATTTCGATATGCTTGATGACATTTATCGAAATCAACCATTATTTCGTCTGATGCCACAAATAACGAACAGTTCAATGAACAATAATAATCCCGTCCAACCAATAATCGAACCAGGTGACAAACGAATCGTTCACTATAATCAACATTGATTTTTTTCGCTTCCTAGGAACTGATGCGGATAGAATTTTACGCCATTATTCCACATTTTCGATTGACTGGTTCACCGATAATAAACCAGAAGCTCCATTGCGTGTTATACCAACTAAGAATCGTCACGGTATCAATGGTCTTATTGAAGATAACAGTGTTCTCGATTCCACTGCTGGTGGTAAGCGAAGAGAAAAACTCATCCGATTCTATCTTCTGCATAAACTGCTCATTATCATCTAGATCAAGAAATAACATTACAGCAGTGCCTTCAAATGTTCATCGAACCCGAAGTTCTAGGTCCCGATGACAAATGGTATTGTCCACATTGCAAAGAACATATGCAAGCTGAAAAGAAAATGTCAGTTTGGCGTTTACCACCGATTTTAATTATTCATTTAAAACGGTTTAAATACTATCATGGTACATCATATGGGTACCTGTCAGACTCGAGAGTTAAAATCGATACAAATGTGAAATTTCCTGTACAGTATGTATCTTGAATAGCAAAAATCCGTTCGTTGTCTTCCTATGAAATAATTCTTTCTTTTATTCAAGCGATCTGAACATGGGTCCGTATTGTTCATCGACAACAGATTCTTCTCAATCTCGTTATGATCTATTCGGAATTATTAATCATCGAGGCAGTGCTTGGTTCGGACATTACACATCGTTTGCAAGACTCTTATCTCCTAACGACTCAGCTAAAACTGAAATAGGTAAGAGCAGATTTGTCATCGAAAACAGCAAAACAAATTGCAACTTTTCTCATTCAGGATGGAGAAATTTCGATGATGAACATGTTTCATCTCTCTCCTATGATAAAGATCTTGTTCGATCCGATGCCTACGTTCTCTTTTATCGTCATCGTCATCTACCAGTCGATCTTGCTACGAGTGACAACAACGTTTCATTAGCATCACCCATCTCGATGGACATCTATGAAGATGCTGTATCAATGGACTCAGCAGAGATGAAAGATATTCACGATTTTATGAAATAGAAATCGCAAAATAAAACTTCTTTAGTATTAATCAAGACCATTTTGCCTATCCAATAACAAATGGTTAACTTGATACAGCGGTTCTCTTTTTTCTTTTCTTCCTTAGATAAGGCGTTATGTTATTTTCTTTTGTACGAAAGCATCCCGTGTGTGTATTCTTCTTCTGTTTTTTTTTTATTATTTTTTGCGTAACAAAGAAAAATGACTGTAAAATGGAATCGGAATCGTACTAGTTTCGTTTTCTTATAGACAAAGTTGTGGGATCGTTAGGTTAACGATGAAGAGATAGCCTCACGTCCTCAAAGCTCAATACGTGTAACAAGAGAAGAGAGAAGAAAGGTGAAGTACTTGTAAGCATGTACACGAACGTCATTTCTGCTCCACAAATGAAACCATGTGGTTTCCGTCAAGGACTTTCAGATATATATTTCAAGGAGCGCGTACGGTAAGTGTTATCCGACAACCAAATACGTGAAGTTGAATGATGAAAGTAATCATTGTCAATATTTTCGTATAAAAATCAAAGTAATACCGAATTGGAGAAAAATTCAATTCTTTTAAATGACTTTTCTACTTGAACTACATTCATGACTATCATCAGACAATGTTTGTTTCTTGAATGTCTCCTTAGCCATTTCGAGGTGATGTGACTCACTAGTCGATCTCAATATACTTTATTTTAAAACAGAATAGGAGATTCATTGTCAAAATCCGCACCGCATAGCATAGCTTATGTCAATCTCATCATGTAATACGATTTCAAAAGGAGAAATAAATATACTAGGAGATACAGCATGAACCGCTCTACAATCAAGAAGCGACAGCTGACTGCACAGAACTTTGCTTTTTTTTCAAAGCAAAAAAATTGTGGAGTCAAAAGAATCTTCCGATGTAGATTCTCGAGTTTTACACATGCTGTATCTGCACATCATATTTCGTGTTTCAAAAATTGAGACATGTTCATCTGTTTGAAAACCGAATCACCTTCAAAGGACTCTAAATAGAATCATAATAAATTTATTATGTTTTAGAGCTCATAAATGAATCATTGTGAATCACAGAACAAAATCTGCCAAATATGTAATTACTAATGCCATTTTTCTGCATACATCAACAACTCGTTACTGTTGAAACTGTTAGATGTCACTTGTTTTCGACGATAAAAATATGAATACATTAGTATTATGAATTGCTGATCATAACGAACAAACAACGTTTTTACTCCTTCTAGACTCTAAAGTCTCGCTCTCGGGTAAGTTGTGGTGTACGTGAGCTTAGTAACATTTGACTTCATCAATTTATTCAAAGAAGAAGCGAAGTAATTTCACAAACTAGACGCAACTTAGTAGAGTGAGTGGATCTTAGCATTGACTAACGTTATGAAAAGCAGCCTGTCTCAAGAATCTTGCAGCAATGATTTTACACTGCTTTTAATTCTAAAAACTGTAAATTTTTCACACAATCAGACCGATCTGCGAAGAAATCCCTTAAAAGCGTACATTTGACAGTACCGTCATTCTCTCTCTCTCTCCTCTTTGCTAACACCTACACAATATATACTATTCTTAAAGACGCTCACTACATTAAATCTAAGTGAACATCCAAAAGATAATAAAAGAACACAATATATCAACGATGTCTTAAAAACAAACACCGTAATATGTGCTCGTCCACGTAAAATTAAGGATTAATTTACTCTCTAGCCCGCAGATATTGACCACGCTCAATGTCATGTGGAATTAAATCGGCAATCTAGGAGGACAACAGATTCGTGATGCATTACGAATAACGACGAGCATTTCCCTTGGAAGCCAAGAGCATTTGACTTATTTGTGTGTCTGATGTGTAGACAATGAAAAAAGTGTAACCATATGACAAGTGGTGAAAGATCTATTAAAAGGTTTCAGGAATAGAGTGTCATTCGCGTGGCCCGAGTTTTGATACTGCACACTATCCTCTTCTCTTGGTTTGCATATGGCTGGGTCGGAAAAAGTATGGAGAAATACAAGTGATATGCTTGTAGCTTGACATGTATACGAACTGCTTTATAATATGTAGTGGTGGAAGAAGTGTATGTACGGATGATGCATAGCGGATTTTGCAGAAATTGTTTTTCTGATCATTGAATGGATTTTTTGTCTGATGCTTTTATGAAAGGTTGTACTGGTTTAGATAATTTTTCTAAATATGTGCAATTGACCAAGTGCAATGTTTGCGAACGGTTTATCTACACACGAGATATTGTGCAAGCAAATGGACTTTCATACAACTCATACACATTTGACATGTCGGCGATGGCGACAGAGAAGTAATTAGATCTAAGTACACTCATTTGACTATATTGACTGGAGTGAAGATAATGTTCTCTATAAAGGAATGCTTCTATGGTAGAGTAAATGTATTTTCTGAGCACTAGAAGACAGCCAATGAATACGCAAAAATACTACCGCTTATCTTTTCTTCTCTTTTTATCATTTTTAGCTTTTGAAAACGACGCATAAAGTTACATAATCGTGTCCACTATAAGATGTTCATTTTCAGTCAAAAGTAATATTTAATACTTTCAAAACTGCTCACTGTACGGAGGTGTCCACTGTAAGATATTCTAACTCAAGCCAAGTATTTCAAACAAACGTCGAGATCCAATGTTCATATCTATTAGCTAAAATCTAACAGCATAATTAATTCTATCCCAGATGAATATTGTCTGATTTGAGGTACTCAATCTCAATCACCCTTCAAGCGATTACTTTTCGAAGATATACTTATTTGTGATTGGATAGGACAGAGAGACAAACTTTTAGCTTTGCAGTCTAATATTTAAGCGCTGCATAACTCATTCTCTTCTTGGCAAGAGGATTGTCAAAACAAATGCAGAATTTTACGCTCGCATTAGCGTCAAACAAAGTAGAAACGTAAATTGCGCCGTTCTCAAACTTTTAGAAAGTCACTCAAAGGCCAGTGATGTGGTAATAACAAGTTGAATGTGCAAGTAAACAATTATTCGGCCAGTGTTCTACTGATACAGAAACATCGGAAAAAATGCTTGTTTGTAATGAAAATCATTTTCAATTTTCTTGAAGAAACGCATCAAAGAGTCCAGAGAGAAAGTGCTACTTGTTGTATATTGTGGTGTCTGAAAATGACAACTTTCTTGTATATATTCAGATTGAAAGAAACGCCATTCGTGATCAGTAAAGGAAGAAAGGAATTTGCGACACATCTCTCTATGTGTGATTCGCTTCTTAAAGAAATTCACTAAAGACTATATAAATGGTTTGATTCTTTTCGTCAGTATTAATTTCCCATTATCCTCTTTGCTTCGTTCTTTACCTATCCGAATAATACGTATATATGTGCATAGTCTACCTGTGATAAAGAGCGTTTTTTTTTCACGAGATTTCATTTCGAATATTAAAAGAACATGGCACATCGTCATAGCAGATCATCTATGTCTCCCTATCAACAACGAATCAATATTCCCATCCAACACGTGTCCAATAATATTGATGCTCGTCGCACGGAACCATACCGACTAAATTCCGTTTATACAAAAGATACAACCACACAATGGATTCCCGATTCGATAACTGACCGAGAAATATTCCGTATAAAAATAAACATCGACGGATTTCATAAAAATGATGTAACTATGTTAACTTTTACTTGTTTAATATACAAATCGATTCCTTAGGTTCATGTTCGTGTGGATGGAAGCAAACTTTATATCTACGGTGAACGAATTGAAAATAAAACTCAAGTAAGAATCGATCGATATATTATTGACTAATTACATAGGTTTATTTAGGGTACATCAAAGAAAATTATCGAAAAATCTTACGAACTACCAGCCGATGTGGATAAATCAAAGTAAGCATTCTCGGACATTTCCATTCATCTTTTTATTTTCCTAGTCCACATATATCCTATCCGTCATCTTCGCTGATGCAAGTTGATTTTCCAGCAAAACATCCGTCGCGAAAAATATCTACCAATAGACGCATTCGTTCTCCTGAGATTGAACAATTTCATGAAAATCGAACAAGTGCACTTCCAATACATCGTGTATCCATCAACTCCAGAGATTCTAATCTCACTTCTACGCCTTTAAGCAGTCCAGTTTACAAATTTCCTGAGTCGACTAGCGCTCCAACCATGAATAAAGCTATATCAATTTACAAACAAACTGCTAACAAAATTCAGCGACGACGTGCAACTCCAATTGTAGGCTTTCAACCATCTTCGCATGGCGAACAACAACGGTCTATGACTCCAGCATTATCCAGTATAATCGAAGAAGATCCAATGAAGTCATCGTCATCTTCTGACACGGAGAGCAGTATTAGTAACCCTTCAGTGTCATATTTTCCTTCAGATTTCAATTCGGAAGCTTTCTATAAAAGTATTTTCCAACCGGAAATCTTCACCGATGATCGTCATCAACGATATATCGAAATGCGACTTGATGTTCAGAATCATAAACAAGATGATATCAAAGTATCAATCAATGGCAATGATCTCGTTGTTCACGCTGAAAATACTGATTTTTATAGACAAATCACTTTGCCATCGAATACTGATCTCTCGAGTTTATCGATACATCATCATCACGACAAAAAACTTTACATAACAGTGAAATTACTCGATGCGCATTCATCATTTCGATACATCTGAAAAATGTTTTGCTTTGTATCTGAAATAAAAACTTTTCGCGCGTAATCATTTCTTCAATGGATACAGAGAACGAACAGTATCATTCAATAGTTGAACCATATCTTTCCGTGCCGATCGATTCGGATGAGTATACACAAAAACTTCATGCAAACTTAACTGAACTCAAAGATGAACTACATACAGATGAAACGCAGATGATACTCGTCGCTCACCGGTTCGAACAAACAGGTCAAATACCATGGCAGGTCATGTCGAAACGACAACGGTTCTTTTATTTACTGAACATTTTCCTAAGACTTCTGTCTTTCATAATTTCATTGTACACATTTATTGTAACATTGGACTTAATGACATCAGCTTTCATACTGTTGAGTCGTTCGGCACTCGCACAGATCTTTCAAAGTCGAATCTTTTTGAAAAGTCCAATTGTTAGTTTAATGCTTGGAATACTGATAACCACCATTTTACAGAGCTCCTCGACAGTAACATCGAGTATTGTTGCCATGGTTGGAAGTGGAATCATTGAAGATATCCGATCAGTCATACCAATGATTATGGGTGAGGAATCACAGTATAACTTTCAATGATCAAATCTATCTGTATGCCTTTTCTGTAGGAGCAAACATAGGTAGGCTAATTGAATGTACGTGACAGTCGTATTGATTAACACACAAATAGACTTCTTTTGTAGGAACATCCATTACAAATACACTGGTTGCATTTAGTCAAATAGGAAATCGAAATGAATTTTCTCGTAGTTTTTCATCTGGTGTTCTCATGGATGTGTTTAATTATTTGACTACACTCGTACTGCTATCATTGGAAATCTTTGTTGATCGAATCACCGTCGATTCCGATATTTTTCATCGTAAGTACTTTTATGATCTTTCCGTTTTCGAACGAAAATAGCGTATAATGTGTTTCTCAGGTGGTGGTTATCTGGCACGTATCAGTGGTGCTATTGCGACAACTATTCCTGAAAAACGAGGAGCAGATATTCAATTATTGAAGACTCTGACAAAACCGTTAACGAGATTGATCATTCAAATCGATGAAGAAGTCATGATCAGCAACGAGGCAAACCAAACGCTCGGAAAGATCTACTGTAATCATCCTGCGATCAAATGTGAATACCTATTTCGAGCAATGATAGAAAAATTCGGTGACAATGTCGTAGGGATTATTCTACTCATCTGCTCATTGATTCTTCTCACAGGAATACTTTTACTCATGGTTAAATTATTAAAATCATTGATTATTGGTGTTATTGATGATACGCTAAAGAAGATTCTATATATTAAATCTCATGGATGTAAAGAATATTTCCTTGGATACGTATTTATACTGGTAGGAATCGTCGGAGCAATACTCGTGCAAAGCAGCAGTAAGTGTTTTCCATGAGTTCGATACTGCTAAGAATGATGATTAGGTGTTTTTTGTTCTATTTTAACTCCTCTAGTTGGCCTTGAAGTTCTGGCTCTTGAACGCAATTATGAGTTGACTATCGGTGCAAATATCGGTACAACAGTTACCGCGTTACTTGCTTCTCTTACTCAAACAGGTTTGTTCTTTCGTCAATCAATTCAAATCGCACTGACTCACTTTTTATTCAATCTATCTGGTTGTATTCTCTGGTATATTTTTCCATATCTCCGTCGTCTTCCAGTATATTTCAGTCGACAAATCGGAGAAATCGTCTCGAAATACCGTTGGTTTGCTTTTGTCTATTTAACCATGATCTTTTTCATTTTCCCATTAGTAATCTTATGTCTTGCATTAATTCATTGGATTGTAGCAATTGTCTTTCTATTTTGTTGCGTTCTTATCCTTATTTCTGTCTCAATCATTGGATATCTTCAGAAAAACAAACCAAATCGATTACCTATGTGTCTTCGATCGTGGTCATTTCTTCCACATTGGTGTCGTTCATTATCATATTGGGATGATCGACTAGAACATTTGACGAAACGAATCTGCTGTCAACGATGTGTTCAACTCATTTATCCATCGATTCAAACAGAAAAACCTCTCAGAGACCAATATTTAACAATGAAAGATCAGTATGTGACTGCATTAGATCATCGATATTTAGTCCATACACATCAATTGCATGACTTTTTTGAGAAACACTATGCATCTGTTGTGCCAACACATGATTCGAAATATCCTTTGACGACTTATATGCAAAGTTTTTATCATAGCCTGACTGGCAAGCCAACACAAGATCAACGAGCATTGTTTGCTTTGATGCATGACGAAGACGAACAAGTGGATAGAGTCATTGTATTCGATCGAGATAAAAGAAAAGATATATCGATTGTAAATGAACAAAAAAGTTCTCTATCTTTCTAAGATGCTTTTAAAAATAAAGAAATTAACACGATAGTGTCTTGTGTTATTCATCGGATGACACGATTCGAACTCGTGTAGGTTGTGCGTTTAGATTCAAATGTAGCTGCCAAGGAAAAGGACATTTTTCAATGTCAACAGCTAATTCTAATGTTCGACCTGAGCGTTTATTGATCAATCGAATGAGACGATTATCACAATCGATCGTCAGTTGCACTCGATCGTTTGCGATGACATCAATACCTTGCCCACCTATGCAAACGCCGGCCGCATAAACGAAGTCTACTCCATTGTACCAACCATAACATGAAGGTGACGCGTAGGAATGAATTTGTAACGGCGTTGACTTGGATATAATACCAAATAAAATCCAATGAGCATATTCTTCGACACGGAGAAAAATCGTGTGTAGTCCACTGGAATATTCGCATTGGCCTCGTACTTCGGTATATAGATCATTGCCATTTTTTACATAAACTACTTTGCCATTGTCCTCAAAGCCTGCATTACCTGTTGATTGCCCAAAGATTTCGCTTCCATGGAAACCACTGACAGAAATCTTGGAAATCAATTTTGTATAATCTTCACAGACTGTCACAGCTGGAACTTTGATTAGTTGCTCTTTTAAATCTTCAAGTTTCTTTGTCCATTCACGTACGTCAGTCTCGAGAAAATTACTTTTTTGCCGAGCATGTTGTATTTGTTGGGTTAGCTCTTCTAATTTTGACTGAATCTTTGTTCCCCGATTAATCGTAAGTTGAAATAAATCATTTCTAGCATCAGCTGCTGCTTTTCGGATCTTTTCAACTGATGCTTCTTCCCACATGTCGATTTTTTTCGTCAATTCCTCATGCAATGCTTTGGCATTGGGCAATGATTCTGCCATCGTCTGTTGAAAAGTACTTTGAAGAAGATTACGGCTATGCTCTATTGCATCTAATTCTTGGATAATACTTTGATGATGGTTCGTAGTATGTTGAAAACAAAAGACTTTCGAACATCCACGACATTGGAAAGCACCTCGTTCACTATTACAGCTTGCACAAACAGGTTCGTTCACTCCCGTTGCCATATCTCAAGTCAAATATAGAGAAAAACACGAATTTTTCGACTTTATAGCTGGTGCGCACTAGGCGTGGCAATGATTCATCGAGTCTTACATAGTTATGTTGAAATAACATATCACTTATCAAAATTAAAATGTCATAACTAATTAACAAGTGGACAATTCAACGTGACGGTTCGTTGGCCATAGATTTTCTTGTGAAATTGAAGAGTATGAAATAAAACCGACGTGTATGCATTTTTATTCTGTTTGTGGCTGTGTCACAAGAAAACAAAGAAGCATAAGAAAAAGTAAGTCAACAAGACCAAGAAGAAGAAGAAGAAAGAGGAGAACAACAGTAACTGATATAATTTTTCACCATCGATGATCTTACTCGAAATGAAGAAAACAACCGTGTGAATAACTAATGTAAACATAAAAACAACGAAATGAAAAGAATAATCCTACAAAACAAACGAGGATGCCCGGAATGACGTAGTGTCCACCGGCTCATTATCAATACAAGACAACGTAGAGAAAAGAAAAACTGAATGAATGGAATAAATGAAGAAAATCAGAGTTTGTTGTTTTCATTTGTTAATTTGATTGTTTACGCTTTCGGTTTCGAGACTTTTGTTCCTTTCTTCACCTGGGGTTTATTTAAGATGACGCCTGGCTTTCGACTTTGACCGGAAGCTTTCTTTGTTGATGAATAGATTGATTTTCGTCGTTGAACTTGTCGGAGTGCGTTTTTCGCTTGTAAACGATTAGCAAGTTTCTTTACTTTGTAGATACGAACAATCCAATGTTCTGTTGTATAGGCTTCTTCGACATGTTGTAAATCGAAATTTTTATTACCAATCTCCACATGACGTGTACGATCAAAACTAGAATTAATGATTTAGTTAGTCGCAAGACAAACGATTGTGTCTTACCCAGGTGGTGAACGGAAATCAGTTTGTAATTCTCCAAAACGATAGTAACACAGTTTATACATTAAACAATTGAGCAGAACCGGTGAACCTGACCGATCAACACGAAATTCACCATTTTCAGTAAAGTAATCTTGTTCACGAATATCCTTGGGATGTTCACCTGTTCACAAACGGAAAAGAGTTCGAATAATTTCTTCTCTGCAATCAATCTCACCTTCAGCAATTCGAACCATCCACAAAAACTTATTAATATCATCTCCGGAATAACCAATCATGCCACCAAAGATGACTAAAATATAGTCAACATCGAGCATAGTCATGATTTTATATGCTTCAGTTTCATTGCTCGACATCGCTTTGCCTACTAATGCAATATGACTATTGTTCCAAGTATTGTTGTCGACTAAAACCGTTCGATTGCCCATACCAGCAATCTGGTAGCCATAATCCCACCAGGACATGACGCGAGCCTTTTCTGGCGTATTCTTTCGTAGCCAGTAATAAGCTTCGCGAAAATCATCGATGATATATCGTGTACCATCGTTATTATACGAAGCAAGAACGATCGATGGTGATGAATAGGCATTGGAAGTTACCCATGTGCAATGCACCGCAAGTAACATTAACATCATTGCAACTACAAAGAAAGAAATTTTATTCGAGTTCATAGAATTGTGAAAACTTACTGCAAATCACAACAATGGTTTTGATATTTGCTGATACAATATTACGATCTTCATCATTATCCTGAGTACTACCAGCAGGTCCGCGTCGTGCAGGAGTAGACTTTGATTTTCCAGCTTTGTCATATAAACTTCGATTGTTTGCTTCTGTTGTATCGTCGTCATTGTCATCTCCGTCTTCACTACTTGTCGACACAACCGGACTTGAATTCATGTCCGATGTCTCTGTGTCGGCATAATAATCGAGCGTCTTTGACAGGGCAATGGCAGCTAAAATCAAGAACGAAAACTTATACGAAATGTATGAGTTCATGTCCAGTATATTACCAAGTACACAAACACATGGTGTTAATGTAAGCATTAAACGGATCATTACACCAGCGAAATAGGACGCAAATACAGCATAGAGAACGATAAAAACGCGTTCATCATTTAGTTCTCGAATGCAAAACCAAGCACCAACTGGAAACAAGCAGATCAAAAGATGAAGATCTAAAAAGGAAAGTGTAAAAAATTCGCTGTAGTATTCTACTGAAAAATAATTTTACCGAAAAAGAATGATGTCCATGTTGTCGGTTGATGTTCACTAACACTAGCAATGATAGGAATGTGTATTTTCGCATAGTTCGTATCCCATAATGAATAAAAGCGTCCGGACCATGGTGCAATGTAACCAGCATATGTCAAAATAACCACCGCGGCAAAAACAATTAAACCAACGACAATAATCAAGCCAAAAAATAATTGTTTCAAGTCTCCAGCGCGTGGTAATTTAGTATAAAGGTATTCGATGAAAGCGTATGCTTGAAGCAAAGCAAAAACACCAGCAGCTAACATATGTTCACTTGTACGAACTGGTTGAAAACCAACGAATGGAATTTGCATCGAAAGAATCAAACCGAGAATGTAAAATGTTGAATAAGAAACATACAATCGAAGTGAATAACGACGAAGGACAAGTAAGATAAAAACATGGACAGGAATCAAGTTGATGATAAACACATAACCACCCCATGCTGATACCTAAAATAGCGTTGTTATACTACAGTTTACTCACATTGACATTCAGCAAAAAGACGTACCATATAAAAGTATGATAAAGCTGTGCAACTTGACCAGAAAACACTACCCGTTTTAACCGAACGAATCCATAGGAAATAGGTAAACATAAGAGCAAAGATAGCGATACCTTGAAGAAATAATACAACTCGAATTTTAAGCAAACGAGAACATTCGTAAACGACATACCTTCGTTATCATATGAACCAGCAACACTACGTGATGAATAACCAGGTGCAATAGCAATAAATGCGGCTGCGAAGAGGCCAGCACGACGTGACCAAAGCTCTTTCGTTAACAGATACGTGGCGATGGCTGTTAGGCCGCTGAAAAATGGCGCAAGAAAAACACAGATTTCCCGGATATGAATTGGAATATTAATCATATGTAGAAACCAATGAATAACACCACTAGTGACCATTAAACCTGAAGAGAATATGGTTTATTTTCGTCAATCGAGATATAGTTCATCTTTACCTGGATAGACAGTGCCACCAACGATACGACCAAGTGGATACCAAGCTAACTCATCAAACCAGTTAAGAAAATTGTAGAATCCATTTTCCGTCATGTAAGCCGTTGATCGATAATTAAACCATGGATCAAATTCATGAATGATCGATTCGAAACGAATGACCGAAAATAATCGAGACATAAAACCCGATATGTATGCACAGGTTAAGACAATAAAACTGATCAATGATGTTAGACCAGTCGGTGAAATTAATGAGGATGTTGCCAATGAATTTGATGAACTAGACAAACGTTTTTTCTTGTTAACATTAGTCTCATGTTCAGACTCAGTTGTTAAAAATCCCGAACCGTCATTGACGGTCGACTGATTTGTTGTTACTCTCGCAGTCATCTATAATGAGAAACACATACAAATCTGCTCTCTCTAGTTTTAAAATGAACGACAGTAAAGAAACAAGCAGAGGAAGAGAACTGGTCTGGAGCAATGCTACTGGCCGGTTAAGTTAACAAACCAAATTTTGTCATATTTCTTTTGTATTAACTACCGACATCTACAGATTCTGTATCATTCCGAACTGTTTCATATTCGATAAAACGCACTTAGAAAAAGGCGCAAAACTTACATACCATTCTAGTTCTTGAAAACTGTCTAAAGACCCTCGATTCGATATTATCTATATATAGCTCGATGAATTTGTCATGTCGTGTAAGTCCAATATTAACTCTTACGTCGGCCTGTTTTTGAAGTACTCTTCCTCTATTGCGTTTCACGTCACAGCAACGTTCATCTCACTTTGATAGATACCTCGGAGAATATCTAGGTGTTATATGGTAACTAATACAATGATTCACGAAATCAATAGCGAAGTCGTTAATCTTCCTACCATGCTAAACAAACATCGGTAAAAGTAAAAACAAGCAGGTTGTTATTTTGTACTTTTAGTCACTTATTCGTATGCGGTCATTCTGCAAGATTATTTTTGACTCATGAATGGAATGTTGTTGTTTTGCAACCCCTGACACATACATACATCAAAGAAACTCTATTGATTCTTCTTCTTCGAATCAGGAACTTTCGATGCATATCGTTACAGACAAAGTAATTCGTACAAACACATCTTCATCATTTATTTTTCTTCTGATAGACAAGTTACATAGCTACAAAAAAAAACGAGCAGAAAGTTTGTGAATAAGCTTTTTGTTATGTCTCTTTCAACATAACGACAAATTCGTCGAAGCTGATCTTTCCATCGCCATTTTCGTCTAGAGTTCTCATAACTTCGGTAATTCGTCTCTCACTAATATTATGATTCAATTGTTTTAAAACATCACGTAATTCATCTCGCGTAATGAAACCTAGAAAAGAGCACCGAACATCAACTATTTCAAACAGTACATTTCTACTCGTAATTTACCAGAATCATCCTTGTCAAAACATCTGAATGCCCGATGCATTTCCTCGTCGGTAAGCACTCGCGAATAGATACCGGTCATTGCTTTCACAAATTCATTAAATTCGACTACAGAAAAATGAAATCCGCCGTTAACACAATTTCAAAAGACAATCGAACGCTTACTAGTGCCATTACCTAGAAAAGATTAAACGAACTAGGTTTACACTTCATCCTTGTAGATGAAAACTACATACCATCCGTATCCATTTCTCTCATCACTTTTCGAAGAAGAGCTTCTGATGGTTTGAAGTTCAATGCCAGTAATAACTGTTTCAGCTCCCCTGATGATATCGAACCGCTATGATCGCGATCGAATAGATCGAACGCTTCGCGTAATTCTAAAAGGAAGAAAAACGCTGATAAAAATTACCTGGATAGGTTTTGCAAGTATTCTACCTTTCATTTGTTGATTTGTTAATTTCGAAGATTTTGGCTAGAATATAAAATTAGCAGCTGTGATTTGTTCAATTGAAGTTTATAATAGTGTTCTTACTGGCATTTTTAATTGAGATTGTCGGCCGTCAAAATTTCTCAACTGGCAGGCCGTTTCTTTCCTTTCTATTTGCCTTTGACTTGCTATTTATATATGAGAGAAAAAAGAATTGAGAAAGAGAATGAATGAATAAGTATTACGAAGCTTGAAGACATGAGAGAACTCAAAAGAAAAAGAAAAGATAGAAGCAGAATGGTGCTAAACACACCTTCTAATAATATTATTTTTTCTCGTCATGTTTACGAATGTCTATAGGAGAATTATCCAATTCCACGATAGTGTATTAGTTGCTAGGCATTGTTTTTTCCATGACAATCGTCTAGAGTCCATATGTTGAAGTAAAATTAGCCCGATTTTGCCCGCATATTTGTATCCGCCGTGATCGACATCAGCTACCGAAAATCTACTGTTCTTGTCAAATTTTCACTAAAGTCGAGGGTGTGTGCTTCAAATTATTGGACCAAGCAGAAACCAACTGTTTACTCTTAACATCGGACTCAACGGCCGAACTCACCGGTTCGTCAGCGTCAACTTAACTTTCTTAATACCAAAAGGATCATATGTACTTATGTGAAAAAGCTGCAATTTGTTATCGTTCGCGCGTAAAGACTAGTTACTATAAATGAACAACGAATGAAAAAACGACTAGACATTGTTATTAATATGAACCTTATTGCTGGGATCTTGACGCGTATTCAATACACTTCCATGAGCGCATCGAATTTAATGTTCCAGCCAACTGGCATGTTTTCGTATAAGAAAAATAATATATTAAATTTTAGAATCCATTGTCTAATTAGATGTCTCTACCGATATGCTAACGAATTACTGTGTCACCAGTTTTAATAGACGACGATGTTAGCGATAACATATTTACAGTCTGTTTTATCGACTGCCACCATCTTGGATAAATATATCATTTTACCTTACACTTGTATTAGCTGCAGATTCATAGAACGCGCAAAATCTGTGCAGCATGTGTATGTATGCGTATCTATGAAATCATATACAAAAAAACATTATGATATAAATAACTAGTTTTTATGAGCTACCTGATTGCATAACAACAGAATATCATCGGAGATATGTCTAGTCGTGTAGTGGATAAATCTTCAAATGAAGATTGCCTCTCGAGTCTGATGCTAATAATGATATATTTCCTTTTCGACATTTATCACTTATCACAAGCAGTTTTGTGATGAACAATAGATTGCATTACTTCGGCATCGTCCCAAATCAAACGGTGCTTCAATAGAATATAGTGAGTTTGTAAATAGAAAAGATCGGCATTGATAAATCAATCACTGCTACACAAATTTCGACACCCAAGAGCTGATTGTAATATTTATTTTGCATTAGTTTCTGAATTACAAAGAATATGCAAGATCATCGTAAGTTCCTGGAACACACGAAGAATTGATTCGTATCTTTAATCGTTCTGCACAAAAATGTATTTCATAAAGCGATTACTAATTACGCAATCATCGATATTCATCGACGGAGTGACAGAAGTCATATACAATCATAAAATGAATTAAATGACCTTAACGAACGAATTCAGATCCGTCTTGCAGGATCATGCGCTATAATTTCATAAGACCAGCGATATTACCGACATCTATTTCGAAGATGAAGAATTTATAGATATGACTTTCTTATTCGTAAAACGAGAAAATTTAGTGTATGATTATTTCTAATAAGTTTAAGAATAGTTCTGTGAAAAATAGTCAAGAAATGCTGCTAAGTTCAATAGCTAGTTGCGTCGATACCCATTAAGAAAGAACTGAAATATGGCTGAGTAGCCACACACATATCTGTTAGTCACATCTCAGGAAAGTTCCACTATGGACCAATTCAAAAAGCTGTATCACGAATATTGTAAAACATATCATGTTGAACCAAATGAATTACTCCTTGGCGAAATTCAAAAGTATTGAAAAGCAAACATTTGCAATAAAATATTCTTTGTAATTTGCTTTTCCAGAGTTTCTGGCGAAGATAATAAAACAAAAGGCTTGAACTTATCCTCATTTAATATTCCTGAAGGACAATGTTCGATACTGGGAAAGATTCTCACGCATGATTTCATTTTTACTAGTATTCATCTCAATGATTGCAATCTTTCTACTGATGGTTAGTTGATTACTTGTTGATCATATATTCCTTAATATTTCTTTTAAAAGCTTTACAAGCACTTCTTCACGGACTTGTTACGAATACCACGTGTAAAACATTAGAATTAAAGGTAAAGATCAAAACAAAACAGTGTTATAACTATAGTAGTTTTGAATAGGGAAATGGGATCCAAGGCGCTGGGACCGAAGCATTGGCAAAAGTATTACGAAGAAATCAAACACTTCGCAAGTATGTTTAGAGGAAGAGAATGATTGTTGAAGAAAAAAAATGAAATACTCATTTAGTTTACGCCTTGAATGGAATCAAATAGGCGCGATGAATTCTCCTGCTTTCAGCGTGTTTTGCGATGCGCTTGCCGACAACAAATCAGTGATCGAACTTGATCTGCGTAATAACGACATCAATCACGTTGGTGCTTCCGAATTAGCAACAGCTTTGAAACGAAATACAACATTGCGTGCATTAGGTATAATGATTATTCATACAAACGTTAATTGTATACATCTAAAACAGATCTACGCTGGAACAACGTTGGTCTGATCGGTGGTCGAGCTTTACTAGCGCTTTGTCAAACAAATGCGACTCTAGAGGACTTACAACTAATTGGAAATAACATTCCTGATGATATTATGCAAAGCATCGGTAGGTATTTCACGTCTTACTTGAATGCTATATTGGTTCGATTTAGCTAATGCAATAACAAAAAATAGTGAACAGCGTCAAATGCATTTTGCCCATTCGCAAAACACCGCTGTGCTTTCTCGACAATTACAACATGTTCATCAAGAAAAGGATCGTCAGATATCGACAACATTAACACGCATGTCATTACAAGAGCAAGCTATGGTGAAAGCAAATAAGTAAATTGCAATTTCTGAATTGTTTAAATCTATTCGTTGATTCTTAGATCATTGACAGAAAAATTAACAAAATTGCAAGAAGCTTTAGATGAACGAAAGTTAGCCTTTTTAGCTTTATCGACTAGAAATACTTCGTTGGAAAATGATCTTGTCGAAGCTAAACGACAGTATGATGATGTGCAGAATGATATGAAGCGAATGGAAATTGACAAAGAAGAGCTCATACAAAAAATTCGACGCGAATGTAAACATGAGAAAGATGTAAATGTTTATGAAAAGAAAGATTTCCAAGGATGAAAATCGACTGTTTTATTTAGGAATTAATTGATATACAAGAGAAACTTCAACGCGATTTGAATGAAAGTGCCGAAATTCAACGGCGTTTAAATGAAAAACTCCATGATCTTGAACGAAAGAATGAAACTCTTCAATCAACCGTCCGTGATCTTCAAGAAAACGTGAATTCATTGATTCATACATTCCGCATTGTACTTAATAAATTCTATTTAGATAACTATAAGCGATCGAACTCATCAAATAAAATTAACCTCGGCAGATGAGGAAATTCAACGTTTAAAACTCAAACACAAAGAAGATCTGAAAGATCAAGAACTGATCGCTAGTCGTGATGTACAACGACTCAAAGAAGCGCATGCATCAGCTGAACAGACTTTAAAAGATCAAGTAACGAAATTAGAAAATATTCGAACATCGTTGGAACGAGTAAATAGAACGAAAGTTGCGTTCGATTTCGTTTTCTTGTAAATCTCATTTTTCAGGAAATCAATTCATTGAAATCGTCAGTCTCGACCCAAAAATTAGCTCATGATGAAGTGCTGCAACAAGAGAAACTTCGAATTAGAAATGAAGAAGAAAAGAAGCAACAAGAAATTGAAGATCGCCTACGTTCATTAGCGAATACAAAAGAAGAGCTTGAGGTAATCTTCTATTTCATTTCTTAAGGAAAACACGCGTCCTAGACATGTTCCTCGATTTTGAGAATAACATCACTTGACAAGTGCCAACGGAAAAGAAAATAAGTAGGGATTTACTGAATGAATGTTCTAAATTTATCCGACCCATGTGATGAATAGCGACTTAACTCGAAGACATGCATGTGTTTTCTTTGTTTCCAGTCTCGCTATAACCAACAGCTAATTGCTAATCGTGAACTACAGCAAAAGATTAATTTTCAAGCGGTAGAAATTGAAACATTCAAACGCCAAATCGATTCAATCCAATCAGTAATGACATTTCTTTTCAAACATCATCGTCATGTTTCCTATTAGACTATACTTGGCAAAGATAATGAAATCGCTGAAGTTCGTGAGAAAATGAAAACTGAACATGAGAAAAAACTTCGGTCAATACAAAAAGATATCGATATGAATGATGAATTCAAAGATCGAATAAAGCAACTGGAAAATGATTTAAAAGGTATTTATCTGTCTTCTTTCACTCTACTCTCAGCAAACTTTCTAATTAGATCAACGATTTACCGATAGACACACGATTCGTGAATTGGAAAGTCGAGTGACTGAATTGCAGACAGCACTGAATCAACGTGACCAAGAAACAACACGTTTAAGACGCGAGGAAGAACAACGATTACACTTTCTACGATCGGCTATCATTGATTACATTGGCACAGGCGCTAGTTAATCATTCCTTTTGTATCTTTGTTCATAATTGCTATTCTTAAATAAATAGTACGTAGGACAACGCGATCATATCTATTGATCTATTCTTCAGTTTTGCATAGAACGAAAATGCACGCAAGAATGTACTGAATGCTTTTATTTCGTTGAAAACTTTAACAGTAAATCATGACCGATCATGCACATTAACATTAATGCTCTGTTGTTGGGTTCTCCCTATAATCCCTCTTCTGCGTAAATTCTGCGTCGTCATCTTCAATGTCGCCGTTGAATAATTCATTGTTATACGTTGGATTACCCATATTAACATTCGTACGTACAGCTGGCAGAGTGCGAGTACGAAAGCCAAACCATAGAACACCCGTAAAGCATGATACAAGAATTATAAATACCAAAACAACCAAGATGATAAGTCCGCGTTGTTCAGTCGAACTGAATCCATCACTTGTTTGACATGTATTACATATTGTGTCATTGGTATTATTCATTTTCTTTGAAGAATCGCACGTTTTTTTTATTGTAGAAAACAAATATACCTTTCGGATATTACGAAAGACGTGCGAAGGAAGGCATGAATGGTCGTTTGTATGCCTATGGATAATGATTGATCGGAGAGGAAGAGCATAAAAAACCGTAGATAAATAGACAACGGAGGAAAAAACTATGTACTTTTAAATATATTTCATATAATCACAACATAGACAGAATAAAAGGAGCAATGTTTCGAATAAATTTTTTTCTTTTTATTTATCGATTTCATTACAAATCAACCGATTGCATTCATTTTTTCAAATAACCATGGATGGGCTTGTACCGAAGCTGTGAAAAATGAAAACAAGGAAAATTACAATAGAGAAAATACATCACCAATCTTTGTACTATACCGGATAAATTTCTTCGTCATTATAATCGTTACTACCATTGTCATCATCATCATCATCATCCATATTGTATTCTTGCGTTAAGTCGAAACTATCATATGGATTATCAGACGCATCGAATGGAATCGGATAACGTTCGTATTCATCGTCATTGTTCAAAAACATATCTAAAGAGGGGAATGAAGGAAATGATCAACCTACAGAAATTATTTTAGTCTGCTTGATTTTACCTTCGTTTTCGTCGATATCGTCTACGATAATTCTACTCCATTCGGGTCGATCGAAAAGAGATGAAGCCAACGCTGAACGAATACTTCGTTCGTATGAGGACGGGTACCAATAAATTGGTCTAATTAATGATATAAAGACATTCCAAATTAGGAAAGACTTGTCTCATATCTTACGAAAAAGAACGTGTCGGACGGACAAATTGATATTGCTCAAGAGCCGATGCATACAACTAAAATGAACAAAACGTCTCATAAGAAGTGCTATTTGTCTGAGATTAAAAACATTTTCTCTTGTGGATATTACACCCCTCAAACATGCATGACCTTCAACAGAGTCGCAAAACACGTAGATACACGCAATTACTTAAGAAAATTTCAACTATGACTTCATAGAGTTATGTCAAAGGAAATGCGCCTTAGATGATTATACTAACCGGATCAACGTCATATAGTTCGTATGATGATAAAGCTCGTTTGTGTCTTTGATTTGCTTGATCATTTGAACTAACATGACGGCGGCGGCGACGCTGATCTGCTAGATTTGTCAGTTCGCTCGGCTTCATTTTCATCTCGGTAAACCCGTCGAAATCATCGTTGTCTAGTGGTTCTATATACGAAAACAGTCCACTAAAACGAGAGCAATGTCTCTGCCTCAGAAAACTCACGTTGAACGTTGTCATGGATTTTTTCAGTTGTTTCTTTCATTTTTGGATGTAATTTATGTTTAATTTCGATATCACGTTCTTCACTGCTATCATCGTCGGTAAACTCATCAAATGGAATAATGGCTTCTACATTGCTTCTTTTATTCAATTTTTTCTTGGCATCACTGCTGGCAGATGCTGCACTGGATTGAGAAGTAATTATAGACTCTAATGGAGTCTTCTTAGGTGTTGGAATGACTAAAAGTTCAAAACAAAACAAAAAACAAGATGATTAGGAGCTTCAGATTCGATCGTTTACCCTCTTTAATTGGTTCGATAGGCGCTGCTTGAATGAGACTGTGCAGAAATAAGAAACCAAAAGCAGTCAAAGATATCTTGGAGATCATCTAGAAAACAATGTTGAACGAGATGACTAGTTGTTTCTCCTCTTGCTTCAATCTTGTAGAATGACATCTGCTCGAATGTACGGACGTATATTTTTTCTGGGTAGGGTGTCGTGTTGTCACTCTGTCTCTCTTATCGAGGTATGAAGGAAGCGGGAAAAATTCCTTTTCTTATTTCTTCGTCATTCATTTTATCGTTTTTTTTCATATGACAAGAAAACTATTCTAAACTACTGAGAAAAACTCAATCTGTATGCAAAGTATAATCAGGCTCCGACAGGATGTATAGAGATGAGTGAGTAGTCTTTCGTGTTTCATATATCCTTTCTTTCTTCTAGTCCGATTTGTAGTTAGAGTAAGGAAAGCTATTTCTGCTTGCTTTTCCTCTCGGCATAGCTTTTTTCTCTTCGTATAATTAAGCGAGAAAACATGACGTTGAGTGTCAAAGCAAGTTAGCGTAGTTTTGTTCGAGAAAAACAAAAGAAGAAACGAACAAAAGCACGAAGAAATATTGATACATTCATCTAGGGTTCATTCAACATTATTTATTTATTTCCGTCTATATTTCACGGAGAAATTGATCACCATTGACTAATAATCGGACTGAAGTTCAAAAGGATCGGCTCTACAAGGCAACACGATCGATTGTTTTCGACTACATCCATTGGATTCGGTTTCCAGGGAGAACTGCAATCGCTAATTTTATAAGCATGTCATAAATGCACTCTAATATATTATTCAACTCTTCGCATATGTCTAACGACCGAGTAGTATTTTACTGCACTTGGTTCTGGTTTGATGAATATTGATAAGACACTTCCGATATTATTTGATTTGTCAATAACAGATGCCATCCGCTGTAAAGTGCAAAGAAAAATATCTTCGATTTGATTGTTGAAAGTCACCTCGATGTCGTAAATAAAGTTAAGCTATTTTCGAGACATGTCAAACGGGCAAGATTATTATAATTAGTTGAGGGAAAAGGAACATATTACTGAACAGAATTATATGTCATTACGATGCAGAAAGTTCTTTCATATGTAAAACGTTGACACGAAACCGGTTGGACGTAATTGAATGAAATAATGCGCGATAAAAAAAGGAGAAAAACAAGATTTATATTTGAAATACAGTTTTACGGTCACGAGCTCTAGTATTATTTTGTGAGTATAATTAGCATCATTATTTCAATCGTATGAATAATTAGAATTTATCCAAGTGAAGCGTGAAATTTATTTTCCATAAATAAGATGATATTGCTAAATATCGTCTCTTTGCTTCTTATCTACTTTGTCCCTAGATTATCCGTATTTCTGGCATTGACTTCGGGTTGGAAATATTGTTCATCTGTGTTGAAATTTGCCTAATAACTCGCATATGTATTTGCGATGAAGGCGACGGAAAGACAAACAAAAAAAGGTTCGAATTACAATCCGCACTTTGTAATTTTGCCATGAAGAAGATATACGAGTCTCACTGAACGACATATAATCATCTAATAATTATGAAATCCGACATATTTTTCATGCTGAAAACATCTGTTACTATCGTCATATTGTTGATTACAATCAACAACAAGAATCAATATTGTACCTCTTGAGAACATATTGTTTCGGATGTAGTGCTACTTTTCCCTTCTGCTCGAGTTCTTGATTTTGTATGCTTCGTAATAACAAGAGAATTAAAGTTAATGAAAAAACAAATGTATGTTCAGTGCGCCGTATTCAATGGCCTTTGCAAACAGAAAAAGGTAACCTTCTTTTTCGAGAAATGCGTAGGTTGAACACGCTGATGAACTTTCTTTCTCAATTATTTGCTGTACTATAATACGTAAAATGTACATCTTATACAAAAGAACTAAAACAAACGCTTGACTAGAAGTACGAAAATATGTCTCGATGATCATTAATTCAAATAAATTCGACATTGATTTGTGCCGCAATGACAGGGGATTTTGACGTCTTCTTCGGGAAAGGAGTAATCGTAGGTCAGTTCGCAGCCACGATGAATATCTTTCGATGCATAGATTATAATATGTTTTATACCATCAGATAGAATTGTTTTCGCAAAACAGTTTGGCTAACGGATAGAAACTAACGATTAGATTCGAGGTCAATGTTTATCTTACTTGACAATTATGATTTATAAAACGTGCTTTGTTTCCTTGATGTGTCGCATCGATAACATTCATGGAATCAACGGTAAACATGTAGCAACCAAAACCCTAACCATCAGAATGATTTACATAAATCGATACGCGACGCAAGCTGGATAGTTTTCTTACTTTCTTCTCATTTTCATATTCACGTTTATCGGTCAGACATGGTCGAACAGCTTCTCCTGTGTATTCGATTATCATTTGTCCTTTGACTAGATCGATCAAGGTAAATAAGCCACAGCCATGTATCGACGACGATCCAATGATTAATGCACGTTCGGAAAAATAATGTAAATGAAATAAACGTAAACGAACGGAAGATTCTTGAAGAAGCACTTGTCTGAAGAAATGAAAATTGAATGAAATTTATTTCTGACTTCACTTTACCTTGCACAGGCGAGTGCATCGTCAATTACGAATGTTTGTAAAGCATGATCAAGTTTTCGATTTGGATTTAATAACCAATTGAACCGTTGACGTTGTGTTGTTTTCCTACGATAAATATTCAATCTTGAATTTACCGGCGAGAATTTTTTCGAATTGACTTTTCGTTTGATTAGATTAGTCGATTTATTCGTTGTAGATGGCGATATAGTGAGTATATCCTTGCTTTCATCGACAGATAAAGAATTGTGATAGAGTTGATTGAAGAGAACTTTAGCTATTGATTTTGTTAATCCGAACATTCGATGTCCATTTAATTCTGGATTTGTCATTGGTATATGTGTTAATTTCATATCATCGCGACACTCGCGTACTAGATGAACAACATGAGACCAAGCCTGTTCTAAATCACTTGAACTCATCTTGTATCCATCATCACTCAGAATTGTAAATTTGATGTGACCGTATTTTGTTTTCGTCCACTGATCGTATCTTTCCATCAGTATTTTCTCGGAGAACATCGATTTTGTATCGGTTATTGATTCATTCTCATCGCTATCCACGTTTCCATCGATTTGCGGAATCACTGCTGATTCTTCGCCTGCCATTTGCAACGTTGATTGATTTGAGCATATAGATCTTTGGTCAGATAAGTAATAACTAAAGATCGGCTCTTGTTCTTGTCTACAAACAGATGTTCGATTGAAAGTGAAGAGTGATAGTGTTATACTTACGTGTTGGTTCCCGAAAGAGCATGTGCGAGTGCGAAAGCTAATTGAGAGAAACTTTTGGAATCGTTCATAAAGAAGTTTCTTAAGGTTTTCGCATCCACTGCAATCGTTTCTGTGTTCCGTTCTGAGAGTTTAGATGAACTTTCATCCATATGCAGATCTTTTGATAGTGTGGTTGTTTTTACTACGGGCTTCGATGTTCGATTTTGAATTTCGTTGAAAATTTCGATATGTGATTGATGAGTTTGACGAGTGGACGTTTTTCTTTGAAATGTATTAAAATATTGTTGGCATTGTTCGTATAATTGTTGTTCTTGTGAAAGAGGACACGCAATAGTTTGATGATTACATGTTTCTTGATGGTACGTTTGTTCAATGTCGATATACAGATGATAGATTGTTTTCTGTCGAGCATTCTTCGTACTCCAAAATACACGTGATGCATGATATTTATTGGGATAGTTTATCGGGTTCGGATCGTCGTCGAGAAGATATTCGAAATTGCCTAGTGAGTGGATTTGAAGAGAACCAATACAAAGTCGAATGTCAGTGAAAGAAAATTCAAGAACAGAATTCGACAGATCAGTCAAGATTGTAGAAGATAAATTGATCGATTTCAGTTTGGAGATATTCGAATTATCTAAACTTTAAATCTCGAGAGATCTTCAAATGGAAGTGCATAACTTACTGTCAATTTCATTCAATTTCATTTTACTATGTTTGATACACAGCGTGGTTAAATTCGGTAACAATCCATTAGTCATGTTGAATTTTTCTTGTAAACCTTTATCAAATTTTGTATAGTATTCTTCTATACATCGACAATGGTAATAAGTTTGACAATCGTTTTCAAAACATTGTACACTTGCACCCATTCGCAAACACAAATCACATTTGAGCTTTGTTTGACATCGTTGAACTGTCTCGCGTACATTATGAAGAACATACGGTGATCGATCAAGAGTTTTCACATATGCTGGAAGTATACAACCGATGTGTACCCATTGTTTGATTCCAATCGGTATAAGACGAGAGATATTTGCTGAATAATGTTCAGCATATGTTTGACACAGTTGACAGAGTCGAGTATCGATTTGATACAGATTAACAAAAGAATCTTTCTCGTCGAGTTTATTATCGATATAACGCAATAGAGAATCAGTTGATGTCAATAAATGATTCTTATGGATATTCGCTTGTAAGAACAGACGATCGTTGTTCAATGCATATGCATGATCCATCGATGGCAAAGCACAGCATCGATGAACAGTTGAATTCGATTGTGATTGAGAAAAATGGGACGAAGAACAAATTAATGTTTTATTCGTGTTTGATAACACACTGGATAGCTTAAACCACGGGCAATATTGTTTTATACAAGTGTCAATAGCTGCTTGCCATTGTCGACTATCCTGATTATCGAGTAGGCGTTGGATGATAATCAGTAGATCGTTGATAAAAGCGTGCAGATTCAATGAATATGTACGAGCTTGATGCAGTTGTTGCAGGTTGGACAAATAACGTTTCATGGAATGCAAACGACTATCTTCAGTGATCATGATTTGTAGAGTGGAACACAAACTTGCTGTTGTACTTTTCAGAACTACAAAACGAACAGATGTAATTTAGGAGATCTATCAGAAATCTGCTCACTTTGTATTTTATAGTTGAGCAATGCATTTCGAGTATTTTCCTTTTGATTTAAGTCACATTTTGAGCAAACTATATTGATCGAGATGTTTTTGATCAAGGTAACATCTTCATTTAGATAACCATCACATTTCGGATGAAAACGATGTTTACATTGAGTGCATTGGAATAAATTTTTGATTTTCTCTTGCGGTTGGTTGCCAATTAAGGAAACCGAAAACAATGGTCTAGGTTTGGTACTGAACTGCTCGATGAATTTGTCACATATATGGCATTTTTCGATGGATTCACTTTTATTCGATCGAATAATTTTCATATTATTCAAACAATCAGCACACATCGCGGACTGCTGCGATGAGAGAGATCTGTTCAACGAAAGAAGATTCCGTTCAGTCGAAACTACCGGTTGTCCACAATCACATTTAATACACAAGGGACAAGACCATCTTTGATTTGAACACTGAATACTTTCTTGTTCGCCTTTACATTGCTTCAGACATTTGACATGATAACTTCGTTTACAGTCCGAACATGAGATTATGGCCGCATTGATTTCTAAACCACATATATTACATATTGTACAATTGGGACATACCCAAGACTCAGGTGTTGGATACAACTCAGGACGTTCAAATTCATTCAAACAAACTGTATGATACGCTTGACAACAGCTATTACAATAGATCAATTCAGTGCCCATAGAGCCGCACTAAAACGGATAGAATGTTAGCTGAATGGAAAACGAGGGTACTAACCATATAACAAAGTGAATGAAATGGAAATGTTTCATCTGATAATACCACGTAACCTTCTTTGAAGAGATCATTTCGATCAAATGTCTGTTTTAATTCACATCGTAGTTTTTTATTTTGATCAACGCTATTATTTGTACACGACGTCGATAGGAGTGTTTTTCTTTGATTTTGATTACAGAGATCCCGAAATTGTTTGATTATGTTTCTTGAATGTCTACTCAGTGTCGGAGTTCGAGAAGACAGACCTGTTTGAATATAAACAACCGGCAGAGGCCGAGACTGATCAGTTGAGAGATTTGATTCATCGTCAGGAAGACTTTCATTATCACTAAGGGAATCTTTCGATTCTGTATCCGTATCTGTGGATGATATACCATTGTCTTCGACAGTTTTCGGTCGTTTCGGAGAATCATTCTGTTCGAAACTATAACATCGTTTTAGTAAATTACATTCTCGGTTAAGTTCTACTGTTCCTGGTTCAATCATTTCGTAAAAAGCTCAAAAAACGATGGGAAATCGTCTGATTGGCTGATTTTTTCATTCCGTAAGTCCTTTGTCCTTCATTCATTTAATCCATACAATTCGCTTTCAATTAAAAAATACATTCGAAATTTTTTCTAATTATTTTCAATGAAGATGAAAATGATATCCGCATTGAAAAATTCAATTCATCAAAGTTGTATTTTTCAACGAATTCGACGGAGGTCGATACACCGACGTGTAGCCGTTTTGAAGAGATTCGTTTTTTATCGAAAATTCTCGCTAAACTACAGCTAATTCTCTATTGCCTTTTGTTTTCAGACTGAAACATCTGGCAGAAATCGTTTTTGAACAATGGTGAAAGAAGACCGTTCAACATGGAAAGCCAAATATACAATGCGTTTAGCGGTACAGACCAGTTTTCGTTAGAGAAGAAGTCTAAAGAAATGATTGCTCGCTGATGACGATCCCATTTATAATGTGTTCTGCAATTCTGAGTTTCTTCGGAAACATTGAGAATACTTTCTTTCTGAGAGCATCAATGATAAAACTGAATTTAAAGAAGAACTTCAAGAAACTAATATCTTTGTTCTTTTAGCAATATTTGGATGAATATCCGAAAGTATTTGTTGTTGGTGCTGATAATGTTGGCTCTCGTCAAATGCAGAAAATCCGTGTCTCTCTTCGCGGTCACGCTGGTAAGTGTTCTCGATCGAAAATTTCGCTATGAAATTACGATCATATTGAATGGTTTCTAGTGATTATGATGGGAAAGAATACCATGATGCGCAAGACCATTCGTGGACAAATATCGAAGAACAGCAATTTAGAAAAAATATTACCACATGTTTACGAAAATGTTGGTTTCGTCTTTACCAAAGAAGATCTAGGCTTAATTCGCGATAAACTTTTGGAAAATAAGGTTTAACATTTTCGATTGATCAAAGCATTTCGTCACTAGAAAGTATGTTTAGGTTGCTGCTCCAGCCCGCGCTGGTGCTATTGCACCTGTTGATGTCACTATCCCGGCTCAAGTAACAAACTTAGGTCCAGAAAAAACCAGTTTTTTTCAAGCTCTTCAAATTCCAACTAAAATCACACGTGGTACTATTGAAATCATTGTACGTAGGTAAATGCAAGACTATGAATTCCCTCGAATAACTTTCCTACTTTAGAATGATGTTCACTTAATCAAAATTGGTGAGAAAGTTGGTCCAAGTGAAGCAACATTACTTAACATGTTGAACATTTCACCATTTAGTTATGGTTTGATTATTCGTCAAGGTACAAACGATATCTCTTTTTGCATAACAATAGCATTCAGATGTTTGAATAGTCTATGACTCGGGCTCATGCTTCGAACCGACAATTCTCGATATCAAGCCAGCTGACTTACGTGCCAAATTCTCGCAAGGTATTCAACGTCTAGCAGCTTTTTCATTGGGCATCAATTATCCAAATCAAGCATCAGCACCACATCTCGTACTTGGTGGATTCAAACGTTTATTAGCATTAGCTGCTAATAGTGATGTCGAATTCGACCAAGCAAAAACCGTAAGTCATCAAAAATCCACATTCTTGCTTTTCGTTGTACAAAAAAAGCCCCGGATAGATGATAAATATTACTACCCAGTTCTGCTACTGATAAAAGCAACTGATGAATAATCGATCATATCCAACAGCATTCCGAAGTCCATTTTTCATTGTCATATCATTCAATTTTGCTTTCGTTTCTTCTAGTTAAAAGAATACTTAAAAGATCCATCGAAATTCGCTGCTGTCGCAGCACCAGCCAGTGCACCTGCTGCAGGAACTGCCGGCGGTAGCAAACCAGCCGCCGCTGCTCCTGCAGCCAAACCAGCCGAACCAGAATCGGATGATGAAGATATGGGTGGTCTCGATATATTTGGTTAAAACATACATATCAATTATTTTTTCCGAGTATGCATGGTCATTCGAATGTGCCAATATTATTGTCTTGTGCATTTTTTTTATTTGGCATAATAAGAACTGAAAATCTAACATCGCTAGCGATTAGAAAACAAATAAAAAGAACAGTCTGTGACGAAAGAATATTTGGCTAGTCAAAGTTCAATTGCTTGTATGTTATTATGAATCATCGATTCTCATCTACAGTCATTTTCTACATAAATATAATCATCATGTTTTCTGATGTGTTTGATTAACTTAATCACTGGTTCATCTCGAACAGCAAACTGTCTTTTCCATCACACTATTCTCCGCTGTGACATAGTCCATCTTCATTTTCTTTGGCAAGAGAAGAAGAAAAACACGATTTTGTCTCCGAAGTCAGCAGAGCACAACGTTTGCGTTCGCCGCTATTCACATGAGACTCAAATCGTTGATGATTGCTTTTCTGAACGATCAGATAATGAAAAAAACGAAGTTTCACAACGTGTGGATTTTGTCATCATATTTAATTGCCTTTCCGACTCTCGAGAAGATGTACAGATGATTGATTTAACTAAAAGATCATTGTTACGACGCAAAGTATGTTTAATTCTCATTTTCCTACTCTAACAAGGTTTCTTCTGTCTCTCCACCCGGAAGCAACAATGACCAAATGGCGTTTCACATTTTAGTTCTTCTTTTTTCTTGTCTATTTAAATTGCCTCAAGGATCAGAAGAACAAAAAAAGACAACTTGTCAAGTTTTCTTTCTCCCTTCACGATGTCGATCAGAAATAGTGATGATCACGTCTGCTCATATTCAACACCTGCTAACGAGAAGAACAAAACGCCCACGAATCATCGTTCGATTTCCACCCATAAGCGTTTATTTCTGCTACTCGAGCAAACGAATACGACGCAGACAGCACATTTCTCTGACAATCGACTAATAATATTTAACTATTGTTGTTTAGTGATTAATCGGCAAATGTATGAAGCGAATGAAATAAGTTTATAAATGAATTCTAGTCACAGTATTGATGTGAGATTAATAATCTTGTTACCTTTCGTGCTAGATTTGTAATACATAATAAAACAGCACTGCGTCGACCTCAATCAAGATTTTTTTTCCTTCTCCAGATGGTTGCTCACACTTTCAATCTTCACCGCCCTTCAATATGACACATCAACATATGGATGATCATTTATACAGAAAAGAAAGAAGGAAAGGACAAGAAAACAAAAAATAATACTAATAATCATGCACAAGTTAGATAGTCCCATTAATGACGAGCGGCCAGTTCTTGTATTAATGATCCAATCGGTCCGTATTTCCCTCCATTACTTGTTGAATGATTGCTTTCATTCAAACTACTGTTTAACTGTGGATCAACGAATTTGCCTTTCAACGATAGATTCCCTTGAACGTGTTCGGCACCGTGTTGAGTGTCGATATGTCGGCGAAGATCGACTTTTCGTTGAAACGCACGTAAACATTTATGACATTGAAATGGCTTGAATCCCGTATGTTTCCGGCTATGTGTAATCAAATTAGATGATTGCGAAAAAGCCTTTCCACAGACGATGCATTTATGAGGTTTTTCTCCTAAAATGAAAAGAATATTGTTGAATTTCCCTGGAACATTTGACATTTTCGGGTGAATATAATCAGACAAAAGAGAGATAACATTCAGGATCTGCTCAATCTCTCGAGAGCATGCAAGCAAGAAAAAAAAAAGAAAGCGACCGAGTGTGAAAATAATCCGTCATATCTTAGACGAGTTCTTTCCTTTTCTTTAAGTGTGCATAGTTAACAAGGTTCCTATCAATGTTTAAAATGGTCATCATCATCTTTTTCCTCGAGAGAGTCGATGACATCTGGTTAATTGTATCATGCATTTTCCGTCGTCATCGTTCTTTCTTGCAAATCGATATCGATATGTCAGCAGAGCTAATCTCACTGATTGTCATTGATTATTCCAAGCTTTTACCGAGATTGTAAAGATAATTACCTGTATGAATATATGTATGCTTTTTCATATCAGATTTTTGATGAAACCGTTTGCCACAATGTAAACACGAGTATGGTCGAGTATCGGAGTGAATTAACAAGTGTGTCGATAAGGTCGATGAACGCTTAAATGACTTTCCACAGATTTTACACTGAAAACATCGTTCTTGTGTGTGAGTGTTCCGATGTTGAGAGAGCGATAATGTGTGACTGAATGTTTTCGGACACAGATCACACGTGTAAGGTCGCGTTTCGGATGCATGCGTTCGACGAACATGCACTTCTAAGCCATGAGATGTGGAGAAATCCTTGTCACATTCGTTACATTTGTAAGCAGAACTGGATGAATCCATCATTGTTTCGCTGCTGTTATCATCTTCATTTTCATCTTCTTGTTCGTCTTTAATATTCTCCGATGATGTTGTCGAAGGCGGCGTAAGAATACCAGCATAGTATTGAATACCAAGTAGATACTTCAATCGTTCCGTAAGATCTTCACCAGATTGTTCGGAAAGAAAGTTTTTTCGTTGAAGCAACATCGTATCAGTAAACCAGGTTGGAAAGATTGAAGACATATTGTAACTTTAGAGAAATGATGCCATATATATATATATATACGTGTATATGAGAAAGAGAGAGAGAAGGAGATTGAGATAATTTTATCAGCTGGTAAAGCAGAGGATTGGTGAAATGTATCTTATTTGATGTTAGACAATTGCCGATACAACAGGTTAGAGCAAGTGAGAAAGAGAATTCAACTTCAAATGATCTTGATGAATGATCGTCATCTTGCAACCCAGCAAGAAAGTAATAGAAGAGACGATTTCATTGGTCGAGAATGAGTAGAGAGAAAGAGAAAAATTCTATAAGTGCGAAGAAGAGAACGAGAGAACGAATTCGTATTGGTCGGTGACGTTTTCTTTTCCATTCTATCGATAATTGAGATTATTCATCATTATTAAATGATTATGTTCATTCATTGAGCTTTCATCCCTCGTCGGTAGGATGAGCAGCTGCTTACTAAATTCAATCTTCTTCTCATTCGATTTCCAAATGGAAATAGATAGTTATTATTTTTCTATTCATTAACACAGAAAAATATCAATATTAGAACTTATGAATGGATATCTAGTCGTTAATAATGAAAATATGTTTTTTTTCTCTGTTGAGTGGATTGAAGGTAAGTTTGACATAAATCATTGAAAAGGTTTTCCGGAAAGAACTTTTAAGAAATTGATTTTTATTTATAAGTGTCCGGAAAAAGGGCGAAGGAGATGAACAGTAAGTCATATTTAGTTATTTTATTATGGATCAAAGATTGCTCAATTGAATAGTATGGGATTTATTAATGGAATTATTTTGGCATTTATTGGATAGGAGTTGGAAATCAAGTTCGTTTGTTGACGATGCGAGAAGAAAGCATAGTTTGAATTGAATGTCTCATAATGCATATTGAAAATTATATGAATATAATATGTGTCTGATAAAAAATGTATAGACAAGCAAATGGTGAAAGTCTGTTGCTCTCGACAGAGTAGCGGAAAGAAACGCTTTGCCGAATAACTCCCGGTGATATATTGCCTACTGCTCTGAGTACTTTAGTTTGTATATTTAGAATTAGAGAGATGTGATCTCGAGTTCCTATCGAACTTCTGTGTATGGTGCGTTATTGAAAGAGATCGATTTGTTTTTATTTTTGCAGGCCTAGGAGATTTGAGTAGTTTATTATCTCTTGATAAAATAACTTCATGTTTAATTATGTTTCGAGAAATAGAGCATATAATTAAAAGAAAAGAGATCAAGGCTAATCCGCATATATGATACGTAGTGTATTTGTGGTGCCATAACCTGGACGCTAAGGAGAGAAAAGAAGGCTGAAATGAAATGCAATGCAAGGAAAAGGTCGTACCCATCCTGTCACAACGATAACAGCATCACCTGTTGTGCAAAAACCACGATCTTTGGCAACTCGGATTGCATCGATAACACGTGCATCAACATCAAGTAACCAATCGCTCATGGCCAGAGCTTGTGTAGTTGATATGTTATGTTGTTTAAATGCAACCTTTTCTCCTTGATCAGGATCTAAAATAATCCAAGTAGTTTTATTTGCCAATTGAAAAACAAGATATTACCATTCTGGTCTTGATCTGGAAAAAAGAAAACAGTTTATGATTCATAATAAAGTAAAAATAGTTGAACAAACTAACCGTTGTTTTGGTTGTCTTCCGTTGTATTTTTCTCTGATGAAATTAAAAGAGAAAGGTCATTGAAACGGGAATGATTATATCACTTACTGCGTGGAACTAAAAGAATACACTCAATATGAGGTTTCTAGCAATCAAATAAATTCATTTACCTTCAACGTAGACAGGACAACAGCCACGATAAATGTGTAACAATCTAGCCGTTTTCAATGATCGAGTAACTGCCATGATAACAGCTCGTGGACGATACTGAGCAATGAGACGGGCAGATCTATCCCAAAGGAAATGGAAAACATTCGTAAGCAAAATCGTCGAAGTTCTTACTCTCCGGAATGAGTTAAAACGACGATAATCGAGGCAAAACTACGAAAGGCAGCTTCAACTGCAGCTATAGCTGCTGATTGTATTTGATCCTGAACAAAAAGTCATTTTATCATAAAAGCCGAATCAATACCTTTGCTCTTATTTACCAATGGTGGTTTAGTAAAATAACGGAGATTCTCAAACAACTCTCGATGAAACAAGCACGCTTCAGCTTCTCGAGCGATCTAAAATAATTACATAACGATTTGTTAAGCATAACTGGCAGCCTTCAAAACAAACTTCATGCATTAATTGAATGCATTGAACAGGATATTTTCCTTTTGCCGATTCGCCAGATAACATAATGCAATCAGCATTGTCCAAAACAGCATTGGCAACATCACTAACTTCGGCACGAGTTGGACGAGGATTTTTAATCATACTCTCTAACATCTAATTCAAACATCGATGGATTTCGGCGACTTTTGAAAGGATATATTTACTTGCGTGGCACAAATCACAGGTTTGCCAGCTTGGTTACATTTAGCAATCATCATCTTTTGTGCCACGAAAACTTTCTGAGCTGGAATTTCAATACCCATATCACCGCGTGCCACCATAATACCATCAGCTTCTTGCAAAATATCGTCGAAACTGATCGAAATCAAATTGGTTTAGTTTTTTCATCGGAAATAAAAGCGTTCTGTTCAAATTACTTTTTGATGCCTTGATGGTTTTCAATTTTGGCGATAATTTTCATCCGTTGTCCTTTTTCACCAAGTAAACTTCGAATAGCACGAATACCTTCAGCATCACGAATAAAACTTGCAAAAATCATATCAAGCTAACAGAGATAAAACAGATAAACAAATATTCAATTGCTCGTCCTTACTTCATTGTCGACAGCAAATTTCAGATCACCTTTATCCTTGTCTGACACAGCTGGCAAATCGATGGGTACACCAGGTAAATTGACACCTTTCCTACTTCCCAATAAACCTCCGTTCTCCACTTCACAATTAAGGTAAGTTTCACCTGAAATACCGAAAATACGAGCAATGATAGCAATACAATTTGCCATACAAACCGATATCTTTGACTAACAAGGAAATCAATCCATCGTCGATATAAATTCGATTGTCTTTTTGAATAACTTTAACTATATTTTTATAATCAACATATAGATTATCCTTGGTAGACTTATTCGCATAGGTTTCGTCTGTAGTTAAACGGACTGCCATACCGCATTGCAAGTCAAGTTCACTGTTAACTCCCTAGAAGGCAATTCTTTCACGTAATTGTTTGTAAAATCTGTTTTGTCTTACGTCAGCAAGTATACCAGTACGAATTTCTGGACCTTTTGTATCCAAGGCGATCGCAATCGTTCGGAATGTTCCACTTTCTTTAGTTAGCTCTTCCGCTTGTCTGACATTGTCAATGCTTTGCTTGTGGTACTAAACAAACGCAAGAAAACGCTATTTTCAATACGAGAATGTCTAATATGTACTTCATAGGAACCATGAGAAAAGTTCAATCGAGCAATATTCATTCCAGCTTTGATCATTTTCTGGAGCATCTCCACACTTTGTGATGCAGGTCCTAGAAATAAATGTTCGAATAAATTTCGCGCATTATTCCCATGAGATTTTAACATACCTAAGGTACATATTATACTTGTGTGACGAGTATTCAACCTAATTAAATAGAAAATAAAAATCAACGAAAAACAACGTTATGTTTTTCGTTGCTTTACGGCTCAGAATCGACGTCGAGAAGTGTACGTTGCTCAAGTGCATTCACAGCAGTTGCAGCAAATTGTTGATGTTGATACAATCGATTTCGGGGATCCTTTTTGATTTCATCCTTGATTTTATCTCGAATATCCATCTAAATACAATAAATACGAATGATTCTTCTGCCGTGCATGATTCATAGTGAACTATAGGAATGTTCTATAACAAACCAATCGTGCAACGCAAAATATAAGAGAACATGACGTGTGTATAACGGTATATACAGAGTTACACCCTCCAAGGCTGTACTGCATAAACATTAACAAATTTTTATTACCTCTTCTTCGTAAGAGAAACTAACGGTTTTTTACGACTGTTCTATCACTCTCGTTAATATTTGTCAATAGTAGAAAAACATTAGGACCTCGAGCTTGTTTTTTCAAAAATATGTGACTATCTTTTTGCTTATCACATTTATCATTGACGAAAACATTGACATACAAGTTGATAAGTCTCCGACCACAATTAAATCTCGAGAATAAGAACATCATTTGAAGATAAGAATGAAATGCATACTAACCTTTATAGCCTTTTGCCAATCGTGAAAGCTAACGTTCCTAGTTAATGTGCTTTGATTTGTCGAATTGCCACTCATTGTATCGAAAAAGGAGTCAATTTTCAAACCAATCTAGAGTGTGTCGCATAGAAAGAAAAACGTTGAAATGAGATAAGTAACATTCGTTTCTTTTTCTCTCCCAAACTGAGAACATGATGCAAACACGCAGCTAACCATGTCAGCACATGTACGCGTACGTGCACTATGATTTCTCTTGAAAAGCACAAGAAAAAACACCAACGAAGGTAAAAAGAAAAAAATGACAGTAAAAGTGATGTTATGTATGCGGGTAATTAAAACAATAGGGGTTTAGGGAGTATATGTAAATACATAGGTGCGCTTTCAAAGATCACTTCGTGATTGTATCATCAACCCAGTGCAAATGAAATTATCTTGACTGGCTGTAATTTTTCTTTCAGTTGAAAACGGCCAAAATGAAGAGAAAAAAAAACAGCTGTGACGACTCACAATAGTCGATGGCATATGGTAATGAAATATGCTGGACAAAAAACTATATATATATATGCCGAGTAAATGACTTAAGTAATCAAAACATGCTGATCCCTTTATTATTAGAAAACGCACGCGTTGTTTCAAATCAAAAGTGACAAAGAAAAAAATCCATTTTATCTTGATTTACACGAAAAGACAGAATGATCATATAAAAGTTAAGTCCTATGGAAATCATTGAACTCGTTGTAGCATCCCATTCTGAATCGTTTGTAACTGATTAGTAACCTTTGTCATAGCTTGATAACGATGTAAACCTTGAATATTTTCTTGCTGATCAAGTTCAAGTACTTCTTTAACCTGATCTATTTTACCTTGAATTGTTTGATCAAGAATACAAGATATCAAGAGATTTTCAACTTCGCTTATCTCAATATTTAATTCATGAGCGATAAATTTCATATGGATTTTCGTATATGGTTTTATTAAGCGAACCAAAACTTTTGTTCGTAATGTTCGTAGGAGAATCTCGATATGTTCGCGAACAAATTGATCGTCCATAATCGATTGCCGATTCTTGTGTAGAATCAATTCAACTTCTTTAATATTATTATTCTGATACGCACTAACAAGCGATGTCATCGCTTGGATTTCCCGATTATCTTTGTATGGTTTAGTTTCTTGAGAATCAAATGGATTGATAGTTGAGCGCATCAGCATATTAGCGAGAACCAGGTATTTCAAACATGTGATACGACGTGGTGAACCAGGTTCGTCATAGTTTTTAAATGCTTCGAAAAAGTCTGTATGTGCCTTTTCATATTCTTGTTCACGCAAGTGCATCTTTCCACCACATTCGCGTATAATACCTGAGAATAGATAATTCTCTGCTGTAAGCAATAGAAATTTACAAGTTCAACAAACCCATGATCAATGGATGGGGTATGGCTGATTTGATCTGTAGAGAAGCTTCATACAACTGCTTTAATTTTTTGTTATTTTTTTGTGCTGTGTGCATTTGAATTTCGAGCGCATAGATTTCTAATAATTGTGTACCACGATGTTGATTATCGACGCCTAAAATTGGTATAGAATTACATGATTTTTTTGCTAGAGGAAGGAACAGGATGATTAACCTTCTGGTGAATCACACGATGCATACAAGTCTTTGATAACCTTTTGCAATTTAACATCATTGCGTTGTTCTTCATATAGTTTGCCTAATTTAAGATGAACTTTGAATGCTAAGCGATGGTTTTTGGCTTCTTGTAGTGCATTTAATGTCATCGTAATGACCTCTTCTATCAAATCCATCTTCCCCGTTGTCGAAATTTGATCAATAATAGAATTAATCGTTTTCTCACTTTCATTTCGGGTCACAACTGACTTGATATAGGTCAATCTGGACATAAAGAGACATTTTTTTCAAGATCAACATCATTAGTAGGTAAGTTTGACTTACAATTGTTGAAAATATCTTAACATTTCCTTATGATTTCCTTTTTTTAGATAGATTTTCACGATATATTCTAGTGATTTAAATCCCCAATCGCCTTTCGCACCGTCTTTCTCTTCCAGCGTAAGAACATTTTTGAAACTATCGAGAGCAGCGTCTGGGTCATCTTCCATTAATGCTTCGGAAAAATAGAACTGATTTTCGAGATCATTATCTGGCTCGACTTCTTCATTATCGTAGTCATTATCGAAATCATTATCCATCATATCTTCATCGTCGGACATTTTCGAAAAATTGCGATTTTACAATCTAGAATTGTGAAAATATGATTCAAAATGTCTGGATCGTAGGCTGGCTGTTTACGAAAGAAAAAACGCATTCGTTCGTTGATGAGTATAAATTATACTCGATACAAGAAGAAAAATATCGAATTAGCGCACATGGTAGTGATATTCATCAGACTCTTTCCTCCTGTTTCATATAAGGAAATAAATAAGCATTAGGTACAACTGAAACATCAACGAATTTCATAATCAAGAGAAATTATATTTACTCATGCAAATGAAAGTATTCTATTGAGTAGAATTTCAACGAATCAAATGTGTTTGACGACTCAATATGCAAAAACAATATATGAGATCTGCGGAAGACAAGCAATTTATCATTATAGATTATTAATTGATATAAATAAATATTGAATAGGATATGAATTGAAGGCATATACGACCCGAATCGGAAAATACCATTTTGATCTATATTGTTTGCTTGGAAAATTCCTCCATAGTTATCTTAAATCAGATGTGGTTTCAAGCATCGGAATGTGTTGCATGCAAACTGAAGATTCAACCTAGATTGCTGCAATCGCCGTATCACTTAAGAGAAAATCTCTGTAATATTACATCAAGTACGATGAAGATAAAATCGATTTATATCAAACAATATGTTGTAAAAAGTTCTTCGTTCTGTGCTATCTGAATCATATTTGGACTTTATTTCTCTATCTGACTAATTCTATCGGTATTTTTGTTCACCGAGACAAAGTAGGGAACATGCGTATTGAAGAAACAACACACAAAGTTAAGTAAGTTCATCAAAAAAGGTTGAGAACAAAAATTGAGCAATACAATTAAAGAACATAATGACTTTCTTCATAAACATACATATAAAAGAATAAGGATGGTTAAATAGAAGCATTTAATTACATGGAAAAAGAGATCTGATGAGTCATGCAAGAATGAGAGATTTAGGAATTGATTGACAATCAGTATTTCAACGACGTGTATTGGAAAGTGCTAAAGCGGAAAATACACTAGTCGACGGTTCTTTGCTTACAGTTGATGTTGTTGTCGTCGTCGTCATTGTAGTTGTGGATTGTTTGAATCGTTTAATATTTGTCTTTGGAGACTTATCTGTTGAATTCGATCGCTAGAAATCATATCGATTTTCTAAATAGTTGTGTTAAAAAAGGATTCATTAGTTTACTTTTTCACCGGATGATGTGCTCGGTTGAATTGGATTTTGATTTTCGTTCGTACTAGCTGTTGATGTTACATTCGTTGCAAAAACATGTCGTCGAGGATTATGTTGTTTCTTAGTTGTCATTGTTGTTTCGTTTGTATTTGTCGAATTTGGTGCTGCAACATTACTTCGATTGTTTGGTACTAAAAGTGCCGAACTGAATCGTTTGGCTAGTAGAACAGAACTAAGTGTAACAGAGCGAGTTTGATTGGTTTTCTTTGTTGTGGAACTGGTCGTTGCTATTTGTGTAGTCGATTCAACATGTGATGATGTTGTCGTACCTGAAATGACATATTCAATTCGTATTTGTTCGAGTTCTCTCTATTCAACCGAGAATTTGTTACTTACTTTGAATTCTCTTCTGTTTTAAAACTAGACCTTTCTTAAACATTAAACTATTTTGGCCAATACTATCTAAATCTTCGTCTAGATGCAGTTCTTCAGCCTAGAGAAAAGGGAATCTATGTTTGTATTGAAAAGATTTCGAGATTTTACTTGAGTGTCTTGAATAGAACGCTGTCGTTCAAGTTCACTCATTCGATCTTTCAAATTTGTTGGGTCTTCTTCTTCATCTTCGTCGTCATCGTCTTCCTCTTCTGCCATTTCGCTGTTATAATCAGGATCATCTTCTTCTTCGTTATCATCGTCTCTTGGATCTACGAAAAGATCAAAAACAAACAGGTTTTTTTCTGTTAGCTTATCGATTGTCTTGTTACTTTTCGAAAGTTTTATTCGTCGCCCATCATCTTCACCATCAAAATCAAGATATTGTTCTTTGAGCAACTTCAATTGATGTTCGTCCTCTTTCGCTTTGATTTTCCTAAGGCGCAGTAGCAACAAAGTAAAAATACTTTTCATTGTGAAAGTTAATTTACTCACAGATGAACTTTAGCCATGCTATCAGCTTCATCTTCGTCGATTTCAACAGCTGCTGTATCAATAAATTTCCGTAATTCTTCATCGCCTTCATCATCATCGTCGCTATCACTTTCATCGTCATTATCTTTATCTTTTTCATCGATATCACTTCCTGATTCTTCAGCTTCCATTTCAAATAGTTGTTTCTTATAGTCAATCAACTCTTCATTTTCTTGTTCGTCTTGTTCTTCATTCTCATCTTCACTATTCTCAATGTCATTACTACTACTTCCAGTTGATTGTTTCTTTGAACCACTGTCTTCGTCATCATCGTCGATTAACTGACGAACTTTGGGACGTGGCGCTACGATATCTTCATCTTGTTCAATGTCTTTATTTTGTGTTGGTGGTAATGGAGAGAAAGCCATTGGTTCAGGCCGCGTGAAATTTTGTGATACAGGGATTCTTAAATGAATTTAAAAGATGTATTTGATAGGTACGTGTACTAAGAAAGAGATGCTTACATGTCGTCTCCACCAAATGCACCAGAACAAAGCATTTCAAGTTCAGAATCAAATTGAGCCGGGCGTGCAGAATTAAACCATTCAGTCTGACCGTTTTGTTCTCTAAGTAAACGATGATTTCATATTCTACTTCGTCACACAAATAAATTCTGTCTGTATGTTGTCTCTCGACTTACACTGGTTGTGGTTGTATTGGTTCGCTAGATGATTCCAAACGCGTGAGTATTGTCTACGCATATAGAAACTACATGGAAAAGATATTGATTTGAACACTAGATTTACCTTCAGCGAAGGTCGATTAGGGTTCGACGTTGACTGTGTATTTTCCTTTTCCTCCTCCTCCTGCTCTTCTTCTTCTTCTTCCGCATCATTCTCTTCTTCATCAGCTAAATAAAAACTGGAAGTTTTGTTTTTCATATCAACTATCACTCACTGATTGATTGTCTCGTCTCTTCATCCACTGGAAAATCATCCTAAAACAAAAAAGGAACAGTTTCGCTTATTCTTCAGAACTCTACTATCCATAATTACGTTTTCTTTATCAATAGTTGATATAACTTCTGAATTTGCATCATTACTTTCATTGGTAGTATCCATTGAATCATCATCAACTTCATTTATTTCGTCTTCCTCCTCTTCTTCTTCGTCGTCATCTTTGATATTGATAACGTTTTCAGCTAACATAGCTGCTCGTTTTGCTTGCATTCGAATGCCAAGTTGTTTCTGCATTTCGAATAATTTCTTACTCGATGATGGAGATTTAGCAGCATCTATATAAACAAAATCAATTCAATTCACTATGCTCTCCAAACGCACGCATACCAAAGGCGACGTTAAAAGTCGACTTTATAGAAGGGCTAAAAAGGAATCGATAAAAATTCTTTTCAAACCATCCAGTTGTAGATACATACTGGTTCGGTGCTTTGCTCGTATCGGTTAAATCAATCATTGTAACTGATTCTTTGGCGACAGTTGACATAGTCGGTTTCTTTTTTAAAATATCAGGATTGAGAAATCGACTTAGTTTATTGAGCGTATTCGATACTGGTTTCGGTTTATCGTCAATTAATTTTGTTAAATCAGCTAAAGTCGAAGCAGCGGTAGGTTCCGCATCAACGACAGGTAATTCCGGTAATTCTGGATCTTGTGGTGTAAACGAAGGATTTCTACGAGAAACGATGTAGAAGGTTAATTGTCAGATCGAAGTCTCTCACTTTGCACGAATTTCATTCATAAGTTCTTGTCGAGATCGCTTTTCCAATGCATGCCATGTTTCCAATGGTTTTGGTACGAAAGTCGGTAATACCAAGTGTTCAGCTAAAAGAAGAGAGATAAAAATTTGTTCTTGACTCGTTGTCGCCTAGACGACACAGAACAGTTTAATCTAGATGAAATTAATTGGTGACTATGCTCAAACAATCTCTAATGGAATTATGATGGAGTATATGCCAACAATAACTTCCACTTCAACTGTGAGCCTAATCTCATCTTACATCGACTGAGTTGTTGCATTTTTCGTTCTGTCTCCAAAACTGCTGCTTTCGTTGGTTTTCGTATTTTTGACTAAAATAAGAAAAACACACCCAACCTCGTATTCATATTGTCATTTTGGGTCTTACTTTCTCGGTTGACTTCTTTCTATTTGGTTGAATGTGGTCCTCATCATCGTCACCATCTATGTCAAATTGAAGAGTTTGGATATTCGTTCACTTCATATATCTTTTACCATAAACTTTTGCGTTTGACTTGCGACTATGGTTACTTTCGTCTTGATCGTAGACATCGGTTGAATCTAGAAGAACCCTCGATTTTGGTACGCCGAGACTTTTTCTCTTTTTCATTGGTTTAATATTTTCAATGTCGATAGATTTGGAAATGATATCGAATGGATTTTGTTCATTTTCAACTTCATCGTTTTGTGCGTGTTCCGGCAACGATGACGATGACGAGAGAGTTGAAATGTCCAAAAAGGAATGTCGAGCACGTTGCTTCAATTTGGTTGACGATGGAACCTTTGTACCGTCGATTATACCTTCATCATCATCTTCGCTGCTCTCAATAGACGCTGATATTAACTTGTTTTGAAATGTATTGATCAGACGACGTTCAATGTCAAAATCATCACGTTCATCGTCGCTATCAAAATATATGTGTGTTGGCATTTCTAAATGGAAAACACGATCAAATAAGATCAAAATTCATGTCCATAACTGTATATCAAGTAGAAACATATCGCAGGTGATGATTACGTTGAAATGAAACTTTTCTCTTAATCTTGTAAGTTATAGAACAAAACTTACGCTTGAGACAATTCAACACATCAAAATTTACAATTTGAACAAGTCTCTTTTTTTTCTATAGGTTGATCAAATCGACCAATGAAATTCTCTCATTTGCTCCACCAACCATCAATCTCAATTGCTCGTTCGATACAAATAAACAACAACAACAATAATAATAATAATAATAATTCTAATGATAATAACAACACCTCGAATCTGATCAGAGCAAATCATATAACAGTTTTGAAGAATTTGGAAAAAATAATTCCAAAGGAGAAAATCTTGTTTTTCTCTTTGTCTCTTTCTTTATTGTTTTCAATCATCAGCAAGTGCATAGATGTCTAGTGAGCTATTTTGGGCACATTTGCTAATCTTAGCTTGTCATAAATTTTCGTCTTTCCGACATTCTATGCGGTTGTGTATATAACATCAGTGTTGAATCGTCGTTCTCGAACTGTTTTTCATTGATTTCTTCTTGATTAATTCTTTTAGATTATCTCGAAAAGCACGTTTTTTCTTTTGTTAGTTGATAAAAAACAAAATCAAAAAACATTTGTTAACGACGCGCATCTCTGCGTGCATGCATGGCTCCAGATGACGAATTGTTCATTAGAATATGTTGATCAATTAAACAAGAAAATCAAAATGCCAAAGCTTTGGAGTTGTATTGCACCGAAAAATGATGACGAGAAAAAACGTGAACAAATCAATAAGCAGATCAATGCCAAATTAAAGCAAGATGAGAAAATTTATAAAGCTACTTATCGATTACTTCTCTTGGGTACGATGACTTTTTTTCGTGTAACGATGCACATTTTTCGTTTTTCTTAAGGCGCTGGTGAATCCGGAAAATCTACTGTTGTTAAACAAATGAAGATTTTGCATAATCCTTTCACTCCAGAGTACGATAAACAATCTTGTTGTGTGTCCTAAATCTTCCATTTTCAATTGTGTTTTCTTTTTCAGAGAAAAAAGCGATAAAATTCCTGATATTAAACGTAATATTCGTGATTCACTAACCGTACGTATTCGTCTTTTCGATCAGTTCAAGTCGATAACTCTTTCCATCTAGAGTATTATACGCGCGATGGATAAAATAACTCCGCCCGTTACTCTTGATCATCCAGAAAATCAATGGCGTGCAACGTATATCCTCACAACTGCACATCAACTAGACTTTGAGTATCCACCCGAATTTTATGAACATGCCGCGATACTTTGGAGTGATGCAGGCATTCAAGCCTGCTTTGAGCGATCGAATGAATATCAACTTATCGATTGTGCTAAATAGTATGTCGATTTTGAAGTAACAAACGAATTCGATTTGGTTTTTTTTCTTTCTCTACAGCTTTCTTGATCGTGTTCATGAAGTTAAACAACCAAATTACTCTCCCAGTGATCAAGTAAGCATTTCATTCCCTCGATACATTCCTATTGGAACATATCATAGTCATTAATAAGTTCAGATGAGAGTCATTTCATTATCTTGAATAGACATAACTTGCTGCATATTTTATTACATTTTATGTAAAGTTTGTGTTTCTCATGTTACTTCAGTTTGACATGAGTAGGTTTTATGACTTCGCATATGATTCGTCGATTTGTTTCTGTATTCCGAATAGTTCTGATGTGCATGGTTATCATTCGTTAGAGAAATTTCGAACAAAATCGTTCTAATTCTGTTCCGATATCAGATTAAAATATGATTTAACTTTATTTTCTTTCTTTAGGACATTCTTCGCTGCCGTGTGCTCACGTCGGGCATTTACGAAACTATCTTTACCGTTGAACGCGTGCGCTTCCAGTATGTGTTTTTGTCATCGTAGGGTGTACATGCGTACAGACATTGATCTATTTATAGTATGTTCGATGTGGGCGGACAACGTGAAGAACGACGAAAATGGATACAATGTTTCAATGATGTCACCGCAATTATTTTTGTCACTGCGTGTGATAGTTTTAATATGATGCTTGTCGAAGATGAAGGAGAAAATCGACTCAGAGAATCACTTGATTTGTTCAAAAACATTTGGAATAATCGGTATGATAAAATGAGTGAATGAATGAATAAATATATTCGCATTTGGTTCTTTTTTCATTAGATGGCTACGGACCATATCAGTTATATTATTTCTCAATAAGCAAGATCTATTAGCTGAAAAAATCAAAAGTGGTCGACGACTAGAAGATTATTTTCCTGAATTTGCTCGATACGTTGTTTCTCAAGGCGAACAAGGTAATTTCTCAGGCATGAAATCTGCCAAAATTATCTCTTTTATTTTTCGCAGAACTTTCTGTACAAAAATACAGTAAGGATCCTATGAATAGCTAAATAGATGATATCTGTTGTTTTGGTTTTATATCCCCTAGGATTACATTTCGAATTTATTGTTGTTGTTTTTGGAAATTGGGAGACACTCATCTGAATTTTTTCGTTCTATTTAGATAAAGCCGAGCCGGATGAAGATTCCGAAGTAACACGAGCGAAATATTTTATCCGCGATGAATTTTTAGTAAGTTATCGCCTTGATTTCTTATTGTACAAAGTATTCATCTTGTATCTGCTTTTTTTCTAGCGAGTCAGCACAGCTACCGGTGAAAATCGTCATTATTGTTACCCGCATTTTACTTGTGCGGTCGATACTGAAAATATTCGTCGAGTATTCAATGATTGTCGCGACATTATTCAACGTATGCACTTGAGACAGTACGAATTACTGTGATTCCTGTCTCTCGCACTTCTTTTTCTCTCCTACTCTCATCTCGTAAATGTGTGTGTGTGTGTGTGCTTGTATTTTGAGATGTCTCTTTCTCTCTCACTCTCTCTCTCTCATTTTTTTCTCGTTTTTATCTTCTTTTCTCTCTTCTTTTTCTGCGGATTTCGCAAGAGTTCTTGTCTTCATATATATATTTATTTTATTAGCAAAAGTAAGCTTGGTGTTTCTTGAAAACTTTTTGTTCCGTTTTTCCCAAACGCGCGCGCCGCTCAATTTCGAATATCCTAATTCACATGTCCTCATCATCCTTGTCGAAGAACGAACAAACAAAACACATAAGACGCGCACGTCGAAACTGTTTGGTGCTGTCTATATATTTCTGCTGTTGTTCTTGTCGTTCATGTTCGTCTTCACATAAATCTCGTTGTTGTTGTCGTCATCATTGTCTTGAGCTCAACAAATTTCGTTCCTGTCCTTCCTATTTCGTACCTGTAACAATCTTGCTGCTCGTCGTGTACAGTCTGTCTGTAGGTTAGTCGTGCTTATATCTCTCGGGCGTGTGTGTGCCAACAGTGACCATCAATATCGGAAAATTCCTTTTATTCTGTCCCCTCCTCTCTTTCTCTCGTTTTCTTTTGTCTTCTGCTAATATCTTGAATAATTACAAAGAGAAAAAGAAACCAACAACCATACAATTTGAATCTCGGCCTCTGTGCCTTTTTCTGTTCTTCTTTTTTTCTCATCTTAGCAGCAATAGTCATCGGTTGTTTTGTGATCGATCATCGACTATCATGAAACCGAACTAACCAAAAATTTCTATTTTTCTCTTATTCCTATCTCTTGCGATTTTTTGTATTCTGAGAAGAAAATCATTCTAAACAAAAAAAAGAAAATAACGAAATCTGCACGTCATCAAGTACTTTGTCTAATTTGAATATTTTTTTTTTCGTCTTTTTTTCTGTTCTTCTTTTTAATACACGTATATACACATATGTCCTTTTTTCGCTCTTTTTCTGCTCGCTCGCTCGTTCTCGTTTTTCTTTCTTTCGCTCTTCATTTCTCAAAAACAAATGTGTTTGTATCTTTTTTCTTTCTCTCTCTTTCTCTGTGTCTGTGTGTGCGTGTCTCTTCTAACTCCTTGAATGAAGTTTTCTTACACACACAAATAAAACAAGTACAAAAAGACGAGCAAGAATCATTGTTCAGCTGCAAGTATTTCATTCAATTGGAAAGTACAGTTCGTCTGGTACAGGTAGTCCTTTTCCGACTGATAGAGATGAGGATGAGAAGATGGTCTTCACACTCATTATTGTGAGTAGAAAATCGAGTCGGAAAAAATCTAGAAGAAAGTATGAAAGCACGCCATTCTTCAGATTCCTATCGTCTTACTAATTGACCGGTAGATTCATACAGACAGAGCTCGATGCGGTTATAATTTAAATAGAATCATTCAACAGAAAACCGACTTTTCCACGCTGCAAATACGACTTATGATAAACTTAGGCGATAGGTTATGGGAACTATTCGTCAAATCGATTCTCATATGGCATTTTTCTTAATGTGCATCGTTAGACCAAATAGAAAAACTACTCTTATCGTGTCTTCCTAATAACATCTCAATCCAGCGTTGCTAACCTCAATTGTATATGTTTACATATAGCTCAGTTTGTGTTTCTACTTGTTATGTAGACGATAATGTAGATATCAATTACAAGAAAATAAGAATTTCACATATCCTAACATTATAGGATGTATATGAGCTTATCGTTTTGCTTGAAGATATGTGTGACTTTGGGCACAAGCAAAAAAAGTCAAATTCCTCCTCTGGTTCACACCTATTCGTACTTTCATCCAACCTTGATGTAATGTAATTGACCTACTTACTCATTTTTCAGCCTTAACGATTTAAACATTGTTATTGAAAAAGAGCGATGCTATCCAGTCTTATGAACGTAATTTACAACTGTATCTATCAATCATTGAGTACTTCATTATTAGCTCATTCGAACCTGATGTACTTGAGAAGGGTGTTTTTATTTAGTAGATATATCATTAATCAATACGAACTTATTTTCTTATTAAATCGAAGCAGAGTTTCGAAAAATTGTCATTGCAATTATCGCGATATATCATCAGTACACGTCAGCGAAGATGTCTTTGATCATTCGTATGGGAAAGACGACATCTATCGATGAGCATCTTCAGTGGTTTATGAAAAAATAAATTATGGATTTAACCATTCTAGCGAGCATGTCGAAGACAAAAGTCGCTCACCGAAATTTATGCTTACGTGTCTGTTTGACTCATTTAGAAGATGTATTTTAATTTCAAGAATTACCAATATTTGAATATCTCATTTCGTCACTAATCAATTCAATCAACCACATTTCTATCAACCATGCCAATCCAATTGTCAGATTTTCAAAGTAAAATAAACAAATGATTGTCAGATAGTCGATAATTGTTTCGAAACAATTTTCTAGAAATCGGACTGGGCCTGTCCATCTTTGGTGTGGGCTTCATTTTCCTAGGAATGATCATGCTCTTCGACAAAGGTCTACTTGCGGTCGGAAATGTAAGTCGTGACGAAAATTTGATAGAGAAATCATTTGCGTTTTCTCCCAAAGATCTTATTTCTGGCTGGTTTAAGTATGATCATTGGTTTCGAACGTACTTTTCGATTTTTCTTTCAACGTTATAAAGTTAAAGCAACTGCACTTTTCTTCGGCGGTATCGCTATTGTTCTACTCGGATGGCCATTAATTGGAATGATCGTTGAAGTTTACGGGTTTTTTCTTCTCTTTGGGTAAATAAACTTCTGAAGACATATTTTCTAATCTAGTCATATTGCTTTCTTTCAGTGGTTTCATTCCTATTGCTATTAATTTCCTTCGAAGGCTACCAATTATTGGTTCGCTTCTACTACTACCTGGCATACGACAGGTTCGTAGAAAACTCTTTAACCGATGGAATTATGCATTACTCTACTGTATGTTACCTTTAGGTTGTTGACCGACTGTGTGAGACTAGATCAATGGTATAATGATATGTTTTTGTTTGGTTGTTAGTTCAAATGTATCTGAACAATTCTTCGTATATCTTGTTAAACAGGCGTGTTCATTCTTTCATGCTTTTTTTTTTCTTCTTTGGTCTGTATTTGAAATTATTAAAGAAAACAAGAGACGGTCAAACTCAGCAGCTGTTCACTTTCTACAATAATTTCTATTCAATATAGTTATGACAAGTGATTCAGTTTATTTGTTTTTTAGATGATGAATTCGTAACAGTGTTTTTAATCTTAATGAATATTCCACTTGGAAAATCATGGTTTTTCAATATGGTTTACAACCAATACTAAGACATAGTAATAATGAATTGATTTTTCGGAATAGTAATCTACTTCTTTTCTACGCGAGCATTCGATCGAGAAATACGATATGATAAAAGATAGAAATAATAACAACTCTAGTCGGAGAGAAAATACTATGACAGTTTAGTGTGATGTTGTGAAAAATTTTATTGTTAATTGTTCATTTTTACTATAGCTCGTCAATCATTCAGACGTACTTGTATAGTATTAACGTACACCGTACAGCACAATATACTGCGCACTCTATCTTCAACGTAAGTACCGTTTTTCATAACAAACAAAATGTACTCTCGTGTTTTAGCACTTTTAATGTTTATCAAAATGATCTATTATTTCAACAAAATCCTTTCAATCTATGTAAACGCTCACAATCCAACTCAACTTTCCCGCATGAGCCGCCACCGACTTCCAATGAGGATTCTCCTCCTGACTTAAATGTATCTAGCATTAAGGCAGTTTCTCCGTTATTGAAAGGTTTGAATAGTATATATAACAAACTTCCATGATCATACCTCCATTTCAGTTCGAACACGTAAAACAATAGTTAATGATGTGGACGCGAGTTATACAGAAAATAAGCTCATCACGGCTGTTCGAGCAATGCATGAATATCTACTTGAACCATCGTAAGTATTTCTCAAGCGAACAAAGTAGGTCTCTATTCATACACATTGTTCGATTTTCTAGTGATTTGGAACCATTGAAGCAATATAAGACACGCTCTCCATATTCGGATGTTGCCGATTCATCCAAAATGCTAACAGTTTATCGTCGGGGTGATGTTGAGAAACGGTAAGATCGATTTGATGAGTTTAGTTGATACTAATGAAAACTTTTGTTGCTATTCAAGCGCTTATGAAGTTTGGGGTAGTCCGGAAATGTTAACGAAGGAAAAAGCCAAACGTGCAAAAACGCGTCAAGATGACTATGAAGGTATGAACAAGTAGCATAAACCTTTATTTTCCAGATTTCATTCTTTTTCCTCTCTGCTTCTAGCTTTATTTAGTCTGAAAAAATCAGTTAAAGAATATCAAAAACGTCTGTCATTGTTGGAAAACGCGTCATTTGATAATCGAAAATCGGTAAATATATCATCGCGTCATTGGTTGTTTGTAAATTTGTTGCATTTAGGTGAAAAAGAATATTCTCGCTAGTGGTAGTGGGAAGGTCGTCATTGCTGCAGTACTCATGTAAAAAGTGGTTTTCTCATGTAACAAATGAAAGTTTTCTCTCATTCAGTAATGCAACAAATGCCGTGGTAAAGACGATCGGCTGGTTATTCACAGGATCAGCTTCACTGTTTTCTGAAGCTGTGCATTCTATTGCTGATACATGCAACCAATTGATACTAACATTTGGTTTGTGGCAATCAATTAAAAAGCCCAATCCGGAACATCCGTAAATAGAACAAAGTTTATCACTCAAGTCAGAATCTTTTTTTCCTCAGTTATGGCTATTCAAATATGACTTACATCTCGTCATTGATCAGCGGTGTCGGAATCTTTTGTTTCGGAACAGGTCTAGCATGGTATCATGGCGTATTAGTATTGTTACACCCACAAGAGATGGAGTCAGCTCTTTGGGTACAAAATGCTAAAGAAATGCGCTTAGTTTTGCTTATAGCGATGATCTGTTTTTGTAGGGTTTGGCACTTTTGAGTGGTTCGCTGATTTCGGAAGGAGGTTTGTTAGAATTATCATAGTAAAAATTCGACATTGTTCTTGTTTAGCAACTCTCTACATGGCTGTTAATGAGATTCGAGCATCAGCAAAAGAAACGGGCATGCGCTTTTGGGAATATGGTATGAACATGTTTCATGAGTTCGACTAATCCATTTTTATTGTTACAATTCTTCAGTTGGCCAAGGATATAAACCAAATGTTAATGTGGTTTTATTGGAAGATCTAGCAGCAGTTTTAGGAGTATGCGTAGCTGGTACAGCTATGGGTCTTTCAGTTTATCTTCAATCGCCAATTCCAGATGCGATCGGTTCGCTCATTATCGGTGGTATTCTAGGTGCAGTGGCTTCGTTTATTATATATTCAAATACAGCTGCCTTAGTTGGACGGTGAGTTCAAATGTATATAAAATAAGTATATATTTCTTTGTCTTCTTCACTGAAGATCCATCCATCCAAATCAGATTGAAGCAATTAATAACGATTTAGAAAATGATCGAATGGTTCGGTAAGTTGTCATGGTTCACATCGAACTGTTTCAACCTGATGATCTTCCGTTATAGTGCATTATATGATATTAAAGCAACAGATATGGGTTCGCAATCGGTTATGTTCAAAGCTGAAGTAGATATCGATGGACGGGAAATAACTCGATCGTATTTAGAAAGAATCGATATTCAACTCATTCTTGAGGTTTGAACGAATCGATAATTCTGACTAATCTATCTACGTGTGCGTCTTTTATTGAAGGAAATTCAAAAAATTGATACGATTCAATCAGCAGAAGCATTTCTTCTCAAGCATGGAGAGAATATTGTTGATCGCGTCGGTGCAGAAATCGATCGTATTGAACGAAACCTTCGAGTAAGATTATCACATTATTCTTTTATCTTCAACCATGTTACTTTTCTCATTTCTTTTTAGAAAAAACATCCATATCTGCGACATGTTGACTTAGAAGTTCTCTAATGTTCCACACTTTTATTTTAGACTATTTCCATGTATTTAATCGCTTTCTTTTTCATGTAAATATATATACAAATATTGTTCACTCATTTTTGAATATCTCCTAACATCAGCCTGATTTTTTTATTTTTCATCACATGTGAAACAAGAAAAGAAAACAATTTATTAATAACCAAGCGTTCGTTTTTTATTCGCCTGACTTATATCAGACAGTGTTGGTATCGGCGTTTTTAATTCATTCGGCGTTGGCAAAGTTTTTGTCGCACTTTCCTGTTCTCTGCTAATCTGTTCTCGTTTTTTCTCCTCTTCGACTGCATCTGTTGAAGGACTTTCTTCAATAAGTTTGATATTTGGCTTCTCAAAGGTGTATAGAAGCGGATCTGATTGCGGAAGCCATGCCGGTAGGATTTTTGAGTGAACACGCCATTGGCTGTATGGGAAAGTGAGTACACGTTCAAAAACAACATATTCAAGAACGTCTTTCGGTGTTGTTTCGTTGCCATACATCAGTCGACCGAATCGATCGTAGATTGCACATATCTAAACGATTGATTACAATGCTTTCGGAAATCGTGTGACATTGATCAGACCTGTTTTGAATGCATTCGAACGGTAACCTGTGCCATTGTCATACCCTTGAGAATTTCTCCGCTTTTGATTGCCACTACGTAGGACGGTTCGATTTCCTCGATCCATTTCCAACGTAGGGTTTTGTATCGAAGACCACGACCCATTTCCTATACATTTAGAATCCAGTTAACAAAAGTAAAACAAGTGCTCTCTTTACCGCAAGCGATCCGGGCGTGACTAGTTGAATCAAACGTTCTTCATCTCGACTGAAAGATTTCGAAAATATCTTATGCAAAATTAACACTTCGATGTATATTTACTCGATTAACGCTTGATGAGCATCAATATATTTTTGTTGAGCGATATCGGCGAATAGTAACGGTTCGAAATCGGGTTCATGCTTACGAATTGTATTCGAGTGCTTTCTTGTTGCTAAATTCGTTTTTAATGATGTGTAAAATTGATTCAATCTCTGCGAAAGAAAAATTCTCCGATTGGATTTTTGTCGTCTCAAAAACTTACATCTCGTGACATTAGTGTCGCCTTTCCATCACCTTCTGGAGGTACATACGGTTCAAATGGTTCCGCTACAATTGAATTCGATCGTTGATAAATCAATCTTTGAAAAACTCGAAGTTTTACTCACTCGAAGCATCGATGTATAAAGGTTTGTATTCCGCTGAACGAACCGGAGGTATACCTTCACGTTTTAGTTGCTCTCGTTGTTCTTGAATTGTAGCGCTACGAAGTCTTCGGTCTCTATCAAAATCTGGTAAATCAATCTAAATAGAAAGCCTCCCAATCACGTTGAAAGAATCGTGAAAAAATATTTGCATACGTCAAGAACTTTCTGCCTTCGGTATAGTCGCCACTTTGGCTTCGTATGATGATTGGGTGTTTCTGTGAAATGAGTTCGAAGCATAATGAGAAATGGACGACTGAATGTCGCTAAATGATTTGAACGAAAGAGATTCAGTGCCATGGAGAAATTAGATGAAACTAATCTAAAATTTACGGAATTACAAAAATGTCATCGCCTTGCCGAACAAGAGTAACATATCGAATATACGCAAAGAATTCCTTCAAAATCACGGGTATGAATTACATTCGAAAAAAAAATTACATTAGCTAAAAGATATTCCACGTTCGAAGACTATTTCTTCGTTTGTTGTTGATATTGCATTTGATGAAGAACACTTTGTGCGTCCTTGAGTTTTTCTAAAAGTTCCTGTAAGCTCTCTTGCGAACAAGTAAATTGAATGTGATCAATATTGCTTGTGTATTTCTCACGCTTAGTCCAATCGAGTGTATAAATCGGTTCGAGAAGTTTATCTGTGTAGTTTGTTTTCACTTGTAAGTCCAAACGCCAGTTAACATTCAACAGGCGATCGTGTTCAATGGTTTTCTGTTTCAAATACAATTGAATTGTTGGAAAGTGTTTTGTATATGCCTGGAGAAATCGGTCTTGTCGAGATTTATTTGTGAATTGGAGTTCATCGAACTTGGAACGAACGGCTGCTTCATCAAGATCATATTTGACACATTCGAATAAAAAAGTTAATACGGACGAAATGAGATGTTTGTCAATAGACGACGAAAGTTGATCGTTAGTGTTGGCAGTTGTAAATAAAGAAAAGCTTTTTTCGATTAATTCTTCATAGTTTTTCTCCGGGAGCTGCTTTTCATTGTTTAAACTGCGAAGATCTTCTTCAATTTCACGATTTAATTCCATAGTACTAAATGAAACTACGCACAGCTATTCGTGATCTAAAATAGCAATAAAACCGACGCTCGGACTATGCGAAAAAAGTAAAAAGTTTATATCTCTGATTAAATGCAAAGATAAATAAAGATAACACATTGTAGTCTATTTAGTATTCTTTTTGTCTTTATAATGAACTTCACCAGATAGATCACGAAGAGTTTGTGCTGCTAGTTCAGCAGTTATATCACGTTGCGCTTGCGCGAGCATTTCATAACCGACCATGAACTTCTTTATTTTAGCCGAACGTAACAATGGAGGATAGTACGAAGCATGCAATTGCCAATGAGAACAATCATCATTTATCATCGAACCGGTTGGAGCGCCATGCCAACCCATTGAATAAGGAAATGATGTTTTGAATAGATTATCGTATTTGATCAATAATTCTTTCATAATCTTACCAAGTCCAATTTGTTCGTCAGGGGTTAGGTCAGAGAAACGAAGTACATGACGCTTGGGTAAAAGCATAGTTTCATAAGGCCACACAGCCCAATAGGGTACGACGACCAACCAATGTTCATGTTCAACGACGACACGCTCTTTTTGGAAATCATTTAATTCTCGTTGAATATAATCGAGTAGAAGAACATTTCCATTGTGCTTGAGAGAATAATCTTTTTGTGTTTTATGTTTAATACGAGCTTCGTTCGGCAGAAAATCAGTAGCCCATACTTGACAATGTGGATGTGGGTCTATTATAATTTTAGAAAACGTTTCAATAGATTGGTGTTGTCGATACAAATCAGATGACTTTACTTGAGCATCCCATGATATCTCCACGATTTTCAAATATTTGCACCCATTGATATTTGCTTGCTAGATCATCATAGACATCCATCCATGTACGAACAACGTGTGCAATGTCGTCAAGCGTCATACGTGGTAGTGTCAGTCTTGAATTCGGATGAAAACAAATGACTTTGCAAACGCCACGAGCTGCATGACATTGAAAAAGATCATCCTTTGCAGTCTTTTCAACATTGGAAGGGTCAGGTATTTCAGCGAGTAGCGCAGGGAAGTCATTTTCGAATACAAATGTGTGTTCATAGAACGGATTGGGCTCTTTGCTCGACGGGCGTGTAACACCTGGACAAAGGGGATTATTTTTTTGACTCTCGTCATTGGCAGTTTCATCGTTGTCGTTGGCATCATCTTCCACTCGACCTACGCAAAGAAACGATAGAACGCTATGGTGACAAGCCGAATACGAACCAGCCCATGGCCGTTGTAATCGTTGTGGTGAAACAAGCACCCATTCGTCTTTCAACGGATTATATCGACAATGTGAATGTTTAGTTGGATCAAATGTCATAATCTACAATTGTTTTTACTCAATATTTTCCTCGTGTATGCATGCATTTGTTTTTCAAGATTAATAAGAAGAGTGAAAGCTCAGCGTATATATATATATATATATATGTATATATATATTCCAAGGACCAGTAAACAGTATGTGTGCAGGTTTACAAGAGAAAGAAAAGACTACAGACTACGTACAAAGAGCAAGAACAAACGAACGAAGTTACTTATTTTGTATAATTCACCACATACATTCCATGGTAACAGTATTGATATAGATAAGACGAAGAAAAGGATGAAAACAAACAATGAACAAAGCGTTTGTCTTCACATATATATGTATATAACATGTTACTATTTTGAAAAGTTGATAAACAGCATTTGTTGTTTTCTCGACGTGGAATGGTGCAGAGCAGAAGATAGAAAAACAAACAGAACACAAGCATGGAAGCGCCAGAGAATAACGATCAATTGTGAGAGAAGAACAAAGAATCAAACATAATTCGAAAGGAAACAAGAACCGAAAAAAGGAAAATAAGCATCACACTTTATACAAGAAACAATGACCAGTATATTCTCATTGAGCAGTTGTTGAATTGTTATCGTCAGTTGAAAAGAAAAATTCTTGCTGAGTGGTCGGACTGGCCGATTTGTCTTGTGACGTTGCTGGCCTTGGTAATAGAACAGATATTGGTTGAAGGGAAGAAGCTTCGTCTAACGATCGGTCTCGTTGTAATTGGTTTTTAGTCGATAATTTCATTTTTGAAGAGGTTGAATTCATACTAAGATGCTTCGTTGCTGAAGGTACAATTAGTCCTGATGACTGTAGCGATGAAATAACTGTGGAACGAGAAAAGTTCGCTGGTAAGAGTAGAAATGACGACGACGAAGAGGATGTTGTAGACGCAGGCGATATAGGTGTGAAAGTTAATGACGATGATGAGCATGTGGAATTGGTTGGACTTGGGCATATACTTGGTGAATTCGGTGGAGGAAATATGTCATTATCAGGATGTTGTATTGGCTTGAAATGTGAGTTATCATTGCCGTTGGAAGTCGATGTCGAAGAGGAGAGCGAATGAGGTATTGAAGAAAGAAGACTGAGGGATTGCTGCGTAGAAAGTAAATTAGTACTCGATTCGATCAGACCAGGCGAAGGAGATTCACTGAAAATGAAGAATAAAGACGAAGTTTCAGATCGATATAGTAATACTTACGGTGAATTAGTTGGACCAAACAGCGATTCATTATCACTTGCTATTCGACTTTTCTTATTATTCATACTCGTTGTACTATCGTCTCCTTCTACAGAACAAATAGAAATTGTCAATAGCGATCAATGAGTTCGCGGACATACGTTTACGCTTGAGATTTGGTGGAAAAGATGTGATTTTATTGGACGAATTCGTATTAGTGTTATTGTTCATCATTCCAATGGGACTTTGCGACCGGCTAGGTGGAGAAGCTAAATAACACTGGAATGGTGCGACTTGTTGTTGAAGTGCTGGACTGTAGCATTGCTAAAATACAACGACGTTATATTGATTTATCTAGAAATACACAACATACTCGTTGATTACTGACGACTGCACAAGGTCGAGCAGGAGTTGATGGACTTGGCGATGATGAATAACACAGATTAGACGAATCAGAACTGTTGACTGATGATCGACGACTATCTATCGAATGTGCTGGCTGTTGTGGTTGTTGCTCATCCTGAAAATCATCTTCGAAAATCAACACTCTTCGATGAACAAAAACTTACTCCGACGGCAAGATCAGTGAATGATATGGACATTTTGAGATTATCATGTAAATCACTGTACATAAAGAATAGAAAGTCAGTCAGTAGTTTCTTTATTTATCAAACGACATACCGTTCTTGGGATGCTTCGTCTACAAGAGGATTTGTCAATTCATTTTTCATGATATGCGCAAACCGACTATGACGAGTTTGATGCGAACTCTAAAAATGATGAACGATAAGCAACATCGTTTTCTTTGCTGTTATTATCAAAATATTCAAACACAATACTCACAAACGATGAACTGTGTCTCCGCAGTTTGGAATCACAAAAGTCCACATCGTCAAATTGCAAATCATTTCTAAAAATACATTGAAAAAACAAAATCTCTTATCTGAAGGACCATCTTGTGTTCATACTCAGCTGTATTAACAAGAAGTGGAAGAGCTGGCGAACTATTTGATCGTTTAATTGACAAATCGAATAAATGTTGTCGAAATGTTGATGTATCATCTTCTTCTTCATCCATCAGAATATGGAAAATCCTATTGACTTCGAAAAATTCCTCTATCTAGAATAAACAAAATAGATAATCTTTCATTTTCAAAAATCGAATTCTTTCGATGGCGTGCACGTTAACGATTTCGTTTTCTCATCCCGACTAGCGTCTGCACTAAGATCCGGTGGAATCGAATACTTTTCAAAAACTAAATTTTTACGATGTTTAATCAATTTGATTCCAATATCCCATGTATCAGGTATAATTGGTTGGATAGTATTCAACTTCGGTAGTTTAACCAATTGACAGAATGCAACATAATCAGTATGAATTAGATTCGATAGTTTCAACTCGAAAACTAAATCAGCGACTGTTTCAAATAGCTTCGATTTTTCATTCAATGTTATCACACATGTTGCTAATGATGTTCGTAGTAGGATTCGGAGATGATATAGGAATGCGAATAGTTCATCGAAATGATTTGCCGAGTTACCATCGAACAATGATAGAGATAATGATTGAATACCAATACGGAGAATGCGTTTTTCTGCTTGTTGAGACGAATAATCATTTGTCAGTAGTTTATGAAGTGATTTTAACAAATATTGTCGGTAGGATTGCGAGGATGTACAATCATTCCAGGTGATTTTGTGTATTTTGACTTGTTCTTTAAGTTCATTTGGAATTGGTTTGCTGGATTGAAGATCATAGTGAATAGTTGATGCCGCTGCTGAATCAATAGTGGAAAGATTTTCGTAACGCCAAGCGATTTTCATCTTTTCATTCTCTTCATCGGTACGATTATCGGATGATGAAATATTTTCTTCTTTCGTCGGTAGATTTTCTATTGGATCAGTTCGTAAAGCCGCTACACATAAGTCTTGTTTGTTATAGATACCTTCTGACAGATAACAACGTACAATGGAATCAGACAAATTACAGTTCTGATCTTCGTATATTAACAGTAGTGAGCCGATCGGTAGGCCACCACCAATAAATGTGTCTAAAGATGAGATGCCGGTTGATGTCAATAACAAAGTTCCATTGGAATTCAATCGAGTACCCAATGGTAATCGAACATTTGGAGTAGATGAAACTTTTTTCTTGAATGTAATCGACATAATTAAAGAAGAAAAGACGTGAAATATATGTACGAATGACTATACGTATGTATGTTGTGATGGATGTATGTTTATTTTTGAATTAAACCATGTTCGAATACCGATTGGTGGAAATGGAAAATAGATGGCGTTAATCAGTTAAAAGAAAACAAAAGAAAAATATTTATAGTCATTCATTTGAGAGACATTTCAAGCGAGAACGAAGACTTTGAATAGTTTTTCATGGCTTCTGCGGTTCCGAAATCAAGCCCCATACCTTTACTAGCAGGTAGATTCATCAATGTTTACGTCGAATCAAGGTAATTTCTTTGATTTGTTTAGTTCGCGGCCCCAGTGCAGTTCAACTAGTAACAAGTCCAGCTCATCAAGATGAAATAACCAAAGTGGAAGTTTTCAACATTGAAAATTGTCGATTGACATGTTTCAGTCGTAGTGGCCATCAGTTTGTAATATCGACCAAGGATGAGTGAGTTATTCCATTTGGATAAATTTCAATTTTTCGACTTATACGTTTAGTATTCAAGTTTACTGTTGTAATACACGTCGAGTCTTGTATACATTGCCAAAACGACGAATAAATGCGATCGAATACAGTCCTCAAGATACATATTTGATGTTATTTGAATCATTTACGAGTATGTAAAGTAAGATCGAACAAAATCTTAGAACATAAAAACAAACGAAATGTTTTTATTTTAATAGCCACAGCTGGCGAAGAAGAAAAACCAAATTTGTGTATTTACAAATCAAGTAGCGGAGAACTAGTTGGTTCTTACATTCAAAAGAAGCAGAATGAATGGTAAGAAACACGATTTACGCGCACGAATATGCATTGATTTGTTTTCAAGGGCACCTATTTGGTCCAATGATGAAGCTATTTTCGGTCGATTGCAAACAAATCAAGTCTGCTTCTACGAACCGCCAAATTTCGGTATATAACCATTAGAAATTCTCTTTCTCAAAGATCTTCTCTAAACCTATTTTTAGAACGATATGTCAACCGATTGGCTATCGAGGGCTTACAAATGTTTAGTTTGGGTAAAAGTATTCCACCATATACAATCGGTACTTTCATCAAAGGTAAAAAGGTAAAATAGGCGAATGATAGTATATCCACATCTGACTGAGTACTTTGAAATTTCTTACTTTTGCATACAGGGTATACCAGATTGTGTACGATTGCTCTCTTATCCGGATTTAAAGGCGACCATTGCCAGCAAGAGCTTTTTTAATTTTGATCATTGTAACATGAAATGGAATTATAGAGGTAAACTTGAACAGACGAAATTTATCAGTATGTTCACCGGAGTCATTTTAGGAACGGCATTACTCGTACTTTGCAGTACAGATATGTCAGAGAATAGTTATTACGGTGACACAATGCTTCAGCATCTCAATCGAAATGGAGATAGTAGTAGTATTCAACTAAGTAAGAAATCAATTCATTTGTTTGAATGTTAACTAGCTGGATTCTTTTCTAATTGTAGGCAAAGCAGGTCCGGTCTATAGTATGGAATGGTCACCCGTAACGGATGAATTCGTTGTTGTTTATGGATGTATGGTTTGATCTTGATTTTGATATTTGTATCTAAATCTGATATGTCGCTTAGTTATGCCATCGAAAGCGACTGTATTTAATGCGAAATGCGATGTTGCGTGGGAACTAAGTTCCGGGGCGAAGAACGTTGCCTATTACAGTTTTGATGGTTTACACTTGGCACTTTGCGGTTTTGGAAACGTATCAGGAAATATAGAAGTTTGGTATGTTGAAGTGATGCTAAACTGAAAACGAAAACATTGATGATTCAATTCATTTAGGAATATGAAAGATCGTAAGCGCGTCTCGCAAATCGAAGCACTAGATACGACGCATTTTCAATGGTGTTATGATAATTATCATTTCATTACAGCAACAACAGCTCCACGTTTGCGAGTTAAAAATGGGTATGACTTGCTCTTCTAATCTCTTGGAAAACATGAAATTGATGCAAGAAATGTTTTATTCTAGTTTCAAAGTGTGGCGTCTAACTGGCGAACTTGTTTATGAATACAAAACTGGTGAAAATCAAGAATTATGGCAGGTTCTATGGCAGCCGGGTTCATATGAACGTGGTCAGAAAGTCCCGATCAAAGGTGAAGATGGTTCTGCTGCAGGAAAACGTAAGAAATCACAATATTTGACATCTAATCATTTGTTTGCCAAATAGCGAAAGCAGCAGCTGCGTATCGGCCACCCCATCTTCGGCAAACGACTCGACAAGTTCCTAAGTTACATGACGACGCGCCGGCAAAACCCGCTACCCAACATCCTCCACGTGTTCCGAAACCCGGTGGTGTCGAAGAATTATTCACAGGAGATTTAGAAAAAGATAAAAAGATCAAACAACTTCATAAAGTAAATTTTAAAAAGAATAAATTGCCTACAGGCTTTGTCGTAATGTATTTGCTTTTAGAAATTACAACAAATTAAAGGCCTGAAAGAAAGATTAGCAAATGGAGATAAGTTGGAAGTCGACCAATTAGAGAAAATCAAACGTGAAAATGAATTCGTTGAAGAGATGGAAAACTTAAGACTCTAATATTTCTTTTCCTATGAAACAATCCGTGCTATTTTTTTCTAAACAGGAAATTTGTTGACGTTGGTTTTTGTTTTCTAGATATGACGAATACTGTGACAATGAATAATAATAATACGAATAATAATGCTACGGATGAAAATCGAAAAAAGCGCAAAGTTAAAAGAGTTAGCATCGAATTAGGTGATTTGACTCAACACAATCTAAAACAATTGAAAGTTCTCAATCGCGATGTATTTCCTGTTGCTTATAACGAGAAATTCTACAAAGATCTTCTAGGTGCTGGTGAATTATGCAAATTAGGTATGTCGAAAATTTCTCGAGCCGGATTTATCTCAACAGATCGATGATTAATTATCAGAGAGAAGCATCGTTTTCGCACTCAGCGGTGACTTGAGATGACATTCTGTCTGAAGAACGTTTCAGATGTTATCAGATGCTTCTTGTTCGCGTGATACAATCATGCATAAGCTAATTAGAACTAAATTAGGCAGATATGCGAAAGGCGTAGATAGAAGGCGAGAAAAAAAAACTTGAACGCAATTGTTTTGCCTTTTTTTTCAGCATATTGTAATGATATCGTCGTTGGCGCTGTTTGTTGTCGGATTGATCTATCAGAAAATCGCAGGCGATTATACATAATGACATTAGGTGTCTTAGCTAAATATCGTGAACTTGGCTTAGGTACATTAATGCTCGAACATGTGTTCAAAATTTGTGAACGCGAAGGAAATATTGACAGTATTTATTTGTACGTACGAAAATATGTTTTCTTCGAGCGAAAGTCATCGTCTGTTTCGATTGTAGACATGTTCAAATCAACAATGAAACTGCTTTGGCATTTTATAAGAAATTTGGCTTTCAAGTCATTTCAACAGCAACGGAATACTATCGCCGTTTGGAACCATGCGATGCTTATTTACTTGAACGTGCTTTGAAAAAATCAGCTGCTAACGAACAAACAGCAGCAGCAACGGCTGTTCAACAAAGTGCGAAAAAAGTTCCTGCCGTGCCATTGTCAACAATAACCGATGTCGATTAAATTTCAACTGATGATCATATCTGTCGACATATCCATCAGTAACTGCTTGTTTTTCTTCATTGTCGTTTGTCTGTGTTTCTTTTTTTATAATGAAAAAATACATATACATATAAAAGACGAGAGAAATCCATGTGTGGAAGACGATCGAACATCGTCTATGCTCACGCACGTATACACAAGAGAGAGAAACGTTTCGAACGATGCCAATCAAACATTTGGAGTGTTAGGATCTTGTCTGACGCTTATGCTTGTTGATACTGTCGAGGGAGCAGCACGTTTCAAGGATTTGGCTAGTTGATGATCGTTGGTATCAAATCCATTTAATGGAGTAGCTCGAACGAGCATCTAAACAACAAATATTATCATATCTCTGATGAGAATACTCGAAAGTTGTACCGGCTCGGCAGTTGGATCTTCACGGCCTGACCGTATACTGACAGCTAAGAAAAAAGAGAAAGGATAATGATTAGTTGGGAGTTTGTTCGATTTCATGCAAATCTTACTTCGTTCACCCGTAAGACGACGTTCAAGTGTAGGCTGTTTGATATCAACGGAGCCTTTTTTTGAATTACGAATAAATGCTAAAATACCACCGAGGATGAGTAAAAGCAAAAGCATGCCACCGACTGCAACTAACAGCCATGCCCATACGGTCAATCGATGTCGAAAGCCGCGAATTTTTGGACAGTGACGAAATGTAGATGAAGTCAATTGCGCATTTCCTTGAAAATGAACGTATCGTTATCCTTTCTTCGAAAAAATGAAGCTCCATTTCAAAAATACCAACCTGGTAATGTAAATTCACATGCGAGTCGAAAATTTCGTTCATAACAATCAATTTGATGTATGCAAATATGATTTCCACCACTGTCATTTGCTTCGAAGCACGTGCTATTCGACGTGTTGTTTTGATTGACACAATACTGAGGCCAATAATCTTCTTTGCCATCATTACATCGTTGTAACGTATTATAATCAGATGGTAATTGAACTGCATAATGAAGTTCATCATAATCTCGAAAGAGTGCTTGTAGAATTTTCGTCTTTTCTGGAGTATTTAGAATCAATTGTCGTACATTTGCAATCGGCTTCGTACGATTTTGATTGATCACAGAGAATGTGTGTTGCTCTAACAAACGTCGTATCTGCCGTGCACATAAACGTTGAGCTTGATGCCATGCGTAAATGGGTCCTTCCGTCGAAAAGTATACACATTCATTATTGATCTGATAGGAACGATATGGACATTGACCACGTTGAAAATGCGCATCGAATGATGACTTCGAACTTCGAATTGGTTCGTACGTTTCTATAGTTAAAGAATAAAACTGTGAAAACTTATTTCTACCTATGTGAAGTCAACTACCTTGTGGTAAATCTTTTTCATCATCGTATTGCGCATTTATTAATATAAGAAACGAAATAAAACATAGTAAGATCAAATTACTATACGACATATCTGCTAATCAATACGACAAGATTGTTGTTTATATGTCAGCGAGTGTTGAGTTGGGAAAGAATAAAGAGCACTATAGGATAGACGAATATTGCTGGCATTGCTTAATATATGCCTTTTTTATTATGTATTTTTCTCTTTCTGTTATAGTTATTGATAATGGCCGAAGCCAATACATGTCGTAACCACGCTATTCTTCCATTCTCTTTTTTTTTCTTCTCTCTTCTTCTTATAATGGCAATACAACTAAGATTCTTCTGTCACTGTCTCTCCGTCTCGTTCTTTCATACAGTCTGATAAACATAGTTATTTTGTCATTGTATGTACTGAGTACGATAGTATTTTAGTCTCGATCGATCATGAATAATCACTGATCAGCGCAGAGGGAGAAAAGAAAGACAAAACAAAACGGAACATTACCTGTAAATTACTCGGAACAGAAAGAAAAAGACAAAGAACGAATGATAAACGATTGCCATCGGATAATTTATAATCATTGAAAAATCTCAAGCGCCCTACATTTATTGAATTCACATAAAAACAATCAATTACATAAGTTCCGAATACATTAGATAATAATTTTGTCTTTGCTCTATTTCCGTAATTGGATTTTATCATCTAATAACCAATCAGATTCACATGTTTTACTCGTACTATTTGCAAACGAAGCTATGAACAGAGAAAAAGTCAATGACACTTCAATAATTAGAGTTTCACATTGAACTTACGTAGGAATACTTCATACTGATAGAATTTTCCATTAGTATTTTCAAGAGCAGATAGCAAATGATCGATCAATTCGTCACACTAAAGTTAAAATGATTGCTAAAAGAGAGAAAACATTCATCGTGAGTCGACAAACTTTCGTAGCGCTTGAACGTAAGATTTCATTCTGTTTTGTCAGTGTTTTAATTTGTGTCAGGAGTTTGGTATGTTCGGGATTATTGGGTGCTTTCGATTTACTTTTAATTAACGTTGCACGTGGTGGCCTTGCTCTGGAACGTGGATCTTTGGCTACCTCGAGAACTTTTGGCACAAAGACAAGACATAACGTTATCGTAACACAGAGTAAAATAAATATTGATGTTAAGATATAAGATCGTTCGTGTTGATCACGTAAGAAATAACCTACGACAGCTGTTGTTGTACTTAAAAGAACAACATTATAAAGACTCATGCCAACGTAAGTGGAATCGTTTAATGCGCTGATATGAACATTTCGTGTTGCCCATGCAAAATGTGAGCCAACAACCTTAGTGAAAAAGAACGAATGAAAGATAAAATCAGTATTTTTGATGATGTAATTTACCATTAGTACACCTTTATATATAGATTGCATTGTAAACCAAAGTGAACGACGTTTTGATAAACATTCTTCAAAGTTCCAAAGAATAACAATATCTTCATCCTTCGTCTAAGAACCGATGAAATCATTCGTTTCTACTTTTCGAAATGATTCTGAATTACTTGTATTTGACTGCTATGATGGATGATTTTCAATGGATCAACGATTTGCCATGATGCTAAGAGAATAGTGTCAAGAGCAAGAAGAAGTCCCACAAAAATAAACAAACGACAATCTTTAATTGCCTAAGAAACGGACAGTTTTCTTCTCGAAAGTCGAAAATTTTCATTATTACTCGTTTGGACGCATGAACATTTGTGAAGATCGAATGAACACGCCATGTTTTACTGAATATAGCTCCGAAGGAGATTGTAAAACCAATGGACAACGTCCAGATGCGAGCCTGGTTAGCGTTTCATTGAATAAAAGAAAATGATATATGAAATCTCTCTTACTGCACATATGAAATTCATCGCTGCTTGTGAATTCTGCATGCCCAGGAGACTGGAATCGACGCCCATGAGAAGAACACTGATGTAAGACAATATACAACCGGCGATAATTAAATTATTTATTTGAGGACTCGACATTCGGATGAATCTAAGAATAGAACTAATAATAGCATCGACAAATTGTTGTTCATACCGATGTTCGCGAAAGATAATATTAAACGCAAAAAATCCCAGAGCTAAGAAAATTCCCACTCCGCTAATACTTCCAATGATAGTGTAAGTTAATATCGATATACGTTGATCACGGTTGATTCGTTTGATACGATCATTTGGTGGTCCTTGACCATGCCATGTGATATTTCTCTCATTGCTGGCGGATACGAGAATATATTTTGATTGATTGTTGGGTAATGCTACAAATAATTTGACAATATCGACCCTGGGTGATTTTTCACTAGAAGAGACTGTACTAAAAGTTATCAAAACGATGAATGACACTCCTTTATTTGCATACCTAACAACTGTTCTACGACGATTTCACCGATTCGATCACCGTTATGAAAACGCACACGTCCTGTCACGCCTTCGATATCAATGGTTTGAATGATGCTGATCAATTCATGCCGCCAACATTCCTGACGCCAGATAGCATCGATATCAAACTGATTTGGGCACGAATGCAACTTTTCAAATGCTGCTGTTAAAGTTAACACGGCATCAAATGCATAGCCCACGAAATAATCCGATGTTTGAAGTGTGGTCAAATCAAATTTAAACTGATCCAATGTCTACAACAAAAACGAAGTTCAAAACTCCGACGAAAGTCTACCACCAAACTATTACGATATCAGCCATAGTTCGCATTCTCGTATTATATCCAAGCTGTGGCACGCGAGTTTGAAGTGTGCCATTCAATGCCTGAAGAATTTCGGACGTGTTGCACGGACTGGCATTGTTCAACCACCAGTTCGACTCGTAGTAACCGACGATAATCCATTGAAAACGTGCGCCATAAAGATCGTAACGAAATGCCTGGAATAATAGGTCCAAAATTGTACCTGGAAATGAACTGAGTGGGCTTTTTTTACCTCGCAAAATATTCGAACGGCCATTGTTGAGTTGAAATTGCCGAGAATAATCCGAATATTATTTTTCTATGAAAAGAAAAAAGATCGTCAGAGGAAATGTTGATTTTATTAAAATACGATCTTTCTTTTGTTCGAATACGATATGGAGATTCCGGTAGTAACTTCTCTGCGAAGAAGTACTTACAACATTGTTTGATTACCTTCAGTTCATCAAATGCATCCTTTAAAGAATTTCGTGTTCGATTGATTTGAGTTTCATCGAGATCTTTGAAAGAAATGCCTTTCGACAGAGCATTCTCCCAATCGTTTTCATCTTGTAGAAGATCATTGAATCTGGTTACAGGCTGTGAGAAAAAATTCAGTTAGTATATGAAGTCTTCTTTCTCAATTACCATCGTATATTGCCTTTCATATTGATATAAGATTCCAAATCGCCGCCAATGATATTTCCTCAATAATAACTTTCGAGCTAAAACAAACATGATGATATTTGACATCATAGGACACTATTTTGCTTGCCAATATTATGTTGAGAATCACCGGGAACGGTTCGAATTAATGATGGATACTTCTCTCGCGCAGTAAAAAGCGAGCTCGTCTCGGAATAGATAATCTACAATGATAAAACAAGAAAATCAACCAATAATAAACAATTACGAGGCAGTTCATACAATGGTCATATCCAATATGCCAGCAGTTTCTGCAATGGCTGATGCCACCGTCTGACATGATCCACTGAAGATTGCTAAGGGTCTTGGCTTTCGTTGGATCATATCGAAGATCAGTTTGGTGCCAATGGCCATATCACATGGAATGTCTTGCTCATGCCGCTGGATATCGAGTTCAGTATGAATAGTATCAATCGATTTCAAACGAGTTAATGCGTAATCAATAATTGATGAAGATGAATAATTCTTATTTGGATGTTCTCGGGTAAACAGACCAATTAAGGGAATTTGTTTGGCTCTCGTTATTGAAATAATCAACGAAAGAATATGTACAATATTGCATAAATAATACATGAAAACGAAGGTGTAAGTATTCTGTGAAGAGCAGCTATTCTAGAAAGCAAATATAATAAGGAGGAGGGGGAGAAGAAGAAGAAGAAGAAGAAAGAGAGGGAAAACGCAATTGTCGATCAATGTAACTATTATTATTCTTTTGTATTTTATTCTTTTCAGCCAAGGTTAACAATTGACTTGTTGGTAACTTGATTAAAACTTGATTGACTAAAGAAAAACTTCAATGTCTATTTTACCTCGTTATCATGCGCGTTGGCATAGTTTTCAACAAATGCTTGTTCGTTCTCTTTCTCGTATAAACGAATATTCTTCCTATGCGTCCCGAGACTACGAAAGAAATCTTATCCGATTACGAGACGTTCAGACATAATTCATTCAACGATGGTAATGAACAGCATTACATATACAATTGAATTGTCATCAAAGGCCGAATATCGTTTTCACTCAAGTGCTCCTGCATAGAAGAACATCGGCATCGTTCTGTGAGATCTCGAAAATGAATTCTGTTCTTTACAGAATGATTATACTTACATGATAGTATTTAGATAAATACTAAGTCAAATCTTAGATTAAAGAGTATTCACTAAGATATAAGCATTCATCATTCGTTCTTTTTTATTTCTCTAGAGAAATGACACTCATTTTATTCAAATTGAATTAGTTCCTAGAATAAAGACGACGACAACAAAGATTTACATTTCTATGAAGAAACACAACTCTCTAATGACAGAATACTATATAAAAATAACGTTGAAGCTGGATTTTAAGTATTAGTTAAAAATAAAAGTGCACCGCTGAAATGTGTATATGTATATCCATATATATTATTGCGAGGGGCAGATTGACCTGAATCGTTGACATCGCCAATGGCTTCAACCATGACTTGATCATTAGCATTCAACTCAGCATACACGGAGCCACGGACGTGTGAAAAACGACGTCGACAATCACAACGTATCATACTGAGAACATTGATTTGATTATGAAGAATGCGTACGGTAGCCTATGATTAGATTTCAGTGGTAGTTGTCAAAGAAAACAAGAAGAAGATAATAACAACATACAATCGAATCCATTTGTGCCATGATTGTCATACTGAATTTGTAAATACCTCGATGTGTCGCTGTGAATATACCGGTCGCTGGATTATAGCCATTGGCTTCGTTAATATCAGCATTTTCGAAAACAATTGTTTCAGTACGATTCGATTCAACGGATAACATTTTTTGTAGATAAGCCATGAATGCTACAACCGGGACTGGTTCTTTCGATCGTCCCACTTCGCCTGTTAGAAGGAACACACAAGATTTTGTCTAAATAGTAGTGCCAGTAAATAAACTACCTTGTGGCCCAACAGCACCACGCGGCCCAGGATTTCCGACAGGTCCCGGCTCACCTGAAGGTCCAGGTGGGCCGTGCATTGCTAAGAATGTATCGACAGTAAAACGACGATTACGCATGTCGCGATCATATGGAGCTAATAAAGAAATCAAAGAAAACATGTCGGATCAGTTTCTAACAAGACAAATAATCCAATTACTAACACAGTGTGGGAATCGCTGGACACCGCACCGACAAATGGCACATATTACTGTCATCCTCGTATTCACTGGCTGTATTATTGCTGTAGATTGTTTCAGTCATTGCTTGCCGTTCATAATGTTTGTATGGATAATATTGAGCATGTATCCGTGCGGAATAATAAGATATTACAGATAGGATTAAGAAAAAAGTGTTCATGTTGTTATTTGAAAGTCGGTATTACTTTCGAGAAATCTGTCTATGGTTATTGTTGTTGTTTTTCAATGTGCATGCTGTTAAATCAATAGTATTTCCTGTCGATTTTTTCTCTCTTCGTCACATTCTTTTCCTTGACTTTGTTACTGAGAAATAACGAAGACTTTTGTTCTCAAGCTTATGCACGGCGTTTGAAGAAAGAGAAACAGAAGAAGAAGAAAGAATTATTAATAAGCATCCAATCTGATGATTTTCTATTCTGAGTTATTATTATTATTATTCTCGGTCGACTTTTGCGCTTCAAGATATGTCTAGCTGAACATGTTGCCACGCTTTTCACTATATAGAACACAATTAATTGTGTATGTGTTTGTCTGCATTCTGTTTCATCAATGACATTTTTATTCTTCCGAAGAGAACTCAATATGACAGATTAAGATAACATATGAGATCAAATAGAATATGAAATTGAAATACGAATGTCGTTAGCACTTTTCCTATCACCGTTAGCGATCGGCTTCGATCTATCATAGGAACAAAAATTAATTAAACTAATGCACATATTTTTCATGCCGGGAGCAATTACATTTTCCAAAACGGTAAACACATTTATTACCGAAGGATAGAATCTGTGTAATGGAATAGCTTCTCACTCGAAAATCTCTCTAGTTCTTCATGTTTATTTACAAAAAAAAGGAAAAAAAACGAGAAATAGTTCTGCGGTAGTTTCGCTAATTCACCGATGCCAATATCGAACTGAAAGAAAGGATGAAGAAGAATGTTGTGGTTCAGTCGATTCTATTAGGAAATATTTTCGGCGACTGCCGAACATTTTCTATTCGTTTCCGGTACTTTTTCAACAGTGAATCTAATTGAATGGTTATTCGATCGTTTATGTGATCCATTTGTGGCGAGAGGCGTCGACGTTTTCTCAACCGTAGGTGCTTCTCCTTGTGCAGCTGTCGTTGTGATAGGTGTTTGCGGTTGAGAGCTGACTCGAAAAATAGGTCGCCGATTATGTAATGATCCAAAACTTGATCGACGTGAAGTAAATCTTTTCGAGAAAAATTTCGATGTATCAAACCGATTATCGTGCGAAGCATGAAGGACTGTCGTTGGAAGTACGTCATCGTCATTGCCCATATCTTTACGGGCATTCATACGATGAATATCTGCTAATTTCCTATTGATATGTCCAATGGTAACCGAATCAGCTGTGATGGTTTGATAGTACTGTGCATGTGGTTCATTTTGCTTTTCCGCTGATGCGTAGTAGATTTTCCAAAGGCGCTGTCGATTTTCTGGATCTTTTAATTCGTAAAGAATTTGTTTCTTCAGGTTATCAGCTTGAATATCGTGATAGCGCGCAAATGGGTTCGCATTCGACGATGCGGATTTACCAGATGTTTCATAATCGAATAGAAATCGACTTTCGAACGTTCGTGGACGTACGCGAAAAAAGAGCATTAAAACTAAACCTGCTGAGTACCAAATTAGAATAGCGGCAATATAAATCGCCGCACCTTCGTAATCGTAATCATTTGCTGTATCGCTAGATGATGTACTACTGTTAACAACTATCGAGGAATTCAACAGTGTTGACGACGACATGAGAATGTCTAAAAGAAAATATCGTGATCGTTTTCGTTGCGTTCGATCTGAATCAACATTAATGTTAAAGAACGATTATGTAAAAGGTGGTAATGTAAAGTTGAATAAAGGACACGAAGATTAATCCTTTCATACAGTTTGACATATGAGACGAAAATTCAAGACAAACATGTACACGACGAAAACGAATGTTAAAGGTTATATTTAGTGATGCTGGAAGAACGAATTTGTTGTCCTTGTAAGAATAAAAACACAGCAGAACAAAGTATTACGTTGATTGATGAATCTATCTCTCGTACAAATGCTTTATCAATATCGTGTAGTTACCTGATGAAACAAAAAACAACGAATGAATCTTGTTGTTTTCTTATTCATTTCGACTGTCACTAATGATATATCTGCATCTTCCCATTGCAGGTAGTTACGGTAGTTCACCTTCGATCCTCAAGCAAGCCTAAGATTATTACCTTCAATATTTTATTAGATGTCAAATGATGTGTATAATTATTAATCGTTTCGCTATTTATTTTTCTCTTCCTCTCTCCCATTCGATCTATGGATTGAATGATGATTTTCTTTTGATGATTACTCTTTTCGCAAGTTATTATATAATTACACATATATCCTCGAAAAAAAAACGTAGTTATTAAACAAGAATCAACACTAGGATTGAGAATGTCGAAGAATGTCGGCAATTTCTTGATTGAGCGCCGTCGCTTTGTCTATCGGCGTTTGCCCATCAATATCTTTCAAAGTCAGATCCGCTTTAAAACGAAGTAAATGACGAATCGCATCGATATTCTTGAATGTTACAGCGCGATGAAGTGGAGTCGATTGTGATGCTCGAGTTTGGCAATTAGGATCAGCACCATGCTCAAGTAGCAAAAGACAAGCATCAGCTGGTTGAAAGCGAACAGCATAATGCAATGGCATATAACCACCGGAATCTGCTTTATTGATTGTTTTACAATCTGCCGATTGCAATCGTCGGCGAAGTTCATCGAGATCATTTTGTTGAGCGAACGACCAAAGTCCACGGCGAAATTCTAATTCATCAAGCGTTTCGTACACACCTGTATTTATATTCGATGATAAATGACACTGACAATCATGTGAAGTGTGTTGACTCATATGAGTTTCTCTTAAAAACAAAGGAAATGCTTTGTTTCATTTATTCGGCAAAGATTATCAGTTAATTTTCTTTATTTGCTTTCATTTCGAAAATTAACTACAGAAACACACGAAAATGATCTAACAAAAGAGAAAAACAATGGTCAAAAACAATTGTAATAATTATTAACAGAAAAGAAAAACGATATCTGACAGTATGGCTTATATAAACAAAAATGCTTAGAGCAAATAAATTAAAGAGAAATGATAAATTAAGACTAATAACAAGAAGAAAAAAAAAACCATCAAAAACATTTTTAACGCATTCGGTTTAATCCATTCAATTTCGAATCAGGATTACGAACACATTTGGCTTTAGCGAATACATTCCAAAACCGAAGGGTTTCATCGCCAGCACCTGTTACGATTGATTCACCATCCGGACTCATGGCTAGATAAAGAACACGTTGTTGATGGCCTAATAACTTTGCTAATGGTTGCATGGACGGATACTTCCAAACAACAATTTGATTTTGTGAATAGCCATGAGTGGAAGCAAGTTCATTGGGTGAATTTTTTGACCACACTAATTGACATACTTGAGAGCCTGTATCACATACACTTAAAGTTTGACATGTTAACGATGAACGAAAACGGATATGACGATCAGCTGTGCCACCGCCGGATGCTAATAGACCATGTTGATGAGGTGACCATGCGATTGCTTTGACAGCAGCTAAATGGTCGTCAAATGAATGTAATGGTTGAGACGGTTGACTTTTTGACCAAAGGAAAAGTCGATTGTCATTTCCACCACTTGCTAAGATTGATTTGTCAGGTGACCATTTGAGACCGCAGACTTCTTGTGTATGTCCATGGAATATATTTGTCGTTGATTGTTGACGAATTTCGTGCTCAATTATTGAACGATCCCGAGAACCCGAACATAATGTCCAGTCGTTCCAAGCTAATGTACCAACACGGCTGCTATGCTTACAAATTGATTGTAAACGTTTTTGAGTTGTCACGTCATAAATATGCACATGACCGCGATTTGTACCTGAAATTTTCAAACAAAGTTTGAGCGTTGCATAGATAAACGCAAGCGCCAAGACCAACACTAAGCACATTCGATGACGACCAATCGATTAGATTTAAATAGAAATCATCCTGTAAATCAGGAGCATCCAAGACTTTGTACGGAACTTTTGGTATGCGACGAACTGATTTCTTTGGTGAGTAAAGCAAGTGTACAGAAGCATTGGACAAAGGAGAATGTGTAAAATGATGCTTATTGATCAATGTTGTGCTGGAAAAGCAATTTTCTACACGTTCAGAATACCGAAATATAGGTGTTGTCGATGATGATGATAAAACGGATGAGTTTTCCTTGTTAATTGAGCATTTCTTCGGTGTTACTGTTTTGCAATTCTCTTGATTAGTATTTTGCACATCCGATATTTTTAAAATAGAATCGACATTCGTATTTAACAAGGTATTCTGCAGCAGCTGTCGGTAGATAGCTAAATCGGGCTCATTGGCAGTGACACCTGATCCTAGACCAATTTGATTTTGTTCATATTTGCGTTTTTTATTTGGTGAGGTCGTTATTGAGGGTGATACCGATGGACATTGTTGACTTGGTGAGGATGGTGTTGTAATTTGATAGTGCAAGTTTGAGGTTGCAACTGATGATCGAAATGGAATGAACCGATCACTGACTTTCACAGGCGATTGAATTGGACTTTTGAATGGCGAGGACGATTGCAAGGAGCTTTGACCGTTCATGGAAAGGAGAAGACGGCGCTCGAAATGAGCATCCATAATTTAAGATTAAGTTAAGTAAAAAAGAAGAAACGGAAAGTGTAATAAATAGAAAACAAAAACTGACTAGACTACAGATCTAAAAGATTGAAACAACGTCGTCGTTGCTCGATGTTCAACAACGGATACCGTACTGAACGGTGATCTATGGGAGTATCTAGCCGTTAGCCGATCTTTGTTTCATGTAACAAAGAAGAGCGAAGAAGAAAGGACTAGAGGTCAACCAATTCGAAAACTTGAGTTCACCTTCGTTTTATGTCAAATAAAATTTTATTTTATAATAATAAAAAAATGAACCTGTGTGGTGAATTTCAGGTTTTGAAACAAATTAGCAAAACCAAAATATAGATGGCGCTCTACGGACAAGAGTATATACTCATGTGTGTAAACATTCATGGGAAAACTATTGAATTTAAATTAATGTTGCCGCAGGATATTCTACTTTTCAGGACTAATGCAATCACTGCACAGACGAACAGTTCAAATAATGAAATCTTCAAGCTAAAAACTTGCACCTATTTTCTTATCTGTATATGTGAGTATTTTGATAAGACATTAACTGCATTGAAAATAATCGTTAATCGCATTTAAATCTGTTCGTACATCCAATATCAACGCAATGTCTTGCAGCAATTGTAAAGCGAGTTTAGCTAATGTTGAATATGTTGAAAAAGATGAGAAAGACTTCTGTCTTAATTGTTACAATCAATTGTTTGGAAAATATTGTGCTAAATGCCAAACGTTAATCCTCATTGGTGCTAAAGTATCGTCGTTTACCGTTGTATGCATTCAAATCTTGATCGATGACATATTTAGATTGCGAAACATGAAGGAAAGTTTTGGCATAAAGATTGCTTTCAATGCTATTCGTGTCAAACAAAGTTAACGAAGTTTGAAATTGGTGATGACAAGCAAGTCTATTGTCATACGTGTTATACCGAAAAGTACGGACCGAAATGTGTGATCTGCTGCAAAGCAATCGTTAAAAGTTAGTAGGAATGAAGTGGTTAGTTCGATTGAGAAACTTGAATTTTAGGTTTACGTTATGTTGAAGCCGGAGGCCGGCTGTTTCACGAAGATTGTTTCAGATGCGGTTCGAAGCTATGCGCGAAAAAGCTAGAGAATGGTTTCATTCCCAAGGATAATCAATTCTTTTGCCCAGAGTGTTATCGCGACATAATATCAAAGGTAAATTCGTTAAACTAATGCATAAGTTTCGACTTCATGTTTGTAGCACACTTTTCGAGAGACATTGACTTGTCCTAGTCTTATCAACAGGTAGGCGAATTGCGTTTCGAAGCGAATAAGAGTTTAACGATTCTCTGTAGTGACTTGTTCTATACGGAGGAACAAATTATGAAATCAAAAGCACAAGAAATGAAAACTGAATTAATGTCAATAGTGCAACCAGTGAAGAGGACGCTTTTGATTCCGAAAGTTCCGAAAGATACTTCTTCTTTGACAGCTACAGATGAAACTCAAACAGCTTCATATTTGTTTCCAAATTTGATTATGAAAGCCGCAGTACATAACGGTTCCATTCAATTACAAAGTGGCGAGCTGAGTAAACAAACAGTGAGTCACTTCATTAAGGATTAATTTGTCCTCATTTGATATCTTAGGTCGATATCATTGTCGTATGCTCGACATCTGATACATTCCTGAAAGATGTTCTTCAACAAGCAGGTCTAACTGTACAAAATGACTACGATCGATTGTTATCATTGACGAACCAACAGGATTCAATTGTCGAAACAGAAGCTGGTAACCTAAGCTGCCAAGCAATTCTGTTCTGTCCATGGATTGCGCCAACAGATCGAGATCCGGAAAAACTATCTAATTCCGTCTCTGATTATATGTCGAAATGTTTAAATCATATCTTATACCATCCGAAAGTCTACCGGACTGCAGCATTTTCAGCTATGGGATATGACCTATCTCAATGTTCAATGGATATCATCGCAAAGACAATGATTAATACAGCTAAAGCAAAACTTGCTGAGACATTACTCTATTTTGATATTTCATTCTTTGTCCCATCTAACGAATATGATGTCCATCAGAAATTTGCCGAAAAGTTAACATTGATACAACAACCATTAGAACCATTTGGTTATGTCGATCGCCTATTTTCAAGTAAGTGAACTATCAACTGAGGCAACTTGGAAAATTCTATGTTTCTTTCCTCTGTAGAGGTATCTTTAACACTAACTGCCAAACAGGAAGCAAATCTTAAGCAATGCCGATCGACGGTTGATACTCACATTCAGTCATTGACACAAACAGAGATGAGAACAAATGAAGATCTGCATGCATGGACTCAACAATTAGTCCTTATTTTCTACAAATACTGCCTAGATCGTCATATCTGGCCGATGATTAGTTTTGAACAAAAAAAATTATCATTAACTGGTAGAAAAGACGCCATTGGTGAAGCTGATAAATATTTTCTTGAATTAACCAACCAAGCTCTGAAACAAACCCACTTGCAAGCCATTTCACGCAGTGTTCTCTGGGAATATCAAATCGACGGCACAACATGGCAAAATTATTCTTACAAATCCATCAGTGAAATTGAGTATGCATACAGCTTTCAAAAATTATCATCGGTTCGTTAACAAGAAATCAATAGCAACTGTATTCAAATGTTTTACTTCTCTTTCAGCTTGATATTATCAATGAACAGGATGAACAGTGTCGCATTGATTTTTCGAACAACACGGAAACATTCAATGATCGTATTCGATCTATTCGGCGACAACATTTAGTTAGTATCAGTTTGCCAATGAATTGGCAATGTCAATCGAATAATTGTTGTCGATTTGTTCTCAATGAAGACACTGAAGAATACAAAAGTATCAAACAATCATTTGATCAGACGATGGTCAATGTATATAAGTCTATAAAATCTATTGAGCGTATCCAAAACCAACGATGGTATAAACAATATGCTGCACATCGTGATGCTATGAATGAACGATTGAAAGAAAACACGGAAAGACGGTTATTTCATGGTTGTAGTGAAACAGCTGCTAATAGCATTATTGAAGAATGTTTCAATCGAGCGTTCGCAGGAGTCAATGGTATGTTTGTCCATAAACGATCTCTTCATTTTAAGATAGCTTCATCTTAGGTACTGTTTATGGTCATGGTGCTTACTTTGCAGCCAATGCTATCTATAGCAATTCATTCACGCGTCCAGATAGTGCTGGTGTGCGCTGCATGTTTGTTGCTTCAGTGCTTATTGGGAAAACTATTCTGGGTAATTCGTCAATGAAAGTACCGCCCCGAGGTTATGATTCTACAACAGATAATAATCAAATCTTTGTTGTATATCATGATGCACAAGCGTATGCTGATTATCTAATTAAATATCAATAGTGTCACAGTCATTTGCATACATCTCCTACGATGATTTCATGTTCTACGCTAGTACATAAACTGTTGATCTATTATATTACCATTTGTTTTGACACTTAGTTTCGCAACTTCGACATATTTAGATGAAAAGCTTTTTTACGTTAACCAGCAGATTTCTCCGAAACCAAATCTAATCATCGCACGGTTCCGCAATTGAAATTATATAAACATGAAAAGTTTTCTTTATAAGTAAAGATATATAAGTTTATGAGCATATATTTGACAACCATTGTAAAAAAACTATTTCGACGGATTATTTGAGAAATAATCGATTACATTTCTTAGAATAGAATATATAGAAGTGTTTCATGCACAGTTTTATTTAGACAAATAATCGAAACTTATTTTCTCTAACATCCTTCCATCGAAAAGATAGCGTAATGAAATGGCACATTTAATTATAAGAGATCTTTCTAAGAAATTTTCTTGTGATATCTATACACATTCTAATCTGTGTCTATGAGGTTGAAAAAGATTTGCAAAAAATTTCAGTTTTATCAACTTAGTGCCTTTCTGGATAAGATCTTTTTATTTCCTAGAGCACCTAATATTTTCATGCAAAAGAATGGATTCGTATCCACTTTGGCAGAAAACAATGAAGATTATGAAGTTCATTTCTAAAAACTCTCAAGGTTGCTACCTTCGTTGAGATGGCTTAGGTCAAAAATTTGTATTCATCACAGACCGTAATCGCCAAAAGAGTCAGAACTGTCGGCAACTGCCATAGATAAGTCAGTAAAATTATGAGTATATAATGTATAGGATTTCGGCAAAGGGCTGCTTGAAAATCCTGTTCTACTCAGAGTCGACTGCTTATACGTAGATGTTTTTCGTTATAGAAAAGCAATGCATGATACCATATTAATCCTTAACCATTGTATTTCATATATTTAATGTCTTTGCAAGAATCAAGTACGTAGCGATGTGATCAATCGTTTGATGAGTAGCCTTATTTCGGTAGTTTTACTTTGTCTGAACTGATCATGTTCAGCCTATTGGAGAAAACGGCCAAAAATAAATACAAATATACACTGACTTTCTTCACTTGTGTCCATATCAAAACTATTTGGGGCCTTACTAAACAGCTAAAACAAGAAAACCTATGAATCTTACGGAAGATCTTTACTTTAAACATTACATGAATTCATTTGATACTGAGTAATATATGAAAGACATTCATACGAACGTATATATGTATAATAACTTTATCAGTCGAGTGTAGCTTCTGTGTTTCTACATAACTATTTGTACAGTCTAGTTCTACTTTGTATCCCTGCATATGTGCATAACTTCAAATGATCTCATTTCAAAACAGAACCATATTCTTTTATTTCTTCTTTACATATTTCAAGCTTTTCTTTTACAGTATTTATACGATAGTCATTCATGTCTGCGTAGGCCTAACCGATGTTGTTGTTGTTGCACGAGGTAGCCAAATCAGGATGATTTGAAGGAATACTCTTTCGTCGGGTTTCAAGTGCTTTTTCGTAGTATTCTAGAGCCGTTATATAATCAGCTTTGAATAAACCAAGCCGGTGATAATAGTATGGTTTATCGGTCTTCTCGGATGTTTGTTTCAGTAATGATGTGCATAGTTCTTCTGCTCGGTGTGGTTGAAGTAGTCGGTTGCCCACACTGTCCCGTCTCGTATCGCCTGCAACTTCACCTTGAATGTGTTCCTTGAGAACGCGAAGCTGTGGATCATCATCGGCAGTCAACTGAGGGAGTATCGCATGGTGAAATACATCGCCAGTCGCTATTTGTTGAACTGTCCCAATTCGAAAGACACTGTGCATGAAGAAAAGTGTTTCTGCTGCGTCGTCTATATGACTTAAATGTATAATCGATGTGCAGGGAGTTATGAAAATATTCATATGGACTGTGATCACAAATAGGTTATTCGCAGTGTCAGCAACTCAGTGCTGAAGCACTACATGCGTACATTAATGACTGGGCCATGATCGCTACTGGTAGATAAGAAATATTCAAAAGATATTTGGTCACCGATAGGTTTTGTTAACTTGGTGAAATTTGCCTTGCATAGTACAAAAGGCATTCTTTGGTGATTTCAACTAATTGTTGATGAAGTTGTGTAAATCATGAAGAAAGAATCCCATGCTAATGATTACTTCGCCATCTAAAGTGTGAAGTACTCGATTGAGTATTTTATAGATAAAACATTCACGTGTATACCATCAAATGTATTTACCTGGACTAAGCATGTTCAAATTCATTAATATACTTTTCCTGTACGATTTTATCATGATAAAGTTTACGCCAGTAATTTGCTAAATCCTTGACGGCTTATTCGCCATGCTCCATTTCAAGAAGAATTCTCCTGAATACTTGTGTGCACATAAAGCTTGACTCCGATTGATTGAGATTTTTGTTGGAAGTTGCTGCTTCTGCGGTGACAAACTGATGGTAATGGAATTTTGCTTGCGCTGTTCGACACTCATGGTCAGTGCTTCACAGATTTCGTTGATGTTCATATTTGACTACATTTCGTAAGTGTATCAAAATATTTTGATACTCTTCATCGATGTTGGCATCAACCAAAACTAAAAGATAGTCTTGAACCATGCGTTGTCGTGATTGACTAGCGTACAGATCATTTTGTCTAGTAAATTAAAATTTACAGTACTCGTTTTTGTGAAAATGGAAACACAAGCTTCTTTATCACATAGTCAGTGAATAATGTTTTTCAAGAGCAAAAATATTTGCGTTGTAATCGACTCTTCAAGAACCCTCGAGAACAAGTAAGGACGAGGAAGAAAAGATCAGTTACAAAAAATTTTTTACGACGTTCGAAAAAAGCGACGAACGCATGAAGCTGTTTACAAGCTTGATTGTTATTCAGTCGAACTTTGTCTTGTAGGCATCGTTCAAGTAATATACTGTCTCAAATCTTACTATGAATCTAGTAACACCGACAGAATGAAACGAAACAGAATATTTATCGAATAACTCGCGAACAGAGACAACTATCAATTAGCAGTTTTCACTATTGTAAACATTACGCTGAGTAATGATCACGTGCGATAAGGGTTTAGCTATGTCCTTTGGTCCTCACACACCCTCACCCCCAAGTTGAAGAATGTATCGTTCGTACTGCTATTATAATATCGAATCACTCCAGCGCAAAACCAACGACGTTCGCATATATGTTCTGTCTCAAATGCATTCCTGAATAATTTGCACATATTTCCTTCAATGACTATAAGATCTACGCAAGTACATAGAATGTAAATCCGTTATATTATCATTTATATAATACGAATAATATACTGAATCGGATGTCTAACTTTGTAATAAATACCTCCTTCGAAGTTTGAAGGACGTATCTGACAAATATTATCTGTATATCATTGTAACCAGTTTTGTGTCTACATGCATTGAAAATCAGCTGTCTGTCTGTTTGTTCTTGACAAGGTCACGCTATCTTGGTATGCTTGAGTAATAAAAAGATCATTTATAACTACTTATAGCACATCCATATATAATCAATGGACTACTTTGTATCTCTACAGCCTCAGTTTCAATACCTTCTCAACATGATTCGTTCATGACTGTTGAGCTTGAATGGTATTTCGAATCATCATTGGCTTCAGATGGAAACTCTTTGAATAGGTTTGCTTTTGTATTTAATTTTAGAAAAAAAATGAAAGTAAAGAATGAACAGCAGCAGCAACAAACACACATACGCACGCATGCACATTGCGCATGGTACGATAGTTTCAGAAAGAAAGAAGAAAGAGATGATACGCATACACACACAACTACAAAGTTTTCCGGTGTGCATGAGTTAATGTTCTAAAGTTAGTGGCGTGTGAATGACAAGAAAACCGTATCAAAAAGACAAGAAAGAATGGTCCTTTGTTACGGTAATAACGAAAGTCCATATGGTTTGGTCGTAACAATAAAAGAGAAAGAAAAAAAACAGAGAGGTAACAACAACAGCAACAACAAAAAAGATATCTCAATTGTTGAAGTGCAATACGCCATCCACAACAACAATAACAACAGCAAAAAAGAAAGAAGAGGAGAAAAATACCTACGAAATCATGTGAATATCTTAACAAAAGTTTTGCTTTTCAATCGAATCCATTCGCTAGGTTTTGACGCTGATAGTTTGACAAGAGAAAGAAAAGTGAAAGAAGTGAGAAATAACAGAAATAACAATGATCAGGCAGAAGAAAAAGAAACTGTTCTACAAAATGTGTGTTATACGCTTGCTGGTTTCAGACTAAAAGAAGAAAATGTTAGGAATAGCTTAGAATGGAGAAATACGCAAGAACAGAGTTCAGTTTTCTTTGTTTTGTTTTATGTCAATTTAACCATCTTACTGCTTTGGAAGAGTAGGAAAATCTTCTGGATTATCAAGTGATGGTGCATTTGGATCAGCATTGCCGCGTCCTTGACGAGCGCCACGATTCGGTCGACGGTAATCACCCCGGCCACCACGTGAACCACCTCGATGCGAATCATCGTATTGTTGAGATGATGATTGTTGGCCTTGGCTAGGTGACGTAGCTAAATGAAGAATAACTCAGTTTGCGAACATAAGAATCTCTCTGTATAAATACATCTTTGTTGTTCATCACGATTGGGTCGGAAGCGGTTGCCTCCACGACGTTGGGCGCCTGAATTACGTGGTATTTCAATTGGTTTGAAACGAAGTGGAATACTGATCAGTTTCTTTTTTCCGATCATATGTTCTTCTTCTTCTTCACCACTTTCGTTTTCTAAAATAATATGTACACAGTGAATAGTTTGAAAGTTTTATGCTTGAAAATAAACAAACCTTCGACTTCACTTCCTTCTTCTTCTTCCTCTTCCTCTTCATCATCGTTCTTCTTACGATATTCATGACCCAACTTTGTTAACGCTTTTGGATCTTCACCTTCACCAGCAGCACGTGTCTTGAATTGTGGTAATTTCTCTTGATTAGCTCGTTTTTTCGCTTCAATTTGTTTTTTGTATTCATCCAAAGTCATTTGCTTTTCAGCTTCATCGACTTGTTGCGCCCAATCTTTTGATGTTGGTGCTCCTTGAGCTGTTGTTTCATTTATTTCACTAGAATTTCACTTCGATAAAAAAAACGTATCATGGACTTATCTATATTCCTACTCAGAAATTGGATGCTCTTCAGGATTTTCAGTTGGATTACCCCAGTTGTAAGCGCCTTCTCCATCTCTCTTCTCGATTGGTTTCACACCGCTGAAAATGAAGACAATAAGAATTCTATCATAATGTTCAAATCGACTTACGAAACGAATGAACGTGGTTGACGATCGAATTGACGGCGATTGGATCGATGATCTTCTTGACCACCTTCACCTTCACGATCACTATAGTTGCGATTACCATGTGATCCTCGGCCGCGATGGCTACCTCGGTTGTTACGTCGAGTATTATCTGGTTCGAATGATCGGTCTGTTGCTAAGGCGTCTTGATCATAGTCACGTGTACGACCGCTATCGAAATTTGTTCTAAATAAACAGAGAGTACAACTCAACATGTTTGTTTTTCCTCATAAATGGTTATCTCTAAAGGATCTCTTCCTATTCTCTTGTAAAGGTAAAATGACTTAAGCGATCACTATCACATACTCGGAACTTTGTTGCCATCCGCTGCCTTCTTGTTGTGAATCATCGTCTTGATTTCGGTTGCTGAAGTTGCCACGTCCTGGTCCACCGCGACCACGACCGCGGCCACCGGCACCACGGCCTCCTTCGAAGTTACCACGTCTTGGTCCACCACGGCCACGACCACCGCGTGTACCAGCTTCGTTACTCCAAGCGTCGCCGCTTTGTTCGAATGAACCTGATTCGTTGGCTGATGATGAACCTTGTCCTTCGAATTTGTTGAAACGTTGAGAACGGCCACGACCAGAACCTTCTGTGTATGGTCCACCTCTTCTTGAACCGCCACGGGCACCTAAAAGACAAAAACAGCCATCAACGTTTATTCCATCTTCGGACTTCTTCATCGAACAAACACACCTCGTGCACTATCACCACGTGGTTGATTGTTGTTATCACCGAATACAGCTGGTGTAGTCGCCGATTGTTGTCTTCGTGAATCAACATGTGTTGACTTTGCCGTTAAGTTTTCTTTGTTAGTTTTGGTTGTTGTTGATGTTGTCGTTTTACTGGTCACTTTCTTGGTTGATTGGCTGGAATCTTTCGTCGAAGTCTTTCTTTGTTTTTCTTCTTCTTTTGCTTGAGCAGCAATAAATGCTTCTGGTTCTTCATCGTGATCAACAAACTGAAGAAAACGATTTCCTGTGTTAACACCGTATTCGAAGTCGAGCACCATTTTTTCTTTGTTTCTTTATTGTCACAAATTCAAAAATTGCATCTAGAACAAAAACACATGGTCCGTATACTTGCTGTTTTAGTTGTTCGATGACTAAGTTTGGCGATTTTCATTCGAACGTACACATTGGTAAAAACGATAAAATGTGTCTCAGTAAAATATTCGATGGTCGATAAAAGAGAAGGATGAGGATGAGGAGGAGGAGTATCGAAAGAAAGAGAAGATATCGGAAAGAATTTCGGTGCTAAGCAAAACTGAATCAACATCGTGAGAGAGGCTATTAAGTACGGCAAAAAATTATAAGAAGTAAAAATAAATTGAAAAACAAAATTTTCCATAAAAAAATTTTTCAGAGATCAACAACGAATTCGCCTTGAGAAAAAATTTCGCGTTGTTTTTTCGTAATGCATTCCTTCAAGACCTCTATGCACTTGTCTAAAGAGATGATATGAGATCATTATGGTAGAACGGATATCCATAATTTACCGAGAAAAATGCAGAGAATATTATCATCTTGTTTTAATGATTAGCGAAATATGTTTGAGTAGTTGACTGTTAATAGAAATCATGTTTAGTAGTTGATAGATAGTTTGTTAGTTTTACTTTTATTTTCCTTCGATCAACATGTAAGTTGTCCTTATTTACCTATGATCGATCGGTAAAGAATTGTTCGATTAATTGTCTTTCAGTCATGTCGTTCAATGTTAAGACATCAAGTACGGCAGCGCCGGCACGTACATCTCAGAATGTTGGACCGTACATATTACAAAAAACGTTGGGCAAAGGTCAAACAGGTACGGAAGAAACTTTCCTCTTTACTGACGTCATTGTTTATCATCTCAAATTTCCTGTCTCTTACTCTTCTAGGACTTGTCAAATTAGGTGTACACTATCTAACGGGAGAGAAAGTCGCTATTAAAATAGTCAATCGTGAAGCGCTATCCGAATCAGTATTGATGAAAGTAAGGGTTGACATTTGTTTTCATGCTGGTATATCGGTTTTTGAATAGGTCGAACGAGAAATCGCGATTATGAAACTAATTGAACACCCACATGTATTACGTTTATACGATGTATATGAAAGTCGAAAATATTTATATCTCATTCTCGAACATGTTGCGGGCGGTGAATTATTTGATTATCTTGTGAAAAAAGGTCGTCTAACACCGAAAGAAGCACGAAAATTCTTTCGACAAATTATCTCTGCTTTGGATTTTTGTCATAGCCATATGATCTGGTAGGTGAAATACTAAATTGAATCGTTTTCTACATCAGTTTTCTTTCTTTACTTTTAGTCATCGTGATTTAAAGTAAGGAATCAAAAAGAATATGTCATGTTGTCATCGTTTCATTTTTACAGACCGGAAAACTTATTATTGGATGATAAAATGAATATTCGCGTAGCTGATTTTGGCATGGCGTCATTACAAGTCGAAGGATCCTTTCTAGAAACCAGTTGCGGGTCCCCACATTATGGTAAGATTAGTTGAACACAGTGAAGCACGATATAACTATTCTTTTTGATTTATTTAGCATGTCCAGAAGTAATTAAGGTAAATCTCGAAAATCATTTCTTTGATGTTGAAAAACGTTGATTCAAATTTCAACTAGGGCGAAAAGTACGATGGGAGAAAAGCTGATGTTTGGTCATGCGGTGTTATTCTCTACGCTCTTCTCGTGGTATGTATAATAATTTCATCAAAGCCCTACAACATTTGTGAAATTCGTCTCTTCTAGGGTGCACTACCATTTGATGATGATAATCTTCGTCAATTACTTGAAAAAGTGAAAAAAGGTGTTTTTCATATTCCACACTTTGTTCCAGCTGACTGTCAACAATTATTACGTGGAATGATCGAAGTTGATCCAAATAAACGTTTAACGGTAATTAGAATGTTTGCTTCTTTTTCTTTTTTGTTTTCTTCTTGAGCAGAAAAAAAGCCCACTTAAAAACCAAACTTCTCTCGCGCTCATATGCTCGCTTGCTTATTTATTTATTTTTCTTCTTTATCAATCCATTACACACTCCAGTTGGAAGATGTTAGTCGACATTCATGGGTTACACAGTACGTAAATAATGAACATACACCTATTCATCGTCGTACTCGTCTTCCACTTTCGTCTAATCGTTGTACACCGTCAACAACAGTGAAAAGAAAGAATTTACAGCCACCTTCATCGATGTTCGTGATATGTTTCTGTTATCATCATTGCTTGCCCGTTTGGATGTTGTTCTTGTTACTCTATATGTTCCTCGCATGTTTTCGGGTGTTCATTGTTCCTATGTATTGTAACAATGGTATCGAGAAAACCAACCGTTTGCTTGCCTGTTTGCTTGCTTGTTTGTTCTGCATGACTGTTTTGTTGTTTGATAGGAAGACAAAGGAGGGGTTGAAATCCGAATGTTATAATTTGGTTTGTTTAGGGGAACAAAGACTGAATTGGAATTGGAACTACCAATGGTACAAGTTGTTCAAGTATGTTGATTATAGAAGAATTTAGTAAAGAAATTCCTTTGTTATCATTAGACAACCATCATTCCAAATGAAGAAGATATCGATGCCGATGTTTTTGCTGCGATGACGTCATTGGGCTGTTTCAAAGATCGACAACGTTTGATTGAAGCGTTACTAAATTCGAAGTAAGGAAATGCGATGCCATCATTGAACGTTATTTGATTTCCTCATTTGCGTACAGACATAATACAGAGAAAGTAATCTACTTTCTTTTACTTGATCGTAAAATGCGTCAACCAAGTTATGAAGATGCCGAAGATGCTAAACATCGAAGTCGTTCTGGTTCACGTAAAACATCGTGTCATTATTCTTTTTGTAATGATGTTTTTTTTTCTTTTTTGCAGCTGATGTGCCTCAAAAACGTGTCGATCGTCATCGTTCGAATGGAATCGGGCAAAGTCCAAATCCGAACGCCCATCGGCCAGGCATTGTTAGTCAACTAGCAGAAGGATCGCCTTTAGTACCGCGACGACAACTCTATTCAAATATTAGGTAAGGATCCTGCTAACATCTAATCAAGATACAGTTACAGATATAATACCTAAGAAGACGACTCTTTTCCGTTTCCATCATTAAAATGCCTGCAGGGCATTCTTAATGCAACGGAAAGGAGATCCTCTTTTTCTCTTATAAAATTAATAATCGATAAAATTCCCCATTCGATCTCTTTCGTTTTTCTAGTAATAAAACAATCTCGGCGAACAATACTCCATCGGTGAGTCCATGTGCATCGCCCACTGTTATCAAAAAAGATGTCTTCAATAAAATCTCGACATTTACAACGGGTAAAACATCAATCGAAAGTCCAACATCTCATTCATCATCGACTCAAGGCTCACACATACATCGTCATCATCGCAATACATCAACTGTCTCCCAAAATGAAAACGTTCTTACAACTCAACCATCAGCACAGTCAATTACACTGGCAAGTGATCAATCATATTCATCGGTTAATACCGAAATTACAGCTAATAATGGTACATCAACATATCATCCATCACGGCGAAATCCGCCAGTGCAACCAACACCTCCTCCGCAGCATGTACCACTCGCGCCTCAAATCTCTGAGCCCATGAATAAGGAACCATTATCTTCAGTGATTTCGAATAATAATAATAATAATAATAATAATAATTCACTTTTGTACACACCACCAAATCAAATTAATATGCCACAAACACCGAATAATAATCAATGGAGACATAAATTGAACAATTTGAAACAAAGCTTTCAAAGTGTGGGAACACCGCGATTTCATCGACGACCTAAAGTTCTATGTAAGTTCCCATCAATAATTTTCATTAAATTTAACTTTTGTATTCATAAACTATTTCAGTAACTGAAAGTGATAGCACGAATACATCAAATTCGCCATCACAATACGGAACTACACCTGAAGCAACTAAGAAATCCCTCTTTCATCACATTATCGATGCCATGCAAGAAGATCATCATATGATTGTTGTTAAAGATCGACCATTAGCAGCTATTAAAACCGATCTCATTCATGCTTTCCTATCGGTAATTATACATTTAAAACGAACATTGGTTTAGATGTTTAACTAAACTGTTTTTAGACTCCCGATCTCGTACACAACGTTCTCTCTGGTACACAATATCGATGTGAATATCGTCGACCAGATCGTTCATCAATGTTTCAACGCAATATACGTTTTCATGTGGAAATTTGTACAGTTAAATCCATCGATCCATCGACACCTGATTCGTATTATGTCACGTTCACACTGATTACAGGTAAGAGAGAGAGAGAGAGAGAGATAGAAAGAATAACTGACGATTCGAGGAGTGTGCTTATACATTGATGTCGATATAGGACAAGCAAGACGTTTCAAGAAGCTGTGCGAAGAGATTCAAGCTCTATTCCTAACAAGTAAAGAACGGTTAGCAAAACAACGACGCCCACAACAACAACAACAACAACAAGCAACAAATGATAGTCGATCTCTAGCCGGTGGTGGTAATGGTCATTCAATAAATTCGTCTACAGTTACAAATCTTCCAACAAACTCGACGACACCCATGACACCTCGATCGAATGCGTCATTTATTTCATCATTATTTGGAAACACAAATTCGCCATGTAAATATCGTTGATTTCTTTCTCATCTGACATTTCCCTCGACAGTCTGGTTTATTTATTATCAAAGATTCTTTTTTGTCTGATCCCTTGAGAACAAGACTAGATCAATTTCCAGATACAGGAAGACGTTTAAGCCAAGAAAAATAAGCAATTTCTGTTTTCAAGGTTTCAAATTGCATTGCGATCTAAACATGAGATATCATTTCATTGAGTACATCGATCGATCTTATTTTTGTTTACAATTTAGATACGAAACTAAATGTCACATCGACTCAACCACAGCAACAGCCACAACAATCATCTTCTTCATCTATTTCTTCGCTTTCATCCACATCCAACGTGTCCCTGACCAATCCTCCTTCAGCAGTCAATTCAGTGGGTTCGCCTTATTCAGTAACATCGTCAATCAATGACGATCCTACAGTCGAATCTACTCGTCTGAAACTTGCTCATCGTCTTGCTATCTAGTCATTTTCTTTTCTCATGCTTATTGTTGTATTTATGCGTGTGTATCTCATCAATATGTATATGTATTGTTTCTCTTTTCGTGCAATCTGTCCTCTCTCATTCCATCGACATCTATGACCTTCGAAAAGCAAAATCAAGTCCTTTCTCCTTGCGAAAATTACTCTCTAGTCAAAAGCCAAACCTTCTCCCATCACATTTGTTTTTCTCTCTGGCGATGATATACACCGCTTGTCTTCCGTCTTATCGTCGAAATCTCTACCCTCTTTCGTTCATTCACAAATCATTTCTATATTGAACAAAACCAAAACCCATCAACTTAAAAACAAACGTCCAATTATTTCATTTATTGTTCGTGCACTTGTCATTCTTCTATTCATTACTATATACATATATATTTGTGTGTGTGTGTGTGTGTGTGTGTGCATGAACTGTAATTTTAAGAGCGCACCTTTCTTCATTTTTTTTCTCTTTTTTTTCTCTTCTTCAACTTTCACTTGTGTCTTATCAACAAAGAAAACATAGAACGTGACGAAACAATCGACTATCAGAAAAGCAAACGAACAAATAAACTATTCTGACATGTACATTATTTGTCATATGTGAATATTTCATGTGTGTATTCAACTAATGACATCCTTGACGAATAAAAATAGAAAGTTTTAATTAAATTAATGATAGAAGATTGTTCGCGAGACACAGCAAAGTTCGATCCTAATTCCAAGATGACAAATGGAATGTCGTTGTTCAACTCGTTGATTGTAAATAAATAGGAAATGAAATCTGAGATGAAAAGTCTCGTCTTTCAAAATAAGGAAATCATTGAAATACTACTCGAATGTGTATCAAAGGAAATTGTTCAATGTCGACGTTGTTTTTCTTCTAATGATGTTCGCCGCATGGCACATCAAAGAACGTACAGACAAACTTCACTACTTGAACTGAATGCTTCGTTTCTTTTCGGGTGGATGTTAATTAGTTTTTTCTTCTTGGCTGCATCCATAACATTAATATTGATGGAATCATCAGACTAGATTCGAGCTTGCCTTTCAAGCAGACAAGTCAACGAGATGAAATTTCACTTGTTTTATTCGATAATTTTCATCATATCCACGAAAAGAAAAAAAACGACTGGAATAGCACTAGTTAATCTATACCAAACGAGATTTTCGTTTCCTCTCAAAGAAATAGACAACAGTTAAGTTCAGAACACTGTTCGCGTGTTTATACTTTTATGTTTAGGTAGAAAGATATGCAATTTATCATTACTATTGTGTCATATTATTTCTTACACGAAGAACAAAAGTCGGTCTTTACTTAGTCGATATTACCTAAAAGCTACTACTTTCGTTCGGTCGGGAAAACAGACGGAATGTATGTAGCCGAAAAAGATGAGTGGCTAGGACTAAGTTCATCAGTATCCTAAGAATCCAACCGCCGGAGCCTCTCTCTCTCGTGTGAATCTTGACATCAATGGTTCTCTTTATCCTTTCTGCGAACCGAAATCAACAATACAATCTTATTCTTGGTTTTTTTAATCAAGAAATTTTAAAGAAAAAGAAATGATGATAAATAATCATAAGTAGAAAAACAATCAAAAAAGAAAAAAAAACGTATTAACTGCTGATCAGATATCATTAGTTTTTCTCTTCCTACACACATATGAATGTGTAGATACTGTAAAATTTTCTCATCACAAACTGGAAACAACAACAACAACAACAAAGAAGAAGAAGAAGAAGAAGAAAATAGAAAGTGAAAAATCAAAGATAGAGAAAAGATACATAATCAAAAAGAAAGACAAATGTGTTCATGTATATACGTGTAAAGAAAAATGAAACGAAAACAGAAACATACATACTTGTGTTCTGTACGAAATTCGAACGAGAGAAAAGATAGAGTGAAACGAGAAGAATCAAGTATGGTCTGTAAGAAAGTCAAACGAATTTTCAACGGCAAATTTTCGTAGAAGTAAAGAAAAGAACTTGTCGTTGATGTTCATCAGTGCAAATATGATCTATTGTTTGATTTGTAGAATATTTTGCCAAAAAAGAACGATTTTTTACAAATAGATACATTAACTTGATTTATTTCTACAAATTCTAGAAGAAACTAAATAAATGTTTCGGTTGCAAATATGAGATATAGGTTATTACGTTCTCATAAATATACATATTTGCATTGAAGACTTGAAGAACAATTTGATTTAAAGTCTCGGCAGATGGGATGCATATCCAGCAACTGAAATGGAAATAATTGGCGTTTTGAAATAGGTTTTTTGCGCTATGCAGATGACTTTCATGCAGCGTGCATTAGATACATGCAGAAAAGAAGAGTAACTAGAGGAGAAAAACCAGTACGTTTAGCTTGGAGTCGGACTAGTCTAGGTAACTATGAATGTATTACGTCCTAAGGATTAGTACGTACTTTTAAGTTGATTTTGAGCTGAACAAATGGCAGAAAACAATGAAATAATCAATATGTGGAAAAAAGATTTCATTTCTACTCAAGTGAGGATAAAGCTCAGTTTCGAAAAGATCTCAAGCGTCTAAATGAATCAGTCATGCTAAAAAGTCTATGGTACACTTACATGCCATAGGTACAGCGGTTAGATAGGGTTGTTGAAACTGTATTGGTAATGGTGACGGTGATGGATAAGAGAATGCTGTTACTGGGTAAGCGGCCATTGGTATGCCAGTCTTCGGATCAGCAACTGCTGGTCGCTTTTGATGTTGGGCGGGTACAGTTGTTTGTTGCGGATGTTGAACATACTGTGGCGCAGCGATTAACTGTGCTCCTGGAGGCTAAACAAAAAGGCACATTCGTTAGTTTTTCGAAAACTTGAATGCCATAGGAAAAGGTTTTTTTATTTATTAATTTATTTCTTTGCTTTGTTGTTTTTCTCCACGATGGATTCGTGTTTTTTTTTTCAAACTGATCGAATCGTCTGAAGCAAGTAAAGCTAGCAAGATTATCTAGAGAAAGCATGTTAGAGGTCGATCAGTTTTCATCTACACATACAAAGCACAACAAATAAATGAATAAATAAGTTGTTAGAACTAGAAACAAATTTTCAAAGCATATGTGCAATACCAGCTTCAGGTAGGCACCGGTAGTAGCAGTATCGTCTTCAAGCGGTCGTTTTTTCGGCTGCTGTGTAATAATGCTGCTGCTGCTGACAGGATCGATCACTGCCTAGATTAGTAGAAAAGAGAGGAATAGAGAAAAAGTCGTGTATGCAACAAGCAAATACAAACAAAAGAATAAACAACAAACAAGAAGCCTTAGAATTTCAATTCCCTTTTCCACGAGAATGACTGGTCAATATTCGAAATCGGAGTAGAATCATCCGGAAGACGTGCATCAGTTACACATAATCTAGAACTTGTCTTAGAAAGCTTTTAAGCACGCATGATATTCTCTCTAAAAAAAAGAATACATCTTTTCCGTGCACTTGTCTAAGATAAATCGCTGATCGTTTACGAAAGCATCATATATAGTATAGATATATGGATATTTCATCACATTCACAAAAGGCAACGGCAGAAAAGAAACAAAGGCTGTTGCTTGCTGCATGTCTTCAGAAAACTCCTAAAAAATTACAAATTTTTGCTACCTACCGAATTATCAGTTGATGTTGCAGTTGTCGATGATGATGACGATGATCCGTCGCCATTAGTTAGATTCAGTGATGTAACCAATGGCTGCTAGAAGAGAAAAAGAACATGTAGAACACAGGCAATCGTCCATATACAATTGAACGCACATCTTTCAGATCAATCGATGTAGGCTGAGTATAGATAGTTTGAATTTGTCCTGAATACGGTTGATAAGATTGAACATAGTTGCTATTATAGGTACCATCTTCTTCGGAATAATTTTGATGTTGCTAGAAAAGGCAAAGAGAACGATCAATCAACGCGAAATATCTATCATTTTTCGAATTAATTTGTAAACTACAACTAAATGCAAGCTTAAGCAGAGCTACAAAGCATACCAATGGCGAAGAAGAAGAGGAAGAAGCAGATGCAACTGATGCTTGTTGAGGATAGAAGTACGTAGTCGGTGGTGCAGACAATATCGATTGACTACTATTCAACGTCACTGGTTGAAGCAATTGAATAGTAGATGGTGAGTACTGTAGCGCTGCTGCTGCGGCTGCTGAATATACTTGTGCAGCAGCTGCAGCTGATTGAGCTTTCACTGCTTTCAGTTGGGCCACCAGATGACCAGGTGGGTGAAAATATTTGCATGTTTCACGAGCACATTTGCCTTTAACGTAATCGACGCAAACAGTAACGAGACCGTCGGCATCAAGGGGACAATGTGGTTGGGGATGTGCATGGAGACATGTCTCTGCAGTATACAAGCACTGTCCATGCTGAAAATCAGTGCACACCTAGAAATAAAATCAAGAGAAGCTATATACAACAGAAGAGGCACATGCATGCAACATCATACTAGATAAGAAAACAATAACTAGAGAAGCAAGCAACAAGCAAGGAAATAAAGAGACTAGTTGTGTCAGGCATCAAGACTAAGCACGAAGAAGTGTACAAACAAAAACAAATAAATATGAATGTTAAAGGAATACATGTGCAAGAGAGTGACCATGGCTACTACGGACAGGAATAACAAGCTGGCCTCGATTTGCTTCAAAAAGAAACTGAAACGATCTTATCACTTACATAGAGCGTATCAAGTTCAAGGTAAGACTAAATGGGATACACATCAAATAAGTACGGAAGATATAAAAATTGAGAAAAAGGAGCGAGGGAATGAGGAAAATAATGAGATACTGTATTTAGTTCAAAGACAAGCATAGAAGTGTGTGCTAAATGTGGTTGTTCATCATGTGGCGAACAATCGAAACAAACCTTCATCATTTCGTGATTGGAATTATTAGTTGAATAAACCTAGAGAATGGAAAAGTTTCGTTGAAGATATGTCTTCCTTTTTCCATCACCACAATCGAGTTTTGATATAGAAACCGAGCAGCAGAATGAACAAGAACAAAAGCTGCACGAAAAACGCGCAACGTGAAGGTTTTGTAGTCGTGTGTAGAGAAATTTAGATGTATAATGAGCGAAATGCATGCTCCCATTATTTGGTTGGTTTGTATGTTTTTATTTTTTTTTTATGTATAATGATGATAATAAAAGAGCAGCAACAATGGCGGCACGGAAGTGGCTCAGAGCAGATTAGTGAATAAAAGAGAGCTCAACAATTCCAAAGAAGAAATGGCAGGGAAAGATTGGCCGATTTGCTGGCGAATGTTACTCAGACAAAACCTATCGTTTTTCTTGACTAGCTGCTTCAGCGTGCAGATGCAGCGATTATATATTGATATTGAGAGAAAGAGAAAGAGAGAAATTGGCGCGCCTGGCTGCTAGAGATAGACAAATTGACATATCTCACTTACCACTGTTTCAATGGAAACGATGAAAAGAAAGAGTGGGAATAATGAGAAAACGAATGGAATTGATTTTTCACGAATACAAGACATACTTCTAGACGATCGGTGCGTGTAATCTTGGGTCCAGTTGGTTGAGCAGCTATTTGTGTGACCGGTTGAAAATATTGTGTACCATCTGGACTATACATAGCTGCAGTCGCGGTCGTTTGGGGAATTTGTTGAATATGAGCTGCATGCAAAGGAATGCTAAACGCTTGGCCTGCTGAGTTGAAAACTAAAGTTGATTGAGCGGGACCCGATGGATTCATATGAGGATAGGATGCCTGTAACAAAATGGAAAGATGGATTCTATGGCATACTCAGATCAGAAAGTATTTCTGTTTACAATGGACGTAGACTGTTGTAGAGGATTTTGAAGAATAGCACCGTTAGGATAGGACATATGAGCTGGTGTTTGTGGATAAATAGCTTGATTTGCAGCGATGTTCATAGCTGAAAAGTGAAATCGTTTTGACAAATCTATCGATCATTTCAAGTTACCAATACTACGAAGAATTAGATTATTGCGTCCGTTTTGTAATAGAATGTCACGTAAGTGTTGCGGTGGATGAAGATATTTACACGGTGGATTGGTACGATTGCATTTACCCTATGTAGCAAATAGACGATAAATATTATACGTTTAGAGAAAAACTGTTAAATTTCATCCGAATATGCAAACGATGAAATTTAGATAAAACAAGTGCATACAGAAGATTTTGTTGTTTGAGGCTGACTGCTACTCATGGTCAAAATGCGTGTAGTATCACAAAAAAGGTAGATTGAAGATCTCTGTCTGCTTTAGATAATGAAACAAAGCTTCTTCTTCGTTCTTTTCCCTCATTTTATAGGCTGGCTAACTTACTTGCTCAAGACTCATCTCGCGTCGCTCCTTCTTCTTCTTCTTTTTTTTCACTTAACTTTGAGTCGTCATGATAGTAATCTCGCGCAAGGTGTATTTTTCTCTCCGCCTCTACTTCTTTTTTGTATAACTGATATCAACCGTTTACTTTGTCACTCACCCTAATCTCCCCGCTAGCTCATATATCTACGTATATGTAATACGAAAAATGAATAAACGTTGATTTTTAAATCATCTTTCACTTCGTTCTTTTTTTCTTCATGAGTACATCGTATCTCCCGTATGTTAGAGGTCGTTATAGTGAGCGGTGTTCAGCTTTTCATAGGTGAATAAGAAGAGGCGATAAACAAAATAAACAATTAACGGCCTGCCTATCTTCGTTTCTTTTCTCGCTCTCTTTATTTGAATCGTTAACTCAACAACGACACAGATGTCCTTAAATGTAAAATTAATTTTTCTCATTCACTGAGCAAGTACGTTTTCTTTTATACCATTTTCATTTTACTGAAGATGCTCAAGAATGTAGAACAAATCATACTCGTGCTACATGTATTAGACATTTGCTGTCATAGAGAGCTAAGATAATATGAAGAGTACAGAAGAAGAGAAAGAGAAACAGGCGAGACTAACCTTTAGTGAATCAAAGCAAGCGATCACTTTGCCACTATTGACTTCAACGTGTGAAGGTGGATGGGCAAATTTACACTCTTGTTCAGACCGGGTACATTTCCCACGTTGATATTCACGACAAACTTCAAGTGTTAACCAACGTGAATCTTTAACATTCGCAATCGATGTTAACAATGGCATATTCGTAGTTGCTTGAACTTGTACAGCAGTTGTTGGCGAACCACCAGTTGAAGATGGTGAGGACCCGGTTAAGGGCGACATATATTGTTGGTGATGCATACTGTTCAAAGATGATGATGAATGATAAGTACCGTGTGAATCAATGTTTGTTGTAGCAAAACTGAAAGACATATACTAGGTTCACTGTTTGTCAGATCTGTATGTATGATTTCGACACTAGCGTTGATGGATCATTGCGTACGACGAAGAATAAGGCACACTCAATGAAAATACTTTGATCTTCTACAATAGAACATCTAGAAATAGACGTATACATTTATAAATGAATGTACATGGACATTTACTGTCAAACAAGAAATGAAAAAAGGAATGATAAACAAGGACAAACCAACCGATGCTACCTTGATGCAGTCTATTAGTGATCTGCCATTATACGTGTAGAGGCATACATCTATACATATTTAGATGAATGCAGTAGAATGGCAAAACAAAGATGGATGTCAAAAGTAATTGACATTTTATAGGCTATTAAGCATTGGACGAACAAAAACAGAGAGGAGCAAGTAAGAATTTCGAGAGCGATCACGTAATTTGATCAGCACCGATCTTTGTCGGCAATGTGAAAAAGATGACAAAAATATAGGGAAGCTTGGGAAGGAGAAAGATTCATGTATAGTGTCATGCTTGTTGCTATTAGAAAAGTAGAATGCTGGAGAACATTTTACATCCGTGTTTCAAAAGCATTTACTTTTCTATTCTGAAAATTCTAACTGATTTTGTGTCTTTCTATTTCAAGTTCTATCACCTACCATCGTTTTCATTTACGCATTGTGCATCATCAATCATGCGTGTAGAGTATGCTGCTGAACGCACACATGCATCTCACTTTCCTTCAGACATCGACCTATTCCCATTTCTTTTCTTTCGAAGATTTTTCTTCCATCTAAACTATTACACGAACGACTAATAACTATCTGATATCAACATGAAGTACTTGTCTTTTTTCATACATATAAAAAAGAACAAATGCTATATCGAATACAAGGTCGATATCTATCTCTATTGTTTGAGTTTTCCATCAGTATATATTGATGCCTACATGCTGAAGGCGGGCGATGAGATGTACAAATATAGATATTGGCTGAAGGTTTTTCTTTCTTTTATTGAGAATGCAAAAGGGAAAACTGTTAGGAGGATTTGTACTCTAAAATACGACGAACGAGAGTAATCAGATACGGGTTTTACTTGTCGTTATCGAATCGAAAAAAGGCAAACAGCATGAGTAACTTAAGCATATCGACTAACATAGTAACGATGTCAGAAGTTTGATATAATCAAATGTGAAAAGCGTTTAGTATCGATTAACGATGGTTGGCACGCAAACTTCTCAACTCAAAAAGAGAACTCATTTACATCTTCGCTTCATTTTTCTTTGTTCTATCAAGATGAAATAATGAGAAGGAGAGAGGAGCAGAAATACTTTCATCCATGTGCCAAATATACCACTACCTAAATAAGAGAAGACAGAGAGAGAGATTGTGCGCAAGGATGTGTGAGGCGAGAAAAGAGCAACATCGTCGACGCTTCGAGTTCCTTGCTATAGACGTAACATCACTACAGTCTGTATGTGCATATGTTAAAGAACTGCCATAAGTTTTTTTGCAGCTCCGCAATTGATATTTACGCGCGTACTTCACTTTTTCTCTCTCGTTTTTATCGGTAGAGTAATGTCAAAATGTTAGAATTAGTCCATATTCAATCATCGCAAACATTTATAATTATATATATATATATATATATATATCAAAGAGGGCATAGACAAATAAAAGATAAAAAACCTGGAAAGAACATACAAATGTGACGTACTGCTTCAACGAGCTATGACATCGCATGCTAAAAAAGACTCGATAGCGCTGGGTTCACTTCTTCGGAATCGTTCTTCTAGATTCTTGATCTCTTCTCTTTGCTTATCGGATATTGTTTATACGAATTGTCATAGCGGGTTGATAGACAGAATTAAATGTAAACGACAGATGAGTAATGAACAAAAAGTACATAGGAAAAACAAGCGATGACAACGAAGCATACACAAGGTTAGACGCCTTACAAAAATAGACAGTTGCTTTGCTGACTTCCTCTCGTACTCGAGCATTACATGTCTATAATCATTGAAAAATTGCGAAATAATCATCGGCAACTAAGTATTGGAGAGAAAATGAACTCACCTGTAAGACAAAAATATCTATTAAATAGAAACACCTGTCAGTGATCGTTGCTTTTACATATGTGAAGGCATTTTTTTATCTCGTGCTCAGTGCTTAATCGAACAACAAATGTGTATGTGTATGTGTATAGTGTTTTTTTTTCTTCTCTTCCTTTTTCCTTTTTTATTGACTAAAAAAGATGCGTTCGTATAAATACATATATACATACATTTTCAGCTTCACAATTTTCATCATTTTCATATAATCATATACAAGCGATGAAATAGAAGAAAAAGGAATACATGCAAAGGTAATATATATATATATATATATTTATAATATATATGTAGAAATAATAACATCCGAAGGTTCTTTTTCCTCCTCACCTGTCTATATCTGTATATGTCCTTCTTTCAGAAGACGTTAACAGACAAATTTCTTTTTTTCCTTCTTGTTTCTCCAGTATGATTCGGTTTTTTGTTAATTTGTACAAATCCTTAGATTTATGAATGACATGATGATGGCGGCGGTAGTAGTAGTTCGATGGCATTTTGATGCAATAACTTTTTTCTCCTTGTCTATGGCTCTCGCTCCCTTGCCTCCTTTTTTTACTGTCTACTCTAGCAGCTATTGCTGTTGTTACTGCTGCCGCCGCCGCTGCTGACAACAACATACACACACGTATAAGCAGCAACAAGCACATAAAAAAAATGAGATTCTCGTTTTTCTTCTACTCCGTTCTATTACTCTCTATGTATAGCGCTATGTCTGTAGTCGATACAAGTCGCCGGTGCAGCTGTTTTTTCAGAGAATGACATGACGAATAGAGAGAGAGAGAGAGAGGGGGGGGCCGTGAAAGAGAAGTACGTTGGTTTCGGTTCTTGCACCATAGCAAACAACAAGCTATAGATTTGCTATTTATTATCGACTCTGACTCGATCTATCTTTCTCCTTCTCGTTTTGTCAACAGTGTTTATATGCACGCACGTTCTTATTCGCATATATTTGTCATCGCACTCCACTCATTGATGTATAAATGAAGCGAATGATGGCAGTGAATCTATTATAACAAAGAGAACTACTTGGTTTCAATAACATTTATGCATACAAAACTAGAGATTGTACATATACCTGTCGTTTCGACGCATTGGATATTGATCCATGATGATAATTTAATTATACTATAGCAACAGATGTAGAACATGAAGGTGAAGGTCATCAAACTGATCGATTGTAGAAAAAGAAAGAAAAAGGTAGATGATGATGACATGGTAAGAAAGAAAAACTAATCTCTTTACAAATATCAACAATGGTAAATACGAAAAGAAAGCCAGAAAACTGACTAGATAGTTGAAATCTTACGTTGAAAAGAAGAAGAGAAAAGGCAAAAGAAGTGATTCATCTAACGAACAAAATCCACTTGAAGAAATAATCCCATGTATGTTTGTTGTTGACTCAATAATGTTGAAGGTTTATTTTGTAAAGATCCGATTTCTTTGTGTATTGTCGTATATACATATGTATGATGAGACTTGGATCTCATTTTGTAACTACTAGTAGTATTTGTAAAAGAATAACTTACCTAAACATCCAATATTCGTTCTTGTTATAGTTCTACTTGAGCCCGACGAAGATGAAAAATATAGAAGATCGATAGGTTTTAGTCGTGTGGCTGTAGATGATTGTATGTGCACAAGTGCATGGCGGATTCTATTTGTTCTCGTAATGAATTCTGTTTTTCATCAGAATAATATCTCTCTTTCTCCTTCATCGTCTTCTTTTCTCCTTGACTGTTACTCACTCCTTACTGGCAACATAACTATTTCTAACTACCGTGAGTGAGTATGATTAAAGTGATACTGCTTCCCTTGCTCTCTCTCTCTCTCTCATTCTCTTTGGTGCTGGAAACATATTTGCATAAGAGAGAAAAAAAACAATGGCACAGGAAAAATTCTTCGTGCTGACTTGTGAGAATGCATCAGTATCAGAAAAAGGAGATAGAGAGAAAAAAAATAAAATACTATGATCAACATTGTCGGTCTCGCTTTTTTTTCAATCTCTCTCGGGATATCTTCCAAACCAAACGTTACCATATATGTCTTTCTTCTTTCAAGAAAGTCAGCATTATTGTCGAGAATATCCAGTCGCATACGTTCTGTACGGCTAAGTAATACCCTACATGAGTAAGCTAGTTGTAATCTAGTCTAAAAATTTATTCTATTATGATTGAGAAGATTGATTGATGATTCGCCGAGATATATAATAGAGATTTTTCTCTTCTTCATAGTTTGCCAACAATGATTTGAATACGAAGGGAAGGAAGAAAAAAAGAAGAAGGAACTTTTTTTTGTTCATTTTCACACTTTCACAAGTTGTAGATCTACGTGAGCAACCTTCATCATCAGATAGGAAATAAAACAGACAACCTTTTCAAAAGACACGTTCGATCTTCTCCTGCATGCATGCACACATATCCCGGATGTGTGCCACAACACTCTGATTTAATACGTTTACGAACATTTCTATTACGAAATATTTTATGACATGTAACACTAAAGAAAAACAAACACTGAAAAGCACGATACCATAAAAATAAATAGAACTTGTTTAAAAACGACAAATCACATTGATTGGGGGGTGAGGGGAAAGAAAGAAGCATTTACTGGGCTTTTTTCTTGTCTTTGGATTTTGAACTTGCACCGTTTAATGTCAATGCCAAAACAATGGAAGCGATCGGCACAATGAAATACCACGTTTGATAAAAATACCACACTTTTCGAACTTCCATTAGAACAAATGGAACAACAGCGAAGTTCAAAGCAATTTGAGTACCGAACCATGTCAGACATTCGTATAGATATATTGTTACCTGATTCTTTTGAAAATATGGTCGAATTTGCCGACGAATACCGCGACCTGCATATGTATGAAATGCTGCCAGGATAAAACAAACATAATAACCTGGATAGAAACCATGCTGAAAGAGAAAATAGTTACATAATTTCTTGCTTTATGCAAAACAAAGTGAACCTAATAGTTCGATTGCATTTTTTAATCTAATACAATAGCTTCTCTTTCATGCTTATCTCTGGAGAATACTGACACAGGCACAGTGAGAAAATTTAAAAAATTATCAAAGATCGATGTGCATGATTAATGAATAGAAAATAGCCATAGTGTTAATAATAATGATTAGGAATGTTGGTTATGTAAACATGCGGTTAGATCAACTGGTTTACCTTTGAATTAAAGCATGTATTGGCGAAAGTAAAGATTTGCTTGACATGCACAAGCAAGCGATGTTCAGCCATTAGTACAGTAATCAAAAGATTTCGACATCTAATCGAAATGAAATATGAAGGCTGAACACGATAAGGCAATGTATTGATATGATGAGCATAATCTCAGCTATAGGAGAATGATGCTTAGTATTCTGTCAACTGCGAGATTTCGATGAGAAAGCAGAGAAAACATTTGTTTAGCTTACCCAAAGTGCAGAGAGGACAAAAACACCTAATGTTCGGCCCTTATGTAAACGATCGTAGCAAACGCGTCGAAGCCAAAGAGCCGTCTCTACATATACATATACAGATAAGGAAAGCATACAGTTTTAAAGATCGATAAACTATGTATTGATCCTTACGCATATTCCAAACATCAATGACAACTTTCAAACTAGTCGCCATTTCCAGTTGGAGTGGTTTGACATTCGTCAAAAGATTCCATTTTGGTATGCCATTCTTGTCATAACCGTTAAAACCAAGACCTGCAGCGTTATTGATGGCTTCCGATAGAATGAATGCGAAGTAATATCTAAGAAAATCGAAAGATGATTCTCTTGATTTTGCTTCGTCTTAGCAAACTTACTTCACTCGTGAACAGAATGTTGTAAATAGAAGGTACACGGTTCGTTTGTAGAGTGGTGAGTTTACCATTTCTTGGCTCAAATTAGATTCAACTGGATAATGTGGAGTGTAAACAATCAAGACATAGCCCCAGATGCCGCATTGTGCAAGTTTAGTTAGCACAGGCCAAAATGTTGACGGTTGCTCAATCGGTGAAACATGTTGTTCTTCCGGAGTTTTACTAGTTGTCGAGCCACTTGTAGGTATCACGAGTAAATTTTTTCCCTCGATGAAATCGCGATAATCTTTGTAAAAACATAGTGGACCTACACAGATGCCATGAAAGTAAAATATGTAGCTAAGATATTCGATTGGGCTGGGAATTTCAGTAATCTTTTGTTTTTCTTGATCTTCACTAAGCGGCGGATGTTCACTGTCTTCATCTGGTCGTCGACGTTTCGATCGTTCATTTGAACGATAACCGTCATAGAATGCGAACGCAAATGCTGTCAATTTTTGTGTATTGATCATCAATGGTCCACTGATGTCAAGCGTATAATTGCCGTAGTCATAGATTACTCGGTGTATATGAACTAAAAAGTAGAATTCGGGGAGGTTTTTGTGAACACGTGGAGGCAAAGATCTTACCAGCACTCATATAGACCATACAAAAGACAAATATGACCAGATAGGAATGTTTTGGAGGAACCATGTAGAGCAAAAGGTAGACAATCGATGATTGCGCAATGAGATGCCAGATTTGTGGACCAAAACAGAAGTAACCAAGAGCAATACCAAGAAAACTAGCTAAAAGCAATGAAAATGGAACAAAGCATCTTTCTACTGGATCGCTGATCTCATCGCCAGTTTTTTTTATCACATAGCTTACCGATAACGTGTCTTAAGGTTGTATTGCTAGGTTTTGGTGGTAGGAAACTTCGGAAACACACTGCAAGAATTAAGGCTAAGACTTCCGAGAAGAGAAAATTAAATTGATCAATTGGTAGACCAGCCATATCGGCCACAGGACTAAGAAATTTGGAACCCTTATAAGTAGAACCATTGAGAGCACTGAAAGGCTGATCCATAATGATTCCTTTTCCTAGGTGTTAGCTTTATCTAAAACAGAATCTCAGCGTAAAGGACAATTCGGTTTCTTAATAACCATCTCATTCAAAGTCAATCCAGTGACTCAAATATACTCATTGCAATACCTACGTCACACATATGTTGTCAAAAATAACCTAATATACGTATAGTACAAGTGTGTCGCCACTTTCACTAATAATGATAACAGGTACGAACTTTCTCCTCAACTCATCGTTAATATTCAAAATCGTTGAGTTGTCTATAAATCGGGCAATTTAGCGCTTACAGTGCAGTACAACAAGCAAAAAATGTCTATCTTTCGAAATTTACAGAATGCATTCCGTAAATTTTCTCTTGTGCCCTTCTACTCGTTCGACAGCGAATGACTACATGTTTTTCTTCGCGAATTTTATCTACTTGCTATCGTTCGATGAAGAAAAAAGAAAAAGGTAAAAAGCAACATAAATGATAACAACAGAAGCATGTTTATTTTTCTTGCTCAAACGCAGAAAAACACAAATATACGACTACATAAACACATATAGACAATTTTGTATTACATTCGACGATCATCTTGTTGGTTTTATGTTGAGCTTGATTGAACTTGTTGAATCAAACTGATATTATCGCCTTTGAGCAAAATTCTGCCAATTCGTTTTCGTTGATTCTTCTTCAATAAGATTTCTTCTGCATCATCTAACACGAGATTCATATATTCATCGAATCCAATAATATAACCTTCAATTCGTATCGTGGCTTGCTCATACAACCAGACTTGTATACGCGATCGATTTTGCAAATATCGAAAGATCAGATTGATAGGTTGAACCATCACTTTCTGAACTTTCGTTTGGGGACCGCGCGCTGACATAATGAACTATGTATATTAATCTAAAGAAAAAAAGGAAATAACAATTCATATCTACTCATTTTGCTTGTATAAACGTTCTTTTCGAACACAAAAAAAACGAGACAGCACGTCAGGTGAAATGCTTGGCTGAGTTAATCAAGTTATACACACACATACATGTAAAATACAAATACACACATGATCTATATACAAAAAACATGTTTTTTTTTTAATTTCCTGATAAGCCAAAAGGAATATTTAAGAAAACCAACCATTGCACAGTAGATGATCGCGGGATTATGTTTTTTTTTCGAAGAAGAAGAAGACAACCGATTTTGCTGGATTGATTAGAGAAAATAAACACTCGAGATCACCTGAAACGACTGTTTAGCATACTTTGTGTTTAAAAATACGTGTAGTTCACTGTTTACGCAAAGAATTTGCCGAAGAAAAATAGAATCAATTCTTGATTTTTATACAAATGATAAATTTTGCTTGTATAGAGAAAAGAAAATCAACAACAGATATATCTGTATTAACTGGCAACAGCAGAAGATTTGTGATGATGATTCGAATCGTAACGTTTTACAAGATGAAGGATCGAATGAAGTAATTCAAGTAGAAATGTATCTGGATAATCATTGGACAATTGATCATCATACAGTGTATGGATTATTTCCAAGATATTCTCTTCGTGAATCATCCGAACATACCGATTTCCTTGACAAAAAGTAAGTTATACATCGTCTCTATTCGAAAGTGTGACTTTACTTACGATCTGTACTACAAACATGATGTATAGCCCATATCGCCCATAGTTGAACCACTGGTACGCGTGTACAATAGAGTAATGGAAGAAATGGTTTAAAAGATCTAAATCAAGACACGATGCATTTGAATACAATAGATCTTGAATTGATTGTACCTGTATGTCACCATGTTTGTGTGCGGATTTTGCCATGATCGAATGGCGTTCATCATTTGCTCACACAAGTCAAAATCGATCTCATCTTCTTTTTGATCATAGAGTAAATGTGCAAAAATGCCTGTTGCTGAAAAGGCAACATCTAATACTGCTTCGTTTATATACTTCTGTATTGATGAAACAATGCCAATGGAATAGAGATAGGTTTTCAAACGTGGTACTTCTGCGATATTACTTAGCAATCCAACGATTTTGGTTAATACGATGGTATCTGATGTAAACAAATGAAGAAGACGTTGAAATAGTTCGAGACCCATTGATTGTATGAAGTTTTCACAAACGATTGCATTTTCATCCGTTAAATTCCAGAGTAAACTAAGACAAAAACGTAAGGTATCATCACTTGCTAGTTGGGGCGGATTATTCAGTAGCATATCGATATCATTTATTGTCTGCTCATTATTTGGAATATTCGCTTGCTGGTTTTCAGTTATTTGCATTGTTTGTAGACGATCAATCTGTTGTTCGATTACTTGAAGTAGTCGTTTCAAATTGGTTACCGACCCCAAATGAGTACATTCATCGATCGTTAACTAAAACAAAACACTCGAGACATAATTATCTGGGACGTCTCTCCCACACTCACTCTTGTTGTTAGTAACGACAGAACTGCAATTCCTGTTTGTATGATCGCTAAATCTGTGTAACTATGTAAATTCTGCATGACTAATGTTGCCAATAGATAAAATTTGAAATGTGCTTCATGCAGAATTCTGTCACTACATAGTATTAAAATACAATTCTTTTGTAACTAGGAAAGAAAGGCAGTGAAAAGTAAATGTATGAATCGAATTTGAAATGTTACCTGTTGATGAGTAGGAAATGTTTCCATGACATCCACTGTTGCATTTACAATTTGTGTTAAGTGCTTAACATGAATCTGCTCTATTGTTGGTGTTCGCGTTAGATTGTAGAGACATGCTGTTGAAGCCATTTGTACCGTCTGGATAGTTGCATGAAGTGACATGATATGATAAATGAGTTCAATGAGAAGGTGTGGCTGTGTTGATTGAAATGCACGTGTAAGAAAAAAGAAATAGGAGAGAATTTTCTGTACAAAAACATGTCGGTGTTGATAACGCTTCAGTGCTTCGATTAGATAAGGTTCATACAGAACGAGATCATTTTCCGTCAATGCGATTTGTTCTATATGCTGAATATCATAAGTATAATGACGATATTTCGAATAGCACAGATCGTTTGAATCAAATACACAGGGTGAATATTTTTCATTTGTTAAAAATAGACCCAAGAATTGTAAATTCGAATGATTCAACAGGAATTTGTTTAATGAGATTGATGAAACTGTCTTTAATCCACTGATATCAAAATGTTTTAGACGTGGCAAACAATGCGTATCGCTTAAAAATCGGTTGAGATCACTATTGAGGTCAATTACCGGATGCAAGTTACTCTCATTAGCTGAAATATCATTACTTAAGTCCAAATATTCTAAGCATTTCAATTCATATAAGATGTGGTATATGGTTGGATTTTGTTGAAAATTGAAAGAGCAATTTGATAGATTGAGCCATTTCAGTTTCGATGATAATCTTAAGAGTGAATTGAAGAGTTTTATCGATCGACAGGATGACAAATCCAATGTATCGAGTTTATCTAATGTATTGATAATAATATCAAAACACGGTGTTCGTAAATCGGTCGAACTGATATTCAAGGCTGTTAGATTATTGAACTTCAATAGTAAAAGAAGATTCGTAGGAATTGAATTCACTGGCGTTGTCATTGACGATGCATAACGCGTAGACCTAAACAAAGAGATCAAACTTAACGAATCGTTTTCGTGTGTAACTTACAATTTAGCTATTGGTGACATGTCTGCTGCCGAGTATTGTCGTGCAGGAGTTGTATTTGAACTAGTAAAGAATTTGTAGTGTGAAAGACTCAAACTTTTCAGACGTTCAATGGTCATTGGATGAATATTCGACAAGATTTCATTCAGAATTTTATGATGTGAGAACTCCTCCGACGGCCAAAGAGTATATATTGATGGAGAATTACTCGAAGTGGATGTTCGTCGTGATTCACGTTGTTGATGTGAATGTTTGTGATGGAGAATCATTGGACTGTACACAGTGAAGATCTTGTCGAAACTTGAATCGATTGACGGACATACGTGTTGGCAAAAGAGTTCAATAGCTTTCGGATTCGTTCGAATAGAATTGTGATCTTGAAAAGTAATATCTAGTTGAATCAAGTGTGGATGTTGATTGAATATATGACATTGCAATCGACTTAGGTATTTCACATTGATCACGACTCTTTTTAGACAAGTAATATTGGATGAGAAGAGCGAAAGTGTGTAATCATTCAGATAGTCGTTAGTAGCCAAATAGTTCATCAAATGATCAGATAACATGGAATTCAAGGGGCCAAATCCATGACGAAAGTGTTGAAGGAAATGTGGTTGGTGATAATTCAATGATTGCCTGGAATAACGATTTTGATTATGCTGAATGTTTTCAATGTCTTCTTCGATTTGTTTTTTCCAAACTAATTGGTCAGATTTTAACAAAGAGACAAATTTACGCAAACAGATCACATTCAATTTATCTGGATTATCCACCATTGAACTAGCTATTTGTATACGTTCGAATGGGGATATACATGAAAGGGAAGAGTGCCAATGGGCAGAGAAGAGAAAAGAACGTTTTCTCAGCGAACGGATTACTTCATTGAAGTTTGGTATCTAGAACAAACAAAAATAGATATATGTGTATATCGAATAACAAAACGAATCAGAGATAAAAGAAACGGCGAATTTTTTTTCGACTTTTAGAAAGGCCACTTCAAACTAGAGAATAACATAGCATGAAAAGAGAGGAGAATTACACCCACATGAAATAAATAACAAGAATTCACTAATGACTATGACCATGGCCAGTGCCGGCACATTCATGCGAATGACCATGGTTAATATTGGTATATTGTGGTAAGGGAAAGTTATTGACTGGAGAGGGATTGAATTGAAACGGCGGTTGAGAAGGAGGAACGGGTTGGTAATATGATTGTTGAGAATTTGGCATATTGAAATTGAAGGGAGGGATTGTTGCTGGTGGTGGTGGTGGTTGAAAAGAGGGCATGGTATTTGTTAATTGTTGTTGTTGTGGTTGTTGTTGAAATGATGGAAATGAAACGGGTGGATGTTGAATATTGTTAAAATTTGGCGGTAATGCCGAAGGATTTGAAGGTGTATAGAACGGTGGTATGTTCATTGATGTATTGAGCGTCATATCAGTAAAAGCTCTAAAAAAGAATAAGGTAAATGTGTGCAGCACCGTTTAGAGCATGGTGTTTGAGTTTATAATTTAGCCCTTTTATTCTTTCCCATGCGAAGAAATCTCGTGCTTTCGGGTCAAAAGGAGAATAACGCATGATAGAAAAGAAAAGACAAGAAAGATTACTCTAGCCTTCAGCTACGAACAAAGTATTATCCACTCTTTCTTGAGTTTCCGTTATTTAAGACATAAAATCTATATTCCTACTTCGATAATTGATTGGAATTACTGGCTGGCACTGACTGCGGTGTAGCATTACTTGTCACTTCTGTTTCATTGTTTGATACTGCAGCTGTCGGAACAGTCGAATTCACTTGTGGTGGTACAAGTATGCTTGGCATAGTGACTGTCAGTGGTGGCATATTTGCTGGTTGTAACGTAAAGCTCATATTCGTTGTTCCATTCACATTCGGTGGTGGAATCGTTGAAAGCGATGGCGCTTTATCATTGTTCGTAACCAACGGATTCGACTTTGTTATTGGTGATGAATTCGTCGTTCGAATAGGTATTCTATGTAGATATCCGTAGCCAATGCCACAGCCAAGACTACCTTCGCCACCCCAGCCAATATTTGGTGTTAGATTTATTTCACGTGTTGAATCGCTATCACTATTGTAAACGTACAACTTCAATGTCTTGCCTTGATTTGATTCGATCAATGCATAGAAGTCTTCCGAATCGTTCAATAAAGTGTCCGCTCCAATAATATAATCGGAATTTGAACGTAAACCAGCGAGAGCAGCCGGTGAGTGAGGTTGAACATCGAGTATATGCCAAACATTTTCATTTGCTTTTTCAAACGAAGAGAAACGGATGCTCAAACCAAGCAAACCCTAAAAGAAAACGCATTTATACATAAATAAACACCATTACAGAGAATGGTCATCTTCTACCTGTCCACCCCAGTTTTCATGAGGAGTTAACGGTACTTGTCGAACTGTTTGAGTTTTACTATTGTATACAAGCAATTCGACTGATTTATTAACATTCTGTTTCAGAGCTTCTTTCAGTTTATCATCATCAGCATTTAGTCGAATATCATTTATAGTGACAATAAAATCAAAATACGGTTCTAATCCAGCCTTATGTCCCGGTGAACCCTCTTGAACGCGTAGAACATGAAAGCCTTCGGAACCACCACCAGGAATATTCAAACTACTACCACCAAGACCCATTAACTAGTTGAAAATGTCAGATTAAGAAGTGTTGTTTCTTGCCTGGCTAAGCGAATGGAAACAAAATTCTTATAAATAGAATGAATAATAATACTTGGCGAGAACGATATACTTTCCAATCTAGCCAATGAGATTTTGCATACGGACTCTTTGTTGTTTAATTTCGTATAGAATTTCAAAACTATTCATTTAAAAATATATTCATAAGAATTGTTTGCCGTTTTTCAACATTTTCCTTCGAAACGGTTTTATTGAATAAGTATCGGGCGCCATCTACAAAGTCAGAAATATCTGAATGTTAATAGTTCAACATCAAATACATTTATTAACTTCTTTAGCAAGAAAATCATACTTGAATAAAATGTTCACACATTCACGACATACAACAATAAAGATAAATTGTTCACGTTTACATATATAGTCACTGTTTGGACAAGAGTGCCTTGTGTTATGCACAACCGAACAATACTAAATTTCGTGCTTTTCGAATAAAGTCATCCATAGTATGAAGCGATTGTTCCTGTCGTTGTTGTTGATCAAGTTTCACAACTGCAAAATGACTTTGCTGCATGGTATCTTCCGTATCGCCAAGTTCAAGATCTCCGGAAAGTATGTAACCATCGGATACATCATCGGCAGTTATTTGTGATGATAGAAGAAGACGAAAGAAAGCATCTGTATGCCGTTGGAATTGTCCAGTTATTTCCAAACGACCATTACCCAAACATCTCATGTGACCTCTAGGAAAATAAACACATTCATATGGAATACGCACGCATTCTTTCATCTGTTGTTCAACTGAGTGCGTCAATGTTAAATAACTTTGAACAGCAAGAGATAGTCTTATGTACGCTGTGTCTATCGTAACCACGCCTTCCTACAATCTATATTTTGATCTGATCCGTCTCGACTTTTCCTCTTGTCTCTTTCATATCAGACTCATTAAAGTACTCGATCACAGCATGTTAATGTCTCCTTCTTTTATTTGTCCGTCTATTACATCTTCATTAATGATTCTGTAAAGAGATAAAAGTTGACCATCAAATTTGTCTTCCTGGGCGTTTGTAAGAATTCACATTTCCGAGACAAATTAAATTATCTGCCATCCAGAAAAATGTCCCTTCTGTGTATATATAATTCGATTGGTCGCTGACCAGAAACAAGAAATAAAAAACACTGACTCATTTCTAGCTTCTTAAATGTTCAAAAAACCGACACTGAAAAGTAAAAGAATTACTTTGTAATACTCGTTCGATGGCCTTGCTGTTCAATAATTTGACATTTTGTTTTCGACCACCAGACGGTTTTTATTGTCCAGTATGAAATTAGAGCTGGTTTTGGCCAACTTTCGTATGCGTGAAGATGAATTTTAGTCTGACCGTCTTCACCAATTTCTCGTAGAAGCTTTCGACCGCATAGACCACGTGTTTCTTGATAATAAAATGATTCCGTTAATTTCATCATTGGAAAGCAGAACAAATTGATAACACTGTATCACTTGTGTCGTTTATATGATCAATGAATGAGAAGAAAGGAAATACTCGTTTTCTTTTTCTTTCTTTCTTTCTTTCTCGCTCCCTCTCTCTTTCCGTTCTTGCTAGTCGATGAATACGAGAGAAGAAAGACGATCCATCGAAGTATTTTTCTCTTCCTTGTCTTTGCGAAAGAAAATGAACAATATATCCTTAAGCAAGAGAAGAAAAAAAATGAAGTTCTGTGCCTCATTCAGTTTGATTGCATCTCTCGGCATTTTTCCTTTTATTTTTTATTTGAAGAATGTCATTGCTTTTTTTTCTTTCGATAACGCTTAAAGCGAGAAAGAGAATCAATTTCCTTCTGAACTTAAAACCGGCAGACAGACAACAAGTCAAGCCGCTAGTGTATTCAGCACTTACTGTTGATTAGCCACCAGTACAGTGACGCACACAAAATCCATTCAATTTCATTATGCAAACCAATATCGGATGCTCCTACTCGCCATGTCTGCATCGAACATTGACGAGTGCACGATACGACTTACTACTGTACAGTCCATACAATCAGCACGCTATTCACAACATTTCCAGTGTTCGTCCGTTGAGTATTGATGGATACAACACGCATCAGTGATGTAATCATGTATAGAATACTCTCAGGTGTTTAATTATCAGAACAATATGACATTATTTATTATGATTAGGAAAGAAGAAGGAACGGAAAACATATCTTCGGTTTGAGACTATTGAATTTTCGAAATCTATAGTGTTGTGTAATACAAACAACAGCATGTTCAGTAGAATGATGAATAAAATATGAGGAAATGTGTCTCATGAGTAATTATTATACTATAATGAATGGCAGTACATAAAATAAGCGATTAACATCAAGAAAAAATGATCGATGTTACGCATCGATTATTCTTCTTATGTTCACTGCAGATCTGCGCTGATCTTGTAGAAAGTAGTATTATTTTTTATTTATCTATTTGTGTGCTTTGTTCTGCAATAAATTAATGAAATAATTTAGTTGCCGTTTGTCGGAAAAAGACGAAAAGATTGATTGCAATGTATCGTTCTGATTATAAATGTAACAACAGTGTATGAAATATAGCATTGGATATCAACGTTCAAGGAGAGTAGTTTGTCAGAACAAAAGGAATAGGAAAAGGATGTGCTATTGTGTCCATGATGTACTTTATTCCTCAATAGGCCTGAAACAAGGTTGTATCCTTGCAACTAGACAACATGTACTCTTTTGTATTCTTTCGGGAACATAGATAGCTCGGAAGTTTCACAGATTTGTTAGCATGTTGCGAGACAGAATATCGTTTTGCTAAAAAAAGAAGTAGAAAATATGTTTAGGATTGCGTTTGATCTGGTTTGTATACACGAGATAATATATCACATCATCTTCAAAGAAGAGGCGGTGCCGTTGTAACAAATGTTATTTTGGCGAAATGTCGAAACGAACTTCTTCAATGAAACTTTTGAAGAGACTTTGCATAAAGATCAACCGATATGAAAATAGGACGAACTTCACAAAATTCATCTGATTAAAGTGTCTCACTTTTCGATCTAGCAATGCTATACTAGACGTACATTGATATTCTCTACTTTTCAATTTTCCAAGCGACAACACCACAGTACAAGACCAGTGCCACTTGTCTCTTCATGCAGAGAATTGCTTTAATTTCCAGTAAAAAACACAGCTGTAGATCTAGTCAATTACATTCACAAGAAACATTGTTGAGTTTCTGCGCTGATATGTAATCCAACCATTTGTGACATTCCCCGAGAACATAACCCGCTGAGTACAATAAATACCCAAAAAGCACAGATTGACGTTTGAGGTAAAAATCAGTCATCATCATGTTTCATCTTATGTATCTTTTTCGTGCAAATCAGTATTTCACTAATCCCGCAAAAAGTATGTAACAAAAGTAAGGAAAAAAGAGAGAAATAACCATAACAACAAGAAAAAGGAGGGTTTCTGCAAATAATGAACAGATCAAATATAAGATTGAGGAGTTTTTGTGTTTGTCTCAGCATGCCTGTACAAACATCGAGAAAGAATATCGATCAAGGACAAGAATAAGAATCACACTTGCGTAAGTCTGTTTAAGAAAGCAGAAAAGTTCGATTGTATGAAATGTACAACAGGAAAACAAATGCTAAGAATACCTCGACTTATTTCACAGTGTTTTAGATATCTACCCCGCAGACACTGACTATCCACAAAGAGAAAAGTAAATAAGTCAAGACGAAGATTAGAAAAACAAAAAACACAAAGAGACAAATATGATATTAATCTTTTTCGGGTATCAATTCGGGATCACATTTATCTAGTAGTATGCAAAAATCTTCAATATTGTATCGTTTAGTCCATGACGCTCTCGAGTTTCGATTGATTCGATTTGATGGCAATGCACGTTTTTTTATCATTTTCGGCAGTATTATTTTGATTGGCCGCTTTTCCGTAGGTTTATCGGTTGAATGAACACCACTCTTTGTTCCACCATTTGTCAATGAACATGCCGTATCTCTCGTATTATCAGTCACTGGGTCATGATTCTCTTCCGCTGCAAATCGCACACGTTTATTGATCCGTTCCAAAACAGGGATGTCCTCTTCATCCAATGTTTTCTCCAATGGCCGTTTTTCACCTTTATTTGCTTCCTCGGTTGGCACTGGCTCACTACTCTCCACTCTCTCAGTCTCGGTATTTGGATTCGCATCATCGTTGGTCACTGTTGATGGACTTGAATGATTATTTGTTTGTTGATTATCTATAACAAGACAGTTTTGTACACCAGTATCACTTGCGAACGTTAGTTTACCATTGAACATCGTTCGCATCTCTTGTTCGAGATAATCCCAATGTTTTTCAGCGTCTTTAACATCGATCAAGCGTGTAAAGCCAAGCGAAGATTGATTTTGTGGCCGAAAACGATTGATATTTTTCGATCGCAATAAACGAAGCATTTTCATTTCGAGTTTGTCCAACGTAGGAGAATCAGGATAGAGAATATTGCATAGGGATCTAATAGACACACACTCACGTTGAGTATTCGGTCCAATACCAGAACAAACAAACGCCGTCAGTGTATGTCCACGAAATTGGATAGTTTTGTGGTAACGATTTTGTGCTGCCGCTGCTGCTGCTGCTACAGATGTTGTTAACGGCAATTGAGATATACCATTTGATTGTGGTTGATTAGTTGGAGATGATGGTGGTGATGGAGGAGGTGTGGATTCAGCAATCTATTGATTCAGATAATAGATGATGTGTTTCCATAAGTAGAAACGAGCCCATCGAATGACGGTTACTTACCGTGTTTGTTGGTGCTGTTGGATTCGTCGGCATGATTGCTCCTGATGTTGTATTCAGTCGACTGCCTGAAGAAGAAGAAGAAGAAGTTTAAAAAACTTGAACCATACAGCGAATCATCACTGTACCTTGTTGATAGTTCAGTACATTTACAGGAAACTTATCGTTGAATAAAAGAATCAAATCGACATTGTATTCTTTTTTTACTGATTCAATATCAATCAACTGACAATTGAGTAAATTCATCGATAGATTACTGAAGAAGAGGATCAATTGTAGGAATTCCGTCTCCGAAGATGTAGGTTTCGTTAATGATGCGTTCAATAAACATTGCGGCGATAGAAGGAAGTTTTTCAAAAGATTACTTCCAATAAAAGGCACAGTCTGCTCATGTAAAGTTTTGATATTACGCAGACGACAAATTCCTCCATTAATTTGTACAATTGATGACCAATCCTTACAAATAGATGCTTTCGGTTCTTCAAGTGGCAGCTCTTTGACAAAAATCATGCTTGCGGTCGTATATCGATAGAATGCTGATAATTGGATGAGTTTCGTATCAGTATCGAATGGTTTTATATTCTGCTTCGCACAAAGTTCATTGATGAGTTCGAGTTCCTGACTAGTGGCAGTCGTTTGTTCATGCGGCAGCAGAGATTCGATTGTAGGATCAATGGTTTCGGTGGATGGAAGTTTGAGAAGATCATAGAACGTTAGTAAACTTACGGGGAGTTTGTATAGGTGATGATTTGTTGCACTTGTTGATATATAGGGTGTGTAAAGTTTGTTCACTTGTAACCAACCACTGTGCAGACGATTCAATTTCGTCGATGGCGATGTATTTGACGTTATAGTTGTTGAGGAAGAAGACGATGAGGATGTGGTGGACGATGGTGTAGAGGACTGCGGTGGTGGCAACGGCGCTGTCGACGATGATGTAGATAGCTTTCGATTAGTCATAACAGGCACTGTTGGCGTCGTTGATGGCAGAATAGGTGAGGAAGAAGATGAAGGAGAATAATGAATAGAGGATGGTAGATTTGGAGATATCGAAGTAGTTGTAGGAGATGAAGAAGAAACATTGGTTGATGGTACCATCGGTGTTGTGAGCATCGTATTCGACACAAACGGAACATTGCTTGGAGGCACTAAAATATTATACGAGAAGTTTGATATTGAGTATGGAATACAAGTATAAAAGCGCTGATATAGCAATCGTTTTCTATAGGTTTCGTCAGTAACTCAACCTAGTTGTTTTTCATGAATTCTATTTACCTGTAGTCGCACAATTTATCATATTATTCATCAACAGTGGTGTAGATTGTTGCGGATGTGTATTCAATGGCATCGGCGGCTGTAAAGCTCGGGATGGTATTAGAACAGCGTAAGGATTTCCAAAAGATTTTGGTTGTCGTCCGTTCGACGCTGATACTGTTGGCCTTGAATTAGTTGACAACGCATGTGGTGGCATCTGAGTATGTGATGCTTGGGGAGCTGTTGGTTGTCTCTGTGTTACAACGGATCTACCGATTGTAGACTCGGACGGTCGCTGTACATTTGGCTGCGCTCGCGATTGTGGTAATATCTGTCGTAATGCCTGTATAGGTGGATTGATCCCAGAAGATGATTTCAAACCGCGGAGTTGCTCGTAAAAAGGAACGAAGTCCGTAACTCGAACGATTTCATCGAGTGCAGTAAATGGTTGTCGAGAATATGTCCACCGTGAATGATGACTGTTGATTCTATTTAATAGATCAACTTCACATGCCGTGACAGAGTATATATCAATGGGTTTTCTATAATGATATTGGTATGAGCGACGTAGAATATCTTCAGGAAATTCTGGAAGAATCTTTCGAAGCATACGAACACAAAAATATTTCGTATCACCACTAAAATTAAATGATGAGTTTTTTTTAGAGAAATGCACAACAATCAGATCGGTGGGAAGCTAGCCCCAGAAAACAATTGAGACAATGTTGTCTGGCTTTTTTCCTTCTAAGCACAAACGTATAGAAAAGTTTATGTAAAATTTTCTCAACCGTTATCCCGTTCATGAAAGTGATTCCATTTGAACACAAGTTTTTGAACGGCTTTTCGTTTTCTGGTGCTAGCTTCACATTGATAACAATCAGAGTATATTGAAAGTCTGTTTTAGAAAAGAAAAAAAATCTTCATGATTAGTATGAAAGCTTTTCTCACGCTAAAAATAGCCTTCTTTCTTATATGAATAAGAGGTGTAGAACGTAAAATGTCCTTCTACAGTGCTTCAAAAGAATGTAAAAAGAATATAAATGAAAATGTGTACTCCTTGACTCTTCTCTTTTACGTGTAGATTGCGAAAGAATTTTTAAATTTCAGTTTTCTCACTGACATACCGAAAAATCACAGGCATATAGGTATCACATTGTGGTATCTTTTCCCAAGCAAATTGTCCCTTAAGTGATGTAATATCGATGGCATTAGGATCGATAGTTCGTTGAGTTAGAGGTCCCGTGGATGCTGTTGTGGGAAACATGGATTTTCTATCGTTCTAGAAAAGCAATAAAGTCGAATGCTTGTTGTTTGTTCTCGTTGATTGGTTAATGTTTGTCGACTGATCGATTTGCACGGAACGATATTAACCTGGCGAGGAGAAAATGTTTCGAACACTTTGTTTTATTTGAATATAGATAACTACCGTAGCATTGAAGATACGAAATATGCAATGATGTTATCACGGCTTCTATCAAAGCTTGGGAGAAACAAACATCTGAAACAAAATTAATCAGGATAAGAGACAACATTAGCAACATGAATAGACGATAAACAAACAATATATACAAGTCGCTTCACATTGGCGAATGATAAGAAGAAAAGAGCTTGTATATCACAGATAGACACAGAATCCAGATTGTTCTCATTGCATTTTGCCTCGTACAAAAACAAGAGCAATGAAACGAAATATGGACAGTATACAAAATGCTCGTCGTAAAATAAAGTAACAATAAGATTGCAGGTAATGGTATTGTATGAAACTGATTAATCGTATCGTCAGAAAAGATTTCAAGTGGAGAAAGAACACAGAAGAAAAGATAAATCAAATGTTATGTAAATGGGCCAGCGATAACGTCGTACAAATAAGCCTATGAATCAACGTCATTTTTTCTTCGTTTCTTTACTGTTTGCGCTTATAATAAATAAAAACAGAATCGAACAAACATAGATCTGCATTCGAAGTGGTGTCAAGCGATCGAACGCAACGCACATTCTCTATACAATTGATCTGAATGGTCAATATGAACAAAGGGTAAGAAATTGAGCCTATAAGTTACACGACGATATACCCTATCTATAGCAAATAAATATGATTTCGAATGCTTCACACCTTCGAACGTATGAAAACAGTTTGATTTTGTATATTATCAAAATATTCGACGAAAAATACTTATAAGCTTGGTATCATAGATGGCGCTAGTGCGAAAAAGGAGCTTTGTTCTATGCGTATATAGCGCTCTACTAGCGACACTAATTTCAAGCCTGGGTGATCTTTCATAGGGCCTATTCCTTTGGGCAGACTAATATGACTATTTATAGCTCTCGACATGTGTCAGCGAACTTATTACTAAGCTCTTATTGGAGAAAGTCACTTTTTCTCGGATTTTAAGACACTAAGCTGCAAGCATCTAGCTTTTTTCATATTGCTCTCTCTATGCCATCACCGAGACAGAGCATGCCTAAAGGGTGTTCTTAATGTCGCCATCCATATGATAATGGTGTTGCTTACATTCTAATGCAGAAATTTTGACTTCGTTTGACACGAGCACGTGAGAAAAGGAATCGCCTTTACTCAGTGCAATGCATGCTCAAAAGCGCCATCTCTTCTGTAACATGGAAATCGAGCAGTTCAGGTGAATTCAGATTGGGTTTGTCACTTTCTGCTCATAAAATTCGCCTGCATCAATCTGACCTTCCAAGTAGAAGTTTTCAAAAATACGCTAAGCTAATTGGTTTAATCGAAGAGACTACAGTCGTATGTATGATTATATTCAGGGAAAGCATGGCGCATAATGATATTGCTTTCATTGGGAAAAAGTCATAGAAATTTATTTCTAACGCTTTCTATGATAGGATTCACTTTCGAAGCGTGCGCAAGCTCAGAAAAATATTAGTTTCTTACCAGACGCGTAAAGGAGGTGGGCTATTAGAACGAATGCCAAATAAGACAACATCGGTTTGCCCAAACACATCTGTGTGTGCACTTAAAGCTAAATTATATGAGGATTAAACTGCAGACTTTCTAGAATGTCGACGTCATCGGAAGTTTGCTAAGCAGAAACAATACAATCTGTAACAAGAGCTTGCCTTGTGCTAAAGTCACAAAAATCCAGTGAAATCTAAGTTTCATGTTCAGCGATTTTGCTTTTTCTCCATTTATCTCAATATTCCTGTCTGTAATTATGTACTTTCCACATCGAGTAAATTTGCTGTACTTATCTAAACTATTAGCAACCAGCTAGCATATATTTGCTAGAAGCTGAAAACTAATACTGACATAGTTTTGTTAAAATAACTACGCAATTATCACGCACTACATTGCTACATTTGAGTGGAAAAACAAGAATCAGTCACACGGCAAAAACAGAAACTGATCGCATTAGTTAGTCATTACGTTAAGTAAGCTTAAAAGTTTTATGCAAAAATGCGGCGGCATGCTGTGCCCACGATTGGTGACCTACTAGGGCGTTATCATAAAGATTGAAGTTGCGAAAGAAATCTGATAAGTGAAAATTTCGATAGCTAAATGATCATAAAATGTCGTAATACGAAATAAGGAGAAAAAGCTACGATGGTCGTATAAGATAAGAAATATGAGCATGATAAGAAAAGAATAAAAAAAAGAAAGAGAAAGGTTTTATAGCCCATCGGTGAGAAAGAATGTGAGTTTTCAAAATTTTACTGACCTATGAGAAGTGAACGCGTAGCAGATGGATAGATGTGAACTCATGACAAGCGTGAGAGCGAACATCATGTTTAGTATATGATGCGTTCTCTTTTTTTTTCTTTTACTTGCAATCCATTCTCTTCTTCTTTTGTACGCCTACACTTATGTGTTCTTTTAATGTAAAATATATGCATAGCGGTCGCTCGTCATGCTTTTATTTCTTCAACCATTTTCTTCGCTTCATAAAGCTCTTCTGTACGATGAGTAAATACAATTATACAACCAGTAGAGAAGTTTGTGTCTACTTCAGAGTGCGGATAGCAGCCAATCCAGAACTCGATGTTCGACTTAACTTCACTAAGACGAAAAGTAACCAAATTTTCAAGTAGAAACCACTGCGAACGATAGCGAAGTGTGTGAGGTTGCCGTTTTAATTATATATGACGCAATCCTGTTAAGTGCACTAACAAGGACAAAACTTATGAAATAGTAAATTTATTTGCTTTATTCACGAATGCTAGGATACCCTATAATTTTCTTCTTGATGGCATTCAAATCGCTTTTGATGCATATATTTGCATACTTACAGAAAAATTTGATCGACATTTGTAACGCTTCGCAAACCTCAATATCTAGCAGTGAAAAATGTGCGCAGCTATTACAACAGAGCCAACTTGAACGGTAGTGAACGCATCGTTTGCGATGAATGTATATTAATGCGCAGACGATTCTAATCTCAAGGTTGTGTGGCCCATTTCTACGGTTCGTTTGAAACACGCATGAAATATGAGGGAAGAGCACAGACATTCCTACAGGCATATCTAATGACAGTCCTTAGCGCTTGTAAGCACGAACTACCGACGTGTGTAACGAAAAGAAAAAATGATTGAAATATTTGTTACGTAATCACGATTTTCTTCTATGTACTTTCATCAAAGTACGTTCGGTGCCTGGCAACGATGTTTGCCCTTTTATTTGTTTTTCTACGTGCCATTGTCATAATTTGCAGTGTTTAAAAAGCGAACAAAGCGCAAGAGGGCAAGTATTAGTCATAGATTGAAGTAACGATTCCTCTTTTTATAGAGACACTCACGATTCGCTTAAGTCACAAAATGAGACATTCTGACGTCGTAAAACCTGTAGATGTACTTTTTTAATAATACACATACTCATATTCGGTATCAAAAGCGTTCTTACTTACATAATAGCTCCTCTTCGACATCCTTCTTCGCCGTTTGAGAAGTATCTACAAACTTGCTCTTAAGGTATGATGTAAAAATAGGTACGCTCGTGATGATTACGTATTATATTCTCTCCGGCCTCCGCTTCGTTGATGTTACTACGAGAGTAACCATCCCCTTATTCAACGCTTATAAATTTTGCGCGGTGTCGATCGAAGGCAATTGATACTAAGCTGGATGAATTAATCACACGCATCATCGACTCCTTAGATAGACGTTGTATAAAAGATAAAGTTATTTAAGACAATGCGCATGAAGGTTCCTTCAAACAATGAAACATAATGGATGGTTTATCACTGAAACTATTCTGTAGTATCATTCTAGGAGCTACTATATACTGTAGATGGAACTACATGCATGCTGCATGCTAATTTCACCGGTCCTCGTAGATGGCGCACCGATCGAATCGAAGATATAATTAGATGTATATAGTTAATGGAGGAAAAAGTTCTACCGTTTAAGCTGATATACTTTCTACTAACTAAATAACGGTAATTAGTAGAGGGAGAAATTAACCAGCCGTATACTAAAGTAATAGAATAGATAGTTACAATGAGGTGGATTTTACAGGAACACAATATTGTTTAATTCAGTTGGATATCGCTAAACGACTAGTTTGCGTGAGAATAAATCGAGACTATAGTGTATTTTTATTACTACTTAAATACAAAGAGAAAAGTGCACGTTGTTATAAAGTCTGTTTCTATGATTATATTATTTATCTGAGTCAATGCGATGCGAAAGTGTGGGTTAAAGTAAGGACGTTATACTAAATCAGATATGGAGGAAAGGATACGCGTAACATATCAAGAAAAATGCAAGAATCTTATGTCAAATGATATGCGTGCGAGAAGAAAGAAAAAACATACGAGTAATGCCATGCGCGAGAGTGCTTATAGAAGGGAAAAGAGTTGAGGGAGTATAATGTGCTGGATTATCGTAGATAAATAAGAAAGAACGGCATTCTATTGATTAGATATACTCATCGAAATATTTTGTTAGATATAGATTTTATACTCAAAGTATTTGATCATTATTCAACACAAACTTGAAGGAATTCTTCCCACAGCCAGCCTTATTGGCTATAGCCATAAAAAAGCATTAACACTTCTACGATTTCGAATAATATTTACGAAAAAAAAATCATTGATTAAGCTATTTTTTGATAATTCTACACAAACTGATGACTACACGGTAAAGAACATTTAATGGGCTATAAAAAACTACGTCTAAACTGACAAGGAAACCAACAGTCCGTATTCTTTTTTCTTCTTCTGCTTCCATAAATACTGCTGTCATCCACATACTCTCGTCTGTTGTCTGTTCTCATTGAAACACATGTTCTCTGCTTCTATAGTATACTATCCATATGATATCTCATCTTCTTGCCTCTACTTATGTGTGAGTCTTCACTGTCCACTGTTCCGTTTTCTCGAGCATACATCGACATGCATGCTTCAGACCTTTCCAATGCTTTACTGAGTAATAGCACTAATTTTTCATGTCATCTGTGGGGTCTGTTACGTATCCGTAAACGAAGGGTAATTGTGAGCCAAAGTTGAACGAAGTACTGCTTATTTTAGTTGTAGCGAATCAGGAACTTCGGAAGATTGCGGGCGGCTTACACCCCTCCGTCGTTTAGATAAAAACCTACTCTGGCATTAACAGCTGTTTTATCAGCTTCTGCCGTATAAGTGGTTCTGCAAAATGACCGTTCGCCCATGTGTATATGCTAGACTAAAGAATTTTCCTATGAGAAAACAGCTAATAAAAAAGTCGCTTTGTTTTTACACTGTAACCTGTGTGATATTAAAAGATTTCCTTAGACCAATCTTACATTGCACTCGTTTTATCCAAGCACAAATAATCAATATTTCTAATATTACCTAATTTGGGGAAGTAGGCTCAGTGGCTATTATTGATGCTTACTTCCGCTATTGGCAAACTAAGTCATTCTAGATCGATCTGGGTTCTATTACGGCAGTACTATGCGCAGCATTTGTCGAATCATGATTGACACATTCAATGTGCACCTCTGAGGAAGTAATAGCGAATTTTGAACCTAAAAGTACAAATGTGGTTTCGAAGTGCTCGAAAGTACAAGGATCACCTCTAATACGGGAGTCCACTATTTGCCCAATGGCACAATCGTTCATATCGGTAAAACTTCCATCTGATAACGGTGTCTAATTGATTCAAACATAATATGCTAGCCAAATCACGGATAACGCCCTTGGCAAAATATGTGCCTACGACTGTGAAGATACGAATAATGTGTGATTATTTACATAAATACGATCGAAATAATTATTCTTGTTGACGTCAATTTCGATATTTCGTTTCTCATCAATGTATCCTCGTGTGCAAATAGTTTCACACTTCAATTGCTTTCATCAATCGAAATATTGTCATGTACAACAGAAAATTTTATCGAATGAAGCACGACAAATACAAACTTAATGTTTCAAATTCCTATCGATGATTGCAATCCGCATACATAATCAGAGGGCACACAAAAAATCACTTTGATACGTTGACAACCCTATCTTTCTTATCATTACTTACTAAATGAATGAACGAATCATGAACTTTTGTGCGGGTACTTGAAAACGACGACATGCTAGGCAATTATTTGAGTTAGACGGTAACCTCAAGGACGCGATAATAATATGCACATGTGAAATTCCCATAACGATACTTGATGAAACGTAAATACGATAGGAAACGACTCGATTCAGTGTCATAAATCGTCAATCAGTTATAAGTACATTTTATGACTCATATTGTGTTTCGTTGCCAATCATCGTACTTTTAGTTGGTGATGTTATCGTATGCGAATGTTTATATGTGAAAAAACACTGGCAATGTTGTCCTTCACTCTCTTAAACATACAGAATCGAAATTAAAAAAGAACAACATAAAAATGTATCTGTATTTCAATTTCGTGTGCTCAGCGCATAATGTAGTAAAAGTGAATGTTCTCGAAACATTGATCTATATCTAATGTGCACAAAACGGAGTTGCTTTTCCCGTTGTCAAATACCATGTGGACCAACGAAATATCAACAAAAACAACAATAAAAATAAATTTCTAATTCTCGGATATTAAAATAATAATATGAAAAGCTAAAAGCTATGTTTTATTCCATATTCCTTGCTTCACAGAGTTTCTCTGTTGCACTCTTAGTTCATATGCGTTTCATTTATCGTCTGATGAACTTTCTTTGTCAGCAGATTTAGGTTTTCTATGGATTATAATGTAGTTGACTCATCTATTTTTCATTTGAATACTCAAAGAGAAAGCTGCATTTACAAACAAAAAAAAACAAATTCTTCAGCATACTCTGACGAACTTTGCGATCAAAATATTTCGTGTCATACGCACCTTTATTTCTAACGATATTTCGCTTATTGGTCGGTATCCGGACGCAGATAATGTAACGTGCACGTACAGAGCTCGCTGCATTTTCCAAAGTGATTTTCCAGCGCATCCGGCAAAGAAAATTCTATCTACGTCGAAAATTTTGTGAGGACAGCGGCATAGGCGTAATAAGCGGCACTTATGTTGACTTTTATATACACGAATGACATCGTGAGTTTTCAAGCGGAGAAAAGAAAAAATACATTTTCGTTCACATAGCTTTTTTAAAATAGATGTCGAGTTTTTGCGTGAATAAAATCGGCGAAATGTGTGTTAAAGGCCGGTTTCCGCGAATCGCTCCTCTTTCTCCGAGCAGAGTAGAATTCTTCAGCGCTTTGTAAAGGGCAAATGCGTGTAAAAAAGGGGACAATAGGCTTCAGTATAATCTCCTATGAATGCGTAGTATTAACCGACGATCTAACTAGGATTAAATGATTACCTGTGTATTGATACATGAAATAAGTGAAGAGGGCAAGAAGAAGAAGACAAAATGATGCACAGATTACGAATAACGAAATCCAGTAGGCGATTTTGATTGCCATACAGTGACCAAGCGCTGAAATTCACAGCGAGTATACCTGAAAGAAATACAGTAGACTACTTATTTCAATCGCGCTCTTTAGCATGGTGACTTTTGAAAAAGTTCGTTTTAAACGCCAACTTACTCACCAATGGATGGAAATATCAGAAGTGCAAACAAAGCGAAGCTGACGTATGAATGAACAGAACGGTATTATACTGAATGCGTTCGGTCATTGTTTGCACTGCTTGCCAGTGTTCGATTGTATTCAAGCACTATGTGAGAAAGTAAACACTTACCGATGAAATAATTTCTGCTTTATAAACTCTACAGAATTCTTTTGAATCAGTACGATGTGACTTCTGCTGCGTAATACACTTCACGGCCAATAGAAATTTGCTCGCGATTTTCTCCCAGATGTTTGACAAAGCCCCTTGGCCATGAAGACATGTTCTATAAAGGTTTCTTGCGTGTGTGAATCGATGCTGTTCATTACTTTCATCGCCTGAACTAATGCTTTCGGTCATGCATGAATGCGACGATTGATATTGATTGAAAATGTGTGCATTTAGAATATAATTACGATCGATTGAGAGCTGCGTTGTTTTCGCCGGTAATAGATATGAATAAGATTTTACTAAAAGCTTGATACTATCTTCTGTTGATAATTACTGTTCTACTTCAATAATGGTCGGGTTATCAAGGTATGACATTAATGGCAAATATGGGTCACATACGATTTATTTCTTCTCATAAAACTTCGATGTTTTCGAACGATTAACAGCCTTCAACGAAGAAACTGTCAATGGGTGTAATAGTTCGTTGTGCTGAATGTTTGAAATTAATATCTTCAAAATGATTAGACTGTTTTATTTCCAACAGTGATTGATACACATAACAAAAGATATCTTCTATTTTGAATGAAACCACCCGCGATTCGGTACGCATTAATAGGAAGGCGAACATGTTTCTTGAAATTGTATAATCTCTTTCGAGAGTTGGGTTTTCGATTGAATCTCATGCTTCTACTGAACGCGCCATTATATCTTATATAACTCTTGATTAATAGAAGCAACCTCGATGCAATTACTCGCTTTCTGCCTTACAAAATGCGAATACGGTGTGACGAATTCGCACAGATGAAATAGTGATCTATGTTTTATTATGAAAAACAGTACAAATGCACTCTTATAACAAGGATATTGTATTTTAGCACGTGTTCGGCCAATCACTGCACCGTTACGTGCCACCTATTGATTATCCATTCCGTAGAAATTATTATTCACAATGTGCCGAATACATTGAAGAACCATGTTGCGTTCACGACGAATGTCTGATGCTAAGAGCTATTTGAAAAGAGAAGTGAAATAATACACTCCCGACAATTATCATCTCCGATCTCACTTACGCGTTCCAATAACGTTGCGTTAGGATTATTAGTTAAAGTAGTTGTGATCACTGGCGCTGCTGGTTCAGCCTATATGAACATATCATTATCTCGTGAGTAGAAAAAAAATCTTCAATCACACATCGAGATTTCTGTTCGGTATAGTTTTTCGCTCTTTCATTCGTCTAAATATTATGGATATATTTCACGAACGAACAGTGCAATATACAAACCCAAATTGGCGCGTTTCTAGTATATCACCACGTTCTTGTCGTTCTTCTTCGGATTTGATTTTCTTACTGATATTATCTGCCGTTGGATAATTTCTACAAACTCGAATGCATTTTTCAAAAGACTACAGCAAAATTATTTTCAATACTTTCTACGCTCGGCTATGTATCGAGCGGTTTCGTCGGCTGCCGCATTACCAGCTGCTTCACTCTGTACACTGTTTCTAGGCATCTAAATATGAAATAGTTATGGCTGAATATCCTTCTTGATCACATACAGGCATGTGACTACGCAAGTGTTCATGGTAAGCTTTTTGTTGAGAAAAACTCGAGGTACATCTTGTACACTGAAATATACGGCGATTGATATTTGTTTCTTGATTCTATTCAATACACAATTACAAATCATTCGTATTTGTGTTCTGCGAAATGGTTACTTTTGAATTAGACATAATATATTAGTGATTTTGTGAATGTATATCAATCCGATTCGGTAAAGTTAACCGATCATACTGACTAAAGAGACAATTGGATCATTTCTCCTAGGAAGTTTGAGCCAATCTGAAAACGACTCGATGTTCGATTAGATGTCGACAACTTTTTTCCTTTTTTGATGCATTAACTGCTTTGGAGGTTTTCGAAAAATGAAAAAAAAATATTCTTTTGATTTATTACATATTGAAGATATGATAAATTGACTATTATCTAAAGGCTAATCTTCTTCATTCTATATGAGACAGAAAATATTATTCTTTAATTAAATATTTACTTATACGTTCAAGTTCTATGCATTTTTCAATTCATCGATTCCGTCTTATTAAGACGCTATAGTAATTAAGAAAATATATGGTGCATAAAATCCTATTCTCACATATCTACTTTCCCTATTTGAAAATCTTATGTATATCTTACATAGGCACATGAAAGAGATGAGCATCATATCGGATCCTTTCCAGTGAATTTATCAAGGTTCTTTTATTCATTTCATATAATCGCTCAATATTAGAGTACGGATAGATAGATGGTGGTAATAAAAGGCAGTGCGCCGATTTCTTTCGTTTTCTTCAGTTTCATCAACCCACTGCGGTCGGTACGTGATTCATTTTATGAAAACGATGATTCGGTTCGATATTTCGAAAGTTTTTCTTTCTTTCTTTTGCGTGCGGATTTAATTCAAATCATATTTCATTATTTGTCGCTAGTATCGTTCGGTGCACCTCTCATTGGCTGATGAGAAATTGCACCTTCACTCAATGTTCTTTCTTTCGTTTTTCTGCATTCTTTTTTCCCCGTGATCATTTCAAAACAAGCGCATCTCATTTGATTTTTTAGATCAATACAAAATGGGATGGCTAGAATATCTATTTGTCTTGGTTTTCGTGCATTTCACTTCCGCAGCAATTCGTATGAGTCAACCAAAGATCTTATTACCATATCATCCACGTATTGAAACAAATTTCACATTGGAAGCAACTGATGGTTGCTTTCTCTGGTCGTCATCACGTCCCGATCTTGTTCGCATCGAACCGGTCGAACCCTTTGCAATCAAAAACGGTGAAAAGTGTTCTTTGCACGCGAACATTATCGCGCATACAAAACAATCGTTACGTTCCAGTGCAACGGTCTATGCACGCGATGTTCTAACTGGTCAATCAGTCCGGTGCGATGTTATTATTGATAAAATTCAAACCATTGAGATTGTTTATACAACTACACGACTATATCTAGAAGATGCACCGGAGTTATTCAAACTTCGTGCACACGATCAACATGGCTCAACATTTTCGTCAATCGAACACTTCCCGTATGAATGGCGTCTTCTAAATGCTGCGATCGTCGATGATCGAAGTATGTACGCCATTTTTACTGATTGTTTAATATTTCTGCTATTTTAGGCGTGAAGAAATCGACAAGTGGAGCACTTGATGCCACCAAAGTTATTCGAATTCTTCGTTTAACGGATTCATCATATGAAATGAGTGAAACAGTTCGAAATCTCGAGTCTCATGGTTCATTATCATACGAAATCCTTCTCGAAGGCCTTCGTACCGGTTCAGCTTTTGTTCAAGCGGAAATCATCGACAGCGATCTCTACCATGGCATTCGAACAAAGCCTGTTCGATTATCCGTTTCCGCAAATGTTCAATTCCATCCATCCACCGACGTTTATCTCCTACCCTACTCACGTTTACCATTTCGACTTTATCAAATCAAACGGCACGAGTCTACGGATATCACCGATTTACCATCCACACGAATCCTCTACGAAGTAAAATTACTCAACAACGACGCTGGTACATTAGATGATCGCACATTAGTTTTCACAGCGACAGATCATGCAGATGAGCAATCACGTGTCGAATTAATTGATCGAAATATGAAAGCGATCGATAACGATACGTATGAGCCGACATCGTTGATGATACGTATTGTGAATATTGGTTATTTGTCGGCTATTACGAACTCCACACGTCCATGGATATTCCAAGTTGGTACAAATTATTTGGTCACAGTTGAGATATTCGATGTCAATGGGCGAAAAATTTATCCAACTGATAACTTAGATTTATCAGCATCGATTCCCAATGAACTACATAAAACTTGTTTACAATTGAAATCTTTGTATCAAAATGGTACACAATATGTTCTCCGGCCTAATTGTCAAGGGAGGTTTGAATTAGAATTCCGATTGAATGGAGTGAAAAATAATGATATCATCGAAATGCCAATAACAGCTTCAAGCAAGCAATGGTTCGAAGTTTACCTTCCTTTATCCGCTCGACCTAAACGAGTACTTCTACCGGAGAAAACGACAACAAAAGAAATGAAGACACCGTCTTGTCCAATAAAAGTCTTAGGTGGCAGTGGTGATTACACATTCACGTCAAGAGATACAAATGTTGTGACCGTTTCGCCGACTGGTGATCTAATGGAACAGACATCGTTGAATACCACAACTGTCGATATATTCGATCAAAAATCTCCGGAATTGAATGCTACAGTTTCTGTACAAGTGGTCCAACCTGATGAATTTCATTTGTTTCCGTGTCCAGTAGAAACAGATTTAAATTCTATACTCTATCTACCTATCCAACTATTCTACAAAAAACAAACCTTGACTTGCTGTTCACATCTTGATTTCGATGTTTTCATCGACAATAACATCTTCCAGTATCAAGGAATTATCCCATCTGATGAACACACGAATCAATCATGTGCATTACTTGTTTTCAAACCGTTAAAAATTGGAGTGACAAATATTCGTGTTAACCTAAAGAAATTCAATCTTCAACAGTCGATTCACTTAACATCGTATGAACATTTACAAATCAATCGCCAGCGGTTACTTTTAACTACCAAATCGCAATACACACTTCAATTATCTCAAGGTCCAATTCATTCTCACGATCAAGAATCCATTAAATACGAAATCTCGCCATCCGATAGCCACGTGCAATTCACACAAGATTCATCAAATCCCAATCTTCTACATATCACTTGTCTGAAATCGATTCAGAATGGACACTTCGAAATATCCAAACAGAATTCCATCACAAAACAAAATCTCTGTCCAATCAAATCAACTGTTGCAATCGATATCACCTGCCAATCGAATATACATTCACTTGCACTCGAACCTGTCCTCGACTCTCAATGTCCATTGACGACTCGTGATTATGTCGTTACTTACTTCGACGAAGTCTTACCGGTTAAAGTTCTTGCCTATGATGAAAATCAAATTCCATTCGATAACTTTACTTCATTAAAACTCGATTGTTCAATCAAATCGCATAAAAACTTAGCTGACCTTCATGTTCAAAATCCATTAGAAATCATTCCGAAACATAAATCCGGAAAGATCTTACTCAAGTGTTCCGTGGATAAAATTGAACAACAACTTGAAATCGAATTCATCTCCGATATACAATTACCAAATCCGATCAAGTTAATCTACATCAATGAGTCTTTGTCACCATTAGAAATATCCAGTGGATCAGGGTACTTTAAATTCCAAACCAACGAATTAACCACGAACCCTCTGATACATTTGCTTATGTCCGAAGATAGCTCACGATTGGTTTACATCAAGCCTTTGAATTATGGACGAACGACATTGATGATTATTGATCAATGTTTACCATCGTCACGTAAACAACTCGATGTAATCGTTGCCGATCTTGGCCACTTGAAAATCTCCGGTCGAAGTCGATTGGAATTGAATACAACCACATTGATCTATATTCAAGCAATGGATATCGATGGAAATTTATTCAATCTAACAAATATCTATGATATGATTAATATTCAACTTGAACAGAGCCAAAAGCCTGAGATTTTGTTTATTGAATATGAACCGAAGTCTAATCGAGATCATTATACTTTAGCGTACCGGATACATACGTTAGATATTGGACGAACGAATGTAAAATTTTCAGCACTGAATGTTAAAAGTACGTCGATTGAATTTGAAGTTTATCCAAAACTTCGTATTGAACCAAGAGAATTAAATGTTCTACCGTTGTCAACCATTCAATTTCGAATTATTGGTGGTTCGCAATTACCCGGTACAACGATCGAATGGTCGACGAATGATACGAAAATCGTCGACTTAGAATCAAGTAATATTTTCAAAACCAAACAAATTGGCCATGCGGTTGTTCAAGCGAAGTCCGTCGGCATTGATCCACTTTTAGGACAGGTAAATGAATGCTGAGACGTTCAGTCGCTTTTATTCTTTTTCATTTCTAGTCGGTGGTCTATGGTGAAGATTCCTGTTCGGTTTATGTTGTTCAAATTCATTCGATCCGTCTCCATACGCCAACAGTTGAAGTTCTACCAAACAAATACGTTCCATTAACAGTCTTTTCGTACGATGATCGAAAGCAGCCAATCGTTGTCACAGATGTCTTTCTTCATTCGTTAATATTTACATGGTCTTTGTCCAATACTCATCTTGCACAGATTCGTCCAATTATTGGTAATATATCTTCATATACGCGAGCATTTGTAACAAATATGGAAACATTACGAACCGGTCATGTTAATATTGACGTCCGTTTAACAACAAATTCAAAATCGTTAACAAAATTATTATTTAAAAGTTCGCATGAATTGTCCAGCTCAGCAGCATTAACTGTTCTAGAGTCATTCTATGTCAATCATTTCGACGAAACACGTACTATTTTATTAGGACCTAATTCTCGTTTGAATCTATATCATATTCCCAATGATGTCACATTGGAACTTTCTTCCACATCGAAACATATTCAATATGAATCCGATACGAAAACATTGATCTCAGATCAAACTTCGTACGACGAAGCAGTTCTATACATGAAATATCGAGGAACAAAACGAGATAAAAAGAGTGTCAGCTCCTCGATTGTTGGTGCTTATTTAGTGCAAGTTAAACCAATACATTATTTGCTTCTACAGAGTTATTTACCACAAGAAACATCAGCTTTGTTTTCGTCAATACCGGTGGATTATAAACTTCCATTAACTGTTACCTATCATGATGAGTTAGGAAGAAGGTAAGACGATTTGTTTTCCTTAGAGAAGATATTTCAGTACTGAATATCTGTTTTAGATTCGATGCAACATCGGTTCTTCTTCAAACATTTTCATATCGTAGCGATATGATATCATCGAATTCGAATAACACACAGAACTATGAAATCATCTCATTGAAAAATGGTTCGAATGTCCTCGTTTTCGATGGAGGCTTGGAACACTTGCGCGCTTATTTACCTGTACAATCAAATAGTGGTTTTCTCTTACCGAAAACATCTGTTTCGCCTTTGAAACAAACTTATTATATAAATGATATCGTTTGCTTCGAGTCTAATTTATATAACGATGAGAGCGGTCGTGACCGCTGGACAGGTGACGATGGCATGTACGTTGACTCGAAATATGGTATTGCACAAATGATTATGGATGGTGAACGTCATTTACATTTGAAAATCGATGGGCAAACAATAACCAGCGAACGATTTCAAGTTCAAGTGCCCAACGACATGAAATTATATAAGGGAACAAACGATTTTCTCTATGATGGCGAAGAAGGTATGTATCATCTTATTATTCTGTCGATAAAACACAGTTTGTATGCTTTAGGTAAAGTGTATTCCTATCCAGTAATCTTCGGTGCTAGTTCAACCACGAATCTGCATGGTTCTTGCCATCGCGAAGGACTTGAACATGCACAATCGAATCGTGTTCTTCGACCAACTTATGAATGTCATCTTGATTTTGTTAACAATACCTCAACTCAGCCAAAAGCGTCAGCATTATTTAAAACTCAAGCAGTATTCGATCTTGATCTCATGAGTTGGGCATGTCAAATCATCAGTAAATCTGCTCATGATTCAAGTACTTATGATGATTCTTTGCGATTGATTGTTCAAACACCATATCAAACAGCATCGAATGAGTTAATCATTCCTTACCAACCCAGATTTAAATTGTCTTCATTATCATCGATCTATCTTTCTGAAGAACATCCCTTTAATTCGATACATGTATCAACATTACCAAACAACGAAAAATACTTGCAATTAGAATCATCAGATCCATCGATTGTTCGTGTCAAGAAGAACGCAACCGATCCATTCCTGTATGATATCGAATTGCGTCACGGCGCAAAAACTAACACTCAAAATCCCATCTATGTCAATATTAAAAATACACTAACTGGACAAACGCAACGCATTCCAATTAAAGTACAGAAACGATTTATTGATAATCCAATTGGACGTATTTTAGCAAGCCTTCTCCTGTGTGCATCACTGGCTTTAATTGTCTATGGTTTAGCTAATCGTAAGCCTCCGGTAACGACTACACCTCCTGTCATAACTAAACCAGTTTCATCATCACCACGTGTTCTACATTCACCACCCACACCCAAACGACATTTACTCTTCGATGAACACCATGCCTCCCCATTCGATACGCCGACAACTATTCAACATCAAGATCAGCCGGTTGTTAGATTGTATTCAGCCCAAGATGTCCGTTCGCGGTCTATAGCAAATACACCCCGATCAGCGATCAGTAATATGACGTTACCGATAACCGATGATCGTGATATTCGGGCACGTTATCAAAGACTGTATGAGTGAAATATGAATCCATTTGGTTTATCTCAGGGATCTGCCGGTGTTCTCTGTTTTCTCTTGTGATAGAAGTGTTTTACTTTACAAAAAAAAGAAAAACATTTGTATATTCATTCTCATTTGTGTGTGTGTCTGTATTAGGTCAATTTTGTTGTTATTGTTGTTCTTTTTGTATGTGCTTCGCGTGTATTAATCTAGAAAAGTTGTTTTTCCTTCGTCTTCTTGTTGTGATTTATGAAAGCAAACAAAATGATTTCTTTCTCTTTTTGGTTTTTCCTTTTTGAAATAGGAAATATATATTTGGAGACGAAGAACTTCTCTCGGTTGCATATTCTGAAAAATCTACACCTTATATTGTTTCGTTCCTAGGTCTACATGCATATCAACACTCCGTCCACATCATGTCTTCTCTTCTTCTCTTTATCATTCATCTTCTGTGAGCGTTCTCCCTTGCAAGTGGAAAAAGACTCTGCTGTAGACAATTTATTGAAAAACTACCACCATTATGATGAATTAGAGCAACTTTTGAATACATGGACGAAGCAGTATCCTAAACTTACACAGTTATTTAGTGTTGGTAAAAGTACCAATAACAGCGAGCTGTTTGTGATGCGCCTGACGTCTCCAATGATACCAGACAATAGCGATGAACATGATGAAGTGCAACTACTGAAACCGAAATTTAAATGGGTAGCGAATATGCACGGTGATGAAGTCATTGGACGAGAACTGATGATCGGTTTAATATATTATTTGTTGTTAAATTCGAATTCTGATTCCCGAGTTAATCGATTGTTATCAACAACAGATATTTACATAATGCCCAGCATGAATCCGGTAAATAACAGATGACATATCTTGTCAAGAGGCATTTGAGCATTCGTTGATGTGCTGTATCATTTTAGGATGGGTTTGAACTATCTACTGAGGGTCTTTGTGACGATCCTTCGTACATTGGTCGGGAAAATCTTCTTCACGTTGATCTCAATCGAGATTTTCCATCGCCCTATCAAACATTGAAAGCCATGCTCAACGGCACAATTGGTGATTTGTTCTACGGCCGACAACGAGAAACAATTGCAGTGATGAAATGGATATTAAAAGAGAACTTTGTTCTAAGTGCAAATCTACATGGTGGTTCAGTTGTCGCGTCATATCCCTACGACGAATCAGCCAGTCACCAACCGAAGTATTCAGCGTCTCCCGATGATGCTTTATTTCGTTTTCTGGCACGCACATACGCAGAAAAGCATACAACTATGAGCAAAGGTAAACACAAGATGATTAATTTAAACTAAATTTGTAACGGTTTGTGTTGGTCAGGTGTTGAATCTTGCGCAAGTGAATTTTACAATGGAATAACGAATGGTGCACAATGGTACGATGTTTCAGGTGGTATGCAAGATTTCAATTACTTGCATAGTAATACATTTGAAATCACAATGGAACTGAGTTGTTGCAAATATCCACTTGCAAAAAATGGCACTCTTGTAAAGGAATGGGACAAGAATAGAGAAGCACTCTTGGCTTATATGGAACTGGTGAATCTATGAGATGAAATATGAAAAGGAAAATCTTGTTATTGATTGATAATTTAGAGTCATCTTGGTGTCAAAGGTTTCATTCGTGATGAGCTCACACGAACAGCAATATCTGGCGCATTGATTCAAATTCAAGGTATTCTACATCCAGTTCGTAGTGTTACTTCAGGGGCATATTGGCGTTTATTATTACCTGGTTTATATAATATAACAGCCACAGCATCTGGCTATGTTCCTCAAACGAAATATAACGTGAACGTGACAAATGCGAACCTCACGAGCGTAAGTCAATGAAGATTTGAAATTAATTGTATGAGAATCAGAATTTTGGATAGGCACTTCGTCTTGATTTTACCCTTCAACCGAGAACGCAAGACCTTTTCATAACTAACGAGAATGTTGTTGAAATCAACAGCATCTACGATAAATTGTCGAATTATGCAACACAACTCAGGAGTGGCTCACGTGATGCGTTACTTGATACATTAATCGAACCTACTAATCGTTTCCGATATCATGATTACGATTCTTTGGTGGCAAAACTAAATGAATTACATGCTAAGTATCAAAATATAACTTCGCTGTACACTATCGGAGAAAGCGTAGAAAAGCGCAATCTATGGGTGATGATCATTAGTGATAATCCACTTGTTCACGAGGCAGGTGAACCAGAAGTTCGGTACGTTGGAAATATTCATGGTGATGAAACTGTAGGACGCGAATGTTTGATTTTATTCATCGAATATCTGTGTGTTAATTATAAGAAGAGTGACTACATTACAAAACTTATCGATAATGTGAGTCGATTTCTTATTGCTTGACTGCATGAATAAGAAAATTGTTTTGTTCTAGACTCGTATACATATTCTACCGTCGTTGAATCCCGATGGTTTCGAGCGTGATTATAAGCAGAAAGAACACGAAAAAGGAGGAGGCCGTCCTAATGCACACGACGTTGATCTGAATCGAAATTTTCCACCAGTTGAACTTGAGCAATCCTCAAAATCCGATATCGCTAAACCAAAACCACAATTTAATAATGCTGAAAATCGTCTGGATAAATTCGCTGTCTCGAAATATCTACTAGAGCCTGAAGTTCGTGCTGCGATACATTGGTCATTAGTTTATCCATTTGTTCTCTCCGGAAATTTACATGGTGGTGCACTGGTTGCCAATTATCCATTCGATAATAGAATCATAGGTTCCACCAAACCGGAAAGCCGATCACCTGATGATTCAACATTTATCATGTTGGCCAAGTCCTATTCACAAGCACATAAACAAATGTCTCAAGACAAATCTTGTTCCAACTTCGATGATGGAATAACCAATGGTGCAGCATGGTACCCTATCGAAGGTGGAATGCAAGATTGGTCGTACGTATTCACATCGAATATGGAAATAACGCTCGAACTTGGATGTAAAAAATATCCCGAAGAAAATCAATTACAACTTTATTGGAATGATAATAAAGGAGCTTTATTATCGTTTATCACCCAGGTCATTTTCACCGATAGGTACTAGTAGAAAAAAATACATCAAATTTGTTTTCTTTTAGGTTGTTCATGGCATTCGCGGCTTTGTATATGATATTAAAACGCAAACAGGTATACCAGGCGCATCTATTTCTGTTCATGGTATTGAACATAATGTTATAACCTATCAAGATGGTGACTTCTTCCGCATCTTATCCTATGGAATCTATGACATAACCGCTGAACGTGTTGGGTAGGTGACAAAAGACGATTAGGATATGTTTTATCTATTCGATGATTGTTGTCTTATAGGTATGCACCACAAACAATAAGAAACGTTCTAGTAACGAACCAATCTTCCACATATATCGAATTCAAACTTAAACCTAACGAATCCTCCGAAGAGAAGAACACTGAAAATCTATCAAAAGTAGAACAAATTTATAACCAATCGAAAGATTTCATTCTAAATCGTACATTGTTTTTGATTATTGCCGGCATTTTTGGTTCGTAAACCGTATCTATTTGTATTAACTATTGACATCTTCGGTATTTTCATTAGCTTTAGTTCTGGCAACACTGTTCGGATTCATTATTTTGTATTTACGATGTCGTTCTTCTTCAATACTTTCATCTCATTCCCGTGTTGGCTTTCAACGGTATAATCTCATTCCTCAAGACGAACAAAGTGATTTGAGCTCATCTCAAATTAATGGATCTAAATCTGTTCCAAATAGTCATGCCACACAAAGTGATTCTGAAAATGATGAACCGTTGTATTCATCGCAGAGTCATAAATTCCTATTTGCTTGAACTTTCATCTTTGTTTTTGTTTCGCAATCCGTAATCATGTCTTTCACATTGTCTTAGTATTTCTATTGTTATTGTGAATCTCCTTATTACTAACAGTATTTTTTACTAATAATTTTATTTATTTTAAATATTAATCGCAATATATACAAAGAAGATCAAAGTATTTTCTTCTGAAACACGTAGTACCATGCTTTCAACAATGAAACATGACGAATAGTGCAATATTTCAAAGAATGTGACTCAATTCTTGACATTCCTTTTCGTACGCATATTTTGCACGGATGTTTTTTGTGATACAGGATTGCCGACTTCAGTTATTCACATTATTTAAAAGAAAACGGATTATTACCGTGTACGAAACAATCGCCTGCCATCTACTTCAAGTATCAGCATCGAAACATATATGATGCTATTGTTTATATCTTTCGTGAATAGAATTCTTTTGATTAGTAAGATCATTAGACTAGTTCTCATCAACAATGAAGTAAGAAAACACGCGACTTTTGCGTCGTTTTTATTTTTCGATGCGTATAAAAATGCTTTTCAGATTTAAGACTGTTTAGTATTCTATATCTAATCGAGTTTAAATAGCTTCAATATAGTTTCTATAGTAAGTGAATAATATGTAGAAACGTACAGTAAAAACTTGATACATTCAGCGTCTATCTCACCTATGCGTGGAAAGGGCGTAAAAACCTAGCCGAAAGAAACAAATCTGTTGTACCTGAGTATATAAGAAGGACGTTTCACCTAATCGCTTATTACTGAGATCAAAACATACATGGTGATCCAGCAGTCACGCATCAAAAGAAAAAATTAATCATTTTCCTTGAGGCTTAAGCAAATGGACTTGTTTTTTTTATCGACGGTAAGAACATATACATGCTTTTTATTTAGATAGATATGGCTATGCACACTCTCAGTTAATTAACCCTATTGACTTAAAAAAAGAAGAAACCTTAGTTTTCATTTATTAAAAAACAATATGTTATTCTTTAGCTAAATGTTGCCAAGTGTGTATTAGAGCAGAAGGCAAACACTTAGAGCATTTGCTTTAAAATATTGGTCATTTTCTGAAAAAATTTTCCTTTCTTTATATTACACTAGTTTTTTTTATAAATGAAAATCAAGATTTCTTTTTACACGCCAATAGAACTAATTAATAGAGGGTGTACATAGCTATATCTACTTGAATAAAAAGTTTGTGCATGTTCCCATCATCAATTAAAAATTCAGCTGATTTGCTCAAGCTTCAAGGAAGATATTTAGGTTTTTTTCCTTTAGTGAGTGACTTTTGGACCATTCTGTATATTTTTATCTTAATCTCAGTGAATTTGAATAAAGGTGACTGTTTTTTATTGACGTCGTTGTAATCATATTTATTAGAATACAGATTGTTTCTGTATAGATATATACATATACATATTCTTTACGCTGTTAGTACAAAACCTACAGTCATAATTTCAGCTTTACCTTGATACGTTACACCATGTCCGCGGCTGAACAATGTGTTAAAACAATCCAAAAAGAAAAACAACTCGATACTCTTAGTACCAACGGTCACAAAGAAAATGGACGTAATGATACTGAAGATGACACGGCTTTCACAGTAGGAACAATCAACGATAACCATCGACGCACATCCATGAGAGATCGTCAATCAAGTGTATATGATGACAATGCTCTTCGTGAAAAGGACACAGATTCCATTCATAATGATCGTCTGAAATCGATGACTTCATTCTATAAAGATATATTAATTAGCGTTGGCGAAGATCCATCTCGAGAAGGTACAGATGAAATTCAATAGTTTGATTTTGTTATATCGTCCGTATATAGGCTTGTTGAAAACACCAAAACGTGCCGCAGAAGCGATGTTATTTTTTACCAAAGGTTATGAACAATGTATAGGTGATGTGGTTAATAACGCTATATTTGAGGAAGATTGTGAAGACATGGTTATCGTCAAAGATATCGACATATTTTCATTATGTGAACATCATTTGTATGTTTTTTTTTTCTCGTACAAATTAGTTTACAATCGTAGTCGAATGTTTCTTTTTTTTGCTACTTAGAGTACCTTTCTTCGGAAAAGTTGCTGTTGGTTATCTTCCCAAGAATAAGGTAATTGGATTAAGTAAAATTGCCAGGTAAGAATAATTTGTTTCTTTTTCCTCGTTCAATTCTATGTCTTATCGATCATTGTGAAAGAATTGTCGAAGTATACAGTCGCCGTCTTCAAGGTGAGATATTCATCTGAATCCATTGAATGTGTAGTTTTTCTCATTATAGTTCAAGAGCGTTTGACACGTCAGATAGCTGAAGCTATTGAAGAAGCAGTCGAACCGCACGGTGTAGCTGTTATTGTGGAATGCGTGTAAGTAATCATGTAGGGAGATCTGTACGAGTACTTTTGTTTATTCGAAGTCATATGTGTATGGTGATGCGTGGTGCTCAAAAAGTGAATTCTCGTACAACAACATCGTCGATGCTCGGTGTTTTTCGTGATGATCATAAAACACGCGAAGAATTTTTATCATTGGCAAAGATTTAATAAATATTTTGTTAATTTTACAAATAAATCATCAAAATATTATATTTATGTTTTATTCTATGAATGATTGTTATTAGTATATAAGGTCAAAGCCAATCAATCTGGAGAAAATATGTCACTCTGCTTCCTTTCTGTGTAGTTTGCTATATTAATATTAAAAAATAACACACAAAAGAAGCCAGTCGTTCGAGTATGAGAAGAAACTAAAATGTTCTTTCCGTCTGAGAACATATTTTTACTGCTGAGATGTCATATACCCTCTAGTTTTCACAAATATCGCTAGTAGCACGTAAATATCTGCGGATATCAAACAAGAAGCGGATCATAATGTTAAAATTGCTCGTGTTAATGTCAAATGACAGAGAAAATGCTGAAATCATAGTCACAATCACAAATATTTCGATAAAGAAATTTGATAGTTTATAAAAATTCTTTTTTTTTCCATACAGTGTTATTCGAGCCTACTGTGATTTATTCAAGTTAATGTAAAGAAAGACATTCTCCAAGGTTTTTATTTAATACTAACTGAATGAACTCTAGGTGTGAAAAGAAATGTTTAATTGCATTACTACGAACACGGCTTGGTCGAATGCGAATAGCGCATATGAATTGTGTTGAATCGGTTATGAGATGATCATACTCAAGATTAAACTTTCGTTTTTGTTTGATAACATGCTAATCATCGAATGAATAAGACATCTTATTCATCGGTTCGAAAAAGATGCAGAGGGGCAAAATGAATGTTGCAAAATTTTTTTTTTGCTGTATTTTATGTCGTGTCGAAGGTAATAAAATCAAATCTTGTTCTTTCTCTATATATTGATATCCTGCATATTTTATTTCTTCTTATACATATTGACAAATTTGCTAAAAAAAATCTGTTGATTGAGGTGATTCACGTTTATAATAGCTCCTTTACAACACGCATAGTGAGTTTGTTCGAAACCTCGATTACTAATTTTTGTTGTTCTTGCCTCTTCTACATATATATGTAAAAGGGTAATGTTTTTCTCCTCTTTCTTCCGTCGTTGTATAAATATCGTCGATTCACCTACCACAACGTCTAACTCGAGTTTGATATACAAGTGAACTTAAATCCGTACGACATTTCTCTTGAATTTACTGATTGATCTTAACTAACATGGGAAATAAAGGAGCCAAAAAAAGTGCATCAACTGAATTAACACCCAAACGTATGTATTGGTTCGATCTTAAAGGTCGAATATAGTTGTGCCTAATTTTAGAAATCGCTTTGCTTCGAGCAAATACCAAATACAGCGAGAGAGGTAAATTATAAGTTAGTAGTTTTGTCTGGACTCATTTCTTTTTTGTTGTAGAAATTCGCGAATGGCATGCGGTTCGTTTGTGATTTACGGAAAAGATTGGTTGTATTATCGATTCTATATGTAGGGTTTTCTTCGCGATTGTCCAAACGGTCGACTTGATAAAAAGAAATTCGTTGAAGTTTACAAACAATTCTATCCTCAAGGCAAAGCAGATAGTTTTTGCAAGTAACATTCATATTCATTGGAATTCAGAATCGTATGATGAATATTTTAGACTTGCCTTCGATACGTTCGATGCTAATGACGATGGCTCCATCGATTTCGATGAGTTTCTTTTAGCTATTTCAGCAACAAGCCATGGTGATCTCGATGATCGACTTTCTGTTGCGTTCGATATGTAAATTCTCACTTGAAAAATAAGTTCAACAATGACCTTTGTACCGTTTATAGGTACGACATATCCGATGATGGATTTATCGATCAAAAAGAATTAACCAAAATGATTACAGCTATGGTAAGCTTGTCGCAGTTCGACTCTATTCGATAGGAAATATTTTTTCTGTTTTCTTTTCTCTCGTCAGTATGATCTTGTTGGAGAGACTGATCGTAAAGGTGATCGTGATCCCAAGAAACGTGCACAAGAAATTATCGGAAAACTCGATGTTGGCGGTGATAAAAAATTAAGCAAACAAGAATTCATTGCTGGGTAAACCGCATCGATTCTTGACTTTTACACGCATATATCATGTTTCTCTTTTGCTATTATTAGATGCAAAAATGATCCAGTTATTCGTCGTTTACTTGCTCCCAATGCTTAATTCTTCGATGAATCATCTGACAGTTTATAGTTTTCATGAATTATTGTAGTGAATTGTTCTTTATTCTTTCATTTCACCGTGTTAACAAATCCATGTAGAGCGTATATGAAGGAATTTAATTAAGAAAATCGAATAAAATCTCTTGATACTCTTCATTCCTATTGACATAACTCTGAACATTACCTTGTCTATTAGACTTCCATTAAATATCTAATTATCTTTTAATGTCTGCCACTTCGCCTAACGATACTTACATATATATCATTAGAATCCAATACTCTATCGATTGAAAAAAAAGAAAGCAATATGGAAAAGTAATAATAATCATTCGACGCCATTGGAATAGAGAATAAATTCTATCAGTGAAAAGAAAATAGACATGTGTTAAATAAGTTTAGTGAACGAGATTCTATTAAGAGAATTGTCGTCTATGGAATCTGATTTCTTTTCGTATCAAGACATTCCATGACAAGAAACACACATAGTGAATGGGTGGAAAACAATTTCTTGATATTCTATTTGATTTCTTACGATTATTTGTAGTACCAGGCCAACAAACATCAACAAAGTAAGTCTAGTTTTGACTCCGGATGTGTTTGATGTCGAGTACGAAGAAGTTACTCTAGTATCTTAATTTCATTGACATCAAATATATTAAACTATTCTCATTGATTTGCATCTATGATATTCTTTTTCCGAACTCGTCAAGGAATCGCTAGAAAACTATCACAGAAATCAAACATACTTAGAGATTTTCTTGAAGTCGAACGAAACTGTTTCCAGAGAGGCATTCTCCATCAATCTGTTGTTGATTAGTATTCTCTCAGATTTATCTTGTAATTCTCTGATTTTTTATTCATTCTGGTTGACACAAGATGCCATGGTAAAGACAAATAATATGTATACACACACACATACATATATATACACAGGAAATTTGATAAACAAAGGCAACTAGATTATTGATGACATTGTAGTATATGTGTGTATTTGTCAAAAGCTTTTTTTTGGATTTCTTTGTTCCCTTTTTTCTTACTTATTTGTCTGTGTCTATTAATAGTTGCAGCTGACTGGTCATTACGGTTTGATTCATGCATTTCTTTCGACTTAAATCCCAATACCAGCCACCAACTGACAATGATCAACATGATCTACCTGAACCAGTTACTCAGCACACTTTCATGTCGTTACCACCGTCACCGATCGAGTTTAAAGCTCGTCTCTGGCAATCGTTACCATTTTTTGGCAAAGTAGGTGTTTTGATTCTCACAGTCGTTCGACTTTACTTCTAAGTATAAATGAGTATCCGATGTAGTCGTCATGTATCAAAACATGACGAGATCTGACATTGTGTGTGTGTGTGTCCCATCATCAGATGTTGAAAGAAAGGAAGGAAGAAAGAAAACAGAAAGTTTTGACACGTCTCTTATGTGTGAAAATAGATAATCAATCGATGAAGTGCAACCATTTGAAAAGATTGAAGAACTCTAGAGTATTAAACAATAACCAAGTCATAATTAAAACTAACACACAAGTATCCAAGTTCATTCATAGCGAGAAAGGAGCAGAAAACAGACGAGTCGATTTCTGATGCATATTAGCGGAAGTAAAGCATTCCGTCATCAACGACATCGATATCGTCGTTTACCTAATAACAATAACGAAATCTATGAACGATTGGTTTCTACAATTCGACAAGATATTGTTCGTTCTCAAAAATCGCCACAAGAAACGAATGAACAAAACAATTGTCAACGAGCGCAGGTAGGTAGGATACGGTCGCCCAAAATATTCGACGAGAGAGAATATGAATATCTGTATGTAACACAAGATTGTAACGTTTGTCTGGCAATATTTATGTTAAGCGAAGTCTGAGTAATTTTGATAAGAATAAGAAAACATCTGAGGATTCTGACCAGCAGATTTCCGCTTGGTTTTCGTTAATGTGACATTAGATAATTGAATGAATGTCATCAATATGAATTAATGATAATCAGATGTGAAGCAGAACGCAAGAATTTTTCGAAAATTAGAATAGCTAGAACAATTAGTTTGATAAGAATAAAACCCGTCTCAATATTCGTTAATAATTCATCATAACTTCGTCTCTCTGTTGACAACTTGTCATGAATAAATTTGTTTCTCATAATGAGAAATATATACATAAGTGTTTTCTCTCGTTCGAACAGTTCGTGTACGATATTCTCTAAGTAGATATATCTTTGTTCGGTGAAAAGCAGGAATTTTCACACCCCAAACAGATCTGATAATTATCATGCCCAGAAAAAGCATATGAGATGGATTTTTTAATGTAAATAATTGTGCGAGTTGTTAGATTTTGTTAGTTATTCTTTCCAGACAATCGTACGCATCAATATCTCGATAGTTCTGTTGTATGTTTCTCGTGAATATTGGCTTTAGATATAGAATAACAACATCGAAATGTTGTTTAATGCCATTATTAGAGTTTGATTTCATGGGAGATAAAATTCATCACAGCAGTGGCCGTATTTTTTCAAGTATCTTTTTCAGTGAAAGAAAAAAAAATAGAAAGAAAGTTGTTGTTGTTGTTGTTATTATTACTATCTGTGAATGCGGATTTTCCGCACATATAAATATAAAAAGCATCGTTGTCCTCCAGCTTGATTTTTTCCAAAGATTTTTTTTCTTCTTCTATTATTCAATACGATATATTCTGACTAAAGACAATACTGTAATCGCGAAGATGACAATCATAATTGCGATTGATTGACATCTCTCTCTCTCCCTCTTTCTTTCTCTATACATGCTATAGATTCAGCCCATTTTATCTGTCGACATTTGTCGTTCAAGCAACTGTTGTAAACGTACGAGTAACAGGATTTAAAGCATGTTTCACATCTTCCGTTGGCGTCATGATCAAAATGATGAAGAAAGAGCAAGACAAGATCGTTTAGTCCATTTTCAATATAAGAAACAATACCTTCGAGCGGGCCGTGCACGAGTTTTGCAAGGTCTTCGATCACGTCACAGTTTCCTTCGATTCAGAAAATATTGGCCCAGCAATGACTCGGATGGATACCAGGTAATCATTACTTCACTTTGCTGACAATGGTAATTCTATCATATGTAAAAGGTTTTGTTTTTACTCGCATGAAAGTTTCGAATAACTAATTAAATATTCCGAGAAAAGATTTGATGTGCATTTCAAGATCTCCGAACAGTCAGATAATGGCATTAGTTACCACTCGTCTAATCTCAGCTAGTGAAACAAACCAGGTACTGATCGTTGAAGATTTAGATTAGGTTTTGTCTTCTTTTCCGAAATAGATCATGTGAGAAGTGCTTATCGATCATAGTTAATTATTTATATCACTGAATTTCTCATCGGGAGATATGATTGCACTTAAAATGTCGAAATATGAAAGTAATTAGACTAAGATCTCCGAATGTCATTGAGTTCATCACAACACATATATCAGATTGTTCGCTGTATGAAAATGCTAAGCAGTGTATATTGATTATAAATTAGTGTCAATTTATATGAGGTTTCTTTTGTAATGTTTATGATATGACATGATTTTCTTAGTGAAGGTCAATATCATAATTGATTTAAATGAATGAATCATCTTTTGATTGATTTCTCATTCATACTTTACTTGTGCCGTCGTTTCTTTTTTATCATTATTAATCACAGTTAGCATTTCCGAATGATTAGTTGTTTTCTAACAACTATAATTTTCTCATCGGTTCGGATCTTCTCTTCTTCCGTTACTTAATGTCATTTTATCTTAATCTTGACTTGCGTAGAAATAAATAATATGTTTCTTGCTACGATTAGTCGTTATTGCACTAAGAAGATGATCGATTGGACTCATCGACGAACTACTCGTTTTACGATGTTTTAGCCAAACAACATGAACATTTCTTTTTCTCGTCTAACTAATCAAGTACAAAATTAACGAACAAGACTTCACTTTGCTTTCATCTATCTCTTGTTGTTGTTATTATTCTCGTATAACGACAATCACAATTACTGTCCTCTCGTCCGTGTTTTCATTGATACTTTTCATCAGTCGCCTCCTGTGTGCGTGGTTTTGTTCAGACTGGTTCGCTGGTAATCGACTAAACAATTTCGATTTAGATCAGATTACTAAGTGATTGATGAAGTGTATATCCTAACGAGTGTTCGATTAGATAAATAAAATCATGCTGCTCGGCCACCATTCCTCTCATGCTAAACGACAACATCAAAATAAAGTAAGATTATCATTCGAAGTTAATACAATGTTTGACTTATCGATCATGCGAATCGTCTAAATCGAATAAGATATTAGCGTAATTGAATAGAAAGAACAGATTTGTTTCGTTTGATCATAGACGACCTTTATTAGTAGTGTTCCAGATTTTGTCTATGGTGATGGTCGAAGAGAAGTTTTCTTTTCATATTTCATCACTTTTGATTGTTGACCAGTTAATTCGATTGGCGGAAATTAACACATTTTTCTCTTAGTCGGACTTGAAAGACAAAAGAATGGGATTCTTTCGTTGCGAGTATTGTAATCTTATCATATGATATAACGTTGTTTTTCTTTTTCTCCCTTTTTTTTTCTGCATTGCCTTTGTCATCATTTCATCAGAGCAATCATCGAATCTATTACCGCAGCGTTTCTTCTGACGACAAAAAACAATAATCGATGAAGTCGACACACATCCTCTAGAAGCGATTCCAACTATGAATACCATCGTTGATCAAAATGATCGCCACAAGGCTACGCACAAAAACACGTTCAACATCATCAATTTATCCACCAAATGCAAGAATCATTCGATTTCTATCCTATCGTCAACCTCAACAATCAACATATAGACAGTCATCATCTTCTCCTGTCACCGATAGCACTGATGCAACTGAGGAACTTGAGAATTCTCAGGTAGAATGAAAGATATTTCTTTAGAATTCTTCACTGTTCTGTGAGGCTATGAAAGATTGAATCGCGTGACTTCTCTCTTCTCTAATGCGATTATGAATGATTTATAAAACGAACTCTTTTTATGTATATCATCATTTAAAAGTTAGAAAACTAGAGTATTCAACGAATGCTTACCTAGCCATGCAGCTTCTGGATAGTACTCGTTTTTATTCGATCGAAAAGCAATATAATTATACTAAGAATGTGAAGAGTCAAATGATTTATGTCATTTCTGTTGATATATTCTCTATATTTAGTTCAAATTTTCCGAGCGATCAGCAAATCAATCACAATTACGTTCAAACCATGCGAGATACCAACGTATGCAAGCACCTATTGTGTCGTTTGATGAAGAAGGAGACATTCCGTTACCGGCAATCAAAAGTAAACGTATGTAATAATATTTAATGACAAATTTTGCTTCACTGATTTCTCCTCCTAGATCTTTTGATACGGGATATACGACATTTCGATGATTCAGGCGAGAATGTGACTATATCGAAAGCTATTGCGGATGAAATCTCAGTTGAAAGGACGCGCAAACAGAAATTTCGACATGCACTTCGAACTGTATCGAAAGTTGCTTTTAGTCAATTAGGTTTGGGTAAGTCAACGATGGAAAGTGTGTATATTTATCTGTATACAAAGAAATCTGTTATACATAAGAATAATAAGGTTAAACAATATTTAGGAATATGTCTATTTCTTCGAGTGTTTCTTATCTTCTGGAAGATTGATGTACGATCTAGACCTGTTGTCTGGTATCATGTCTGTCCACCCGACTTATCTTGCTTTTTCATATTAGAACTGAGGAGAATGCTAGTGTTCGTCGTAAAACAACAGTTTGAATATTCTAGGTGGCCTTGTCGTTGGATATGTTATTCTCGGCGGTTTGATATTCGATGCCATTGAGTCACGATATGAACTTGAACGCTTAGAAGAGAAAGAACGCAATCGACAACATTTCGTTGATCAGTTGTACATTCATGCATATCGAGAATTTAATCGTGTTTTGAACCAAACATTTGAACTGAAATACGCTCTTTGGCGTGGTGGTATCTCACGTCATGATGAACAGAATAATGGTTGGCAGATTGATGTTGAAAAAGATTTATGGAAACATTATATCGACTATGAATTATTACAATATTTTGGTGCCGAAGAAAAAAGTCAATATGGAAGTGATCAACAACAACAGGAACAAAATACAATCCAAGTTTGGACGTTTTCTAGTGCTATGCTCTATTCAGCAACTGTCATAACAACGATTGGATATGGTAATATTACACCAAAGACGACTGCAGGCAAAATTGCTACTATGGTAAATGGAGCATTGATTTTCTGTTGAAACTCGACAGATTTTTAAACGTGATGCGTAACATTTTTGCCTTTCGAATTGATGCTTGTAGGTTTATGCAATGTTTGGTATTCCTTTAATGTTTATGTGTTTGACATATACGGGTGATTTATTAGCTGATGCTTTTATCTCTGGATACTCGAAAATGGTAAATTTCTTCTGCAGACGACTATGTTGCGGACGACTAATACCTTGGCTATCAAATACTCCACAGCCCAATTTCGTTGAATCTGATGTAGGAAAAATGATCCAATGCGAACTCTTCACCCACACTCTTTAAATTCTCTTTTAGAACGATCATGAAGATCCTCGACATGTCCCAATAGTTGCAACACTAGCTGTGTTAGCGTTCTATATTGCAATGGGTGCATTACTATTTGCTCAATGGGAAAGTTGGCATGTACTCGACGGAGCCTATTTTTGTTTTATCACGTTCACAACCATCGGGTTCGGAGATCTCGTACCAGGGAAAGGTACAGTGACCGAATCGAAGGCTGGTAAAGCCGCGTTATGTGCATTATTTCTTCTCTTCGGTATGGTTGTAATGGCCATGTCGTTCAAACTGATGCAAGATGAAATCATATCAAAATTTAGACGCATTGCCAATCATTTTGGCTTTGGTAAACGTCACATGAATGATCCTACTTAATGTAGAAACGAACAATTAATCACAATTACACGATCTGTTGTTTTGGTTTTGCTTGTCTGTGATTTTTCTTCTTTTCTTGTGCATGTTCTAAGTGTGTCCTTGTCCTTGATATTTATTTCTGTTTTGTTTTCTATCGATATTAAAAAAGAATCAATATACATGTAAAAGTCGAAAACTAAACTCGAGTACTCGAATTCAGACTGTATAAGATTTCGAAATCGAATGAAAGTTTTACTATTCGAATCGAATTACCGATTTCGACACTATTGTCTCTTGAAGAATGAAATAAATAAGTAAGAAAAAGAAATGAATAGTTTTTTCTTCTTAATTCCCTTTGTGCTCCGATGCAGAAATAATATCAGCAAGCTAAAATATTGTTATCTTTTTTATTCATTGATTATCATTGAACATAAAATTATCTGATGATATGTTAAATGTTTTCAAAGCACATACAAATAGTAAATGAAATGAATGTTATATGAAAATTAATTTAAATCTATTAAATGTTAATTTAAATAATACCGATTGAAATTATATTAATAAATTATGGGATATGTAGATGAAGATAAAATCCGGTCAGTGATCAGATCATAGATGAGAATGAATAGATGTAAGATAAACAATAAGAATCTTATAGGTGTGCGTATTTACTGTGTTCGTGTCGGTATAAAAAAGTCATTAAGCGTTCCGCGGTCTGATTATTGTCTTTTCTCAACTTCTCTATCACTCATTTCGGGATTGAGTCGAACGAGGCCAGGGTACCGAGACATTATTTATTCTATGAACCAAATTTTACCCTCTGGGATACATCTATTTTGGAGTTTACACGTTAATGTGCAGACGATGTAAAGATGTTGTTGGAAATATTGAACAAATGACATCATTGTATAATCACCTACACGTTCTCTTTCTCCTTTCCTTCATGGTATTGTAGGAATGGAAAAAGAAAGGTAAAAAACCCATAAACTATTTGTCGTATTTATTAGAATTCTCCAACATTGTTACTCTTTTGTATTTAATGCCAGCTAAATTTTGTTAAAGTCATTACCAACTTTTCACTCCAAGACGATGTCACAGAATGCGACAAACGGCGACTGGGCAACAATTAAAGCCCTCATTCCCACTCTTGGTGAAGTGATATCTAAAGCAAAAATTATTTGGGATGCACAGAAAACCAACGCTATCCTTAATTTCGTTTGTCAACTCAAAGAAATGCTCATCAACAAATGTTCTTTGTCTGCTATCAAAAATATGAATGTGCCTACAGAATGTCAAGCGCTCGTATAAAATCTGATCGAACACGCGGAATCAAATGAGGGAACATTAGATTTGAAGACAGTTTGCGAGAAACTGGATGAACTCGGTCGTTCGCGTGTGACATTTGCCACACAGACAATGTTGCTAACAGCTATACCTGCTCTTCTCTAATCTGCACTGGCATGGCACAATATCTATACGTACAAAATCGATAAATATGAAAGAAGACTTGAACGCGTTCGTCGTCAACTGGAGAGAGCATCTCAAACAATCAATGATGCCTTGAATACACTAGATACAACAGAACAACGTCGAATATTGGAGCGTGCTCCAGACTGGCTAGAAGATGTGAAAGAGACACTCGATAATATTTGTGATGAACTTGAAGGAGAGATACAGAAAATAACTAGAAAACAATCGAACAGTTATCTTCGTGCGACAACTAATACAGCTTCTGTCGTTTTTGATATTATTTCAATTTGTACTATGCCTAGTGCTCTGTTCACTACAGCTGCAAAAGCTATGGCTGGAGGAGCTGTGGCGATTCACACTGCGTGCACAATTGGAGATCTAATTGCAAGTGGTAAAGCTGAGAATATTCTAGTTGAACTTAGAAATGATCTTGAACGAATTAAACAATACGAAGCACAACGACAAGAATTAGAAAGACGTTTGAATACTATATTAAGACCTTGATTTATTTCATTTGTTTAAAATATTATAATTAAGAAAATAAATGATTCTATGCTTTTTTTTCTCTATACGATGGGAATAGTTTTCGCATAATATTTATGAAAAACAAGACAACATTCGGTTCGTCCTTCGTATTTTTATTAAGAATCTGTTATATCTAAATTAGCCCGACAGTTACAGATTTTGTGCATTAAAGTCTCCAAGGATACAAGAAACTAAAAGAAGAATATAAAAAGAGAAGAAAATCCAACCAATTGACTGAAATGCTAATTTGAATAACCGTTCTTCGTATATATAAGTTATGAGTTTATTGTTACACATGATTAATAATCAGATATTATGCGACAGTAAATAAAGTAAAAAGTTTCGGTTAAAATGATGTGTTTATAATTCATGATTTCGCAAATATTTGGATATGAAGCCTAGTTTCATGTTGTATTGTATTCCATTAGTCAAACACATGACACAGAGAAGAGAAAAAAAATATTGCATTACCATAGATTAGACGCACACTTTCATTTTCAAACTTTTCGAAACTATATCAACACATTTCGGTACAACAACTATTGCAGAAGAAATCGCAAAATCCTGATGGTTAAGCAATTCTTATAATCGGGGCAACACCAGATAAATTGATTTTAATAAAGACTTAATGTTTTTTACCATTTTTTCTCAAGGGTAATGGCATTGCATCAATTGATGCATTAGTAATGATAAATTCTCATTATTTTCTAACAGTACGAGATATCTATCGAGGAAAACACGCTATAGAAAATACGTATTAAAAAATCAACAGAAAATAATCAGATTGATTTATTGAAACTTGAATTCAGACTGTATAAGATTTCAAAATCGAATGAAAGTTTTACTATTCGAATCGAATTACCGATTTCGACACTACTCTTTACATGTGTAACTGACTGCGATGATCGTGAAAAATTAGGTTACTGATGAAAACAAATCCATTAGTTAGTATTTTTCTGAAAGCATTCCTCTATTCTAAGCAATTATTTGCTTTAAAAGTATATCTACCTCATATATAAACCGAATACAATTTTCAAAATTGTCAGTGGGCGGGCGAACGGATCCGGCGGGTAGGCGGCGCGTACCCATGCCCTACCCTGGTTACACCACTAGTCTTAATACTATACATACTATGATCTTCATAAAATCACATTATATCGTCTATTCACTCTAGTTAATGTTTCACTTCTCGCAGAATCCTACGACAAAGTTCTTGTATGATTGAATATCAAATCCAAAAAACCATAATTTTCGCACTACGAACACATCTTTTTTGAGATGTATCACCACAGGTTACCATAGAAAGCATTCAGATATTTTGTCTGCTATTTAGAATTGTTTTTCGTTTGGATTTTAATATATATACATACTTCCGAATGCATTCGTGTCACAGTACTCTTTTTCTTTCAATAAATTCAAGTGTCGAAAATATTCAAATCTTTTTCTTTTCGAGATGCTTAATAAGCATAGAGATACTCGATGGAAATTACGAATAAAAAGACAATTACATTTGTTTACTTTATTTCTTCAATTGATGCTATTTTCAGCGATTTATCTTCATATTCGAAGAAACCCTGATGTCGTTCAATCCACTCAAACAAATTCAACTTCTCAAAGTGAATATTCCACACGATCACCAATTATTTACAATTGTAGTCGAAAACATCGAGTCGCTTTTACATTTGACGACGGTCCTCATGCAACTCATACTTTATCAATAATCAAAACATTAAATCGACAAAACATCACAGCTGGTTTCTTCATTTCAGGAACATCAATACAAAGTTTTCTTAATACTCATAATAATTTAATTGTTCCAACATTTGAAAGACCACGAATTGGATATTTACTTTTACAAGATTATACTCTACTTGAAAATCTCTTAGATGGACATGAAATCTATATGCATGGTTGGTTACATGAAAAGATAACTGAAATGCAAATTCAAACAGTTATTGATAATATTTCTACACAATTATTAGAAATTGGTCTTTTAAAAGGTTTTAAACCAATTTATCGAGCACCATGGGGAATTGGTACAGCCCCATTTCATGTTCATAAAAAAGTTTTACTTCCACAAATTTTAAAACAAATGGGCATTGTACCAGTTTTTTGGGATATTGATACGAAGGATTATGTACTTAATGTCGATGAAGATACATTAATCAATAACACAGTACATTTGATTTGTAAGAAACAAGGTGGACTTATTTTAATGCATGATAATCGACTGACTACAGCATTTTTTCTTGATCGACTTATTCGTTCAATTCGTGGCAGTGGACATAAGATTGTGAGTCCGAGTGAAATCAATCGAAACTGGACGAATTCAATGTCAATGAAGAAAACAAGAAAATATATTGAATATCTTCGAAAAAGAACTTTAAATGTACAAAATAATGTAACATTTCGATCGAATAACTATCGACCAATAGAAATTACTCTCTCATCACCGAAGGGAAAAATTGAACCATTACATAGTATATTTCCACTTACTCAATATCAAGGAACAATTCGTGTTCATCCAAATATAAACGATGTTTAATTTCATTTCTTAATTTCTAATAAAACAAAACATCAAGAATCTTCATATTATTGAACTTAGTTTGTTTTCACATATGATATAATTAGAAATGAATTGATTATGCACAACTGCGTAACAAAAAATCTCTTTTCTTTTGGAAACGTAATTTGACTAGTTCTTCATTTATCAGAAGTAAATCGCGTAATTCTCGTAAACTATTCAAAGACATCGTCATGCAATCAATTGTTAAAATACCATTTAGTGTTCGTACAAAAATAAAACAAACAACAGTTGAAACTAAATTCAGAAAAAGAATTGTATCTACAAGTCTCCCCCCCCCCCTCCTGCCCATATTGTTCCTGAAAAGACAAGTGGGGAATTCATCAAGATTTGGTTTAGGAATATCCTTTTGATAAATCCATCGTAACATCATTGTTTGGCTGTCGTGAGTACATTTCTTTTTGGTGTTCAATAGACCATTGCTGCCGATGCATGAAAACTTAAATCATATGTAGGAACTTTGGGTTCACAACATCGACATGTATCAGCTACGACATCTAAAACGAATTTTATTCGTTAATCCTTTTCCGTATTTAAAATCGTTGAAAATGGACCACACAATGCGATAACAGCAAAAAACATGCGTGAACAAACACTTGCGATTATCGCCTTGTTTTTTTTTATTACCTGACTATTCCAAGATCTGTGACTTTCTTCTTTTTTTCTAAAGTCAAATAGGGTGTCACGAATAGATCTTGATTAGTTGAATTTCTTCTCTTCATCCAACACTAGTATGACAAATAGTGTAAAAACTAGACTGGAAATCGGTGTATACACAACGTGTGGATTTTTCTATTTATTCAACTAATAATAACAATAAGAATAATTTCACTTCGGTATAGATGTGATGTTGATGATTTGTAATGTGAGAGTACATTTGACTGGCTTCTTGAATATGAATTTCGAAGTGAAATATTTGTGAGAGGACGCTAGGAGTCGGGTAATCGATATGCATATATAATCATTTAACGAACGGTTCGCCTTCTTAACCTATCACAGCATCGCTCATGAGCTTTTGATTTCTTTGTTCAAATAGATTTTAACAATTGTAATTCCTACTTGAGACAAAAAGCTAGTTTTTATCATAATGTCTAGTGCTGTCACTCAACAAGGTACCAATCGTTTGATATACATGAATGTTCATTGATTTTGACTCTGATTACTACATTTATAATGTTATGATTGTTAGCAAACCAAATTGACATCGATTACTTGAGGGGAGTCATAGACGCGATCGTTTACTGTTTTTTTATACATATGTTTGTATGTTTGCTTACCCTGTTCGTCTAATTTTATTCTTCGAGTCTCACATGTGTGTATACAAGTTTAACTTGACCTTTAATATACTGAACATCAACTTGTATATTAGAGGATGCCGTGAGAGAACGGACATTTCCTTCGTTTTTTTCTTCTCTTCTCCCTTCAATGTCTGACAGAAAATAGGAGAATGAACGATATTTTCATTCTACTACTACTACTATTTAATTGGATGCATATGCAAGCAAATGAGAAAAAAATCTTTCTATCTTGTTTCTCCATCGAAAACCCTGAAACGTGCTGACTAATAAAAGAAAATCCTTGTCTTGTCTCATTTTAGAGATATGTAACGGGATAAACCGTTTTTGGATACGACAGACGTATACGTATACACATGCACACGCACACTACCGACGATAACGTTATGCATCATCAACAGACAACATAAACGACTCTTGTGACAATGATACTCTTCTACAATTGTTGCACGACGACAGCAGTGTGTATAATATAAACGCTGAAAGAAAAGTGAGACAGACAAGATGTTAAAACGTGCTTACAACTCTTTTACTTAGATCAGACAGGCAACAAAGGATGTAATAGAAAAAAAATTAGTCCACTAGTCTTCGACGCTCGTTCATTTTCTCCTTCTCTCCTTCTTTCTCTTTCTTTCGTTCGTTCACTAAATGTCAAAGAAGAACACAAGAGTGAGTGGACGGAGGTCGTGCACACAAAAAAATACGTACGATGATTTATAATGTACTATTGACCGCAGCCACTCACTATCCATCATCATCGCGAAGAGTGTGATTGCCCTTGAAAAAAAAAAAAAGAAACCGTTCGTATGTGCGTTCTTACTTCTCGAATAGCAAATAGAAGATTCTTGCGATTGTCCACTTCGTCTTCGTCTTCTTTGCGCTGATTGTCTCAAATTTCTTTTCATGAACGACAAAAATAAATATATGTATAAAAAATTTCGTTAGTCTCTTTCTCTTTCTTACGTCGTACGAATTCGTTCGTTTCTTTTATTTGAACTAGAAATGTGCCTGTGTTGTAATAACAAAACTGTCATCATTGTTAAATTCTTTTCGTATGTAACCATACCCGCATACATTTCGAGAGAGAGAGAGAAAGAAATCAATCGGGCATCATTGTTGATCTGCAAGTTTTCGAAACGTTAGAAGAAAGTGCTTTCCCTTCATTCGTCTCGTTATTACTCCTAATCAATCGCATATTTCGATCATATACACATACATACATAAAAATCGATTAGAAAAAAAAAGTGCATTAATGATGACGTTGATTTTTATCATCGATTGACGTATGTGTGTTGATGTGAACATTTCAGTGTACATTTACTCGAAAAGAACAGTTCCTCTTTTTCTTCTTCACTTGTAAAGAATTTGTTCGTTTGTACATCTGACTCGCTGCAGTTGTAACACACAAGTCATGTAATTCATTCAAGATCCGCCCCTATTTCCTTGAATTGAAATCATCATCTCTATTCATTGAATTTATTTAGATCATGATGAACAACAATAAACGAATGACTTGAAATTACGCATCATTATGTCAACATTACAACATAATCAATTGAATAGTTTCTCTCCTGTACTGCTCTCTCCATCTTCGACAACAATAACAAATCATATAACTCTATTTGATAATAGTGATCAAGGTTCCGTCGATTCAGATTATACATCATTGGGCAGTTCGAAGTTCTATGGAAATAGTGGCTCAACATCATCTTTACATCGTCAAGGTCGTTCGCATTCAATCGATGAATTAGCATCGACAACAACTATTCCGACGCGACATTTCAATGGAACGTTAACTGTAAATAAATCTAACAACGATCCATTACAATTCGTTAAAATTCATCCAAATCATGAATTACTTGAACGTGCACAAGAACAACTATCAATAGCCGAATCACGAAAACGTTTACAAGAAAATTACCGCCTGTCTCATCACTCGGCTGATCACAAGTCGAACGACGAGGAGGTTGATTGGTCTAAGGTAAGTTAGCGCGAAACAACAAAGAACGAAAACGTAATTAGACTTCATTAAGTGAAAAAGACGAGCACAACTCAAGCGCACTGCAATTATATAGTTTTATTTTTTCGCTTACGTTTCTAAAGATCAAAGACAGCAATACTTGACGTGATTTTACAAACTAATCATTTAATGAAATATTCTTCGTGCCTTTTGTTTTCTCTCAGACACAACTGTACATCTAATTAAATCTATTCATAGAAAGTCAGCAGCACGAGAAGAACTGTTACCTAACCTTATGTCAACACACTCGTGATTTCTTTCTTCTTTTGCTTCTGGCAGAAATCAATTATGAATAGTACTGAGCAAAAGAAAATCCTTTCAATATTTTATTTTTCAGACAGTTTGATTTGTTGTTGTTGTTGATATTGTTTGAATACTTCCGATAAACAAATTTTTAAGTTTTCTTTACTGAGATCGCTTTCAAGTCTCATATTCGCATAACTCAATCACTAGTTCTCTTACGTCAAGACAAAGAAACGAAGTTAGAGAACAAAAGAGAAGATTAGTTGCTTTTCTTTTTTGTGCAGGCCACGCACATCTTACTCAAACATATCAAACAAAAATTGACGAAAGCTTATATCGTTATAATAACATGTTCAATTTCGTTGACAAGTATTTTCATGAATACCTATAATTGATAAGATACAAATGAATCGAAATCACGTAGAAAAACAAACTTAAGTTTGCATGTACGATAGTCAAGGTTGTTTCTCTAGTGAAATCGAAGAGTAACAGTCGTCTCTCATTACGATTGTTATCTTCGCATCGCATTTTTTTTTCGTTTTTGCTCAAAACAGTATTCCGATTGTCTGTTACTTCTCGGTGAAAGATGAAAAAGAAAGAGAAGAAGACACGGCACGCATCAGCTTGATGAATTGTGTAAGACGAGTATGTGAACAAGATCAAAAACGAAAGTGTGCGTGTATATGTGAAATGGGCTGTGGAAATACGAAAACTGCTTTTGATAACGAGAAGAATGTGAGAGTAGGGAGTCGTAGAAATCGAAATTTATTTAACCTTTTTTTAGGCTGTTGAAAGTTGGCGACAAAAACGTGAACAAAAACGAACTAAAAATGTCAACAATGCCGATGATAGTCGGCCATTATCACCAATAAAGATTGAACTCATTCAAAAGTGAGTACCAACGTCCGATTGTCTTTGTTGTACGTGTTGTTGTCTCCCTACAGACCTGCAGAACCGAAAAAAGTGAACGATGAAAGTGTTTCGAAACCTTTACGCACGGTCCCGTCACCGCCCATTGAAAAACCCAAATCCAAAAGCCCATCACCAATGCGAAATAAAGTAGAAAAGAGAAAAAGAAATCTTCTATATCATTGCATTGCATATTTACAATAGGGTGCATCGAAAATTCATGAAATATCCATTGAAAGACCCCTTAACCTTCGTGGTTTCGGTTTTAAACTCGATGGTAGTCGAACACAGAGTCGACCGACTTATGTTTCAACAATTGAAGAAGGTTAGAATGTCAGAAGCTTCATTTTCTCTTCTCTAAAACACTTTTTTGTTCTTCAGGTAGTCCAGCCGATAAAGCTGGCCTATGCATTGACGATGAAATTCTATCGATCAATGATGAAAACATTGAAAATCTCACATTCGATCAAGTACGAAAAATCCTCAAAGAACGAAATATACGTGGAAGTATCAAACTAATTGTCCGAACTTATGAAGGTAACATCAACATTCCTATTGAATGAATAAATATCCCTGATAAGCGTTGAAAGTAGAGATAATAGTACGAGTAGGATATTATGTGTAATTGATTTTGATTTATATGCTAGATAATCGATGAGAATGAGTTTCGAATCGGTTAATGAGATTTTTCGAGTAACCTTGTCGTCAATATTTGATAAAAATCATTTATTCATTGACTTATTTTGTTGATCAGATCTGATTGATGATAATTCTCAAACTGTTTCGACGGGATTTACGACTGATCATAGCCGAACACCATCACCGCAAAAGTCGACATTGACAACAGCAATTTCGCCACCTATTTACACTTCAGTAAATAAAACAAGTCCAAATCCATCACCAACGGCAAAACCTCTCTCGCCCGTGTACACATTTCTTCGTTACGAACCGTCCTCAACTGAACCGAAACATATTCCTACGTCTGTCCAACCGCCTGTTTCGTCAACAGCATCGTTGAATATATTCGCACCGAAACCATTTCGTTCAACTGCTTCAATTAATTTTGATACTCCATCGAATCAAGAATCGGTAAGTCTTCTCTTTTCTTTCCACTCGATATTCCTTCAATTTATCGATAAAATATACAGAACTCAACATTCTCTCGAGATGAATTACTTACTCTCGTGGTAAATCACCTAATCTCCTCTTTTTTGTTTTTTTGATACATTTGCTAAGTGCATGTTGGCCGGTAAAGAAAAGGAACGTTCTATCGCTGCTTTTTTTTTCTTGTCTGGGATCAATTCTATTAAGCATGTTGGGCTATTCTATTTTATCTTGTTCAGAATATAAACTATATATCACCAATTGAAGCATTTCGACGAATGCTTGATTCAACAAACGCAACTAAACATACAGAGAATGAGGTAGTTAAAGATATTGGATACTAATCAACTACTCTCGGTGTTCGGCTAAATGTAATCTTGTGTAACTCTACATCTGCTTAATACTTGTAACAGCTTAACATCAGATCTTGGATGAATGAAATCAACCAATTTCTCTCCTTACTTCTAGTGCATGTTGATCTATTCATTAGATTCTTTGGAATCAGTCCGATACGAACTTGAACATTGTTTTCATTTGATTTCTTTTCTATCTAGAATATTTGTGGTAAAGAACTTGAAGATCTCGAGGTCGAACTCGAAAAACAACTGAGAGAATCCGATGAGAGAAGAAAACGTGAGGTATCAATTGCTCGCTCTATAATTAAAACATAGATAAGCACTAAAGATGTTTTACAATAACACACTAATGAAGTTTTTCTCAGCACAACTGCATGACAATAAAACATCTACTTTCCAACTGTTCTCACATTACACAATTATTTCTCATTGTTTGTTCGATAGACAACAACTACGAATGAAAAACAATCTACAAAATGTCCACCACCACGAGTTCTAATCGATGCTTGTAAGTATAAACATTTGGAGTCTTGTAATTAATTTACTTGTCTTGACCTATTTCAGCTGAAATAGCCATGGAACGTCCGCCACCACTTCAACCGATATCGGCTCTCAACATAGTATTACAAGGAAACACAAATACAGATAGTAATATGAGATCATCGTCACAACTTCAACAACAGTATAAGGATCCCGATATAACTCAAGTACGTTCGTACGTTGAGAAGCAAATGGATCAACTTCAACAAGATTTGGAATTTGGCTTTTCACGCACACCGAAAACCACGCCTGCGTCGGCAACTTCTCTTCCAGTAAGTGTCACAACCTATGACAAAAGTTCTTTCATCTTTGTCTTCAAAAAAAAAATTAGGACCAACAACAACAACAACAACAACCGGTGAAAATTCCCATTGATCTGACACATGCTGCAATCTCACCGCCACCGCAAGCATATTCATCTCAACCTGAATTTCTTCGTTCATCATTGAAAAAATCTCTCTCTACTCAAGGTGACCTTGATCAAGTTCCACCTAATCGTACATATGGTCTGAAAATAAATCCTAAAGAACAAGTCCTTCATTACCTCGATCCGTATTCACAACAGAAATCATCAATTAACTATTCAAAACGTTCAATACCCGATCTGCCATCAATGACAACAGTTAACCGACCTTCAACGGCACATTCAATCGAACGTACTGTCAATGAATTGCGCATTGATTTACCAGGACCATATTCCTCTCAGCCACAATCTATCAATCAACAACAGAAGAAAGTCACTATTCAGCTAGGTGACAACGGATCTTCACAAAGAATGTCTAGGTAAATCGACTTCAATAATCATGTCATTCATTATTACAAACATGCATCGAAATATGTTTTAGTAAGCAACTCCACACAACACTGAATCAAGTACCGCGCAAGACTCAAGTTGAAGATCATTCATGGATCAATCACGATCAACGAAAAGCTATACATAAGAAAAGTCATAGTCACCGTTCGACACCGACCAATTTACATCATCAAGAGTTACACATGGGCCGACCATCGACAGCTCGATATCCTGATCCACACACAAGAAATGGACAAGCAAGACATTTTGATCAATCCCCCCATAGACAAGGCCGAACGTTTGTTGATGAATTAGAAGAAGACGAAGATATAGAAATAATCCTTGATTTTTGTTTTATTTAGAAAATCACCCGGTCACACAACGAATCCTGAACGTATTCTATCCGTTAGTGGAAAATTACATTGTTCAAGATGTAATGAAGAATTGGGTAGGTTATTACAGTGCTTGAATTTCAATTCTTAATCGTATTTTTACCATAGGACATGGTTCAGCAATGGTGATCGAATCTCTTGGATTGTATTATCATCTGGAATGTTTTCATTGCTACGTTTGTAACGTTCCACTTTCCTCATCGCCCGGAGGAGTCGATGTTCGTGTACGCAGTAATCGACTACATTGTCAAAATTGTTTTTCCGATGAAAATGGTAAGAAAGATCATCTCTATCTATTTGCAAATTCAAACAAACAATAAGTAACCATACATTCGTCATCTATTTCGTTAGGAGCTTGGTTATCAGACGTAAGAAGCAAAGAATCAGATGAATTTGTTTTTGTTGTTTCGTCTTGCTGCCAAAATTCTTTGATGCTTCGTACTTAACCCTTCATATTACATTCATGCACTGTAGATCCACCACAATGATACGCTCAAGTCAGATCGATTGTCAGAAATTAGGACTTATACTTGTAGTTTGAGGAAAACTTTCCAGATGTATCTTTTGCAATTCATGCTAAACCTTTTTGCTTATCTTCATCAGTTCAACACTGTTTGATTTGTACATTGAGAGATCCGAGACATGTGCGAACTAACGGATGTTGAAATAAAAAAAATTTTCAATTTCACAACGAATCTTTTGTCTATTCTAGGTGTAAAATTGAGTGCTGTTTGAACCTGCTCTTCTACTCAAATCTATCTTATGGCTGACCATATGCAATCAAAAAATTAATACTCATGTGTTTTACATGTCAATTCAACTAATAATAAACATTTCTACATGACTTTCTTTTTCTTTTCAATAAGAAGAATCAATGGAAAACAAAACTTTTCTTACTCTAATTTTGAAAGAAAAACTACTCTTTATTGTATATAGAAAATACAAAGTACCGTTTGTTTTTCTTCTCTTGTACAGTTCCTACTCTATACATACATATATGCAGAAGCGAACAGTTTGTTTCTTGCTTTGTTGTTACTGTTCTTGTTCGTCTAGATTGATTCCTGTTCATTTCGTTTGATTTTCTTCTATTTTCAGTTTTATATCTTGAAAAAAGCTCGATGAAAAAAGAAACAAAAAACCAAAACAAAACCGTTCAGACTAGCCTATATACTTGTTAGACTCTCTTGTTACTCAGACAAAGAAATTATCAATGAATTTTTGTAGAATAAAACGCCATGCTCTATCAAGAGGTTTACCGTCTTTGGCAAATCCATCAGAAAACAAACCGATCGAATCGAAGTCTTGTCGCGCAAAGTTCCTACAAAGTGATTGACCATCATTTCTCCTGCATCTCATTCTTTTCTTCTCTAGAATAAACCACAATTACTGGCGTTATTGTCGCGTGTTGTTCAACATCGTTCATTACTACAAACAATTGTTGATCGATCTCAACTATTAGAAAGAGAAACTTTCTTAGCTAATGATCTAGCTCTGATTCTTATCTATGATCAAGTCTTCGGTACACATGTTCGAGGAAAATTCAAGGTTTGTCCCGATAAAATTCGACTTGAACGTGAATGTCGAAGATTTATTTTAGGGAATGTTGAAACGTAATCAATCGTCGATTGACAAATGTGTGGAAACTCTTCTCAACGAACATGGTGTCTCATCTGTGTCTGATCTACTTGATGCAACATCATCAAAGTCAATTGTGTCGATCGAAATTCCACGTTATGTTCGAATCAATCTATTAAAAACAAAAGCCAAACAACTTCGATTAAATCTCAAAGAACTATCATTCAAAAAGATGAAAAATGTGTGAGTATTAATCTTCTTTTATTATCAATTGTTCGTTAATAATTCATATCTGATTATCACCAACCGACAATCATCTACGTTCTTATTATCTTCGAGAATGAAGTCACCAGAGACATTAACGTTAATCGATACTTCTAATTTATTCATGTCCGATGACAGCGACGTTTTGCACACGCGTACAAATCGTAGTAGTAAATCATATAACATTCCAAACAGTGCCTATCATTAACAGCTATAATAGTCATTTATCGTCAGGCAATTGTTAATGACTTGTCATTATAAACGAAACGAAGTTAATTCATCATCAACAATGTAGACATAGATATAACAGCAAGGTGTCAAATAAGATACTCGTCGATTTCGCGAAGAGAGTGGTACATTTTTTTTTTGTCTTGACAAACGTTGATTTATGTGATCTAGTTGTGTTCGAAGGAGAGAAAAAAAAGATAATTGCTTGTGGGAATTCGCTGTTTCACCTCGCTGAACAATCTTCATTTTTGTCCCCATGAAAATAATTGATCTTGCAAATCATAATAAGTCAATTCTGCACATGTTGCATCAAGAAGCAGCATCATGTTACATAACAAATCTGATCTTTCATTTGATGTTAAGTGTTAACCGCGATTGATCACAGCGAGAAAGGGAAAGGAAATGAGATTGTTTTCCTTGACAAAACTGTGAATCATCGATTTGATTAGCAAGTGTCGCTTTCGAATTATTTCGCTGTTTCATCGTTGATTATGATCATCTCCCCCAAATGAGAATCGAATGGCTTGTTTATCTTTGATGATAAAACGAGTGGATTGTGTTTTTTTTTATCTGATCGCTGGATATTTCTTTATTCTTACAAAAACAAGAGAACATCAATTAAGAAGTAAAAGGTTTTTTCACATGTACTGGTATAGGACAGAGGATCTTATTGTTTTCACAATGTGTGGAAAACTGACGGAGTTGGCCAGCTTTGATTCGTTTCCATTTGGCGCGACGATTTTGCCACCATATTTTCACTTGAATTTCGGATAGATGCAACGAACGAGCGATTTGAGAGCGTTCAACCAGTGAAAGATACTTTTTCTGTTGAAATTCCGCTTCGAGTTCAATTAGTTGTTCGTTGGAAAAAGCAGTGCGTTTTCGGCGAGCTGATGACGAACTGTTTGTAGTTTTGTTAATCGATGAAACAGACGAATTGTCATCTTCATCACTATCACTGGTTGTGAGACTATGCGACAATTGATTTACTAAATGAAGTAGAGAGCGTCGAGACATATACGAAAGTCAATTACTGAAACTTACGTGTTTTCGTTTGTTCGAGTTGTAATTGATGTAAGAATGTTTGAAATAATGGATTGACATAGAACATTGGCGAAGTTTTGTTTTCATGATCAACATTGTTAAGTAATGCATCGATCGAAAAGTTTTTCGACATGATGTCGATGATATGAAGAAGAAAAGTGAAGTTATATGTTGATTAAGTTGAGCGGAAGAAAGAGAAAGAGAAAAAGAGAGAATGGAAGAGGAAATCGTTTTTGATTGGTGAAAATATTTTATTGGTTAAGAAAAGTTGAACAATTGATTGATGTTTGTTTTCATATTCACGTGAAAGTCAATGATTTGAAATGAAAAATTGGATACATTTTGCACGAAGAGTATATTCAAACAAAACTTTTTGATAAGAAGTCATTCGTTTATTCTTCAATGAAGTGTGAAGAGCAAGTGTTAGTAGAGCTATTTTCCAAACATTTTATTTGTTTATTTGTTCGAACAAAATTAGCCTTTCATCCTCTGATATTAGATGCGTAATTAACAGCTTATGTTCGGCATGATTGTTGGTATGTTCCGCTGTAAATTGCAACAAACAATATTGATGTTCAGAGAGAAGTGATTCGTGTTCAACATAGCTGTTTCACTAGAACTTCGAATCCATTTGACAAGAACATAAAAATCGGATAATTAACAGATTGACGAAGAATTCATTTTGCATATTTTGTCTTTTTAGAGTGAATTTTCGCAAGGGAGTGAAGCGATTAGCTGAATGGAAATATTTCATTGATCCGGATGTCGAACATGTTTTGGTCTTTCAATCTGGTACAAAGTTTTTCGAATATGAGATTTATCTCAATCGACACATTCTGCTCATGGATAAGGTGTAAGATCAACTGAATGCATTTGTTTTCTATATTTTGTGATTATTCCAGGCGAGCTGTTTACCGTGTTTGGCGTTATCTCCCTCACCAGGTAGTATAGTTCTTGATGCATGTGCTGCACCGGGAAATAAAACAATATGTCTAGCAAATTATCTTAAGAATCAAGGGTTTGTTTATTTCGAATCTCTAGTCTGGAACGATTTTGTTACATTCTTTTTTCAGGACTCTCTATGCAATAGAAAAGAATAGACGACGTTTCAAAGAATTGAATACAAATCTGAGAACAGCTGGTGTAAAATGTGCACAGACGTTTAATGATGACTTCTTGACAGTGTCGTTACCGTTCGATGATATTGATTACATATTGCTCGATCCATCTTGTTCCGGTTCGGGTATTCGAAACCGGACTGATGATCCAGAAGTGATCGACGAAGAACGTTTAGAACGTCTTGCAGCACTTCAAATACGCATGATCACCTATGCGCTGACGAATTTTCCGAAAATCAAACGTCTGACGTACAGCACATGTTCCATACATCGCCAAGAGAATGAAGATGTAGTAGAAACTATTCTCGATCAGTTCAGTGATCAATTTCAGGTTTGAAAGCGAAAAGTTTCTGTTCAATTTGTTCCTGTTTGATTTTAGTTAGTGGATTTTTTGCCAAATTGGCCAAGTCGTGGACAAACAGAAAGAACTCATGCATGTCTACGTGCTTCACCTGACGAGACATTGACAAATGGTTTTTTTGTTTGTTGTTTTGAAAGAATAATAAAATTAGATGCATAATAAGACAATAGAAATGTCATTGTTTGTTATCAATGGCAATCGTTTAGAAAAACAGTCCTTAATCAAGATCTTTTCTCGCAAACTTTTATTTGTTTTAGAGAAACGAAACAATTTTTTTTTCGGTACAAATAAAATAAAAACATGCCTACAGATTTTTCCTTGTTCTTCTATCTCAGCATACATCTGTTAATTCGTCTTTATAAAAAAAAGAGTAGACATCAAGTACGAGAACGACAATCAGGAGAAAAAGGATAAAATGTATAAAGGATAGTTATATAAGAGAGGGGAAAAGATCATCACTTAAACGAGAGAAAAGAAGAAATGAGGACAAACGTACACACACACACACGGACGCACGTGTCGAACTTAATAAGCTCGTACTCGGCTGTTGAAGTTACCGTAGTACATGCCATTGCGATTACTATAACCACCATTGCCATAGCCACCATTGCTATAGCCACCATTGCTTGTGCGGGGATAGCGACCATTAGTTCGTCGATAGCCTGATCGTTGGTTTCCAGCTTGAGGTGTTGGACGGTATTTCAAACCGAAGGTTTCAGCATTAACACGACGTTCTTCATTCCAGTTGCGTCGGGTATTTCTGAACAAAAAGAAGAAACATGAATAGATATGGTTTTGGAACGAAACGAGGATCGTACGTTTTTTCTTTGGTGGTTGATTCGCATGAGATGCGATCAAAGAAGCTTTTTTGTTTGTCATAATAACCATCAGGATTGATTTCTTGAGTTTCGGATTGCGTTGATGATGACATTGTTGGTTGATTTTCTTTATCTTGTTCACTCTTGGGCGAATCGCTGGTTGTTTCGCTTTTTGTTGGTTTAATTGATAAACTCTTCTTGATTTCGTCTTCAATAGCATTCTTATCGAATTCAGCATTGGATTTTTCGAAATCGAAGTCGCCAACAAATTTCAATGTTGATGCTTTTGGTCCAACTGTACGTTCACGTTGTTGACGACTGGCACGTGATGCTTGTTGGTTGTTTGGCATACCACCAGTTGAATTGCGTCGTGGACGATAACTGAATCTTCCGGATGATGGTTGGCCTGCAAATCGAACACAACGAAAATGGATATTGTCGATTTTTCTTCTATTGAAACTAGTGCAACTTACGTCTTGATGGATAGAATCGGCCTTCGTTAAAGTTTTGCATTGGTCTTGAAAAACGTTGTGATTGACGTGGAGCCCATTCACCATAACCATTACCGCGACGCGATGGTAAATAATCGTTGTAATAATCTTGTTGTCGGCCGCGTCGTTGGTTGCCATAAGCATAATCTTGACCATCGTATTGAGCTAATGGTGATTGTTGGTTGAATTGTCTTGATGAACGTTGGTTGAAGTTCATTTGACGGTATGGTTCAAAAGATTTGAAACCTTTGCCAGAGCCTTGACGATGAGGTGGTGATGGCATAGTGCCACGGTTTGATAATAAACGTGTTTGACCATTTTGTGATAATCCTGAAAATCGCGTTCACATCTGAATAAATCAACGCCAGATAAATCTCTCGGATCTTACCTCCGAGATTGGTGTTCGTTCCAATTGTGTTTGAACGAGAATTATCGGAGAAGGCAGATGACTATAGAGAAGACGAAAGTGAGAAGAAAGCGAAATGCAAAGATGGGTACTTCGACGATGGCGGGATCTTGAGTCACTGAAGTTTGTGGTGGTTCACGAACTTGAAGATCTTCAATATCAGCACCACGGAAGATAATATATTCGAAGATTTCATCCCGAGCTGGCACTGGTCGATCGGTTGGACGATCTTCAGTACCGAACGAACGCACTAAATGTCGAATTGAGAAAATGTCGTTTTTCGTCGTCCAAAGTCAAAAATTTTACCTTTGGAAAGTGCTACAGTCGATTCGTTGGCATCGATTGTATAGAGAATACCTTCATAACGAATTTTAGCTTTGGATACAAGACTAATTTTCGAGCCAAGATAAGGCGAATCAGTTGTACCAGATGACGAAGTCTTCTTTAATGTGGTATTATTAGCTAAGCTCATTTTGATATCTTAGTTCTGCTATCGACGTATGGATGGAGAAAGACGAAAAGTGAAGACGATAAATCGTAAGTAAACTAGTCTTACTTTTTTTTCTTTTGTTCACGTAGATGATTTCGATTATAGGCAGATATATATTGGACGAAGAATAGTCACATTTGAATTAAATCATTCATCGAGGGGTTTTATCGAAGAATATCTGTTCACTTTCTTTGATTAAATCGAATATAAAAAGAGAGATGTTTCTCGAAGAAAGCAATTCCAGGGTGATGATCGACTGGAAAGATAGATAGAGAAAGATTTAAACGACGGGTAAATCGTCGAAGAGGATGATGAACGTATAAATAAACTTAACAGAGATTTGGAAATTCCTGGATAGAATCGTATGTTTTAGTTTGAAGAAGAGGATTTTTACAAAAAAAAATGAAGCGATCGTCGCCTATCTAGAGGTCACTAATGTACAACAACGAAATTCGCTAAAATGATCGAAAAACTCACGAAAATGAAAACTATAAGCATATTTAATCCGTCTTACAGAGATAATCTAAGAGATCTAACGATCACTTTCCTGATTCAAATGGAAATTTCCGCTTATTGGATTAGACCGGTCTGATTTGAGATGAGTCATACATCAATCAACTGGTTCCTAATGGTACTGGCAGAAAATCAAAATGTTGACAGATCTCATTTAAAAAAAAACGAATTTGAATGTATTGTTCTCAGTGTCTGAGTACAGTATGTTATAGTAAACATCCTACTCACATAGAATGACGTCAATCTATGCTATACTAATCGAGAAAGTCTCGTCACTATGCATAAATATTGTTATTTTCTATGCTATGATGTCATGAGTATAAACACTATTTATTTAGATTGCCACCGATTGATGTGATCATGGCTTCAACTGAGAAACGTGGCCATGGTTTGTTTAATTTCATTTCTCATCAAACTATGTACAATGTCCTTGTAGAACAATCAGTGAGTGCGGAATTTCGACGTGTTGATCGAACAGTCCAAATTCAGAATGCCACTGAAGTAATGTTTCTTCGTAGTGAATATGACAAGCTAAACCTGTTTCTATTAAATAGCGCCTTCGCTCTGATATACTTGGTTATGTTAGTACTCGTCTTGAAGAATTTTCATCTGAAATCAAACAAACAACTGATCTTGCACATGCTGATGATATTCTCAGACAACCGGTGATGTCCGCATTAGATTTAGCTGCAATCAATAAGATTGAAACTGAATCATCAGTAGAGAATGTCGATACTACTAAGAAAAACCGCTCGTCGGCGTTTCCGACGAAAACATTTCGAATGCGTTCATCAATCTTAACTGAATTACTTGAAGTTTCACATATTCGCTCAATACGACAAATCTTTATTGCCGTTATTATCATTGTTTTCCTACAAGTTGCCATTTCAGATCTATTCGAATATGGAACGTAAGTCCACTTTGACCTGATCATATAATCGAAGAAATGTTTGATTTCTTCCAGAATCGATTTCCGATTTGATGTCATCCGGTGGAATTTTTCGAATCTATCCGCTTGTTTTCAACTTTGGCTATGTTTATTTCTTTCAACATGCATTATTGTCTACAATGCATTCCATTTCTGGGCATACAGACGTCTGTCATTTATCTCCACTGTTTCAACGGTAGAAATACCAACTAAATCAACCTCGCTCAGTAATATCAAGACAACATTTTCGTTTTCTTGAAACAGTATCTTTTCGTTATTTTAGTTGTTTTCGATTGGTTCTGGCTTGTAGCATATTGCTGTTATATTGCATTATTCCTATACTTTCCGGTATATTATATCTTAGAAGAAAACTATCCAATTGTAACACGGGTATTCATTCTAATGGAACAAGTAAGTCGTTTTCGCCTGATCAATGCGATGATCAAATCCTGGTGTTTGTTTGTATACAGGTTCGTTTCCTTATGAAATCACATGCATTCGTACGGGAAAATACACCGCGTGCGATTCTCTACGGTCAGATTTATTCGAAAGAAGGTTAGTTTGCATAAATCCAAACGAATTTATCCCATATTTATTACTACTTTTAGTTACTACTGAAACGATACTAAATAACAAACTTGACGATTCGTTCAATAGTCAGAAAGCTTTCGCTGTTCCACATACCCCATGTCCAGAATTTTCCAAATATCTCTATTTTCTCTATGCACCGACATTGATCTATCGAGACTCGTATCCACGAACATCATCCGTCCGATGGAAATATGTTCTGTCTCAACTAGCACAATTCGTCGCTGCAGCTTTGTTTGGCTACTATCTGTTCTATCGATTTTGCTTACCAGTATTTCGTCATTTCAAATCCGAACATGTCACTGTCAAGAAATTCGTCCTCTCAATTCTCAATTGCACTTTACCAGGAGCACTTCTCCTATTTTGCGGTCAGTTGTCAATGTTTCCGTGAATGAGAAATGCACTTTCGTCTTTTTAGCTTTCTACGGATTTCTTCATTGTTGGCTGAATGCATTCGCAGAAATGCTTCGTTTTGCTGATCGGCAATTCTATAGCGTAAGACCACTCATGTAACTATTTGGAGTATCTTTTCAGCTATTGATTCGTTCTAGGACTGGTGGACAGCGACTTCGTGGAGTAGCTACTATCGAACCTGGAATATTGTCAGTTATTTTTTTCTCTAATTGATATTTGAGGGGATTCTATTTAGGTCGTCCATGATTGGCTTTATACTTATGTTTATCGAGATTGTCATAAAGTAAAACGAGTGAAAAATCCTTTGTAATTCTTTCACAATTTTTCGTAGTTACTCGGTGTTAAATACCGTTTGGTGTCAATGTACACTGTCATCTTTCTCAGCGCTTGTGTACATGAATATATTCTTGCATTAGCATTCGGTTATTTCTATCCGATTTTATTTCTACAATTTGCCATTCTTGGATGTAAGCCCAAAATATTTTTATTAAAATCTTGAGGAAAAAAAAACAATATTGTGTAGTTATTTCCATGTTGATCCTTCCACAGCGAACACAAAACAATATTTTCAATGTATTCATCTGGACATCTCTATTCGTTGGGCTTGGTATGCAAATGTGCTTATATTCAATTGAATGGTATGCTCGACAAAATTGTCCTCGAGCAGTCGTAAGTATTATTGAAGATTTGAATAACATCGCGCTTGCGATTTGTTTATTTCTTTTCAGAACGGTCCATTGGATTATTTTGTACCTCGATCGTTTTTCTGTCGAGATGGTAATGATACGATGACGATAAACACAGAATCTTCCTCGATCCATAGTCATGTGGATGTCTAAATGAATGCTTTGAACTGATAATCAATTTATTTCCATGATCGTTTTTTTTTCCTTGTAGAATTCAGAATCTCATGGCAAAAGATTTGTCTGTTTGAGATCCGATTTTTCCTGTCGTAGTTCTAAGAATAACTATTTCTGAATAAATTTTTACCCTTGAGAGGTTTATTAACGGTTCGATTATATACCTGTCATCACAGTATACATAATCTGTATAACGGATAGGAAAAAACGTCATCATCATCATCAAAAGGGCGACAAATAGTTCAATGTGATTGCGGGTTTTTTGCTGTTGAGTAATATGTGATTGATGTATAAGAGAACAATGAAAGAAGGTTATAATATACACTATGTTTGATTCGTTTTTGATAAACGATCAGTTCAACTAGAGGGAAGGATTTGCATGAACTATGACTATTAGATCAATCATTGTGTCTATATCATCGATAATATAAACAGGCTTCTTTCTCTTGATTATAATGATATGAGAATTCAGAGGTCAAATAAGTCCCACGGCGGGTCAACATTACGTGCTTTTTTCCTTCTCTGATGATTATTATTACGATGTCACGACTATTATATTAGTTAAAGTAAAAAAAGAACGAGACACACCGGCCAAGGTCTTTTACTTCCTCATTTGTTCACTCGTTTCCTTGTCTACTTGTACCGGTGTGCACCTCTCTATCTTTTTCTTATTTGCTTGCCATATGTATGTGTTAGGACATCGAGACCAGGAATTTCTTTTTTCCTCCTCTCGTCTCCTTTCCTCTTCACCGCCAAAAAAACTGAAGAGAAGATCAACAGCTTGCTATTTATTTCTTTCTTCTACTACGTTGGTTGCTGTTCAAGGCAAACATGAGCATAACAACTCATTCGTTGATGGTACCGCACTACGGCGAAGAAACAAGGGAAGAGTATATATATATATACATGTATTATATCTTATGTAAGAGAACACTATTCTTTTCTTTTACATATGAAATAGAAAAGGAGAAAGCAAGAAAAAAAGACTGTCGTAAGTAAAGAACAAATGATCGAGCTTGTATCCATGTATTTCATCGATAGAAAACGAAAGAGGGAGAGAGAGAGAGAGAGAAAGGAACAGACGAGAAAAAGACAGAACAAACTTCATTGATTCATTCATTCATTCAGAGAAAAAAGCCAAGACGCAAAAGAAGAAAAAAATCTCTCGTTTTTTTTTGCGCGGAACTTTTTAGGCCATTTTCTCCCCTTCTTTTCATTGTCGTCATCTATGGCGTTCTTTCTTTCTTCCTGGCCTATTGCGTTAGTCGACAAAGACATCAATACTCCGAAAGTACACACGTGATACATTAAATGACGAGAGAACGACTGTGAGACAGCAAATGAGGGAGTAGAGAAGAGAGCACAAGAGACAGGGAGAGAGAGAGGGGGAGACAGTGAGCAAAAAACACCTTCATATACATAGATACGTTTTAGGAATCGATTGTTCTACAAGGCATATTCCTCTCTCTCTCTCTCTCTCTCGTCGTACACAATCATGCAGACTATATATAAACATACATAGACTAGGTACAGAATGACACATAGTGAGTGTTGACGGTAAGTTAAACAATCAGTTGATTGGAAAATTTAAAAATTGTTTTATTATGATTGTACAGGCTTATCGACCTTGATTTGAATTGTAATACAAGACGAAGCTATATGTGTTTCTTTTTTACTTCCATTTCAGATTGTTGCCGGGTTCCATCATTAGCTGACAGCTAGGAGGGGAGGCAAGAGTGTTAGTAAGAAGGTTTTCATCATGACCCGTTAGGACTACGACACATTGTGGCCTGTTTGCTCGAGAGGCCTCTATAAAGCGAGCGCAAAACAAAATTTTTCAAAAATGAATGAAACTAGCAATATCAGCAGTACTACCACCGGTGGCGTTTGTTCATCGTGTCTCAAAGAAATGCCCATTGTTATGACATCATCGTCATCATCCCGACTCTGTTCAAATTGTCTGACAGAATTTATCGATCCTCAACAACAACAACAACAAACTCAAGTACCGTTTTCTTCCGATCTAAATAATAAATTCCCATTATTTCCATCGTCATCATCGCAACCGTTACTTGGTCTATCACAGCACCAACAACAACAACAACAACAACCGCAGTCTATAATTCAACCTCATTTCTCTCCATTATCATCATCATCTGCTTCTTCAACGTCATCGATTTCATCGACAAATCGACGTTTCAGTACATTCGATCCATTTACATCCGGTAATGATCTAAAAACTAATTTTCTTCATCCGTTTGCCGATTTAAATAATGCCTTTTCGCCATTAACTTCATCCAACTTGAATAACAATAACGATTTCGAATCTACATCAACTACAACTGATTTCATGCGTTATTTCCATCATTTTCTCAATGGAAACAACCATAACAATAATCTTATGGATCGCGATAGTCCAGCTAGTAGTGTTCAAAGTACTGATTTCTCCCCTTTACTTGCATCCAGTCTACCAACTAACAACAATCATCTCCCAACTCAATCAATATTACAACGTCAACATTCAGCGTTCTCATCCTTGGATTCAACGACAAGTTCAACACCATCATTAAATCGTCTATCAACAAATGATCTTCCATCATCATTCTGTTGTTTTGCTAACAATCCTCCATATACTTATTGTCTCGAATGTGAAACATCTCTATGTGAAAAATGTGCATTAACACATCCAAAAATGCTCGGTTTCAAAGATCATCGGCAACAGCTCCTATCATCATCACAATTTCCAAACACCAATCCACGATCGATTATCGGTCAACCGCCCAGACAAAATACTCAACAGCAACAACAACAGCAACCGCCTGATATTTTACCAACAAACGCAGGTAAATTTCGTCTATCGCTATTTGCTTATTTATTTTTCAAGGTAATCTTTCGTTTTTCAGTACGTTTACCTCAACAAACAACACCATTCGATCTGTCCTTGAGTCGCTCGTCTGTGAATAACAATTCAGCAAATGATTTTCAATCATTATTCGGTTCATTCTTCTCTCAATTATCACTTAATACCCCAAATGCAGGCGAAAACACCAACTCAACTCCTCTATCGCCCACCATCTCCGCACCAACATCATCTTCAACCATCTTCTGTTATGAACATCCCACTGCCAAAGCATCCTATTATTGTGATATGTGTTCACGACCTTACTGTCATGAATGTCAAATTCACCATGCTCAGCAACATACATTATCATCATTACAAGACACAATTGATAGTGCTCGACAATTAACGAAACAATTTCTAATTGAATCGCAAACCCTGTTGTATCACTTAGATGAATCGTTGAAACAATCGACACGTACCATAGAAAATATCTCGATCAAAAGCTCGACGATTGAAAATGAAATACGTACAATGATTAAGTATTTTCTTGATATACTGTCTCAACGACAAGATTTCCTAATAAAAAATGTCGATAAAATACAAACGATGAAAACGCAAACATTACAACGGCAAATCAATGAACTGAATCAAGTGATTAAACAATTACATTTAACCATACTTGGTAAGTCACTGGCGAACTTCAGCAAAGCTGGAAGTTATTCTTTCGTTTAGATTGTAATGAATGTCTAAAGAATGGGACGGATGCTGATTTAATTCGTATACGAACACGTTTGTGGAATGAAACGATTAAAATGAAACAAACGTTACTATTGTATCTAAAACCGATCGAAGATGATTACATACAATTTCAAGGTTCGCCAACATTAATCAACAAATCGTTGATCAACTACGGACAATTAATGAGCTCAACATATCCACCACTATGTGAATTGTACGGTGATTCACTTTACTACACAATAAGAAATCGTCTAACAGTTTTAAACCTTCAAACGCGTAATCATCTCGGCGAATTACGTACGACAGGAGGTGATAATATTCAATGTTGTCTAATTGATACAGGCACAAATCAAACTATACCATGTGATATCTATGATCGTCAAAATGGTCAATATTTTATAACTTATATAACACAAAGTGATAATTTGCATATTCTGAATGTCTATGTGAATAAT